TCGATACCAAATACCGCGGCCGCCAGCACAGACACACCAATAGCAACAGCAGACTGGAATGTCTCACTACTCGCTACTAGAGAAATTTGCAGCAGATCGGAGCAATAATTACGAGGAGCAGGCTCAAAACCAGGACTTGAACGAGAAATCCCAAACGCCGGAAAACAAATCACACGAAGTAGATTTGAAGAGCCGCTACAGAACCACTCATTTCTACTGATTTTCAATATTTTGTGCCAGGAGTTTAGTTTCATGGCAGGAGTGAGCCAAGGGATCGGTGGCTTTTCCAGTGCTTTATAGACTGGCTGAATCAGACCTGAACTGGAGATTACCACAGCAGTATTTGACTTACATATAGAGTAGTTGGATCATGACCACGGCATCATGCGATACTCTTTCTCGGCTCCTGGCAAGATATCAAAAGTCAGTATGTTACGGTTGAATAATGATTGCATCACTAGCCAGTCTAAAGCCTTCCGATCTAATCTGGTAAGAAACAAGAGCATCGAGCAACGAGTATTGGCCTACAGGGTTGTGCAATTCAAGGAGTGGCCATACTACAATGACAAAAGACAGAATGTACAGTTACTACAAATATACAAATCACAGGTGCATCAGGCCTTTTTGCTAAGATGGCTCGGAAGGCCCAAACTCGAAATTTCCCATGTAATGATCTTTGTTATGACACGGTTACCGACTGAGTACCAGCCATATGCATGCTAAACTTGATTCTAAATGCAGACCTCCTCCACCATCCTTTTCAACGCAAATCATGATAATCTGAAGCCATATGACTCAAACGTCCCGGTCCCATACCGTGGTAATTTACCAAGGCCAAGCTGGCCATTGGACAACAGGAGCCTGGTACCAAGGCCAACCGGGAGCAAGGCGGACGACATGATGACCACCTGAATTGCTGCTGCGCTGCTCCGAGGACAGCATGGCCTCGAGGGCCTGGAGCTGCTTCTGGCACATGGCCAGGTGGCTCTTGATGACCATCATCTGCTCGGTCGTCTCGGCGAGGCGATCATAGAGATCGAGGGCCATGAGCTCCTGGGTATCGGCCCATCCGGGACCGTCGTCGCTGTTGGAAAGCGATGAAGAGCATACGGCAGGGTGAGGATCGACGCCCCAGGAAGCCAAGTTGGGCGGAGTGGTTCGGGGTGACGTGACCGGAGACTCTGGCTGCGGTGCGCGGGAGCGAGGCCAGAAGTCGTTGGGGACTTCATCTTCACTAGACGAGTGATTCCCACGAGCAGTGCCGATCTCGTGGTCATCGACGCTCTCAACGGTGGTTGGCTTTGGCTCGTGCTTGAGCTCGCCGTTGTTGCTGGTATCAGACATTGTGAGTATTTTCGTTTTTGTGTAGTTGGTACGAGATGGGTGATGTTTTGTGGCCGAGTATTCGCTTGATAGATCTTGCTCTGTACTGCTGTGTTCTGTTGTTCGTGTGTTCTGGTGTAATTAGAAAAGAAAGACTGTTGAACTGGAGGGATTGCTCCAATTTATAGAAAATTTGGCATCTTTATTTGCTATATGCTGTGACTCAGATCTGCTTGAGTAGTAGTTGCATCACGCATGATCAAGTGATTCCCTTGGGCGAGCAACATGCTGTGAAAAAGACGCTTATTCCCTGGGTAAATAGAAATGTCGTGAGCCGCCGGACCGAGTGATTCATATACAAACCGTAGAGAGTGCTGCTCGTCCCTTACAGTATCTTGTCGTCTATAACCTGAACATAATACTGAGGTAGAGACACAAACCAAAATCATTCACCAAAATCATTCACTTGATTATCATCTGGCTACGCAAACAATAATTGCCAGGCGTTCATGTGATGTATTGTTTCCGCAATCTCTCAAGATGGCCTGCGACGCTATGCACCCAAATCATATTGACATAACCACCAAGACCATGACCACCAAACCACGAATGCTTTGAGTCCAATGCTCAGTCCGCTTTTGCATCATAAGCATTTTATTTGTGACCAAAAGCCACCCAACGCCGGTTCTTTTGTGACCCTCGAAAGATACCTCATATGATGTCGTAATGCTACAAGCTGTACAATGATGCCCGATCATCATTCCGCCCTAATGCCATTGTGGCAGTCGTTGTCCCGTGCCGTAAATGTCGCGGATGTTGTCTCCATACTATTGAGGAACAGCCGAACTCTCGCCACGAGGTCTGAAACCACCTCTTCCACCCCGACCACGGCCTCGTCCGCGGCCTCTGCCTCGGTAGCCGCCTCGGTAGCCACCGTCAACGCTTCCTTGACCAAAGGTCTCCATGTTCTTGCGCTGTTCCTCGCCGCGCCATTCACGACCACCAGGCTTGGGGCCGCTGCTCTCGGCACGATCCTTGGCTTCGCTTGAGATGTTGTCAAAGAAAGATCTTGTCTTATTGTAAGCAGGAGGCTGTGTTCCATCGGCAGGGGACTCGTCAATCTCGGGTGCAGGACCGCTGGGTGCCTCATTCATGGGAGAACCACCGGCGACGGCCTCCTTGACAAGATCATGCTTGTTGAATTTGGCATTAGATGCCTCGAAATTGAAGTCGTCGACGGGAACCTCAATCTTGGCAGTACCGCCTTGTCGGTTACCGCGTCCACGGCCACGGTTAGGCCCGCCTCTGGTTGCGTTGACTCTCATCTCATTGACCTTGCTGGTCAAATTGTCCATGACATTTCCACCGTTTGCCGACGGACCGGCCGAAGCTGCGTTAGTAGCGTCGAGCTTGGCCATGGCCACTGCAACGGCTGCCTTGGCCTGCTGTGTCGCATCTCTAATGGAAGCGGCAGTGGCTGAGCCACTGGCGGATTCTGCAGGCTTGACTGCAGCAGCAACTGCTGCTGCTTGAGGTACGCCCTGAGCTCCCGACGAAGCACCTCTTTGAAGAATTGCACTAGGGTAGGGAACGGCTGGCTGGACACGGTTATTCTTGGGGCCAGTAGGCACATTGTTTCTGGGTTGCTGGGGAGCCTTGGCGGGTCCAGCAGAAGCCAGGGACTCGGCAGTAGCCTTCACCTCAGCTGCGGAGGGCTTCGAATCGACCGGCGGTGTCGGGGCAGGCGCATTTGCAGACGGTTTCGGGGGCTGGCCAATTGATTTGGGCTCGGCAGATGGCGCATTGGTAGGAGTAGCACCAGTTCGTGGCTTATCCGAACCAGGAGCAGCTCCAGGGCCAATGGGGCTGGGCTTCTCTTGCTGAGGAGTGCCTCCCACATTCATTCCAGGAGCACCCGGGTGTCCATGGGGACCTGCCCCTGGGTATGCGTATGGGTTGAAAGGACCGGGAGGTCCAGGAGGAAATCCTTGACCGGGAGGAAACCAGCCAGGAGGCGGGTAGGGCATACCGCCAAATCGAGGATCCGGACCAGGACCGCCACGGCCGCCCCATGGTCCACCAGATCCACCGGGCCCCGGGGGGTAGAAGGGAGGTTGCTGTTGGAATGGTGACTGGTTGAAACCACCGGGTTGGTTCTGCGGGCCAGGTGCAGCACCCGGAGGGCCGACGGGACGAGCTCGAGCCTGGTCGCAAGCAGTTCAGGTCAGCTTTGTACGAATTGAGTACCCATAAATGCGGCGGTTGTATGCTTGAATCAGAAGGAAGGCAACGGAAGATATCAACACGGGGTTTGTTTGCGCAATTCTGTAAAGAAAATTTTACATCCGAAATGTTTCGTCATGTCAAGCACAGGAAGGTGCGAGGTCGCAGCAGACCAAGCGACTGAGGGGCTTTGGATTGGGGAGAGTGACTTACGCCCACAATGGCGGGATCATCAGGGACGGCAGGAGGCTTGTTCTCCTTGGCCGGCGCGGCCTCTTCGATGCGCAAATCCTTTACATCACTGCCTCGAAAGACAATGTATTCGTAAACTTGATCGGATGGGAGGATCTCTTGCTCGGGGTCGCCTCCTCTGCGGCCCTCGGTACCAAAGGATCTGACATTCTCGAGCGATACGGTGGACTCCTCCGAGTTGATTTCGTGAAGGACGCCAGAGTAGCGGATGTCACTCTTTGAGATGAGCGATATCCGTGACCTAGCGAGATTCGAGGATCAGCCATTGAACCGCGAATGAAGTGAATTGAATATTCCTGGCGGACAGTTTGTGGGGACGAGCTGTAGCTTTGAAGCTAGGCAAGCTGTGGCACAGGAGGAGGGAGGGAGATCGTCATACCCAAGGAATTCAGACATGTCGGGCAGCGTAGCACGGCTTATGCGATGCGCGCGTACGGATTGAGGAAGAAGGAACTAGAAATGGTCAAGGCGAGTGGTTTGTCGTGGGTTGGAAAACGAGCTGATGGGTATAGATGATGTGGGAATGGATGCGAAATTCACACAGCTGGGGATGCACGAGTAAGTCGAACACGGGATGGGGGTGGAGCCTTGTAACTTAGAGGGAGGCTGAAAGCAACTGAGCACTGTCTGTCAAAAATCGAATGGCACAGGAAAGAGCGGGGACAGCTGGTGGGGCGCGAACCAGCCTTATTGCACCACCTGGCAGCAGCAGACGAAGCAGGAGTCAGTCAACCTTCTAAATGGGCAATTGCAACTTTTGTAATTGTTTTCATAGTGTATTAATGATATCCTTTATCGAACTGGGCGTGCAGACAATGGTCGCAGAAAATGCAGGGGATAAGCACTGTATGTCTCAACCTCAGACCATGCGCTTGTGGCAAACACAAGATTACATGAATAAGCAAACTAAAAGGCGGCATGTTGCCAAATCGCTGATTCATGTATGCAACTACTTTGGCGTGACTTGTCTCTGGTACAATCAAGGTATCGCAAGGCCATACAGTATATTTGCAACACAACTGGGTAAATGGGTATCTCAATGCTAATAGTACATACTTGGCAAGTCCTGGTTCAAACCTATTCCATGTCTTCGTCTGATGAACCCGACCCTGAACTGCTCGTGGTGTCATCAGCCGCATTCGCATGGTAAGCTTCCAGAAACTGTTGTCGCTGCTCTTCGTTTTCAAAATCGAATTCGGCACCGTTATCGTCGTCTTCTCGAACCTCGCCTTCTTCCTTAGAGCCTGGCTCAAGTTCTTGGTCAGAGTCAGAGCCAGACTCAGAGTCGGATCCATATGCCACCAATGCACCGTTTTTGCGCTTCTTATTGTTCGGCTTTGGCTCATCCTTTTTCGGTGTCTTTAGAATGAATCCATCGTGCAAACTCGAGGTCGCCAAAAGGACATATAGTTGTGGGAATTCCACTACTGTTTGCCCTCTCAAAACAACCTCAAGGGTGTCGGTAGCAGCCAAAGGGACGAGTGATTTTGCTTCTCTTGCCGGATCCCTGGGGTTGCCCAGGAAAAACTTGTACTTTTCTTTTTCATGTTTGATTCCCTCCTCTTTTGTACGGGTGTTTACGGGATGGGGTGCCGTGTTCCACTGCCCAGTCGCAGTGTTCTGTCCCAGATTCGTTGCTTCCGACCATGTCCCAAGTTCGAGATTTTGTAGGTGCTGGACGAGTGCTTGCTGCTTATCTCCTTGTTGATCGCGCAACCTGGCTTTTTGCTCCCTCTTCTCAGAGTCTTTCTCTTCCCTACTGAGCAGATGCCATTGGCATTCTCCAAAGGCTGCAAATAGAGGGGTCGTCTCCGGAGTTTTGCTGAGGTATCTTGTAACGCCGTGCTCGGGGTCGAGGAGTAGCCATTCTACTTGCCAATTAATGACGCGGAGCTTTTGGTTGTAGGATGTCTTGTTTTCTCGTTGCCGGCTCATTCCGTATGGCATTTGTTCGACATTGATCGAGAGTTTCTTGAGTCTGCTGATGGACGCTCTCGCCCACGGTCGCAACCCTTCGCCCAAAGTCGTCCGCCCTCTGCTCTGGCCCTTGTGCACCCGCGCTCGCTTGTTGGGACGGGAATCTTGGGTCTTTTGGGGTAGGATGCCTCGCTCTTCGGTAAAAATCTTTTCAACCTGCTCTACCTTGCGTTCGAGCTTATGTAAATAATTGTAATCGTGATCGATACCACGGTCGGTCCTCAATTGGGAGGCAGGTACGAATACCGTCGGGTCTCGCTCGCCGCTACAAGAAGACCAGTTTTTGTGCTTCTTGACGCAGGCGAGGGAGCATGTCTTGGCTTGGCATCTTGGACACTTGTATTTTGGCTCTCGCATGTGGCAGATGCCACAGAGAGAGGTCAAGAGAGGATCGCTCGACATGGTTGTGATCCGAGGTTTGCGACGAGTGATTGACTAGACCGACGTAGAGTTCAAGTTTTAATTGTGCCTCGTAGTGGATATTTGGTGTAAGTATATACTGGAAGGCTAAGCCGACGATTTTCAAAAAGCCATCAAGAAGAGATCCTCAAAGAAACAATTAGGTAGCGGAGATGGTCTCGTTTGTGAAATTGAGTGAGACTGGAGAATGTTGATCGCATCCATAAACCTTCGAAATGCGCCCGTCAGTCAACTTTTTGGGACGGGATTCGGACACAGATCTTATCTCTAGCCCCACTACCAAGCATTAGCGTCGGGACTTGCCGAGCTTTGGGCGGGCGGAAACAATTTAGCTACGTATTTCAATGACGAACACCTAACAGCTATACGAGGCTTTATGAAGATGAATGCATTTTGTAAATATCATGTTTTGATGCTCAAGACTGAGATAATCTCGGGATACTCTCTCATGGTCTAGATAGGTTCAGGTTGTGTTGTATATTGAAATCTATTAGACGCTGAGTAACAAGCCCTATTCGAGATGGGGAAGAAGTACGTTCGTCCTTGAAATTTCATTTACTATGGAGTAGGGTATTGTCCCGACTTCTTGATTCAAAAGACCAATGATGAGCTTTTCAAAATACAATGGATTAATCTGCAAAGAAACCACAAGAACGGGGGATCCCCATGTTGGCGGTTCACAGTGCCGATACCGTGGGCTAGAGACACAAACTATGCGGGGCTGGGGAAGTTTATGATGCAAATGGGGCCAGTCAACACTGTGAGCAGGCACATACGATTGACGATCCACCCTCGACCAGCTCGACTCTCCCTCCAAAAAATCAACACTGTGCAAACTAAAGACTACTGCAAATGGCCTCAAGATGAGTGAAGAAGTGGAAATGAAAGTCGACCCTTCCAGAGCTGCCGCTCTGATCTCCCAACTGGGGAGCGTCAGTGAGCGCATTGCCGCCGTTGCCAAGGGCAGAAAGGTAAAGTTGCCATTCACCATAAGACGACCACTCGACCATCACGAACTCACACATTGAGCAATGGCTACCGTTTACCACAGATCATGTAGACTAATTGAATGAAACTAGGTCCGCCTCGTCGCCGTCTCAAAGCTCAAGCCGGCAAATGACATTCTGGCATTGACGCAACCACCAACAGCACACTTACACTTTGGAGAGAATTATGCTCAAGAGCTGACCCAGAAGGCGGAGCTCTTGCCCAAGAGCATTGAATGGCACTTTATCGGCGGCTTGCAATCTGGTGAGTGACCTCGTACATAACTTGGACATATTCGTATCATTATCAGAAAGGACCGTCATATTATTTCAAGATGAGATCGCACTCCAGAAATGCCTGTCTATAAAATTTGCATGTTGTAAAAGACACTAAGCTAATTCTACTGGTTAGGCCACTGCAAGAGCTTGGCCAAGATACCCAACCTCTTCTGCGTCTCCAGCGTGGATACCGCCAAAAAGGCGCAACTCCTGGATGAGCACCGCGGCAAGCTGATCTCGTCGGCCTACCCGGCGTCGCCCGTGCCCAAGCTCAACATTCACATCCAGGTCAACACGTCTGGCGAGGAGTCCAAGTCGGGATGCGCACCCGGTGCCGACACGGTGGCTCTTTGCAAGCTCGTTATTGAAGAGTGCCCAAACCTCAACCTCCTTGGCCTCATGACCATTGGCGCCATTGCCCGCAGCAAGGAGACCACGCCCGAGAACGAGAATGAGGACTTTGTCTGTCTCAGGGAGCAGAGGGACTTGGTTGTCAAGGAGCTCGGTCTGGAGGGTAAGAAGGAGCTGGAGCTGAGCATGGGTATGAGTGAGGACTATGAGGGCGCCATTGCCATGGGATCCAGTGAAGTGCGTGTAGGTAGCACAATCTTTGGAGTCAGAGGTCCAAAGAGCGAGGCAAAGATTACCGTGTAGAGATGCCAAAACCAAAATTCAAGCTATCATAAATCTTTGGCAAATGACCGGTCTGTCCACTAAATCCAGAACTCGTATGTCTCTTAAGAGAGGCAGCTTCCTGGCTCAGCAAGCTGTCTCGGCGTTGCCGTTTGAGACTTTGGAAAATCGAATGCCATGGGGGCACAAGACGAATTATTTTCAAGACAAGCTGCTGATCGACGATTCATCGGCTCAAGTTGCAGATCCGGAAAGAAGAGCCCAAGAAGAGTGATCGCAAGGTTGTGTACAGCAGGTTTAATCTTCCGGCAAGTTCTTAGATAATCAGCTCTATTCTGTTTTCCTCGGATAGCAGTGCCTCGTATCTCCAAAGTAACCATGGAAATTTGCCTATCAATTATTCATCCTTGGCGGATTTTTGAGTGATGTTTTTACCTGACATGCCGGTTAGGACAGCCGTTGATGCCATTTTTCTACCATTCATCTTTTGGGATCTTTCTGAATCATTGCCAGCCTTCAGAGCATGGTTTCATACGACTTCCTCACGTGTGACTTGATAGTCAGTCACCAAAGTTCTCTGATAGGTATTGTACATGAACAGGCACTCCTAGACTCTAGATATGGAAATACGTGATACGATCAAGTCAAGATACTTGCACCACACGTCACCATCTTCTGTTTCTAAGACCTACAGCTGACAGTTGGTCCTCCCTGGGCTGCATGGTATAAGAATCACATACCGTCATTCGATTACCACAGGTCGCACAATGTAATACATTACTCTGGAATCTGGTTCTTGCACGACACAGAGAAACTATAGATAAAAAGGAAGGGATGGAAAACTCGGAATAGACATGTTTCTGGAAATGGATCACCACGATTCTCAAAGAAAAATAAGGATTTGAACTCATGTCCAATATCAAGATGCGAATGCAATTTGTCTTTACAGCATTTGCCTCGTTCACAATAAGAACGCGGGCACTAGGCGTTCCAGCCAACGTCAAGACATTTTACAACAATGCCAAAGCCCAAGGACAGTGTCAGAAGCCTATCAAGTCTGGATTGTATAGCTATAATGGAGGACCACCAGGCAAGTCGTTCCAAACATCACAGATTCGCCGCAATTCCCAAGTCATGACTATAATCATCTTACACCCAAGAGCACATACACAGATTGGTCTTACTGCGGAGACCACAAGGACGACTGGGGCATCGTCTACATCCAGGGCAAGAATGGTCAATTCGCCAACATGGACATTGACTGCGACGGTGTCTCGCGGGAGCCCAACAGCGGGCGCTGCGGGCACAACCCGACGGACCAGAGCGTGACGGCCATGCGCGACACCCTGCGCGGCTACGCCATCACCGGCCTCACTGACCTCGACACCTACGTCCACCCGTACGTCGTGTTTGGCAACTCGGGCACCAATCCGCACAATGTGCCCTTTGATCCGCGCGACGTTGGCGTCCTGCCCTTGAGCATCATGCTCATTGTGACGCCGACAGTCATGGCAAGTTTAATTTCCCTTTACATGAAAAACGTATATACTTGAATACATTTGAAAGCTTGGCTAACACATAGGGCTTGTACTCAACGACACAGACCTGCGGCATCTGGGGCGACACCAACGGCGGCGAGCGCGACGCCTCGTACGTGGGCGAAGCCTCGCTGGCGACGGGCGAGCTCACCTTTGGCGCCGGCGTCGTCAACGGCACCGTCAGCCACGAGCCCAACGACGTGCTGTACATAGCCTTTACGGGGCCGACGGCCGTGCCCGGCCGGGGCGGTGCCGCCTGGGCCGCCAACACCAAGGACAGGTTTGCGGCTTCCATCTATCAGCAGTGCATGGCCATGGCGGCGCGCATCCAGCCCGCCGCTGCCAGTGGTGGTGGTGGTGGTGGTGATACCGGGGACGGGTCGTGCTCTTGGGCGGGTCATTGTGTTGGTGAGTAGTCCGTTGAACATGTCGTAAATGGGCAAAGTGGAACAAGACTTGTTGATACCATACCCAGGAGCACCCTGTACGTCGGCCAATGATTGTTCAGACAACCTTACTTGTCAGTCTGGCAAGTGTGCTTTGCCCCAGGACTGCAGTTGGGCGGGGCATTGTACTGGTAAGTAATACTGGCATGGCCTCTTTAAACACAATGCTAATACTGTCCTAGGAGCAACTTGCAGCTCCAATTCCGATTGTGGTGACTCACTGGTGTGTATAGGGGGTAAATGCGGGAGGTCCAGACACGGTTCGTAACGGCATAGTGTTGTGGTGGTGCACTTTGGATGCAGGGAACATGATGATATATCTGGCGAAAATTAGTAGCGATTGTGTATTAGCTCTTGGCACGATTTGCACAGAGGAAATCTCGGGGAATGGCATGGAATGTGACGAATGTTCATCATAAATTCATATCTCATATTGGAGTGTGTTCCTAGCGTTTCTTCATGGTTCATCTCAACAAGCCTTGACTAACTTCTTGGCATGGCCTCCTTCGCTTTTGGGGATACCTGAAAAACAAAAAGAGCGCTCGCTATCACAATATCTGCTCTCAAATATGCAGCACACCAATGTTTTCACCGATCCACTCGTAGCTCTCGGTTCTAAAGTCGTCGTTTGTGACCCAACTGGCAATGTTGGAAAACTGCATCAGTTGCTGACTCTCGCTCCACTGGGGCCAGTCCGGCAGGATCCCACTGCCGTTGTTGGGGTCCAGGTTGTAGACGAAGGAGAGGTAGTAGCTGGCAAAGGAGGCGCTCGCATAGTTGGGCAGGATGCCATAAAAGACCTGCAGAATGTCGGAGCCGTGAAAGGTGCCCAGGATGGGTGTGCCGTAGTCGTAACTCGAGAGGTAGGACCACGACGGCACGTCGGGGTTGACCTTGCTGGTTCCAGACAGGAATAGGCGACGGCTCAGAGTAAAGACAAGGTCGCCGAGAATTGCGGCAAGACGCTTGAATTCGGGATATGGGTTGTTCAAGATGCCAGTGTTGAAGGGTGACCCTGCCGTGATATCATCCGGGTACGTCGCCACCAGCGCTTCGATATCCGCTCTAGTGGCATCATTGAAGAAGATATTCAAGAGATAATCAACCAGGAGATCTGTGTTTGTGATGTTGGGCTGGAACAGAGCGAAAAGAGTGCCTTCATCTTCTTGATCTCCGATAATCATGGGGACGGCCGCGTATTTGCCACTCGTGACCAATTCATCGGGGCTAGCCGTCAAGGCAGTGCCGTCGGGTCTGGGAACGTATGACAAGGCGACAGACGTGTAGCTGAGAATACCGGGGACACTGTTGGCGGCGTTGAGGAAGGTATCATAGTCAACCCCACGCAGACACTCGAGCGTGTCGTCGGCCCCAGCACATCCAGCACTCTCAACCACTGTGTCGTAGACGCCTTGGCACTTGTCACAGTCTACAGAATCAGCAGGGACCACGCTACCGCTGTTCATGATGCCACCTCTGAACAGGGGCTTTCCGTTGTATGTGTTGTCACCGTCATAGAGAGCCATCTGGTCAAAGACGCTGATGGCACCGGCGCTCTCGCCCCAGATGGTGACCTTGTCCGGGTCACCACCAAAGGCGGCAATATTATCGGCCACCCATTGCAAGCCCATTCTCTGATCAAGCAGTCCCAGGTTGGCAGCTCCATCAGCAAGGATCTCCTTTCCAGGCAAGAATCCAAAGCCACCAACGCGGTAGTTGACAGTCACGTAGACAAATGGCTTTCCCATGATGACGCCGTTCAGCAAAAGACCCGTTCCGTCGTACATCTGGGGGCTTCCCAATTCGAAACCTCCTCCAAAGATGTACAACAGGACCGGAAGCTTGGCATTGGCTTTGGTGCCGATGGGCCGCTGGACATTGATGGTCAAGCAGTCTTCAGTCTGGCCAGTAACGGTCTGGAAAAGAGGCGTGTTCAACAGATCGCCCAGGACGGACGTCAACAAATCGTTATCGTCGGTCGAGAAGAACATCTGAGGACATGAAGGTCCGGTTCCCGTCGCGTCGATCGTTCCGAATGATTCGGTCAGCCTGACAGGTGGCTTGAGCCTGTTTGTGCCGACTGGTGGTTCAGCAAAGGGAATGCCACCAAAGGACTCGACAACGCCGACTGATCCCACCACGGTACCAGCGGGGATAGCCACGGTTGTCTTGATCAAGGCATCACGTTCAGTCTTGTCGGGGGCAGGGAGACCAAGAGCCAGCCCGGAGAGCACAATGGCTGACAGGAACTGAGTAAAGACGGACTTCATCTTGTCGGCAGTGGGACAAGAAGCTTGACAGAGATGCTTGTTGCGGGGGGAAATATTGTATAACAAGCTCTATACAAGGAGGGAAAAGAAGCTTCCTTGGCGACTTGTCTCGAGATGGGTGTATCTGCGCACCTACTCTCCAAGACTAATTGCCATGTGAGGACGGGAATACTGGCCAGCCTTTATATCCATGGCTCAAGGCTGTGGTTTCCAGGCACGGCGGACTTTTTTGATTCCACACCACCAAGCGCATGTCAGGAATGGAGACACCGCAACATCGTGATAAGCGCCTCGGCTGATTTCTGGGCATGGTACATTGTTCAGCTGATCGTCAAAGATCGGAGTGGACGGGGTACATGGCACAAAATGCGACCATGGGAGAGAAGGCTTTCATTTCCCTGGTTCGCACGCATTGTCCTTTTTTTTTTTTTTTTTTCGTGCTACCTAATTATTATCAGCAGTATTATTACTATTTTTTTTTCTCCCTTGGACCCATTCCAGAAAGCCCGCAAGCGAACCACAATGGGCAAGGATATGTTCAAGCCGTGTGGTGTGGTGTGGTGCGCCTCCGCCCATCCCGCAGAATAGTCTTGGTATAGCGCCGGGCATAAGCAGGTACGCATAGCCTCAACTCTCTCGTCCGTAGAGAGTAGGGGCAGGCTGTTCAGGCACATGTGAAATTTTGTGGTTTTGATCTACATCCTTCGGAGTCGAGGCCGAGGCAGATGGATCGTGGTGTGGCAGCCATTTCAGCCCTCAGCCAACAAATACAACCCACCGGAGGCCCGAATGTACGAATGCCTCAGTAAATGAGTGAGTGAACTGTGAGCGGGATGGAGGGAGGGGAGGGGAGGGGAGGCAGGGGGGTTGGGGGTTGAGTGATTATCTTTGCAGGTGGTGTGGGCAGAATTTGGCTGAGTTGTCGTGTTGGCATTCATTTTCTTGGGGAAAAGATGGGGAAAAGATGGTGTGAAGCACAACGCGGCAGGACTAAAAGCTGCTGCTTCCTGAGGTTGGACTGGGGGATGGGATCGAAAGGATCTTAGACACTGGGCGGGCGCCAAGGCAAGCCAAAAGGAGCCATAGAGGTGCAAAAATAAGAACAAACCCATGCTGAGCTACTATAGTTCTGCTATGGTATATTAGGAATAGGACCAATTAAGAGCTCGGCATATGCCCCAACACCCCCCACAATCCCCAGATTCGACAGGGATGCCGCTGGATTGGGTATATAATTCCGTCATCTTGCAGTCACCGCTTTGGGCTTGGCCCAACTGACAAGTTACAAACCCCCCAATGAACCCCAATGTCCGCGCGGGGAAACCTTGGAAAATGCTACTGTAGAATGCGGCAGCTCTATAGGGGTTTGCTGCCATCGTGACCACGAGGTGTCCAAGGTTGCTTACACTAACTCTTATTATCCCATCGGTGAGCTGCCTGCTTTTGGATTTGGTCGGCATTCATGTCTTTTGGGCTCTTTCTCGTCTTCGTTTCTCGTCTTCGTTTTCGGACTCTGGCGTGATTTTATTTCCCGAGTGCATCCAAATTTCAATTCCAATGTACCTGTCTATCCATCTCTTCGCTCATGCAGGTGCGGATTCGAGGCGCTCTTCTTGCTTCCCACCACGGAGAATTCTGTCTTTGTTCCTCACTCTCTTTTTTTTTCATGCCAGGGACTTGGGACGAGGTATAACAAAATTTTAATGCCAGTGCTAGTAGTTCTTATTGGAACTTTTTATATACTTGCCTATTACTCAGCGGGCAACCCAGACGCCACGAGCCAACGGGTTTCTCCATTCTGCTGCAAGGGCTCGAGTACTTTCTGCCTGATCTTCCATTGACTTTGATGCTAACTCGTGCGCTATCGTCGCTTGCGCCCTAGCCAGAGAGATGCCACTCACCAATCTTGCATGTACCCCAGAGTACAATGCACTGGGATCGAGCAATTAAGGTTCCACGAGTTCTGATTATCAAAGAATCACAACGGAGCTTGTGGCTTGTTCCGTCATGGGAAGCGGTCTTGTACAACCTGGGATGGAAGCTGCATCCTACGCGAACGGCTTCTTCCGGAAGCATCACATGTTAGAAACGGACCCGCATGGACTCTCGGCAGGCAGTTGGTGGTTGTATGACTTTGCTTATTCGTATTTTGCTTCTTGTGTCTCGAAGTAGATGGAGTCTGACAGGCCTAGTACTGCGATCGCCAGCTAATTATCCTTTGGAGCAAGTCGAATTCCAGTCGCCGAGGTGCAGAATACGCTCAGGTCGAACTATCGGGATCCGAGCACTCAGCCGCGAAGTCAATCACGGGCGGGCTCAACGAAATGGGGAGGCCACGAGTCTGCCCACGACAGAATGATCACCCTACATTTCCAGCTTGTACAATGGGCAAACACACTCGCGGGCGACAAAGACCAATTTGCCTCTCTATCTCCAAGCTTCATGTTGTCGCAAAATTGTTGAAATGGTATACACTGTCTAGAGATTGACTTATACAATCCTCATCTGGCTCTAGATTTAGCTTGTTGCCCTTAGATGACAATACCCCGTCTCGACCACCCGTTCTTGCCTTTCCATGCCAGTATAAACAAAGCGCATCCTATCCAAATGCTGATTGTCATCGCCCAAAATGTTGCCGTATAACAATGCCTGCCATGACAGAAAACGTCTTCCGTGCCGTCTGCCAGTAGAGGCGAGTTCTTTGCACCATGCTGATACTCGGAAGCATAGATCAATCCCCACATGGTAGCTCCAACTGCCGGAGACACGGCGATGATTCCAAAGTTCGTACCAAAGTTCTCGACGCCCCATATGATAGTAACAATGATCGGCGTCAGGCTGAAAAGAGCACCATATCCAAACCCGACGAGACCAGATACAATCCAGAACCTTTCACCGTGGCCCTGGACATACCCAGAGGCGAGTACAAGAGTTCCTAGTGACATGAGAAAACCCGAGGCACTGAGTAGAACAATGCGCGAGATTAAAAACCGGCGCTGCGGCAACGTGCCCGAGGACTCCAAGCCAGTCTGGGGATGTTGTGTATGTGGACTCGGGGAGATTAGATCGCTGAGTGATCCTGTAAGCAATCGTGCAGCAGTACTCGTTGCCGCAAGGATCGAGACGTGTGTTGCCGCCGAAGTCTCAGTACCAGGCAGTCCCGGCGAGTACAACGTGCCAATAACGGTCCCGAGATTGTTCAGGAATGATTCCCCAGGGCCAATGATTAACCAGAAACCAACCGCAAGCAACCACATTGTTGGATCCGTGAGGAATTTTCGAGTTTCAGCATTGAGTAGCCACTGCTTCTTGAGGAGTGGATCCTCTTCATCCTCGTCCTGCACATAGGGATCAAGAATGCCTGCATTCTCCATATCCTCAACCGAGCCACCAACAGTGCCATAACCTCTGCCAGATCGTCGGAAAACGTCGCTTCCAGTTCGGCTTGGTCGCCGGAAGACCTCACTTCCCGCTCGGCTTGGTCGTCGGTAGATGTCTGTATCGTCGAGAAATCCACTTCTTTCAAGTTCATCCACGGCATCATCGATGAGCTCGTCCTCGTCAATGACGCGGAGGAAGAACCCGCCAAAGACGCCGGCAACAGAGAGAAGTACAGCCAAGAAAATGAAGAAGTGGAAGACGTTGACCTCGCCCCTGGACCCATCGGGGTTTCTCTCGCACAAGAAATGGCTGCCGAATTGGCTCACAAGGATTCCACCGAGACCAATCGATGTCAAGGGCGCCGCAAGCATCAAACCACGATACTTGCCCTTGCCAAAGTTTTTGGCGCAAGTTGAGACAGCGCTCAGGTAGAGGAACGACGTGCCGGCGCCGATGAAGACAAAGGCCAGAACCATGTAAGGTACGAGGGTGTGGCTATCATATGCTTCGATGGTCCGCAGTGAAGTTTCTCCCTTGTGATACAATGACGCAGCTAAACCATAACCGCCTGCAAGCAATGCGGCTGCAACGAGTGACAGCGGGCCAGGCCCCACGCGGTCGCAAAGGTAACCGACCAGCGGCACGAGGATATACAGCGAGATACTCATTGCGCTCGCTATACCGTTGATCTCAAATTGCGTAAAGCGTAGTGCCTGCTGGAATCTGGGCGCGTACAGGGAGAAGACGCTGATGGTGCCGACGCAAAAGGCCGAAAAGACAGCGGATGCAAACGACAAGACTCGCAACACGCGAGCGTTGCGCCGGCGCTTTCGGTCGGATGAGGCATCTCGAATAGAACTCGTGTCGCTGAGAGGGCCCAGAGTCGATGTCGAGGGCGATCGCAACAACGGCGCCGTCGCTGGTTGGTCCGGTTCGGATTGCGAAGCCATCATGTCCCGAGCTGGACGGCGAGCTGATAAGGGTGCTGCTTGCTGCCAGCAGGGCCGAGGTACCTAGAAGGTTAGGTAGGTTTTGTGTCGTCAGAGGCACAGCTTGTCCTACCACATTTGATGCAAAGGAATGAGGACGAAAGAACAACAGATGAAATGAGAGTAGAAAGACTGATTATGATGGTTTACTAGTAATGTAATTAGCGATGATTAGAAAGCCATATTTGCAGATGACGGGGATCACGGAGGGCTGAGCGCTCAGATGACCCGGTGACGTGCTGACCCGTCACTGGTCTATGGGCGCATTTAATTTTGGGCCTGGTGATGTCGCTTCACCTTACGAAACCGCAAGATGGATAGGTACACTCAGTCTGAGTCGTCCAGTTCAAGGATTTCTAGCAGAGGCTTAGAGTCCCCTAAAGGGCCCTCGGGAATTTGCTCCAACGCACCAGAAACACTCGCTAGACCCCAAATCGCCATCCGCTAAAGGACCCTTTAGGTCCGCTAATGAGTCGAGTCGGCGCCACCTGTGCAAATTCAGTGCAGAGTACATGCAGGCGCCAGTTGTGCCCTGAGTGCTTCGTACCCCACGGAGTACCTGCCAGGCCAGTGCTTATTTGGCTTCGATAGCACCCGCACGCCGCCTAAAGTTCCAACCGATCGATTTGTGGGGAAGAAGCCGCAAGCGCAGCTGGTGGCCTCCAGTCTCGGAGACGTTGGACGTGTCTGGACCACAACAACCTAGCAGTCAATAGCACCAAACTTGAGAGATCATCCGTGTTCCGCTTTGGTGGTTGACTTCCTACGACTAAGAAGGAAACTCGGTATAGAGGCAATCAGCTTACATCGATGCCCAGGCCGAGGAGGAAGCAGCGGTGAGATGCACCCTGAAAGATATCTACCGAACACTGCGGCCTCCGTCTAAACCCATCTCGTACGATATCCAGATTTGTTGGCGGTTGGTGCGCCATAACAAGAATCAACGCTATTCTTCGTCGCCATGGGAGATGACATCGTCGGTCAGTCCAGGTCCATCGCTAGCCTCTGGTCACCAGATGGAGACGCAGATGCAGATCCTCAAGCTCGAAAGCAGAGCTTGGTCCGCCTCGTACGAGGTAACTATCTCAATGTGAATGAGTTTCGGCTGCTCAAGGAACTCTTGTCCACAGTTACCCTCCAAAGAGATATCATCACGAACCTCCCAATCGAACTCGTCATATTGGTCATCGATAAGCTCAATGCTCAAGACATCATGGCTTGTTTGATGGTTTCCCATGCATGGAATGCAACTCTCATGAGTGACAAGGTAGTTTTCAGCATGGCTGACCGGCTATTCCCACCGCTGACTTGGGAATCTCTTCATCACAGCTCTTCGAGCCGGGATTCTCAGAAGGCCTTGCGGCTCCAATTCGTAAATCACCTGCAGAAAAGGCTATTGCTACATGATCGTGTAGCCAGGTGGGACACCTATCGCGGATATGAGAGGACCTATCTCTGGGACACTGAGACCGAGTTCAAGCTAGCTGGACAGGATTACACCCGATTTCCACCTCCCAACCTCCCTTCCAATGAGAGGGCGGTATATGCCAATGGCCATATCGCATGGCAGCAGGAAACTCATACCCTTGTGCTTGACAATCTGCAGGACAAGTCAAGGAAAATACTTGCATTTCCTGGCGCCAGACTCTTGGGCCCAGAGTTGAAGCTTGCAGCTCTCGGGAATCAACTTGTCGTTGCGACCATGGATCGACATGTCTTTGCTTGGAACATTCATACAAACGTCTGTGAACGGAAGACATTACCAAGCCTACCAGCGCAGTGTACCACATGCAGAACTCAGGTTGTCATCGTCACCGAAAAGGGCTTGTATGTGTGGACTATAGGCGGCTCCTTGATCGAAGTTGATCTGCCGGTGTATGAGATTGAATTCTTGGCCGTCAAACAGTTTTGCAAGGCATTTGTACATCCGCGGCTTGATAATGTCGTCTACGTGCGCCGGGTGTATAGGCATACATCGAGCACTCTACGTTTCGTGATAGACAAGTTTGTCCAACGCCAACACGTCAAAACCCTCAATTATGACGTGGATATAGGCTGGTTGACTAATGAGCGGATAGCCAGCTCCTATGAGGGAGTGATACCACTTTCTGAGCAGAACCATTACCACGAAGGTCGGTATCTACACGAATTCGACATGTTTCATGAATCTTTCCTGGTTCGGGAGATTCCGCACAACGGACGCCGCCACAACGAAACATTCATGTTCAATTTCGACGACAACTTTGCCGTTGAGCTGAGCGAAAAGAAGTATTGGGTATGGTGAGCCCACGGGCTTCTCTATCGGTCGTTCAGCGCAGCCATGCCTCACTCTAGATTCAGCCTGCGAATGAACATCTGGAGAACCCATTACCTTGTCAGGTTGCTACAGGGCTGTCAAATTTTGGTACCTTATGGGTCTTAGTTACCTCAGACACGGACGTCATATATGCCATTGAGCCTTGTAAGCCTTCATTCCTCCAAGGCGCACAACTCATCAGATTCCAATAAGCTTCGACTAGAAAGACATGAAGATCCCGAAACAACCGTTGGCGAACCTCGTATCATGACTGAGAGACAAGCCCCAGGGGGAAAAAACTTCTTTGTCGATGAAGAACACCTCCAAGGGGCGACATGGCCAAATCTGCACCGATGTCTTACTTTCGATGATACAAGCTTGCTTCATCTGAATGGACAACCAAGATTCCTTTCGTCTCAGTACAGATGCACGTTATAATTGCACATAAACAGTGGTGAGACCAGCCGCCCTGTCCAAGGTGTCTTTGTGCCGTGTAAGCGTCTTCACCGCTCACCACAACGTGGTTGACAATATTCCCGCGCTCTTTAGGCCGCGCGCGCGTTGGTGAAACTTGAACATTTCCAAAATCGTACCTGTCATTCAAAGCCACTATGCAGCCAACCGTTCCATTACCGAATCCTACCGGTCGTTTTCAATCTAGACAAGATGCGCTATACAACTTAAAAAAAAAATCCCGACCATTGCCAGAACCTCGAGTGTTTGTGATTCCCAGTGAGCTACTAATGCACAACTGCCACGGGAGGTGGGGGATGGGAAGCTGCAGGTGCATATGTGAATACGAAGCTTGGCAAATTGTCGATCTGTGTTGACTAGCCGAGCCTATAGTTGAGCGAGCCAAAGTCATATGGACACGCTTGCCTCCAAAACCCCAATTCGAGAGGGAAAAGCCCAACAACCACAAACCGCGGGCAGCTTTGTCCGCTGTGATGATACCCTGGATATATTCGGCCGGCATTCGTCTAGGAAGGTATCGACATCATGACCAGTAGCGCAGGCGCGCCGAAAAGGGTCTCGGGAGCACGCAGCGTTGCAATGACCAGTATCAATACGAGGGAGGTATGGGGGGTAAAGGAATTCTTTTGGCAGGGAAGCTCGCAGAGATCGCTTAAGGTTCGAATCATTTGGATCGATTTGGTCGATTTTTGCATCGCTCCTTGTTTGCTTTTCGGAACTTTTGCTTGTCGCAGTGTTGCAGTGCTGGTTTCTTGCAGAGACCAGATCGACAAAGAAAGGGATATTGGAGGTTCCTTTCTATATAAACGACATGAAGATCCGCGTTCAAAATGGAGTGAAGGGAGACGGAGTATCTCAAGAGACCATCAGACAGCAACCACTCTTTCTATAAAAGATCCCAATCAAGTCGTCCTCTCTTCCTCAGACAGGAATACTACACCACTATACACACATACACAGTACATTCGCTACTGACATTTATGCAATCTTGCCCACTTTGAAAATAAATCACTCCGCAACCATGCAATTCAAAGTCGCCGCACTCTTCACCGCCCTCTCCGCCTCGACGGCCCTGGCCGCGCCCGTCTCGGTCGCCGCCGCCGAGGAATGGACGCTCCAGGGCGTGACGCGAACCTGCGACGCCGCCGACACGACGTGCGCGTGGTCCTTTAGCATCTCGACGGGCGCGGCCAACACCACGGCGGTGCCGTGCCCGTACGTGGTCAACGCGACGGCCTCGGCGCCCGCCTCGCAGGCCAACGGCGGCCCCACGGCCTGTGGCGCCTTCACCGTGCTCAGCGGCTGGAGCGGCCAGTTTGGCGAGGGCGAGGGCTTCACCACGCTGAGCATTGTGGATTATCCCAATAAGCTCATTGCCTATCCGGCCTACAAGGACACGGAACTCGCCGACGGCGCGACTGTTTCCCCGGATAGAAGCTACCCGGTTCAGAGCCTACCTTGAGGAGGAGGAGGAGGAGGAGGAGGAGAGGGATGAGTAGGTGTAGAGATGGTCGTTTTGATTGAGGCAAACCCCCTGATAATGAGATGAGATCATGTTGAGGCGGGATTATTGGGTCATGGCATGAGGGTTCCAGGCAAAAAGTAACCAGTCTATCTGTTAATTTTTGCATTTGGAAAAGGAAAAAAGAAAAAAGAGACAATGAAAGTCAAAAGCGACGTTGGGAAGGAGTCAAGCTTGTCAGCTTCGTAAATAGTAATGCAATCATGATTTACTCGCTTCTAAAACTCCGAGATCATTAACTTTGTATGTCTTAGTCTACTAGCCATGACCAGTACGCAACCAAGCAACTTTTTTTCCTCCCTCTTCTCAAATAAAGAAAAGTGTTCATCCTTTCTGCTTAATCTCGTCTGAATCTCGTCTGAATCTCGTCTGAATCTCGTCTTTCACCTCTGGGTACTGGAAACCGGTCATGAGCTGGTAGTACTACATCAAGGGTACTGAATCCATGCAGCATCAGGACTTCCAAATGGGTCAGGACTCTGGGAGGTAGATAGGCGTTGCTGCGCCTGGCTATCCACAGTCCGCTCGCACCAATCAATAAAGTGGCTCAGTCTCGCAGCGTCGGCGCTCATGTTGGCAGTACTAAAGATACCAACGGGCCATTGCGAGCGGACCTCTTGCACCATCAGCGCCAATCGGGGCCCCGTCTCTTCATCAATGACATCAACCACCTCACGCAACAGACGCACCTCGTGTAGGCTTGGCAAGGAGCTCCTGAAAAAGAAGAAGACAACCTCGGAGAGGAAGTGGTTAGCACCTTGCTCCCATAAAAGTTTTGCACAGAGCATAATGGTTGAAAGTGCCGCGTCCACGTGCGAAGTGTTTTGTGCCAATATCATCTGCTTATAGTCTCGGAGCGAATTCCAAGCCAATAGAGAGACAAAATAGGGCATTGCCGGATCGTATGCCTCAAAACCATGACGCGAATAGTGTAGACGAACCAGTGTCTCCAGTGCCATTTTGGACTGTATTACGATATTTCCGGGACGCGGCAATTCCTCAATGGCAAATATCTGAGAGACGTGTTCAAATGGCTCGAAAAGCCGTATCAAGAGCACATGCATATGCATACTGTCGCTGCGTCAGCTGCGTACTAGCGATTTAATAAGGTATCCAAAAGGCAACAAATTGTGTGTGTGTATACCTTAATAGACGCTTATATTGGATATTGCGAGTTTACTCACTGGAGCTTCAAGTGACTTGGCAAAGCAATATTCCGAGCCTTGAGGCATTGTGGAAGGCTGGAATACCAGCCCTCGATACTCCTCCAGTAATGCAGGAGTCTCACGGGCAGCAAACGATCACCTTCGCTCATCGAGACCTCCAGTGAGGCAGCATTCAAGATTGTACGAAACCCTGACATTGCCTTGAATACATGGCCGTGGTTTATGTCGACTTTTTGCTTAGCACCAGGATATCGGACATGCACTTCACCAAAGAAACTTGGGTCATGTTCCGCATCGGGAAGGTGGTGCAAGGGGGGCTCGAGAAGGGGTGGGGATCGAAACATGTGGAAGCTGTGCCAACTACTGGTCGTTAGCTCTCAAGTTTGGGGGTGAGAGGTTTGCAACAAGAGACATACGCCTGCATATTGAAGACACTCCAGGACGTGATGGCAGCGGCTTTCTGCCATTTTGGGTCCGACTCGGGAGACGGGGTGAATAAATTGAGTTGTCGCGCCATGTTGATGGCATTACCCAGGAGAGACCAACTCAACTCATCAAGCCCATTTGTGCACAAAGTCAAGTTCATGATGCTTGTGGCTTGGATAGTTGTGATCTTTGATGTCGTCTGTTCCCGTTCCAACAATCGTCGGGCCTCTGCCAAGAAGCGATAGCCCAGGTTATCAGGTCGCCAGTATTCTGATCGTTTCTGGAATCCTTGGTGGCCGTGCTTCGATTAATCAGTCAGTTATCGATTTTGCTTATTTTGAGACTGAGTACCAGAGATCACATACCCAAGCTGCAGCCAAGACAGCATTAACCAGCAGTGGACTGCAAAACCTCTGCTTTCCACTCAACATGTCATCGAGGAAAAGGTCCTTGTGGAAAACCGAGTGAAAGGGGTATTCGAAGATGAAATCTACAAAAGTTATGAATCAGCTCCAACTCTCACAGTATACTTGTACGATTACGAAATGGTAAACTCGAGCCTGACTTGCGCTGGAGGTTATGGGAACAGTGTGTGCGCGACGATGAGAGATTGGGAAAAGCGCCTCAAACACTTACATATCTCAAACAATGACAAAAGTAAAGAGTTGCTGGCTGGTACGGCCGTCCATTTGGTAATGTCAATGGAGGCAAGCCTTGCGTCATGTAACTCAACTGCATGATAGGGCACCATGTATATCGTTTGTCCAGGCGGCACCAGGGCTGTCTCTTCGGAAGCTTCATCTTGTGGGTTGTATTCCTGGGTTTTCTCGTACAGGATGGAGGATAGATATGGATTTGGCCAAGAACCATTTCGAAGAACAAAGGGCATGTCCTTTTTGTAAGGGAATGTGTATCGGAGCCGGATCTCTGGGCGTGGGGCCAGTTGCGGTAGGGAGCCTATGCCCTGTAAAGCCGTCATGATGGTTTCTATTTCAGTGCCGGCACGAATCTGTCCAAGCAATGCAACGGCCTCGTCCTCTTGTTTGCCCTTGAGTAGGTGGAATAATGCTTCGTATGTGTCGCATCTTGACTGCAGGGTGGTCATCCGCCGTTTCTGGGCTATCAAGTGGGTTTCCGTAGGTAATGTTTTATACTCGCACAGAGTATTTCTCTCAACGCAGATGCTGCATCGAGGTCGCTCGGCACTGCACTACTCGACAGTGAGTCAATATACGCCCGTTTTCTTGCTCACAAACAAACTCGGCGACGGACCTTGGATTTGCGCTTTCGGCACGCTTCACATGCTGCCTTTGTTGGGATTCTCTTAGAAGATCGCTGTTGACCACTCCCTGATGAATCTGTGCTGAAGGTCCCATGTGATCCACTGCTAGCCCTTGCGGGAAGCAACGGTCGCAACGGTTGTGACATCCGAGTTTTGCCGGGCCGAAGAAACCTAGAAGTTTCTATAACGGACACCGGGGAGTAAAGTTGTGCATGGAATGCGATATGGTTTGTATTGGAGGGTGAGTCAGCTCAGGACTTCTGAGAGCAGGCCTCAGTCCCAAGCGACTTTATGATTTCGGGCAGACCCCGGAGCTCGGTAGGTCCTACCTTGGATTTCAGACCGAGGACTCTGGCAGTCAGTTGTTCTCAGTTGTACCTGCTTGTGTGCATGAAATTGGGAAGTGAGCGGCTCATGAGCTGGCGTTTTCTGTATTGTGTCAGCTCCTCTCCGCGGTCTGGGCGAGATCTCGAATCGCAGACATCGAAACCTAGAGGGGGTTTGCGTACAGCATAGTCGATTGTGGGGGAAAGTGTCAGTTCTGGCGTAAAACTTCCCAAGTTGCGCTTTGCCTTGATATTGTTCAGGCCGACATCAAGAAGAGGCGCAACTGCAACAGCAGTGACGACGTAGAGCAAATGTTCTGCTATGTATACCACTTCCCTCACGTTGACGCACGAGTCAATACATGAGGACTAGGTAGGTAGCCAGTTGACCATTATCTGTCTTGACCAAGCACTCCCCTTGTCCATGTGCTAGCTAGAAGTTTGGCGGTGCTGACCAATGACGGGGAGTATCGAGGAATGCTCAACAGAAATTTATATTCTCGAGAGGTATGAGTCCGACTACTGCTGTGGAATCAAGCGACGCTGCAAGAAAGAAATAAAAGGGCCAATCTGAAGGAATCAAGTCGAGCAGTAGCGAGAAGAAGAAAGATGGATCATCGTGTGCGTGTGTGTGCGTGTAGGTGTGAGTTGTGTGAGTGTGTGTCTGCTAGACGGTACCGGCGAATGGGGTGTATGCAAGCGCTTCTAAGTTGGCTGGCGTCCCCCGGGGCCCGTCCGGCCCATTTTCCACCAGATTTACATTTACTTGCCTACAGTTGGTGGACCCTGAAGATGAAACCGGAATACCATTGGGTACGGAGACGGCTCCGTGGCCGGTAACATTGGAGGAGGCGGCGCACAGCGCGGAATTCAGACATTGTTGGGAAAAGGGATGTACCTGGCCCATCTGAACTCGGACATGCGCTTGCTTGCCTGTTGTTCAGCCTAGCTGTCCGTCCGAGACGCAGACAGATGCACATCCATGGCATCTGCCATTGAGCCTCCGGGATGCGGGCGCGACCAGGGCGGCCGTTATAGAGGATAGAAAGGAGCCAATGAAAAAACAACATGCCCGCCGGCACTCGGGCAATGGGTGGGAAAGTAGAGACGACAGATGCAACTGGAAGTGGCCTATAGTGGATGTGCTTTGGTTGCACCCCGTGTATTCGGAGGGGGGGGGGGTCAATTATGTTATGTGCCAAGATCCATTCTGCGGTCATTTTAATGTACCTAAGGCAAGCTAGGTACCAACCATAGGACGATTGACCTCGACCGCTACTTAGTGTCATGTAGGAACTTGTGCATCCACGATGGGATTATTTCTCTCTTTCTCTTTCTCTCTCTCTCTCTTTCATTTAATCATTTTTACAGATTCATTCATTCTTTCTTTTGATACCTTCTTTTATATTATGATGATTACTAATCAATCTTTACACACTCCTCCAGTGGAGCATGTTCATAAAATGCTGAATTGGTAACAGCCTAGACACACCCGTGACGGGAACAAACAGCAAGCACAAAGCCTATTGAGGTCCAGAGGGGGGCGACACTGGTACCCCCGTACAGAGCATGAGGGCTCGATCATGTGACTTTTTGATGATCTAGACTCGACGGAGCAGAGAGCATGCACCAGCACATGAATACCGTGCTGCGTAGGTATATTATGTAGACTACTCCGGGCCTTTGTGGGGTCATGCAACTCACTGCGTTTGATGGGCTCTGGATTCCGCGGCTGGATCCAGAGGTTCGTTCGCCCGCGCCAACGCGGTCCGTCTTGGGAGTCGGGACCTGGATCTTTACTTTTGGGGCTGGGTCTAGAAGACTTCGTGTCACTCATCAATGAGTGCCTAGAAGCAAAAGCCTGCCCGGTCTGTGGCAAACTTTTATACATGAGAAAAGGAGGATTGGAAAGAAAAGGCTACTTGGTGGAAGAGAGGGAGAGAAGAAAAAAAATCCAAAGAGAATCCACCGGCAAGGCCAAAGACAGAAGGAGAAGAAGAGAGAAGAACATGTCGCAAATGACAAAGATGAATGATTGGCGAGAACAAGCCGTGTCGGGGTTAGCGGGACCGTCGACGTGCATCATTTTCTAACACTACACTCACTACCCTTCCCTCCCTCTCCCTGTCCTGGGTACGGTACATTACATTAGTTCTACCTACCTTACCTACCACCTGGGTTCGGGGTGAGTTGGTCTGATCTTTTCTTGGAATGAGGGGGGCTGTTCCCCCATGTCGGACAGTTTCCAGACTGCTGGTTTTCTCCCACCTGACACACACGCTGGATACCGTTGTAGTACGTAGTATCCCGTAGTCGATCATCGGGGCCTCCTTATTCTTCTTCATATTTTGCTTCTTGTTTGCTCTGCAACTCTGCGGCTGCTTGTCTCACCATGCCAACGACTGCTGTGCGCGACAATGATGATTGTTTTCCAAACTGAGTACCACGGCCTTATTTCCGCTCTTGAGGTTTAATCTAGGTCATGGCTATCCAACTAGTAGTTAGATTCAGGGACCAAGAGAACTGACCTAACCAGACACGGGGTATTTTTTTTTTCTTACTTTGCGATGTGTGAACAGCCAAATGACCAGCGCCGGAGGCTGTCCGGGTCCTCCTTAGCGTGCTGATTGGTCACAAGACCGATAGCTCGAGTCTCTGGCGTCGACGATGGCTTCAAACAGTTCTAGACTATGCATTATTTCTGCAACGTTCTTGTCTCTAGATATCACTTTCTTTCTTTCTTTTTCTTTTTTCCTTTCTTGAGATGTAGTATTCGGTCTTTCTCTGCATTGTTGCCTAGGCACACCTTGTAATTCTAGCATACACGAGACTCCTGACACATCGCTGCTTACTCAATATCTTACACATTCACCCGAGACCAAGACGCCAGCGCCGATCATAGGAACTAGACAGCTTTCACAGTCAAGATCAACGGTACTGACACATGGCAGTTCTATACAAGCTTTATTTTTGAGACAGTAAGTGCGTTAGATGTGGTAAAACCACCTAAATCTGACCAGCTTGCAACATCAGACACAAGACATGACATTAGTCTTTCATTTTCCAAGTTCATCCAACCCAACTGTTTGATGATAGCTTTGACTTTCATTTGCAAGCCGCGGATAACCGACAAATAAGAGAGAGAATCATGAATATGGACCTGTCAAATCACTTCATCAAAAGCATTTTACAGCATGCTCGTTGGTCATGTCCAACACCCAAGCTGGTCTCAATATCATTAATAATAGGAGAACTACGAAATAAGATCAGAAGTATTTTCAATGATCGCCCAAAAAAACCTGCCCTCTGATCCCAGATCGTCAATCCAGGCACGCGCGCGTTTATATTTCAGGTTAGAAAGATCGCAGACCTGCAGCGCAAATTGTAGAAAGCACCGAAAGGAATTGTTCAAGCAGAGCATCAGCATTCCGGACCCTTCCCTCCGTTGCAGCTCTTTCGAAGCGCCGTGAAAGCCCCCCAAAGCCCTCAAGATGTTCGATCCACTTGCCCCTGCGTTGTTCCGCTTTCCCCTCTCTCCAGGGTAGACCGCAGTTGGGATACCGCCCTTCGGTCGGCTGACTCAACAGGACTCCGTCTCTGAGGGGGCAGGTTTGACAGCCTGATAACGCCCTGGTTACCCTCTTGATTGGCCCGACCGGCCGCAGGGAACAATACGAAACAGGTTTTCACCCCCCTAGTATAAGCAAGCCATATGCAAGTTCTTTTGAAACCTGGGTGACTGAACCCTTTCCCTACGATGAGATCGATCGCATGGGGATATTCACGGCAGACACGGAGGATCGCCCGTCATTAGGCCCACCGTGCTAGATCTGAAGTTCAACTTGTCGGATCGCCTTCCCGATTCCTCCTGTACAAGGGCCCGAGAAGCTCTGGCAGACACTGTTGTCACCCAGCCGAGCCAGCCGAGCCCGTTTTCAGAATGTAGGCATAAAACAACAACAACAACATCGGGTTGGTAGCTGTAATGGCTGGCAAGGCCCGTGCAGGCTTGACGACGAACCACTCAACGTCTACAATCACATTGAAGCTCATCTTAGTAGGCCGCATTGAACAACACTTTTTGAACTGCTTTTGCCACTTTCAGGTCCACAAACTCCACGATATTCAATGTCCTTGTGCTGCCCAGGACGGCACGGCTGCATAGCCAACGTACGTATGTGATAATCAAGTTGGCAATCTCTCTCGTGACAAATACACCCTTGAATGAGTATATGCACGCTGATTTGACATTGAAACAAATAAAAAGCAAATCTGAGTGGGCAATGTTTCTGTTGCGCTGACGATCTTCTCTTTTTGGCTTCCCACCCCACTCAAAAACTTCGATTTTGCTACTCAAGACTCGAGTTAGACCGAAAACGAGAAATTCCGAGAAATGGAACGAGTTGAGCAGTCGGCCCCTGCAAAATTGATAGACGACGAATATTCCGATGGAGTAATCCGCTGGGGCAGTCTAATATCGACCAATAGAACAGAAGAAGGCAATAACGGGAATTACCCAGCTAAAATCGATATATTGCTTGTTTGGCCAACCATCTACTAGAACAAGTATAAATATAACGACCCGAGAAAAAGAAAGAGGGGTTGGGAAAATACCTTGTCCAATGTATTAACACAGCCTGGTGATGGTATCTGGACTATACCCTCTTGGACAGGGGACAGAAGTGTGGGCTCTAGAATGCTCCCCCTCAGCCAATGACACCAAAGACCGAGCAGCACTCAAGAATTCATAAAGTGTACGTAGTCTGCCTAGTGTAGTACATAATCGTGGCTCGAATCTTGCTTACGTGCGTTGTTCCGCTGCCCGCTTCCCTTGACCGCTGAATTGATCGTCATGTTTGTTTGTCACCTGCATAAGGAAGAGAATGAAAAAAAAAAAAAAAAAAAAAACTCCTCTACGTGGCTCTTCTGCATGTCATACGAAGGCCTCTGATTTGTCCAGGAGAAAAGCAAAATCAAGGCTGCGCCCTGCCATTTTTGGCATGGTGATATTCCAGGAGAACCCCATTGTCTGTATGAACTCATTGTGCCAAGCCTTGTCATGTACGTTTGCTCTCCTCCTTGACAGAGGTACGATGACCGTATCTTGAGCGATCAGGAAAAAATATCGATCAACACTGTTCTGATCGATATCAAATATATAGACTGTCGAGCTGTATCGGGGCCGTTGCATAGTCAGGAGAAGTCATCGTGCAGAAGGGATTGGCCACATATAGTAGTAGGAGTGAACTTGGCTCTCCTACCAATACATGATGCTGCGGGCAGACATTTGTTCAAGGTTAATTTCACGGCCAGAGAAGCATGTAATGTGATCAATTTTGAATGTTTCAATCTTGGTCGATCGAAACGGATGGAGGGCAACAGGCTGGTCATAGAACCACCCAAAAAAGAGAGGCGCTCGAAAGTTACCCAACGTACTCAGAGTAGCGGAGTTGCCGCGGGTCCCATACACGTCAGCGCGACAGGCAAATGTCAGACAGATTTGAAGATTCTCGTCTATTCTGGGGTTGTCAATGTCGACCATTGAAAGCATGAGTCCAATTATGTTGGTATCATACCACAAAGATACATTTCAGAGCGGAGACTAGGCCGAACGCCAAAGTGGGAAATCAGTACCAGCACAAGCCATGCCATATCCACTTCTCAGTGTATCGAATTGACAAATCAAAAGTTGTGCTTTGTGTATAGTGCCAGCCTCGTTCGCATATTGTGTTCAACAACTATCTAATCACCTTTTTTTTGGTAACATTTGAAGCCATTTTCTTTTCCGTCTTTCCATTTTACCCGTTCTTGATCTTTTGCCTGAAGCTTGATACTGATGGCATTGGGGGGTTAATGCATCATGAGGATCTCTGCTGGCCATAGCCACTACTGTAATGACGCTGCTGGCCGGATTGGTCCGCTTGGGCGTTGTGAGTCTGGGCTGCCCTCGCGTTCCGCATGGCAGCAGCTTTGGCGCGGGCTGCAAAACCGTCGTCCTTGCCACCTTTCTTCTATCCTAGTGTCAGTCCCGCAGAGCTAGAGAAGAATGAGGTGCCAGGGCAATAATACCTGATTGGCTTGGATCCGAGCAGCGGCCTCAGCAGTCATCTGGGTTTTTGTTCGAGCCATGGCGGTGACTTGACCCGTGAACAGTTGGGGACTAAGGTAAAGTATTCGAAGGATAATATGAATGTTGTTGTAGGATGTACGAGGTCTGAAAGGTCGTGTCGTCTAGGTCTTTTCTCGCTTATTGATACCCTGAAGACCTTCAGTCGCAAGCTATGATGGCATCAAAAGTTAATATTGAGTTGCTCCATGTTCGAGATGAACACGCATCAAGGCCGATTTTATCTACTGAAATGATAGTGGCCTTGGAAATTCTGCTGAAGTCATTGTTCCTCTCCAGAGCAGTTTCGCATTATGTCTAGGTCAGACCATGGAAATGCAAACTTCCGAGAATGATGGCCACTTGTCTGCACCTTGATTCAGCCCCAAATCAATCTTTCCCAGGCAAAAAAGAAGGAGAATGAAGCGGAAACCAGCCGGCTGGCCAGTGAATTTCTCCATCATGTATTGATGCCCTATCTCTCTCATATAGATTCTTCTCGACAGGCTCAGAAGGAACTTTTCATGGTCGCACGGGAGAAAACCTGCAGACTCGCAACCCCCCGGCGCCGTTGGAAAGTGTCACGGTGGCACAGTGGCTGTGGAAGCCGGCATTTAGATCATTAATCTTGCTGTACTACGCATGTACTCACCCGATGCTCGGGTTATTGCTGCCCTACGAGAGAGTCGGGATCTCCAAGATCCCTGATGGCCTGAATGTCCCTGACAGCTCAGCATGTTGAACTTGAGACATTTATCGGTCTGCCGTTCGGGTGCAACAATAACAAGACTTTTGATTTCCAAAAAGTAGTCAATCATATGTTGTAAGCTCTTCTTTAGCAACCATATGAGAGGAATTGAATAAATCTCGTCAACCTGGGTTTCACATACGTGAAGCGGGTTATCTAATCCTATCTCTTTGGAACACAGTCTTTGTGCTAGTATCTACTCTCGAGTAATACAGCGTATTGGGTCTGTTTGAAGAGTCAAATTGCAAATCTTAAAACAATTTACATGCTGTAGGTATAACTTTGATGGAAACCCCCCGACTGGTCGTTAAAAAATTGCAACATAGTACAAAGATTCGCATGATGACAAAATCACATGCCGTCCAACTATATTTATAATTCTAGATCTTTGTCTTTACCAACGATATGACATAACCAATTTGCGCGTCCTCTACTGATGTTTATTCGTCATACATTTGACTTTCTTGGCATACAACGTCTCAAAACAAGCTGGGCCAAGAAAAAGACCAGATCTACAATCGCGGATTTCTATGAAAAAACCCTTCCTTGGAGGTCTTCTTGCCACTGATGTACATCCACGTAGCAAGTAGACAAAGTTCTGAGGAGAATAATTTGGCTGATGCTGTGTCATTTGTACAACTTGATGATGCTCGAAACTGTGACTTCAAGTGCATTCTATGACGACGTTTCGGAGTAGTACAACAGTGTAATACATTGGAACCACTGCATGTACTCCTTGGTCACGAATTACCAAGCAAGTTCTTTATTCATAGATACAGGCACAGTTCTGTTATGGAACGTATTCACGTACTTCCAGAGAACAAGACCAGTTTGGCTGCTCGTCCAAGTTCTCACTCAAAAGCAAGGCAGTTGTTTACAAGACACGTAAATGGATTCAAAACTGGTACGTCACCAAAGCTCATGTGAAGAACTCTACCTAGAACGATGTGGATATTGAGACCGACATATCATCCATCTCTGGTTGAGTCGTCGACGACCAAGAAATAACTCTCGTTGGCGACCCAGATGCTGGATTTTACTTCATAATGCCCTACAAGAGACTATCATAACAAGCAATTGGGTGAGATGGCCGAGCGGTCTAAGGCGCTACGTTCAGGTTCTCCTGAGTTCAAAATCGTAGTCAAGAAATTGGCGTGGGTTCGAATCCCACTCTCATCAACAACTATTCTTTTGTCTTTCCAGACAATATTTTTACTTTCATAGATTTGAGATAGGTGGGTGGGTCCGGCAAAAAATCACAGGTGTGGAGCCAAGTTTTTTTTTCCCTCTCGCTCCTACGGAATATTTCTATCTTTTCTACGGTGCATATAGCAGTCTTTCCCAAGGCGAGCACTAAAAAGAAATATCACAGTAATAATCAACAAAAGAATAATCTCCGACACGGGGAATCGAACCCCGGGCATGACGGATCAAGATGAGAGCGTCATATGTTAGCCACTACACCATATCGGATCGTGTTGTGTTATTGTTTGTTGAAGAAAAAGCTCCGTATTCTGCCCTATATCTCGTAGCCTATGCGCTTGTCGAGTCAGGCTCCACTGCCACTTCAATCGTGGACCCGAAAGGGTGCCAGGGTGCGGGATATAATAAGGTTCATCAATAAGAGCGTCGAAGGGAAGGAGTGTGAGTAAAACGATAAGACGATGAGCAGTCCTAAAGTGCGGAAGTCATACGACTGGGATGTATGTGTTCCGTGCTTAGTGGTGTTGGTGGTTGTTGCAATTGTTTCAAAAGTATGCCATGGAACGAAGAGGTGTCTTGCCAGGTATGTAGAATATGTGCACGGTGCAACTTGAGAGACGTTCTAGAATGAGTATAAACTGGAGGTTCGGTACCTATCTCGACTATTGATTCTCAGTGTACCGACGCTTGCCGAGTATGCCTGTCTGCAAATAGCAATCCAGGTAGTATAGCTTGTGGTATGTTTCCGCATTCAGAGCTTGCGACTGTGTACTATCCACCTAGGAGCCGTTGGGAGTTGTGAGATTGAGTGAATGTAGGTCGGGGCCTCATGGACGTAGTCTGTACGTATTCTGTATATGATGACCAACACGCAGGTACTGATTGGCATCTAGTTTAGCCTGGCTGTCTTTCTAGATCATTAAGCACTGCCGCAAAAAGGAGATGTCCGGCCGAATTGGTCCTTGTAATAAATGATCCAGAAAGAGCCGAGGCCGCTGGATGCCCCATGGACAACTCATCTGTTACCCCTAGTAGTGGGCTGTCGGCAAGATCAGAGATCCCTGCCAGGTACCTCGAATTAGCGCTTGGGGCTGCCGGAGCTGGTCGCATTCTCGCCATTCCGAGAAGACGTTGGACTTGAAGCAGAACAGAACTGCCCAAAACTTTGGTTTCTCATTCTCACTTTCTCGAGATTTTTACAATTGCCCCTTTTACAATTTCTCGATCTCGTCCGAGATTCTGCAGCACCCTATTCGAGATATAGGTGTCAGAAAACGCGGGCGTATAGCAAGGGTTCAGAAAGAAAGAAAAATGTTTAAAAGACGTGTCTGTCAGGTAGCGTTACCGCGACATCGGCCCCAGGCCACGACGTCTCGTCTTCCGCAACGCTTCTTCACCACTCGAGCGGGTAATTCGGCGTCGCAATGGACTTCTCGTGCTTCGTGGGCCGCTGCCGCCGCTGCTGTTCTATCGGTATCAGCGGCAGTATACGGAATGGTATGCTCTGCTGCGTGTCCGGAATAACTAGTCGTACATGCAACACCAGCTGACAGCCGTAATCAGACACAGCAGAGCCCCCTCAAGCTCGATAGTCGCTCCCTTGCCGAACTCGATGAGCGTACCAAGCGCGAAGATGGCGTCAACGACAATTCGCCCATGCGTCTCAGAATGGAGGAGCTCATCCGCCAGAAGCAGGAGGAGATTGTCTATGCACTGGAACAGATTGATGGCACACGGTTCCGCAAGGACACCTGGCAGAGGCCGCATGGTGGCGGCGGTCTGTCCATGGTGCTTCAGGATGGAAATGTATTCGAAAAGGCCGGAGTCAACATTAGTGTGGTGTATGGTACCCTGACCAAGGCATCAATTGAGAAGATGAGGGCCAACCATAGCAACATTGCTACGGATGTCGACGAGCTGCCCTTTTACGCCCTTGGACTGAGCCTGGTGCTACACCCTCACAACCCCATGGCACCCACCGTCCACTTCAACTGTCGGTACTTTGAGACGATGAAGGCCGACGGAACGCCACAGGCCTGGTGGTTTGGAGGAGGTAGTGATTTGACTCCCAGCTACCTGTACGACGAGGACGCAGTTCACTTCCACAAGACGCTGAAGGAGGCATGCGACAAGCATAACAAGGACTATTACCCTCGCTTCAAGAAATGGTGCGATGATTACTTCTTCAACACCCACCGAGGCGAGAGGAGAGGTATTGGCGGCATCTTTTATGATGATCTCGATGACAAGGACACGGACATTGAGAATGCATTTGCATTCACCAAGGATGTCGTCAGCAGCTTCTTGCCATCTTACATCCCCATCCTCGAGAAGCGAAAAGACCTACCCTTTACCGAGAAGGAAAAGGACTGGCAGCAGATTCGCCGTGGACGCTATGTCGAATTCAACTTGGTCCACGACAGAGGTACCGCATTTGGCCTGACCACTCCCGGGTCGAGGACTGAGAGTATTTTGATCAGTCTTCCCCGAACGGCCCAGTGGAGGTACATGCATGAGCCCGAGCCAAACACTCGCGAGTCACGAATTCTCGAAGTGCTCAGAAACCCCAAGGACTGGGTCTAAAGAGTGGTCTCGAGATTCCACTTTCGGCTGTGTCAAATAACATGTAAAACAAAAGGCGCAATGGACAAAAAAAAAAAAGAAACAGAAGATCTTGTGAATAGAAAGAACTGGAAACTAGTTGTATATATTTTTTCAAAAAAGCGACAAGTAGAGGCATTGGCGCATGGCAGGCGCCAAGGACAGTGGATGGATGTTGGATGTTTCCTGGCCTTTGGAAATATGGCGGCAAGAATATAGAGGAAATCGCATTGGGTTTCAGATACCAGACAGACACAGCACCAAGCAGACTCGGCGCGTTCTTTCCAGTTGACTCAATGGGCATACGTCCATGATGAATATGAAAGATTCATGTAGTCCAAGCTGAAACAGTATCCTGTACACCGCGACAAGCAAGATTTGCGAGTTACCAACCTAGAAACCTCTGGATCTCATCATCATATTTTGTGCATCATTTCTGGTACATAGGCTGGGGATGGCTCGCAAGGCTTCAGCAGCAATACCAAGGAACCACCACACTGGCAAAGGCTAGCAACCGCCGACAGTCACAGATGCAACCATCGGGAAGCCAGCCATTAGAGAAATAGACGTCAACAACCAAGAGAACATTCAGTTTTACATTGAGGAGAAGAGAATTCAGAAGGCTTGGTTCGACTGCAAGATTTCGTTATTTTTTGCTTCCGTCCTTTGCTCACTCGGTAACATTGTACTGTAAGTCGATGGCCTGTCGTCAATATCGGCCACCAACTTTTGTCTGTAAGTTCACCTGCTGATTCAGCATTCATGCATGTTAAAGTAAGATATCCGGGCTGGAACAATACCGAGTTCAGTGGGACATTTTTGTTGTCCACTGTCAGTTGCTTGCCGCGGTCATCATACTTGACTTCGATCTTCGGTTCGCCGCTAAGGTGTTTCGCTGGATCCTGTCGGACGACTGCCAACCCCAAGACATTCCATCCGGCTCCAACACTCCCAGATCACGGTCACCATCGCCGCATCGTCCCAACGGCGACAGCGATACCAGGGGCAACACTCAAGGTGACACCAACAGTAAAACCAAAAGCGACATTAACGACCACACGAAAGAAAACGGCGATATCAAAGACAACGTTGGGCGGAAGGAGGGCAGTGGCATCAATATCAGCAAGGCAAAACCAAAAAAGAAGCAGAAGAAGAAGAATCGAAAGAGACGTTAACTTTGGTCATGATGGACAGTGGCGCAAGTACACTCCCGGCCCCTCGTGCCCTGCTGACCTCGCTCATCAACACACTCACTTCATTACCCATTCCAATCGGAGGTACCCAGCTGGCAAGGACAGCCTCAAGAATTGCACACGCTCAAGATGCAACGAATCCGTTGGCTCTACTGCCACCCAACTCTAGGACATTAATCACGACATTACACGTCATCTACCCGTCCTTGTTGCTACCGGCTCTAGACTTGCTGGATCGCGGACTGGTGACTCGAGTGCTGGTGCTCGACAGCGAATCGGCTGCACACTCGCCTTTGACCTCGAGCTTAGACGAGGCCGAGCAAGCGCGCCGTGACGCCAGGGCTGGGTTATTCCACATCGTCCGCTCGGCCCAGCAACCGCGGCGCGGTCGCAGGCCGGCACTGGACGACGCCAGTCGCGGTCCGACGTACCTTGTCTGCACGCAAGCCTGGAGTTGCGACTGCGCGGCCTTTGCGTTCGGTGCCTTCCCCGCGGGTGAAAAGGACCGTGCGGCGACGGCGGGATACCAGATCCGGCCTGCCGAGGACAACCGGTACGCGAGCCGGCCGCAGCGTGAGGCAGTACATCCATTGCGTGGAGGTGCGCATGGCTGGGAATTTGGCGGTCTGAGTATGGACGGCCGGAGTGATGACGGCGGCGGCGGCGGCGTCGCATCCGGTGCGCCGCCCTGCTGCAAGCACCTGCTTGCCTGTGTGCTCGCCGAGCGATGGGGCAGCGTTCTCGGAGATTATGTACAGGAGCGGAAGGTCGGACGAGAGGAAGCGGCCGGGCTCATTGGCAGTCTGTGAATCTTGTTCTCTTGATTTCTTTTTCTCATTCTGTTTAGGAGATCATGCATGCAGCGTTGAATTTTAAAAAAATCCCTACATCAAAGACATGGCGTTTTTGGTTCATGGAAAAGTTTGGTTTGGTTTCCTCGTTGCATTTTACCCAGGGCATAGCAAGGTTTTACTATACATAGCGGTTGATAACTCAACAGAATTACCGAGCAAGAATCATGATCAGAACAAGGTCTTTAAAAAGAATAGTGATGAAAACGTGTCTAGCAGTCTCAATTTTTGGCAGCCCGAAATTACTCTCATTGTACATACAACGCCGCCAGGCGGAAACTCTATGATACATTCTTCTGATACATCCATTCATAGCGTCTTTGGGGGGTAGGTTTGGTTTTGTGATGGAGGTTGGCAGTAAAAGTGCTGCTCTCATGATGCAGCATTCCGCGGACCTATTGATCACACATGCTTTACTATCCATACAAAATAAAGAGATCTGTATCCCATTATACAAGATTCGGCGACTTTTCTTATTTGCCGGTCAGCTTGCTAAGGATGGAACTGCTGCTCTTCTTGTCGCTGTCGAAAATGTTGAGCAGGCTCTTCCAGACCTGGCCGGGCTCTTGGCTGGCGTCAATGCCCTTCCAGATGCCGGTGTTCTTGTAGTAGCCAACGACGGGGGTGGTCTGCGCGTGGTAGGTCGCGAGACGCTTCTTGAGGGCGTCGGCGTTGTCGTCGGATCGCTGGACGAGGGGCTCGCCCGTGATATCATCCTTCATGTCCACCTTGGGCGGGTTGAAGGTGCTGTGGTAGGAGCGGCCCGAGGCCGGGTGGATGAGACGGCCCGTGATACGGGCGACCAGCAGGGCGTCGTCAATCTGGAGCTCGACGGCGTGCTGCAGGGGAGACTTCTTCTCGGCCAACATCTTGTCGAGGGCCTCGGCCTGGGGGATCGTCCGGGGGAAACCGTCGAGGATGAAGCCGCCCTTGCACTCCTTGTTGGTCTCGAGCTCGCCCTTGATCATGCCAATGACAATGTCGTCGCTGACGAGGCCGCCGGCATCCATAATCTTCTTGGCCTCCTTACCGAGCGCAGTCTTCTTGGCGATCTGGGATCGGAGCATGTCACCAGTGGCCTAATTTTTTGTTGTTGGTTAGTGACCCGAGCCGTAGAAGGAGATTCCATGACAGAGGTTCTTGTATAGTAAGACGTACCAGATGGCAGCACGAGAACTTCTCCTTGATGTTGGGAGCCTGCGTTCCCTTGCCTAGATATTCAACGTTAGTACCGAGCCCATTGAAGATTGAGAAGACGTCCGAAAGAGCTCAATCGAGCCCGTAAAAGACACCCAAGGGCGCAAATCAGCTTACCGGCACCGGGAGGACCGATCAGGATCATGCGCACACCGTCGGTGGGCTTGACCTCGCCGGAGCGGCGCTCCTCGAGCTTCTCGACACGTTTCTCCAGGGCAGACACGACATCGTGCAGCCGCTGAACCTCGTTATCTATGACACCCATCTTTGCCGAATTTTCTTGGAGAGAGGTTTGAGAGAAAAAAGACCTGACCAAGGCAGACAAGAAGGAGAAGAAGGGAACCGGGAGTGGAGAGGAAAGAAGTTAGATATAGAGAAGCGCGCGACCTGAGGTGAAGGTGCTAGAGAATCGATGAGAAAACAAAAAACCGCAGCCAGCAGCAAGAAGCTTAATGGACTTCGTCGCGAGCTACCGAGCGCATTGGCGGCAGAACAACCGGGCCTAAGGGGACGCCCGCCCAAAGGGCAATTGACCGATATTAGTGGCTCTTACTGTCTTGAAAGACCCAGTCAGTCGCTGCAACTAAACCCGGCAGAGCTCGTGGGAGGGCCATTGGAGCTCGGCTAATTCTCCACAGGTGCTCCGTTGAGCCGCCGAATGATCAATTGGCTTTCCTTCCGCTTGTGACTATCTACTACGTCCATAGTATCTCTCTATCTGTGCTCTTTGCCTGTGAAAGTAGGTGATTTGCATTGCAAAGATAAGGTGGGATTGGGAAGTTGTGAGTCAAGTGCACCAGCTGCAATGCGACAATTTTTCACAAGAAATTTGGAATTTACAATCCTGTATCCGTTTTCAACTTGCTGAGATTCTTACTGTATACTACCTGACTAGCAACCTTGTCAGAACTTTTAGCAACAGTTGGGGGGCAACTGCACAGGGCACTTCAGATAGACAGCGGCCCCGTCAACCAGCAGCAAACCGGAATGCACCGGTAGGTCAGATCTACAAAACATGGCCTGTAGCATGACTACATTATTCCCGGGACTTCCGCTTCGGCTTCGCGCTTCGGAGAAGAAACATGCACATCCAGGAACGAAGGCATTCCGGAAAAGTTGGAAGGCCCGGGCATAGGACACTCCACTCACGGTACCTAGTATCGGCTAGACATTGTGTGCGCTTCCTATACCTCAAGTCTAGATAATAGAACTACAGAGGATGCACTCCAATTTTCATTTATGAAAGACAACATGGAAGTCCTTGAAAAAAGCCACCTACGACCTCCATTAGAATGCATTTGTATTTATTTTGCTCCGAGGCCTGAAGTTTACTTGATAATTGACGATGAGCTTGAAATGGAAGATAATGTGCACGAGCCACAATTTTACCCAATGCAAGAGACTGGACGTCGCATACTGTCTGCGTATTCACTGATGACTGAAGAAACGAGACCAAATCAACGAGGCTGGATCTGATGGGGCTGAACTAGGTACATACATAGAGGGCGTGGAGGTACGTACCTTCCAGTAGGCAAACTGATGAGCTAAGGCCCGCCGCGCCTGCAATTGGAAGCCTGCTGCAGCTCAAGGTAGTGAGCCAGTGAGCTACCTTACCTTGCCTTACCTCACATTGACCCTGCTACAAACCAAGCGCCTTACGCAACCACCAAGAGCCTCTTCCAGGCGAACTCAATAATTAGTCCCATCACCACCTAAACAACCTTCAACAGCTATCGTTTGTCCCTCGTTCGGCATAGAAACACCCTCATCCGCATCCCATCAGAAACAACAGCGGAGACCGTCAAGATGCCAGCCACCACCGCTGAGACGCTCGCGTTCGTCTCGAAACATGTCACCGTTGCGCCCCTCGTCCTGCTGTCCGTCGTCGACCACTACAACAGAGCTGCCAAGGGCACGAGGAAGCGAGTAGTTGGTGTCTTGTTGGGTCAGAACGATGGAAAGGATGTGAGGGTGTCGAACAGCTTCGCAGGTACGGATCATTATTGCCTTGCCCTTTCCCCTCGCCACGTCTTGAAGCAATGACTTTGGCCGCTGACATTGCTTGCACCCCCACCCACAGTGCCGTTTGAGGAGGACAACGACGATCCTTCAGTCTGGTTCCTAGATCACAACTATGTCGAGAACATGCGCGACATGTTCAAGAAGGTCAATGCCCGCGAGAAGTTAATAGGCTGGTACCACTCTGGACCCAAGCTTCGCGCCTCCGACCTTGAGATCAACGAGTTGTTCAAGCGCTACACACCGAACCCCCTGCTGGTCATTATTGACGTCCAGCCCAAGGAGTCTGGCGTGCCTACAGATGCATACTTTGCAGTGGAGGAGATCAAGGACGTAAGTATCTACAGATGTCCCCACAGAATCTCGTTTGATCACCATGCTCCCGTGTAATACTAACCCGGCAATAATACAGGACGGCACGGCCACCAGCAAGACCTTTGTACACACACCATCAACCATTGAAGCAGAGGAGGCAGAGGAGATTGGTGTCGAGCATTTGCTGAGAGACATCCGAGACGTGGCCATCGGCACCCTGTCCACCAGAATTACAAACCAACTTCAGTCACTGCAGGGTCTACACCTGCGGTTACGGGATATCCAAGCCTACCTACAGAAGGTCCAAGATGGCCAACTGCCCGTTAACCACGCCGTTTTGGGCAACCTCCAAGACATCTTCAACCTCTTGCCAAACTTGTCGACGCCTAAGCCTGGAAACGAGGGCAAGGGAGCTAACGCCAGCGAACTTTCGTATGCCATGAGCGTCAAAACCAATGATCAGCTTCTGGCCATTTATCTTAGCAGTCTGATCCGCGCCATCACTGCGTTCCACGACCTGATCGAGAACAAGATCCAGAACCGGCAACAGGCCGAAGAGAACGAGGCCAAGAAGGAGGAACTCGCAGCAGGCAAGGACGAAAAGGACAAGAAGGAGGGCGCTAATGGCGCGAATGGCGATTCAACGGAGAAGAGTGGCGACAAGGATAAGAAGAAATAGTCGATAACATGTGATGACACGGCGTTGGACGATCAATGATGCATTGGGGAACCCGCTGGCAACATTGTACAATACCCCGGCTTCGGTTAATGAATCGGGTTCAAGTCATCGTGCTCATGAAATCAATAGACTTGGCCACTCTAGACGCAAATACTGCTAGGGAAAGAATCCGCCCAAGAACGTGGTATAAAACATTCTCAGAATTCAACAATGTCCGATCCCATTTGCTTCTCTTCTCTCAAATCAGCTCTTTCAAGTTGACCGTTGTAGACTGCATCTCTACCCGCCACTTCACACACAGCCTCGGGGTTGAACCCGAGGGAAGAGGGCATACAATGAATGATAATCATGAGTAATGAGTAGTGTTTGCGAAAAACAATCAGTATCGATATTAAGAAATGCGTTATCTAGCAATTCTACAATTCATCCTTGATTCGTATTTATCTAGTATTCAGTTCAGGATATTAGTATATGTAATTATGCAGTTTTGATTGACTATATCGTCTTCCCGTAACCGTCACTGATCATGGATCATGAAAGGGATCTCATGCATGCCCGTCAACTCTTGGGTCGTGGCAAATTCGTCTTTCACCTTGCCACGGCGATGCGGGCTGTATTTGTATATCTCGTTATATCTAGCTGTATCGTAGGGACAGTAGGAAGGGTATAGAGTAAATGCTCGCTCCGGAGAAGTCATGAGGAAAACGGGAGGAACGCGTCGCTGATGCAATCTTTAATGCCGGGTAACATCCAAGCCCAACCCCCTAATGCACAAAATAACCCAAGGGCCCGGCAAGAGATGTATTTCCACCGCTCCAAGTCTCAATGCAAAAACGGTATATACTGAAAATGTGTAGGCATGGCAAGCCGGTCATACTTGGAGTTCCTATCTCCTCGGTGTAGCTACGTTTTGTTAGCATGAGATGGGTTGACTGATCTCGTAATTTAGCACTTACCATTGACCAATTGCCTCTGCTTGTTGAGCCAGCTCTTGGGTGCATCATTTCTTCTTTGAAGTACCACATGGTTACTTTGCAGACGACTCGTTAGGTCGTACCAGGCTGAGGATATCATAGCATTCTCCCGCTGGAGGTTCTTAATGATTTGATCCTTGGTTTTGTCTTCGCCCTCACCCGAGCCAGCCCGCAAGGCCTTGTTTGACTTTTCTAGCTCGCGCCGGCCTGCCTCTGATTTATCGTATTGCTCGCTCAGCTGCTTGTACTTGACGCGTAGTTTCTCGATCTTCTCCAGCGTCTTCGTGACATCTGGATTCACAGCTTGACCACCCTCGGCCGCCTTGCGAAGCTCTGCATTGGCGGCCTCGACTTCCTTGCGGAACATGTCCTTGTCGATCAACGCAGACACGAGGTGTTCTTGGCGTGAGTCAAAGTCATACTTCAAGTTGTCATGCTTCTTGCGCAAGGAGTCGAGCTCGGCTCGAAGTGAAAGAGCTAGCAGGCCGTCTGTGGTCTTTAGTTCTGAAAGAGCATCGTTGCCATCTTGAACAGCTTTGAGGTCGCCTTGAGCTTCGGTCAGAGCTCGCTCCTTGTCCTGAAGTTCGGTCTGAACGGCTTCCAGCTGACGCGTCAAATCTTTAACACGTGTCTCTTCAGCCAATGCGTGCTTCCGCAGGTTGGCGAGTGCTTCGTCCTCTTGCTTGGCTGTCAGAGCATCCAATGCAGCTCTTTCGATAATGTGCTTTTCAAAGAGTTCATTGTACTTTTCTTGCAATGCCTTGCGGGCGTCCTGTTCCTTCTCAATCTGCCGGAACAACTGGCCCTTGTCGCCCTCGCCACCCAAGCTGCTTTTGAGCAATGCGTTTTCGGTCTGCAGGCGAGCTATCTCGAGATCTTTCAAGGTGTGGTTCTCGCCCGAGTCATCTTCCAGTTCGTCCTCGAGAGAGCGGCTGTGCGTCCGTGCGGGGAATGGTGAGTCGGTTACGGCCGAAGGGTCCAAGAGCATCACCTTTTCTTGCAGCTCTCTTACCATCTCCTCATCATCCTTTGATTTTGTTTCCATGGTCTCCAGATGTCGCTGCAGCTTCTGATACTCCATGTTCCAGGCCATCTTTTGGGCATTGAATTCTGAGACTTGAATCTCGTATGCCTGCATATTCCTGGCTTGCTGGTCTCGTTCGGCCGACAGAGCGTTGACCTGCTTCTGGAAGCTCATAAGGTGCTCTTGGCTTTCGAAAAAGGCGTTTCTCTCCTCTCTCAGCTTCTTGACCTCATTCTCAAGACCCCTGAGCTTTTCCAACTTCTGCTTCAAATGCTCAGCAGCATTTGCCTTCTTTGCCAGGTCCTCATTCTCCTGCTTCAAGTCCTGATATTCCTGAGCCAGTGGTACGAGCTTGTTAAGCTCTGCTTCCAGCCGCACCTTGACTCTTTCGAGCTCCTCTTTGGCTCGGCGCGCATCATCCAGCTGCATCTCCAGGTTGTCGATAAGTCTGTTCTGCTCTTGCAGCTGCTTCTTCTTTTCGGCACCGTCTCCATATGCGCCCGACTCGAGGAGCTCTTGGAGCTTGTCTCTGTCCATGGTCACTCTGTCGTGGCGCTCGAGCAGTTCCTGGTGACTTTCTTGCAGCCGCTCGTGTACTGTGACAAGGTCGGCGTTGCGCTTCTTTAGTGATTCGATTTCGCGGTGCAATTTGCCCAATTCGGCCTCCAAGGCGAGTTCGTCCATGCCGGCGGGTTGAGCTGGTGCCGAACTGGGAGCTGGGGCAGTCTCAGCTGGCTCTCCATGGTCTCCATGGTCCCCTTGGTTGATCCTATTCTGAGATTGGTTCATGATTTGCATGAGCCTGGCCAACCTAGACTTGTCCTCGGACGTCTTCTGCATATCTTGGAGGATCTCTTGCGACACAAATTTATCGGGCAGGTTTACACTTATAACGAGGAATATGGATAGTATCTGACACATGCCCTCGTTATTGGGATTTCTGTCGAGCGCTTGGAAATCCACGTCGTCCAACAGCACTTCGACCACCTCGAGCTGCCTCTTGACGAAGCTCCGAAGGGCTTTTCGTATAATGTGCATGTTTCGCTGTCGGCCGTCCAGGGGCTTGTCCTGACTGACTAGCGACAGGTTCTCCTCAAGTTCATCGGACTTGTACTCATCGTCCAAGATGACGAGCAAGTCGGAGAAGACGGCGCCATTGTACAGGTCTTCGATCGTTTCCGGGCCAGGCTTTTTGAGAGCTTTAGTAACGAGGTTTCGAGCCTGCAGAACGGGGGGCTCCGTTAGTATCCTATTTCACAAGTGATTTCTGGCAGTGAATTACCCAGTTCAGCAGAGCCTCTTGCCATTCCTCCGAGAATTTGTTCTGCGACATCTTGTGCGATGCAAGTAGGTGCAACGTTGACCCCCTTGTCCCCAGCAGTATTGCTTATGTTCGACGACAGGGTAGAGTTGCTGTCCTCTGTGGCGCGCGGGCGGTCTGTTGTAAGGTCGGTACCAAGTGCATGTGATTCGGCGCAATAAATAAATCCAGGGGAAACCAAAGACGCGAATGCGGCGCGCGTATTGGCAAGGACAAAAAGCAGAGGTCAACTGGACTGTGGAATATGGCTGTTCATCAAAGCGTTGCCAGGGGTGGTTAAGACCACTACCTGCTACTACTCGTTGCTAGAGCCGTTATGTGTCGCCGTTGACCCGTTGGCAAGTTGTGCAAGCTGGTCGAAGAGGTGTGTAGTGGTTGGAATGGAGTTATTATTCCTTTTCTGATAAGGGGGTGAGGAAGGAAAAGCAAAAGGCGTTTTTGGTGTCTGGATTTCCGCGACCAGCGTGGATACCATCGACTGAACAGACAGAGAGCAGCTCGAGTTTAGGTGCAATCTCTCAGTAGGACAGCAGCCAGGATAGCGGAACATGCAAATGTCTCATGGCCGAAGCTCAACTGGGAGGAGATTGTTTCAATTGCAAGCATCAAAATGTCATTGTCAAAAAGAGGGACGGTCCATCTTAGCTCATATGTCTGCTGCTGCTAGCCCAGACGCTGGATTGTCATGGTATGTACATTAAAGGTATGTTTGAAGTAAAAAGGGCCCCAACTCTGGAACTGGAGCCTTTTTCGACTTTGGACTGTGCATGATTTGATGAGAAAGAAGCTGCTTGACTTATTGGACGCCAGGCAGGTCCCTTGGTTTCGTTAGCAGGCACTAAAAGGGACGGGCAGGACCAAGAACAACACCCTTGTCAGCAGCCGAAACCCGCTATTACCAGGACGCGCAGGGGGGTTTACAAAAGAGACGGGAAGGAACTTGGGAACCTCTCCATATTGTGCACAGGGATTGATTGATTGTCAGTCTATGCACTCCTTCTGCAAGGTCCCTTGTTGTGTCCGGTTGCATTAGTATAAAATATCTTCGAGCAGATTTGTTAGGTATTGTTTTCAACTCACAAATACATTGTCAAGCAGTCAGAAGGAGTATGTAGTGTCCATCACAAGCTCAATTTAACATTATATTGCCCTTGAAAACGAGTCAGCGGGGCTTGATTCAAACCCTCAAGCAAAGCTGTATGTAAGAACTCAAAGTCATGAGCATCGGCATAAATGACTCTGCCGGGATTGTGGAACCAAGCGCCTCAATGTTCAAACATGCGGCTACATTTTACCAGCCGTGGTTTGACCAGAGCTACAGCACGGATTTGATGTTCTGCCATGGAAGAATTCATGTTTAAGAAAAGACTGCCGCACTATCAATGTAACAATTCAACTTCTCTCGAAACCTTGAATTTATAGAGAGCACCGCAACTCGTTGCGGGGTGCACATCAATCCTCGGCATACTGTCAGTGAATCCCACTCTCCACGGCTGGGCGAAGAGGAAAACAGTATAGTCTACAAAGGAGAGTGCCATTACGCCGAGTTCCTAAGAATCCACCTGCTATGTAGACTGTGTGATGATATCGCCAAACAGTCAACTAGCCATATCTCTCAAGGAAATTGATTCCTCGGCTCGTAAAGAGTGTATCGTACAACTATTCATCTGCCGAAGCAACAGTCTCGTCATACCATGTGGCGAGTCCAATGCGGACCGAATCACGGTTCAGGACTCTCGGGGTGTATCTTTGGTGTTGACATACTCTAGCAGAGTCCGATACATGGAGAGTAATACTATGGCCATGATTCCATCACTATCGTGAGTACAGCCCGCTAGCTGTACCGTCAACACCAGTGTCGTCATCGAAGCAGCAGAACTGCCTTGGACTTGTGGTGAGGCAAAAGTCTGCTCTACCACCGGCAATTCGCAAGCTTGAATCTCCGACCAGCCGAAATGCAACACAGTACCAGCTCTGTGAGAAGGTGCTACGACTCTTCAATATATACCGAGCGTAGCCCGTTGATGTTAGGGAGAATTCGAATTCTGCTCATCTCTGTCCATCGGGACATAGTGTCATCGTAGAGGTTGTGACCTGTTGTTTTACGACTTGCCCTGTGACTTTCATGGTCGGTCCGTGTAAAGTCGTGGCACGCGAGTCCTTCGAGCTACGCCAGTAGAATATTTCGTTCCAGCATGGTCCATATGCTTGATTATCTGTCGATCTGAGTGTCTGAGCAGTGGCCATTCGTCCAGATGATCACGACTGAGAGCGGCTTTCGACCTAGGGGTATCAAATGTGGGTTAAGAACAGCCATGCTTGAAGACATAACGTAGTCTTGTAGTGATTTCATGAGCAATTAATAATCTGTTCGTGGCTGCTTAAAAAAACAATATTCAAATACCAAACGCCATCCTGCGTCTTGAGTTCCGCGTGTGGGACAAACGAGAGTGATTTCTCTGCCTTTTCATAATCCATTGTACAATAGTTGGGTATCGGCCGGTGATAGGTAGGTTGTCCGGCAACTTCATTTTCTCCTCCGCTGCCACATAATTCTTTCATTTGCTTGCCAAAACATTAGTGGTTCTGTCTGTTGTTGGTGTTGGAGATTGTGACAGTTTGGTCCTCCTCGACGATAGCGTGGTACTCGCTGGTGGTCCACACCGACATGGACTCGATGACCTTCTGTGGCGCCTTGGCAGCGAAAGCCCTAGAATGATTCTTAGCCATGATTCTTCTAGATGCTGCTGATGAATCCTGCAAATTCCCGGACATCATCCCAAAAGCGATGGGCGTCCGCTGATATATAGGGATTTCAGCATGCGAAGGTTCTGCTTACTTGATCAGGTTATATTCATGGGTAATGGTACCGCCAGCCTTCCTGATCTCGTCCATGGCGCGGTTGATGACGTCGCTGGTAACCTCGTTTGGAAAGGTGACGATGATGGACTTCTCCTGGTCCACAGCGAGGGCGCCCGAGGCACAAGCAAGAGCTGCGGCGGCGATGGTGAGGAAGCGCATGTTGGGCAGTAGGCTCAAATGGTTCTTGATTCGGATGTAGGTTGGTGGGTTGGGCTGCAAGGAATACCAAGTGCTATTGCGTTGCCTTCTTGTTCTAGATGCGACGGCGACGAGCTGTGATTTACTCTTTGTATGCGACGCAGTACCCGTATAGAGAAAAAAGATGATGCGACCGATGTGTCTTGTTTCGTTGGGAGCAGAAGATGTTAGAAACGGGAGGGAAATGGTGGTAATAAAGCGGCTGGTCCAGGGTCGATCAACCAAGCGAACGTGACATGCTCGGTACCTAGAGCTTGTTCAACGGTCTGGGCTGTTTGACCTTCCCGCCGATCGCAGTGATGCACACACACACTGACGGCACTGATCAGTGATGCCCCTCCCTCGCAAAAGTCCGCCCCAAGTCTGGGCAGTCCAGCCCCTGTCCCGCAGTTGCCCGCCTGCACAAACTGACCCGCAACTGGACGGGGTCTCATCCCGCCAAGCCCCAGAATACTCCAGATGGGCAGGAGCTAAATGCTTGAAAGCTGGAGCCTACCGAAGCCTCTCTGGTGTAACTTTTTGGCCTGCTTCGGATTGGCGGCATGTCTCATTCAGCACAGAAGTCAATATCTGCCAGGATGGTTCTTGGTCAATCACTTCCGAAGCCCTCTTCATACAATACACCTTGGGTATGTAGATATTGGTTAAGGCTACCTTAACATGGTCTCAAGTAATGTAATATGACGGTATACTTGATTGTTGTTGCATCCTCCAATCTCAATCTACTCTCGATTGACATTGAGGATAATCATCGATTAACGGATCTATTAAGGCTCATATGATCCTCATAAGCACGTATGTACCTATAATCGCAGTGAATGATTAAAAGACATTGCCGAGAATATACAGACACAAATGCCAATTGGAAAACTCATGACCACAGAGATCTCGCACGAGTGCAACGTTAGCCAATATTCCTGCGGACTCTCTGCATATCCGTTGGTGACAAAACCTTTTCGAGAAAGTGCCGGCATCGAATGGGAGGACCCAAATAGTGGCGCGTATGCGAATAAGATGTTAGTATTGGCCGAATGCCCGCTTGACCATGATTGTGGTAGTCCGAACACCGACACAATAGATTACACAAAAAATGCGAGTAGATTCGATGAAAAAAAAAATGCTCGTGAGAATTGGTTAGAGAACCAGATTGAAATCAGATGGTGCCAAATTCGTGCGACATGTTTGCGTTTGAACACATCGGCCAGTCCGTAGGATACATCGTCCACATTTGAGGCGCTGATGGCTTGCTCATACCTGGCTGGCCTCTCCCACGATACTTCCAAGTCGTATCTAGCATGACCATGCAACGGGGGAGCTTATGAAGTCATATTGCGTACGTACGAATGAATTACTACCGAGTAGCCTCCGGTAGCACATGATTATTCAATACTCTGTACATATGAATGAATAGGATATCGGATTAATCTATGGACCCCATGAACTCCATGCTAATGCAACCCAGCAGCCATGCAGAAATAATGCTCAAGAAACTGAAAGCAAAACCAAAGCAACACGAATTTATTTCATGGCTTGGCACTGCCTGGAACACTTTCGTCACCCCAAACATCTCGGCTTTCTCGTTCGACATCCCTCATGGCCACAGCGACCTCCTCCAACTTGGCCACAACGTCGCGAACACCCTGGTCAACCCGGCTGAAGTATTCGTCGTTGGCCTCTCTTCTTTTCCTGGCCAAGAGAATATCTGCCTCTGTTTCCTGTTCCATCATGGCACCAAGTCTCTCGCCCTCGCGCCCGCTACTAGGTGGCCTCGCACTGCCAGTTCCAACAGTACTCCTGCCCTGTTCGGTGCCATCAGCCCCAAGTTTGCCAGCAATGCCAGGCCCGGCAGATCCAGCAACGGCCAAACCCACAGCTCCGAGCGCTCCTTTCAGATCGCGCACTTCGTCTGCACCGACGCCCCCGGTAGTCTCAATCGCATCATCAGCCTCGCTTCTCGCCCAGGCCTGTGCCAGAGCGATCTGGGCTGCACGAAGATCCGCAAGTTTACGATCATGCTCGGGACCAAAGACGTGAGTTCCTCCGGATGCCGAGAGCTCAACTTCTTCCAGCGTGGCCTGCATCTCTGCCCATAGTGCGTCGGTCCTATCGGCTGTACGAGTTGATTCTCCAGTCTGCAACCTTGGAATTGGACCAGTAGTCCGACCTCGCGGTTTGAGTAAGGAGCCTTGGCGGGTCATTGTTGGTGGTCCTACTGATGCAGCCGATTGCTGGGTATTTGCAGTGTGATTGTTGGAGGCAGAAGTGACCGCATTGATCCCAGGTAAAGAGACATGTGAGGCAGCAGGGGATGGATGAAGGAAAAGAGCAGGCGGCGGGTCGCGCACCTTTACAGAAGGGCCATTGAGACGGGAAGACATGGCTTACATATCTGTACGGAATGGTCGATAAGACAAGGATGGCCTCCCGTATGTACGTATCTGCTGTATGTAGTATCAGACGACTCTCAGTGCTGGTGCTGTAGTGCATGTGCCCCCTTCGTAAAGTTACATAGTACCGCAAAAGGTATGACCACTGCAGGCAATTGGGACTTGGCAGAGGGCCCCACCTTGACCGATATCCCATTGGCTGGGGCTGAGGACTGCAGCTCAACGCACCTGGCAAAGACCCGGGCAAAGGTGCACGTGCCACAATTTTGTCCTCCGTCAGCCACAGGCCACTGGGGCGGGCACACCAAAAAATCCCAAATTCGAAAATCCCGACTTGAACCAAATTTCTCGAAAAGAGACTTCCCTCATCGACCAACTCCCACAACCATCGACAACCCATCTCAACCGCGATAACTACAGACAAATCGGTAGGTTATCCCTCTTGACAGTCCGCGATTAGCATCGAAACCCAATTCGTCGACCGCACACGATTTTTCGCACGCATCCCGACGTGTGCTGTTTGACACTTTCCCCGCCGCCATATTCACCACCACCAAAATACTCCATCTCGAATCCGACCTCAAGCTAACCGGTGTGTTCCATCAACAGCAATCATGGGTAAGGGCAAGCCTAGAGGATTGAACGCCGCTCGCAAGCTGCGCCTTCACCGTAAGGACCAGCGCTGGGCCGATCTTGGCTACAAGAAGCGTGCCCTGGGTACCGCCTTCAAGTCCTCGCCGTTCGGTGGTTCCTCCCACGCCAAGGGCATCGTCCTCGAGAAGGTCGGTGTCGAGGCCAAGCAGCCCAACTCCGCCATCCGAAAGTGTGTGCGTGTCCAGCTCATCAAGAACGGAAAGAAGGTCACTGCTTTCGGTACGTTGCGATTTCTCATGTTCCCCGAATGGTTGTGGGGGATGCAAGCATGGTTCAGCCCTGAGAGGAGTGTCGTGGAATACGGAATCTCTCAAGAGCAAAGGGGGTCCAAGCTTGCAACCTCTCAGCTACTATGTGCTACTCTGATACTGACTCGTCGGATTTCTAGTCCCCAACGACGGTTGCTTGAACTTCGTCGACGAGAACGACGAAGTCCTCCTTGCCGGTTTCGGTCGCAAGGGCAAGGCCAAGGGTGATATTCCTGGTGTGCGTTTCAAGGTCGTCAAGGTGTCCGGTGTCGGTCTCTTGGCTCTGTGGAAGGAGAAGAAGGAGAAGCCCAGATCATAGACGATCTACGTTTACGACAACTGCTGCATTGGGGGACGAGGATACGAATGGACAAAAGGGATTGAACTTGATTTGGGCAACTGTGGAGTCAAAATGGCTTGCTTTATTTTCCCCGTCAGCATTCGAGGTTCGGGCCTTTGATACACACTCATAGGTTACACGAGATCCGGAAATAGAGATCTTCGGTGGCCGTACCGAAAAGACCAACTTTCGCCTCCCGTCCAAACAAACGATTCGGTGATGGAGTCAACCGCGCCAACCAAACTCGGAACTGCACGTAATTTTGCCTGGGATTGGAATGGATGACTCGAAGGAAATCCATTAAATAATGTGATGTTACATCTCTCTGTTACTCGCCTCGTGTCTTGGGGATGCTACGATGTGCGCGGAGGATGTAAATGGACCGCATGCAACTGCTGGCTGCTAAACATAATCGATGATGTAATACTCAAGGATGAGTGGTCTGACTATCGCCTATTTATGCTTTCTTTGCTGTCGTGACAATTCCTGTCTAGCTACCATGGCCGTATGGGCCGACTTCTTCCCTTCCATCAGGCGTGAGCCTGCCCATGTACTCGAATGAGTAGTGTGTATTTCTTACATGGTATACATATTTTGTACAGTAAATATGGGTGAGTGTTATCGTCTAGCTTTGCTCGCCGTCGAAAGTCTCTCCCTCGGCCAGATATCTGGCGATGTAATCAGCGCCCATTCCCAAGCTGATCGCACCACCGGTAATCCAACAGCCATTAACGAACCACCACCAGCAATCCTTGACATTTTTCAAGTTGACCTTGCGAATCATGTACCCCAAAGTTAGAGCAGCTCCTCCACAGCCGCCTGCAAAGAATAGAGGTCCAGCACCGGCAGCCCATCCTGCAGCACCCAGCAGCCCAATTTGAGCCACAGCCAGGCCGCTGAGAACCTGTTTCGTCTCGGCGTCGTGTTTCAAGGCGATGCTCTTGATTCCCGCCTTGGCATCGTCTCGTATGTCCATGTGTGCGTAGATCATGTCGTAGAGGACAGTCCAGGCGATGTTGCTGGCGTATAGAAATCCTGCAGCTGCCAGTGCAGCGCTGTTGGAAAGCAGATCCACGCCCAGGGCAGGAAAACCCATGATGGCGCCCCAAGAGAAGGTGAGGCCAAGGACAAACTGAGGGTAGTACGTCACCCGTTTGGCCAAGGGATAAGTTGCCACGAGTAACAGACTGGGAATGCCGTAGAAAAGACAACTCGTGGGGAATTGCAAAAGGATACCGAGCCCAGTCAAGAGTTGCACACCCGTGTAAGCCAAGGCCTTGAATGGAGTGATAGCACCTCGGGCGATGGGTCGAAGACGCGTCCGCGAGACGTGGGGATCTAGGTTCCGATCCCATAGATCATTGATACTACAGCCAGCTCCACGCATGATCAGAGCGCCCGAGAAGAAGAGTGCTGCCGTTCCCAGGACGCTCAGCGGCGAGGCCATGGGAGTTGCCATGGGCGCCGCAAGCAACGTGCTGAAGAGACACGGGAAGAAGAGATAGTAGGTACCTGCCGGCTTATCCAGACGAATAAGCTCAGCGTACGGAACCCAGGAAGCAGGGAGGCGCGAGATAATACCGGTCGTAGGAGGTGAGTATGGCTGTGGTATCTCGGGCGACGAAGGCGACTCAATGGTCGTAGTCAGATGACGGGCGGAGGCATGAAAGGGTACAACATGCCGAGGTGCTACCGTGACCAGCTTCAGAGATTTTGATGTCCGTGATGGTAGAGTTCTCTGGAAATTGTGACCACAGTGATAGGACTGTTTGAGAACTCTCAAGGTGTTCTGTTGGTTGACCCTGCAAAGGGGCCATCCCGTAGTCCTCAACAACATGGTTATGACTGTATTTAACTCAAGGCTGGGCGACCTTTGAGGGAAATACCTTTGAAATTGTTAGTATATACCGAAAATAATTTAACAAGTATCATCTAAACGTTCAATTGATTGCTTATAGGGTACGTCTAAGTATCATCCACGGGGTTTCCATGCAGCTATTGTTCTTTGCATCTCTGTCAAAAGCTTTTTGATAATTTGGATAATCCGGAAACCCTGTAATGACTGGGCATTCGACAATCGACAACACGTACTTTGGATGTATGAGAAGGTTACTCACAACTCATGCTTGTCCAATGACGAGCCTGCTTAGGAAAGCGTTTCAAACAGAACAATCCATCAGGAAGAAGAAAGAGAAAACAAAAACGAGTTTCCGGGCTATGAATGAATCAATTGAGTAACTCGCAGTGAAATTCGTCACGGGCCCGTGCACCAACTTTAAAAGCTTCCGCTACTGTCTGGTTACTGCAAAGGCACGCATGAGGTAGCGCATGCTTACCTTTACACAAAGACCCGCTATCAAGTCCCTACCTAGGTACTAATTTGTACCTATCAATTGCAGCTTGTCATTGAAGCGCGAAACTTTTTCGAGGGTTGCGACAGACCTCACAACAGCTCGGATCTTTATTTCAAGACTTCCAGACACTCAGAGATGCACTGATGGATATTCAAGCGGACTTATATGCTCACAAAAACTTGTCAATCTGCACTTTAAACTTGTGACGATCGAATATACCCTCCCCATCTATCCGTCGACTGCCCTTCCCCGCGACGCGAAAATCGGCCGAGGCGCGTGAAAGCCGCGGTCTTGATGAGCCGTTTAGATTCACGACCTGTGTCGTGCTGGATGTGCTCGAAGCAATCGCAATAAGAGAAACAGTAGTGGCAGCGGCAGCAGCAGCAATACAGACAAGATGCCGACAGCACTACATCCCCAGGCAAAATTCGACCCCATACCGCCGGACCTTGACCTGCACGCACTCGTTGACGATACGCCAAATTTTGACTGGGTCGTCCGCATCTCAATATCGCAAATTAGGCGACTAGGCACATCTGGCTTCGAGAAGCTTGTCCAGCTGCACGTCATCGAAGGAGGTCGGCCTCTTGTGATAGAAGGATGGAATAAAGTCCTTCCCGAGTCTCTTTTCAGTGCAAAATGGCTAGAGGCGACCTATGACAAGAAACGTATGATGCCACTGCCACAACAAGATACCGGGGGGAACATGCTAATATGTGTGCAGAGGAGAATGTGCGCGATCTTTTCAATCAGTCGGATCTCCCAATGACTATGGGCCATTACCTGCGATCGATGCGACAGCTCACCAACCAGTGGAGCCCGACCAACTTTCGAGATGAACGTCGGCAACGCTTGTACCTCAAAGATATCGATTGCCCTCCTGAATGGTTCGACCACTTGCGCAAAATCATTCCCCCAAATGTCTTGTACATGAACGAAAACGTCAGCGAGAACACTGGGCCTGATGCACATCCCGATGATGACATCTTTGGTGCACCAGAACCGACCGCAGCTGTCGCAGGAGATTTGATGAGTTGCTTGCCAGAGGAGATGCGAGCACAGAACCTCATGTGCTACATTGGACACGAAGGCACGTACACTCCCGCACACAAAGAGATGTGTGCAAGCTTGGGCCATAATATCATGGTTGATGCTTCAGGCAGTGAAAATGGTAACAAGCCTGGAAGCTCTCTATGGTTCATGACGGAGACCAAGGATCGCGAGGTTGTCCGCGAATATTTTCTATCCATGCTGGGCCACGACGTCGAAATTGAAAAACATTTCGCCCAAATCAATGCTTGGAAGAAAGCAAACTTTCCCGTTTACGTAGTGGAACAGAAGGTGGGCGACTTCATTCTGGTTCCACCCCTGGCGCCTCACCAAGTTTGGAATCGAGGAACCAGAACGACAAAGGTTGCGTGGAATCGCACTACTGTCGAAACCCTTGACCTCGCATTGCACGAGGCTCTGCCACGGTCGAGGTTGGTCTGTCGAGATGAGCAATACAAGAACAAGGCTATCATCTACTTCACATTGGAGAAATACTATGCAGAGCTTCAGAAGGCCGAAGATACAGCTGAGTCGAGTCTGCTTGGTCTAGGCAGGGAGTTGACAAACTCGCCCCGTCTGCGACAGATGGCGAACGACTTTCGCCGACTTTACGGCCTCTTCACCGAGATTCTGATCGACGAGATGTTCGGGTTCAAGCAAAATGACACCGAGTTCATTGAGTTCGATTCAAATATCACGTGCTCATATTGCAGGTCCAACATCTTCAATAGGTTTCTGACCTGCAAATGCTGTACGCGACAGCTGCTAAATGGTGACGAAGACACCTACGACATTTGCATGGAATGTTACGCCATGGGTCGGTCGTGTGTTTGCATTTCAGGGCTACAATGGTGCGAGCAGTGGCGTTGGGAGCATTTGGTGGACAAGCACGAGACTTGGCGTGCCATGGTCATCAAGCAGGATGGCTTTGTCGATATAGACTACTCCCCACAACCTCTAGAGGTTGCTCGAAAGAAGACGGGGAAGAAGTCGATAGCACAAATCTGTCAAGAGCAGCTACGTCGTCGACCTTGGAATGACATCACCAAACCGGCAGTCGAACGCACGGCTGAAGAGTCTGAACCCGAACCCGAGGTCGACGAAGAAGGCCGTGTCAAGAAGAAACCCAAGCCCAAAAGAAAAGTTAAGAAAGGCGACACGTATCGATGTCATGTGTGTTGTCACAAAGATTACACTTATAGGCTGAACTTTTGTACAACATGTCAAGAAGCATACTGCTATGGTGTGCTGTTCAGAGCATTTGATACGATGCCGCAGGCTGCCATGGAGCAGGAACATTGGCAGTGTCCAAAATGTCTCGGCATCTGCAATTGCGGATCATGCAGGCGCTCAGGCAATACTCAGCCGTATGTGCCCAAATCCACACTGCTGGGGCACGATACACGGCGAATAGCCGATGATCGCAGTGTTGAGTCCGTTGTGGACTTCCGTGTTCATAATCTCGGCTGGCTCAAAGGTGCTGGAGAGGAGACGCGAAGCAGCAACACGAAGAGAATGCAGCGTTTGAAAGAGCAAGCTGAAGCCGAGAAGGCCAGAGACCCGTTGGCAGCTCTTGAACCTACTGAGGATGGTCCTCAAGACATGGATATGGCGCTACAAGGTTCCATCATGGACGGCGATATTCAAGTTGTCCCAGCAGATGAACAAGATCCAAACACCAGCCGCGTGCAGATGGCTGACATGGGTGCACAAAACCCCGAAGGTGACTCGGCTTACCCAGATCCATCTGCCTATCCCAGCCCATCTATGGGTGGCCGTATGATGGGTATGGGCTTCTATGAGCAGGACGATAGTGCGGATCGCATTTTGTTCGATGCATTTCAAATGCCTTCTGCTGATGCCCTTGACCACGAACCTGAGGTATCCGATTTCGTCAAGAAAACCTTGCGATTGGCCAAGCGGAAAGCACGACTCGAAACTGATGATGATCCCGACTTCCGCGGACCGAGAAGCCATCACCGCAAGAAGCCAAAAACGGGCAACCTTGATCAACTTGTGAATCTTGACCCTGCACTCCTCGGTTCGCTAGGAAATGCGGATGGCAGTGAAAATGCCACGCCGAACCGCTCGGACGCCCGGTCGGCTGAAGGTTCTGCAGCGCCTGAAGCACAGCAAAACGAGATTATAGCAGATTCCGATAAGCGCCAGCAGAAGCCGGTCAGGCCACCATTGCCGATAGAACCTCTCAATCCCACATTGCGCCATGCCAAGCCTGCACAATCCTATGTGGAAGCTGAAGAGATCGTGGAGGATCCTGATGACATTGTAACTGTCAACCCGATCAGGCTGTTTGGTGCAGAAGAGGACCCCGTTCAAGTAGTTGATTCAGTCGATCTCGCCGCGGATGCTATTCGGGCACTGACAGGACAAGACGAACCATCAACCACAAAGCCAACTCCTCAACCAGGGGCCAAGAAGCGTGGTAGGCCTCCTGGACGGCCTCGCGCTTCGCTTGCAGCTGATACAACAATCTCGGCTGGAAAAGAACCCAAGAAAAGGGGACGCCCTTCAAGGCTTGGCCTATCAGATAAGGCAAGCGAAAATGCCGCCATTAGTACTGAGGATCCGCCTGATCAGGATAATCAAGCTGATCAAGACGGTGAGAACTCTGGTATTGACGGTTTGGAGGCCGAGCTCGAAGCAGCATTGATGCGCGATGATGACCAGAATGAGAGTCCTGCTCATGAAGCCCCTGCAGGCGAGCCTACGGCAAGGCGAAGGGGGCGGCCGCCTGGACGAAAATCAATGCCCGCTGTTGCATCGGAACCTGGACCAGACGAACCTCTGGAAAGGCGGAGGGGCCGTCCGCCCGGACGAAAGTCAATGCCAGCTGCCACTTCAGCGCATGACCCGGAGCCGGAATCTCAATCTGCGCCAGCACCTGTATTTCCGAAAATGTTGTCTATGCGAGACCGCATGGCGGCCAGAGGCAAAGGGTTTAAGATGCGAGCTAGAACCAGCATCAACCCACAGCGAACCCCCAAAACCGATTCTGCTAAGTCCACCCCAGCATCCAAGAGCAAATCCCCGGGGCCTGTTACGGGCGCCGAGAGCACCAGCACAAATGGTCTTCATGGCCGGTCAGAGTTATTCGATGATGATTTCGGCATGGAACAAGAAGAGTCCTCTTCAGAGTCGTCGGCAGACGAAGAGGAAAATCAAGTCCAAGTCCGCAATACTCGAAATCACGGCAATCCTACGGTTGTCAGACTAGACGTGACTGACGACAGCTTTGGGTCATCGGACAGTGAAAGTATTTTTGATGATGACGACGATGACGAGGGTATTCCCGCCAAGCCAGTGTTCACAGCTCGGAGGGGAGGGGCAGGTCGAGGTGTTGGCATGGCGACCAGAGGTCAAAGAGGTAGACCTCGTGGACGAGGTCGACGTTAACTAGTGCCTGGACTGGACTTTTCACGTTTGTGGCTATCATGATGGAACACGTCTTTCTAATCGGTGGCCAGGTTTCCAGTCCTTTTTCATGATTCAGATGCCGGCCGGCTTACGGTTAGGGATAGCGATTGATACCTCGACAGCGATTTTTTTTTAGCGGTCTTTCCTGCAGGCGACATAGACTTCAAATAGCCGAAACCGTGATTGGCACGACTCACCTTGAACAATGTGCCTGTGTCTACAATAGCATGATAGAGTCGTCTGTATTGTTCGTTGTAAGGATTTGTATATCATGATACATTTTGACAACTTCTGTCTATCGACTCACTTTGCTTAACTCCAACGCCAAAACAAATCCGGTGTGATAGATTGAAATGGAACAAGCTGCTTGGTTAAATCAAAGCGCAGAGCCAGAGGGATGAGATGCATCTCTGCTCTACCTATCAATGAGCTATCCCCTGGACAATTGCCCATACAGCCACCTACCATCTCACGCGACCCAGGCAATTTCATTGACCTCGAAACAGGAAGAAGGCAAAGGTGCAAAGTTGCTTTCAGGACATGAGGTCCTTGCCATGATGACGCGATGATTTCGATGCCCTTGGACGACAACGTCCATAGCGTTCCTATAACACATCACGCTCCCACCCAGTCCTGCCCGCCTGTACTAGCTTAAGGGGGAGAATGCATCGTTCCTGGGTAGTGAGATATGTCTAGTAGTAATAGAGCAGTAGCCCTTGGTAGTCCAGTTCCCGTTAGTACGGACCTGGGCAATAACAAGCTTAAGTTGCTTAACACTCTTTAGCTCAACGGATGCTGACTTCCCCACACGGATCGAACTCGATCCGGACGGCATGCTGCTTTCCGAGGAGGGATGACATATGCTAGCTTGAAGTAAACAGTGCCCGCTGCTCGTGCGGTAATTGGACTATTGAAAATCGCTCCGTCTTGATTGGTTCTGTCTTGGTGTTCTATAGATACGAAAGAAGGAAGTACTTCGTTCCTAGCTTTGTTTCGTGTTTCATGGGAATCGAATCACAGCTGTTCAATTCATAATCCATGTAGATCAATAGACATTCCTAATCCCTAGGTCTACAAATATGCATCAAAACATACGCCTCTGTCATTCTTGCGCTGGTCAAAAACCCCCCCTTGATTAGGGGAAGTGAGACTATACTAGACAACGCACGAGATGATGGAATGTTAGTGAAACGTAAACATACTAGCATGCGCTACAGCTGTCCACCGAATTTTGGGAATATGTCTTGGTGGACTAGATAGACAAGTGAGAGACTAGATCAGACATACCACAGGCGATAGGAAGAGGGCCTTGCAGTGGTAATTTCCTTCTGCCTGTGTAAGCCAACGCTAGGAGCGGCAGCTCGCTACTACAACCAGGACGGATCTCAACTTTGCCGAGAGAGGAGCAGCAACTTGGAGAGATCATCGTGTAAGTGAGGCAGAAGGGTATAGCGTTGACAGAAGTATTCTCAGTACTTGGAGAAATACCTGGAAGAGGGGTGGATGGCTTTCTTGACAGAGAGCAATACATAAAAGTGACAACTGCTCTACTTACCAACATAAACAAGGTTCCTCAGCTGCCTCTTCGAACACTAATCAATCTTCACTATTCGAAAAGAAAGAAACATCAAAATGCGTTTCACACAAGCTGCTGTAGCCGCCGCTGTGGCTGTGGGCACGACCAGTGCTCAGCGCCCTTCCAACACATCCATTTGTGATTACTACACGACGGCTCTGCTCAAGGACAACACTGCCGACAACCAGGCAACTCTCTTGACTCTGGTGGTAAACACTGTAGTCATTGGAAACTGTGAGTAGAGCACCATGACCCAAACATATCCTCGAATTCGTCGTCATGTACATCTGTACTAATATATTGTTTCTGACATCTAGACACGATGCCAAATGTCGGCATCATGGTCCCCGGTATCCTGGCCCCTGGAACCTTCAACGGCACCGACGTGAACCTGCTCCCCTACTTTACCGGCGAACTGGCCTCGAGCAACCGGGGAGGTGACACGGGAGTCTCCATCAACTTCCTCGACGGAGGCGGTGCCGAGCCACTCATGAAGAACATGGCGGCGAATGACGACACGTCCATGCAATAGTAAGATGACATTCTCATATTCAGCCTTGTCTTGATGTCGGCGAGGGTATAGTGGCTAACTTCTTGGACTAATAGCTTCCTTCTGACACATTTGTATCAATTCTTTGGCTCTTTGCTTGGATGCTCCAGTAAGTTCTAGATCTCTTGTTCTTTACACACAGCACATTCATCGACCAGAAGACTCGGACGTGAACCACTACTTCTTACAAGCAACATGACATTCGTTCGTGTTAAATCTCGGTGTAAACAAGATGCTGACCACGTATTGTACAGTGCAAGGCATGCCAGGCTTTGACGCCTACACTGGCCATGCATCCATGTACGAGGTGCACAAGTTCATGGACCTCAACCCCTACGAGATGGGCTACTTTATCGAGCAAGTCGCCATGGCCGCCGCCTCGTTTGGCGTGGCCGAGGATGACTTGACCGTGGTCGGCACGGCTCTCAACTCCCTCTTCAACTACCGGTGCGCACCCGCCACCACGGTGATCCCCGCCCAGGGCGCCCAGCTGCAGTCCATCTGCATTGACGGTTCCTGCCCTGTCGCCATGGAGAACGCAACCTGCAGCGCCTACGACCCCGTCCTGGTGCCCACCAACAGCACCACCAACGCCACTGCCACCGCGCCCGGATCCGTAGGCACCGCCACCATGTCGGCCGGCGCTTCTGGTACCATGACTGGCTCCAGCACGGGGTCTTCGGCCTCCTCTACGGCGGCGACGGCTGGTGCTATCGCCAACGGCGTCAACTTTGCCGCTGTGATGGCTGGTGTCTTTGCTACTTTCATGCTCTAGGTTGTTGTAGATAATCAATCATGTATCATTACTTGTATCAAGGTGATATTATAGTGCTTCGGCAAGGCTTTCAATATTAATACAGACAAACAAATAAACAAACAGACTCTTAGCAGACACTTGTGCAACAGTTGTGATTCATCAAGCGAAAGGTCTAGATCATGCTTGCTTACAAGTTGTGGTGTGAACATGACCATAGAAGAGTGAGCGAATGTATGATTTGTATCACGTCAGATTACAAACAATATTGGAATACTTTTACAGCCTTACCAACTCCCGCACCTTCTTTCTGACGTGAGCGGTTGTACCAATGACGAAGAGAGAATATTGAAGGATCAAGGTAGCATTCTATAGGAGTGGTCACTCCGAAGATTTCCGCTGCAAAATTCGAGTAAAGCACGTGAGAGGTCGTCTATCGGCAGTGTCGCACCGACTAACCGCAGCAGCCGAGAGAGAAGAGGCAATAGAAAAGCAAATATGCAAGAACAACATCGGGACCGACCGAGGGCGAGAGTTGGTAAGAGCAGCCCCCAACCTCTCTTGATTGCTCACCTTCTCCAGATTATTGATGAGACGGCTGTCATGAACCAAACCTCGGACTCGACAATGTTCCCTAATCCTGGCATCGCCATAACGAAAGCCAAAATACTGTATGACCACTTGACTTCTCAACTGACTGCTCATTGTTTCTCAGAATAGCATGAGGCTGAGCGCCATCAAGCATGCAAGTCTCAGATCGCTCTAGCACCCATTCGGATATCGTCTTTGCCCAGCCAAGGGCGCGGGATGGGTGGGTGGCTGACATGTTGGCAGTCTCAACGTGGATGTGCAAAAACAAACCCATCTACTACCTACTTATTTCGCTGCATTCATGGCGGCCCGAGACGACATTGACAGGTCGTGGGGCGGTGAATCCACCAATGCTCGATCATGCAATCAGACCACCGACTTTTTCTGTCCGTTGAGGATATGCGCGGTTGGTCGGTAGGTGCATGCAGGCATAACTGCAGTCTTTCTTTCTTTCTGCTGTCCAACAACTGAAATGGAAGCCAGAATAGTGCAACCCCGCCTAAATACCAGAACCGGATCACGATGGGGGTTGCTTATGGTGTTGGCTGCAACCCTCAGACTCCCCCCATTGGCCACCTTGTTCGAGGTTGCATTCGAATCGACAGGGGCCGACACACACGTCCAGCGACCTCTGAATCGATATTCGCCGGGGGCGTTGGAGGGCCTTTGAGCCTGCAGAGTCCAGATTGGCCTTCGCCACGACAGGATTAGACTATTGCATTGGCAGACTCCATGGATGCTAGTATTACTCTCCCCATATGGTCGCCCTGCATGACCTACTACTGTGCCGGTCGAATGCAGCAAATGCCGCCCTTGCTGCAGCCTGATTGATCGTGATGGGCAATGCGACGGACATCTGAAGACTGATGGCAATTCCCGTAAACTCCCCCCTCCTTGGTGGTCGCAAAGTGTCGATCTCAAAGCCTTTTTCTTTTTTTTTGCAATGCCAACGACAACTGGTTTTGTGAAAACACTGGCAAGTGAGAAATAATACCATGTCTCTGAACCCCGTAAGGGATCGGCGCGACGTCTAGGGAGTCAACATATTACATACGGAATATGGATCGGGTCTCAACGCAACGCCGCCGGCCGGGCCGTAATGTCGGCTTCGCCCCCGTTGCACAGACCGAGTCCGATCTCGAGGCGTCCGATGATGTTTCACAGTACTGGGAATTGCCGGTCAACGAGCCACTCGATCGTGATCTTCACAGTCGAGTTCGCAACATCTTCCGCAATGCGGTTCCTCCTGGCCAATTTGACGAAGATGAATGGTTACAGCACGTTGCTGCAAATACTGCCGAGACAGTATACGCACCAGTCGACAATCTCGTTGCCCTTGACGGATTGGAAGAAGCAACAATCGCAGAGTTGGCCGGGCCTGGTACTATTGAGTATTATGCTCCGTACGCTCGTGGACATGACCGCGCACCCTCTTCACTCAGCAATGAAAGTGATGCAAGGACAGAAAAGACCTATGTTGAAAAGGAACAATGGGATTCAAAGGACAAGTTCCTCCGCTTCGAGCCCATGGTCACCACTATCGAAGTGGACGACGAGGTTCCATCGCATCCACCCAAGAAGCTACCCAACTATAAACCTGCCGCACTCAGGCGAATGTTCCTCGTCATACTCTTCTCTGCGGCAGTGGCATTGCTAGCAGTCATGGTAACGGCATTGTTAGTTTTACCAAAGAGCTCAAACTCTGTTGCATCCGATATAATTTCAAGGAATACATCAGAGATCAAGCTACGTTCATCTGGTATTACGCAACGCAGTCTGCAACATGCATACGGTTTGGTGGGCCCCCGAGGGCACGGCGATTCTGGTTCGTCGAGTGCAGAAGAATCTGCGAGCGAAGACGAGCAGACCTCAAAGGCCACCTCGAGTACTACACTCAAAGATGTCGATGATGCTACGACAGTATTGAAAACTACAACCACCACGAGCAAAGTCTCTGATGGGACTACATCCGTGCCCGAGTCAGACCCATCAGAGACGAAATCTGAACTCGGCCAGACTCCTGACACGTCTACGACGTCAAGTACTCTGCATACATCATCGTCATCCTCGACTACACGTAATCAGGATGATACCACGACGAAGACCACGACGGCAGCAGAGGCAGCGTCAACACCGACGGATACCCAACCCACCAAGCCTTCAAAGGGTGGGGATGATGCATCTCCAACGACGATGAGAGCGACCACAGTAGCTACTAGCATAGCCACGACGGCTGTTACGACTTCTTCGGAGAAAACGGACCCAACACAAAATGAATCCACTATGACCACGACCAAGAATGATCCAGAGCCTAGTGATGGGGGCCATGGCTCCGAAGGGGACAAGACACGACCTAATAGTGGCCATGAACAGTCAACCGGCTCAGAGACCAGTCAGACGAGTACGACCTCAACTTCCTCAAAAAATACAGACTCTTCAAACAGTCACCCAGAAACCACTTCCTCGACAAAGTTTGGCGATGATGGACCAAAACCTACCAAAGAAACTGACCATACCAGTCAAGCTGAAACGGCGACGACTACTTCGACTTCGATTTCCCAGAGCCCACCAGGTCATGAAAGTGAGACATTGCCAACCAGTTCTTCAACGACTTCTAATGGCGATTTCTCCTCGCCCTATTTGACAACAAACTCGGTTCGGGCAACCTGCACAGTAGAGGTGGTACAGACTCATACTAGTTGGGTCGTCTTGCCAGTTTCGACAGTCGACCTTGGGTTGGTGAAGAAGTTTGCATTACCTCCAGTGACGAGAATGGACAGAAGACAAGCTGACTCATGCGACACGACCGTCACAAATACTCGTGACACTACCATTTGGATCACCACTGCGCATCAGACCGTCACCATCGGGGTCCCTCCAGACCCTACCACATCAGCTATTGAGAATACTGGAGGGTCCATCTCAACAACCTCCACAACAAGTGCCGTCCTTACTGATCCTCAGACTAACACACTTCCGATTGATCCAGGCACAACGGCTACTGGTTCCGCTCCTGACGTAACCTCACCCTCAACAACAACAAACGCTGCCGGTTCACCCACAGATCTTCCGGGTGATGGAAGCACTCCGACCACAACCTTGCCATCGTCACAGCCGTCTCAGCAGCCTGGAGACGCAACTACTTCGGAGAATGCAGGTGTGACTACGTCGGCTACCACTCCAAATGGCCCGGATCCCACAGACATTCACATTACTGTTCCTGAAGATACAAATACAGCCCCCAACCCTGGAACGACAGCCAGTTCTGCGCCACCAGTCTTTGAGAGCTCTTCAGTGGCCACTACCCCAGGTTCTACGACAACGACAATTTCTGTGGATGTACCGCCGCCACCCTCTTCTATCGTGATCACAGAAATTTACACTACCACGAATGCTGACAGTTCTGTCACCACGTCAACTTCTTTGTCAACCATCCTGATCAACCCAGGTACAACGGTAAACAATGGAGGACAGCCGCCTCCAGAGACACTTCCAAACCAAGTGTCGACCACCGTTCAACATACAGTGACTGTGCCCACAGTGAATACCCAGAATACTGGACCAGGTCATGCGGAACCTACTACCAATGCTCAAGGCGGTAACAACGACAATGGACCTCCGCCAGAGACATCTAAAACCACCCCGGTCACGACTTTCGTTCGAGTTGTTCAAAGCACTACTGTCGTGTTATCTATTGAGACTACAATTACCCCAACAAGCACAGTAACAGATGACAGCGGCCTTGTGGCTGTGGGAGCTTTCATCACGACTGTACCCTTCACCACGGCACTGGCTTTCACGCAAGTGAAAGCCATAACGAAGGACGATGGAGACACTGCGAGCGGCGCCACCCAGAAGATTGTAACCAATACATACATGGACAAGGACGGAAATCCAACAGCCACAATGCTTGAGACCTTGTACGCCCATGCTTTTACAAGCATAGAAAAAGATAGTGATGGGTGGCCAACGAAAACGGTAATTCAGGAAATCCAAGAAACACCATTGACCACTACAATGACGGATCGATATGGGAAAATCAAGATAAAGACTTATTTCGAAGACACCTCGACCAAAGCCATGACGGATAGCCATGGAAAAACCACTGGCTTTCAAATTTTTTACATCACTGATCTGCCGACAGTGGTAACAACGACGGACGCTGCTGGCCACACGTTGACAATCACACAAATGATGCCCGCTGGCACCTCTACGTCGTTTAGCACTGTTCTGGTCGATCCCACGAGTACTCCCATAGCAAACGGGTCCGCTACAAACCCAACGATTGCAGCTCTGCCTGTTTCATCTGGGTACTACTTCTTGGGGATATTACTCCCGACTTTGCTGGCCATTGGAATATCCATTCCGATTCGGGTTCTCGATTCAACAGTCAAGCTGCACCAACCTTTCAGTGCCATGACCTTGTCGTATGGTGCACGTCCAGCGGACTCTCTCGGCCTCAAGACAACGGGGCTTTGGGGTCTCACCTCAGGATTCGTTTCGCCTAGAATGGGTAACTGGCTTCTGGCCGTGACGGGGCTTCTTGTTGTTGCAAACTCGATACTGATTGCCCTCAGCACCGAGGCTCTGGACCTTGAGGTACAAGACGTCAATTGCACAATGTCAAGCGACGGACTTTTCAAGACATGTCCAACATCTGTGGTCATATCCATGGCACCAGCCAAGTCTACTACAGGGCTGATTTGTTTAATGGCCATACTCATTGCTGTCGCTGCCAAGGCTTTGTGGCGCCGACGAAGCGGTGTGATTAATGATATACCATGGAGCATCTTTGAGATGAGACGTCTGGCACAGCACGAGAGCACTCTGACTAGTCTCAATAAGCTTGACTGGAAATTCGGCAATGTTACTCGAGACGAAGTAATCAGGGCCTTTGGCAAGAGAAGGTTCAAACTTGATTATTGGAAAAACGGGAATGCAGGCTGGGAGTATGTTGTACAAGTTGCCAACGACGACGGTGACTATGCAAAGGATAAAAGATCTGGCATCCACCGGATGTGTAGCATGCCATTCTTCACCTTGACTCTTTTGGGTCGAGTCTTGTTCTTTTTGTTCCTGCTGGCATTGGCATTGATGGTATTGTTATACCACAATACCCACGGCGCGTTCCAAGACTTTATGGACAGCGAGAACTTTGGCGGACGCTTCATCCTGACTGGTGCTGGCGTGATTATATCAATGATATGGTGGACCTTTTTTACTTGTAAGTCAAGACTTGAAATGTGCGACTATTCAAGGCTAATCAACGTCTATAGGCGTCGCATTTCTCAGCCCTTACCGACTCATAGTTCGGAAAAAGTCCGTCCAAGATGCATTATACCTCAGCCCACCCTCGAATCCTTTCTCCGGGTTTTGGAGAGTAATCAGTAGACAACATCCAGACAAGTTTCTAGGCGTCGTTGCTTTTACTGCCATACTTTCCGAGTTCTTGCCCTTGTTCCTCGCCAACGTTCCAGCCCGGCTGGAAGAGCCGGATTCAATGAGCGCCGCCTGTGTATGGCTATCGATTAGCGTCATTTGCATCATGGCCGTGGTGCTCATATCGTCGTTTCTCATCACTTGGCCGCCCGAGATGCCCATGGACCCGAGTACGGTGGCCGGAGCCATGTTTTATGCCCTGGAGAGCATGGCAAGTATGAAGCGCAAGTCTTCGAGCACTTTGGGAGGTGTGTCTATGAATACTGTATAATTAGAGAACATACGAAAGGATCAAGTGACAATAGATGATAATGATAATATAATCAATGAAATCAACCACAAGGATAATGCTACAACGCCAAGCCGCTTTCATTGATTATGTATCTCAGTTACAGTCTCACGGGTATGTGCTGCCCGACTCAACCTTGGTAATGGCAATCTTGGTAAAGTCATCCAGGTTCTCCTGCTCATGCCCCAAGACCTCATTGTGCAATCCACGCCGCGTCTCATGGTTTCCGGAGCCATCTGGGAAAAAGACACGAGCATAAAGCATCTTGCCGAACCAAGCCGCGTCGCCCTCGGCAAGCTGCTTCTGGCCCTCGGCGAAGCGCTTGTTCGTACTCTCGTATTAGATCTCCCGGTCCCTTGGTTCCGTGCCCGTGGCCCGCAAGACGGAATCAAACATGTCTCGTTGACTGACGCAAAAGGACGCCGTGTAGACGAGTCGGTTCTTGAACCCGGATAGGCTGGGGCCCGTGGCCGACTCGAGGGGGGGAGATAAGAGGTTGGCGACGGCCCTACCACTTTGGGGTAGGATCTTTTTGTTGGAGTCCATCATCAGTACTGTTTTTTTCTTATCGATCGAAAAAAGGGTTTGAAACCATGGGGGAAAATGGCATGGTTGAATTACAATGGCATTGATATTGGTCTCGCCTTGGTCGTAAAACGTCAATTTGCGTCCTGGGTAGTCCATGCCAAAGGCCCAGGGCGCGGCGAGGCTCATTTCGTACCAAAAGCTGGTCAGTGGTCACCATGCCGATCCAGGCGCTTTGTCCGAGGTTTTCGATATGTCGACAAATGTATCGCTCATTCAAGCCTAGTAGGATGTCGCTGCCGAGTTTCTCACTGAGTTGGTTGGGAAAAAGTACAAGTCAGCATTTGTTACCTATTTCCCCTTTGTAAAATTTATTTTGGGGCATTAATATCAATCCTAAGCGACTTGGGAGGGAGAGAAGAATATACAGAAAGAGAAAAAGACACAAATATATCATCAAAATAAACCGACTCGGCGGTATCGGCTCCCCAGAAATTGGGCAAAATATACTCCACCCCAGCCTCGGCAGCGGCCTCGACGAGCTTGTTCTATGTATCCTTGTGCGCCGCCACGACCAAAGTAATGATCAAGACATGCTGCCCTGCAAGCGCCGCGACCAGGGAAGCGTGGTCGTTGTAGTCGACCTGGGCGGCTCGCACGCCGTCTGGTATTGACGCTGCGCTGTTGACCCGGGTGATGGCCGCGAGTTGCAAGTCTTGTTGTTGTTGTTGTGTCTGCTTTTTCTTCAAAAGTTCGGCGACAATGTGTCCCCTACTGTGCCAGTTGCCTGCCATGGGCGCAAAGATGGGTTCATGTTAGTGAAAAGATCTTTTGTCATGTTGTGTAAAAGTACGTGTCTGTATGCGATACACGAAAAGGAAGAAGAACAGCGTATCATAGATCAGGGAGATGATAGCTTACTCCGACAATGGCAATCTTCTTGACATGGTTGTTCGACATAATGAAAGGGCTCTCCTGTGTTGTGAAATTTTTCAGGATATGGATTCAAGATTCGTCTCACGAAAGCTATGATATGTGACAGTGTTCCTGGCGACCCACGGCACGCCGATCCCTTAGATACCATTGCCAGGTCATACCAATGCTTCCACTCTCTGCATGAGATCATGACTATTTTCTACTGATGCCGATCCCGGGTTTATGATAGTCTATTCACCTACAGTGTGTTATGGTCGGAGATAAGTGCTTGGGCCTTGCCTTACACTTTCCCAGCGGCACCGGGGTGGAGCTAAATATTGGCGGATGTAAGAATTGCCTAAAAGAATGACCAGCGCGAAAGATGAAGACCGAGTCCGAAGCGAGGACTCTGTGTAAGAAGCACTGGTTCATTTCAAATGAGTCGTCTCACTTTGGAAATTGCACAACCTGGAAACTGGAGGACTTCAGCCATGTTTGCATTTTTTATGCACATATTGATAGGTTCATTGGTTTGAGTGTCCGACAATGTCACGGTATGTGATCCTACAACTCAGACATAATTACAAGATGCTGCGCGCTACATGATGGATCATATATCTATGTAAATGCTTAATGATACGCCCAGAGGTCAACTTCATCGAGTGACTTAGATGATAATAAGCTGTTCAACACGTTAGCAGAGTTCGTTGCACCAGAGATTGACCAACGGCATCGTACCTCGATGAGCTTTTCGGTTAGAGCAAAGCACTGCTTATCTGGCTCCTGCGTTTGGCTGAATGAGCAGGACCGCCATAGACCCCCGAAGCCCATGTCTTCAAGTATTTCGTTGAGCACGCCGGCGGACTCTAGAGCGCTTGCAAACTTGGGATTCGATGTCATGGTCTGAAACAGGTCATGCGCAGAAGACAGTGTTGACGAGTTCTGGCAGTGCAGTAGTATATCATCGAGAACTTGTGCAATGGGCGAACATCTGCAATAGCGGTTAGTCAGATCACCATGAGTATTGGTCGTCGCTAAATTGACTTACAAGTGCACAGCCACTGTTGGACGGCCTGTAGCCAATTCATTCAGCCAGAGAATTGTGCGGCTTTGCACACCGTCCTCCAGATATTGGAAATCGACGAGCTCAATGGCCGTATTCAAGAGCAAATCCTTGTCTTTGAGAGGAGCCAAGTCACGCAGGCTTCGTATCCGTCCGAGACTTGCCATGCTGGACGCTGGAAGACCCGACAAGTACAAGGCATCTTTGAGTTCGTCTGGCTCCACCGCCCTGGCTAGTATCAGGGTGAGATAGGGGGAAGTGATGATCTCGCGCGGTAATTTCTCAGCATCGAATGAGGAACTCGTAGTCGTCATCTCCAGAAATGCAGAAAGAACCCTTAGGGCAGTTGCTTTGGTCATGGTGTCAGTAAGGCCTCGAGTCAGACAGGCACAGACTGCATGATGAAAGTATTCGGGCGTGAAATGTATGCCATAAACATCATCCAGAGGTAGTGCAGCATCTTCAAGCTGAACTCTACCTTGGAGAAGAACTTGAGCCATCTTGTCATTTCGCAAGTCTCCAGCGGTGCCGATATTGGTAAGGACCGCCTCGAGGAAGTTGGCAGCGCAATTGAAGAGGCTGGATGGCACAAGGCGGAGTAGGGATATGGCAAGCCAGAAGAGCTGTAGGCCATATCGAGATGCCGTCATGAGCTTGCCCATCATCTTTGAAAGTGAGGTGACAATGGCAACCATCATCTCATTGTGGTTGTCTTCACCAAAGCGACCGACTGCGTTGCGGAGAGCTACGAGCACTTGGTAGAGCAGGTCATCATCTACTTCCTCTCGAGCGAGACAGCCCATGACAGTAAAGGCTCGAGGCTGGATGGCTGGGTTGTTTTGGAAGGCGGTGCTGGCAACCAGACTCATCCACCTTGAACGCCATGCGTTAGCCATGTCGACTGATGGCGCTGCTACAGAGCAAATCTCGAACAAAAGGGAAGCAAGATGTTCAGTCGAGGCAAGAGTTTGGCCAGTTTCTTGAGTAGTCGAGACAGATGCACCATCACGGACAAACGCGGGTGGGGGCGAGAAGATGTCGTTTCTGGGTTCTGACAGTGTTTCGAGACTGCTGCGGAGCCTGGCAAGCTTCGTGTCATCAAGCTTGAACGAGGTACAAGCCGCGTGTATCGTATTGATGAGGAGCCGGTGGACGAGCCCTCGAATATCCGTGGGTCCGGTATTTGCCAGCATGGTGACGACATGGAAAATTTCAGGCAGGAACAGCTGAGACTGTACGCCACAATCGAACGAAAGCGACAGGCAGAACTGGAGCAAGACACAAATCTCTGGCCAAACAGCGTTGTCGGGCAGGGACTTGGTCGGCCGCTGGGAAGACCGATTGAGTGACTTCCTCAGACGAGAGATGATCTTGCCCCGAAGCGTGATGGTGCCCATAGCTGTAATGATGGTGGTTAGGGACTGTGTGTGTTCGTCGTAAAGGCCTAAGCTCAGGGCAGCTTTTAGAATTTCCTCGAGGAATATGTCCAAGAGCGTTTCGTCTTTGTAAATGGCAGGCCATACTGTGAGCTCAAGGGTAAGATTCAAAGTTGGATCTGTGATGGCGACATCAATGATCTTGCGGAAAATTAGAGCAATCTTCTCCTTGGACTTTTCGCTGTCTGTTTCATCACCGAGTAGAGCGGTACGAAGGCCCGGTAGCCATGGCGCCATGTAGGCCAGGCTGAGTGGCTTCTGCTCATCAGAGATGCTCTCCCAGCCGCCAAAGAATTCGTTCAAGAAATCAGCTGTAAGCTGTGGCTCTTCATCTGCAAGGTGCTTGCTTATGTTCACAATAAACTGTGTGGGGTCCAGAGGTACCGAAATATCTATGTGTGCTTGTTTAGTATTGTCATCATGGTGCAACATCATTTGGGATACTTACCTCGAATCAACATGAACTTTGAGGCAGCCTTGAACTTGAAGGCTCGGCAAAGCGCCCCAAGAAGATTGTAAGAAGCAAGTCGAAGTATCGAGTCCGGCGCAGCAAGATTCGCAAGAGCGAGGTTCAACAAAGTACCTGGAACATCTTGGGGCCGGATGAGTCGCTCAAACGACTTTTGTGTTCTGGTATCCTTGCCATACTTTGCTTTAGCACCTCGAACTGCCTGAAGGACATCTGTCTTCTTTGCACTTTGAAAGTACATGACGATTTTGCCATTATCTGCGCGTAACCCGAAAGCGGAATCATCTTCCGTTGGAATTGAGGTTGGCGCTTCTTCAACTTCACCAAGTCGGAAAATATCGTTCACGGTTGCATTGAGGCGGAAGCCTGGGTGTACCTCTTGTTTCCTGACAGTGGTGACCTGGACAAATTGACTGCCGACTTTAATGGTAACCTCAATTTTGCCTCGCGTTTTGGACAGCCTGGTGATTGGCTGGAAAACGTATCTCGTATCAGTCACTACGCTGATAGTCTCCTTTGGCAGATGAAGTTGGCTCAGGTGGAAATGAGCTTGAAGATCTTGCAGACTTCCAATCAAATGGTAGTCAACGTTGCCGGGATTGAAGACGCTGGTGTCGTTCTTGGTTGCAACACGAAGCACACGTCGAAGACATTTTCTATTGGCTGTCAATACAAGACTACAAAACAAGAGCAAGTAAAAAGGAGCAGGAAAAGAAGAGTGTAAACATACCGGAATGCGCTATTCATGTTGTACACATAGACTCTTGACAGCTGCTGGGAGAGCTCTGAAGGGCACAGCAGATCGAGTTTCTTGAAGAAATCATCCGGAGGCTCGTTTTGGCCATTGTAGCAAGTGGCATCGATGAGAATGCCGAAAGGCCTGTGCCATAGACGACTGGCAATCTGATTTGATTTTAGCATTTCATTGTTGACATGCGCGGGTCTGCAGAGCACTGGCAAACCGCTGATTATGAGGATCAAGTTGACTCACCTTCAAGTAGCAGTAAAGCAGGGTATCAAAGTCTATAGAGTCTGAGTCGATATGGCGAAGAATAATACAGATAATAGACAATCCATCCTGGGGCAAATTAGCTTTTCGAGCACCATAATGTTTGATGTACTTGACCGAGAACAAACCTTGCTTTCACCGCCATCGTACACGGCACGGGATGTCATGAATGATTCTGTGCCACGGAAGGCATTGCGTAACATGAACTGTTGAAATCTAGAGTAGGCCGGCGGGTTATTCGAAGATATCTGAGGTCTGTTCCATGTAACTGCCAGCGGCGGTGGTCCCAGATTTGTAATGAGAGATCTGAGTGGTTCCAGGACGGGAGATCGACCACGTGGCATCTCTGCTGGGGAACGAACATATTCTCTCCTCTCTTGTGACATGAGCTTCTGGCGTACTTGATCCCAGTGATCATACAAGAACCTATGCAGTGCAACACAAGAGCCAAAATCGAAGGTCTCTGGATCTGGCTGGCGGATTTCGGTGGGATCCGGTGTTACCTAGCTGAGTTAGCGACATCAATGAACCTCGCTAGGCCAATCTTGTGCTTACAGATATTTGACGGAGAAATGTGGTGACATAGTAGATGTTCTCCGTGAGGAATTCATTCAAAGGGAACATGTATGGTTCTTTTGCACCAAAAAGAACATTGTTGGCCAAGTTTTGGACGACCTTTGCAATCAAGAGTAGACCGCGCCGCATCTCCTTAGAGGGAGGTGTACTGACCAGTCCCTCAACTTCGGGGGCAACGATGGCGGGACAGAAAAAGCGCAGGAAAATGAATGCACCAACAGCCGTGTATTTGGCTTCTGGAAACCTCTCCAATACTGCTTCGGAGATGATACTGCAAATCTTCTTGAATGACGCTGGGATCATGTTGGCAGAGGTGACTATGTCATCGATGAAGACCTTTGTTACAACCTTGAGCTGGAGAGCATTCTTTTGAATATCTTCCGGCGATTGGATGCCTCTGGCCGGATCGAGTTCGAGATCGAGATCATGGGATGTCAGCATCAATCGCTCCACGACTTTCTGAAGCGTATCACGAAGATATTGGGCGCCTTTCCATTTAGCGTATATGGACAGAACTTTTGTTGCGACACAGTTACGACGCAGTATCTCAGACTCATTTTCGGTCTCTTCGATTTCCTGCTTGATCAACCCTTCCATAAGGTCGAAAGCCCTACCACGGGATTCAAAGATGTTGAGCAAGGAGATGGTGAGTTCGTCGACCTCGTTACTTGGGCAGACCGTGGCTATAGCAACCGCAAGCTGCGTATCATGCGTCAGCAGCGACAAAAGCTCGTCGTATTTCTCGTTGACAGCAGCATCTGAGAGATTACTGAACTCTGTGCCTTGAACCAAGATATTGAAAAGCACTTTGAGGAATGCAGTTCGGATTTCGATGTTGTCGTGGTAGCCGATACTCAGGGAATGCTTCAGGCCTACATCGATATTGGCACTCAGTAAGTTTGAGAGGATGGTGATGGCGAGGTCCGAGGCCGATGTGTTATCATCCCGTGTCGCAGGAGGCACCAGATGATCGCTCCTGAAGCCCTCTTGCGACTCGTAGTTGAGCAGCGATAAGAAGCGATTAAAATAGGTGTGGAACATTTGGGACTTGAGCTCACTGGTGCCTGCATCATTGTGACCTTCGCCTGGTTGCAGTGGCAGCCTAAAGGTCAATTCGGCAAGTGAACGAAGACATGCTTTGTCGAGATCTTTCTGGACACGATAGACTTCATCCAATCGACTTTGGCCATATCCGCCATCTCCACGAGGTGACCTCGGCCGTGCGATCCAGCCAAAAATGAATTCCAAAAGTTGATTGCGTATGCGCACGTCGTCTCTTAGATTCAAATGCTCCTTTTTCTTGGTGAGAACTTCGCAGAGTTGGCAAACCTTGATTTTCACTCTCAGACAACTCATGTTGTCAACGCCAGCCTCCAGAAATTTGGCAAAATTGAGTGCCAGAGCACCTAGGTGCACTGTGGAAGCCGCCCCAAGGTCCGACGGCGAATGCAGGCGCTCAACGAGAGCTTTCAACAAAGAAGCGGCTTGCTCAGCGAAGATGATCTCAGAATCCGAGTTCTTGCCTGTGGTTTCAAGGGCGCCTGTGAACAAAACCTCGAGCTCGGACTCCAGTGCCTTAAACAGGGGATGGTAGAGATTGGGAGCAATTTCCGTCGACAGCACATCTCTCATCGTTTCTCTGACTCGGACGTTGGCGCATGCAAGTAGCTGGACACTTTGACGCAAGTACCGGTTGAGAAGAGGCTCTTCGAAATTTTCGGAGGACAGACGATCAATCCATTTCAAACCGCTGATGGCAGGCTCTTCCAGAACATAGGCCTGGTCAGCCGTGCAAATGCCTCCTAGCGAAGCCAGGAATCCAGTGTAATTGCGCCACTCGGATAGGGTTCTATCATCAACAGCATCGACCGGGGTCGTCGAGACGTCTTTGGACAGATGGAGCCATCGATCGAAGGCCAATTCCCAAGCATTTAAAATGCCGGCACTGGGAAACTGCATGCGCCGCAAGAGGCTGCGGATTCGCTTTTGGAACGCCACAACACCGGTGAATCTGAACGCGCGAGAGCCTATTTCCTCGAAAACGTCACTGTTGCGGAGCAAAGCGCTACCGGCCTTGATAGAATCGGATACATCGATCATTGCGCATTCCTGCTGGAACAAGGAAATGCATGATGTAACCAGCTGGCAGGTTTCGATGTCTGGAGAACACAATGATACCAAGAACAAAGTCTCCATTTTTGTAGCTGTCGCCGTACGCTCGGGAATCTCTCGGGGAGGATCAGTAAGCTCCTGTATTTTTCAATGAGCACTCATACTTGATAGGGTGTTGGTTGATCTCATAATATTACCTTTATGGACTCGAGTAGTACGAACGTAGATTCCAAATAGCTGTGGATTGATTGTAGCGTAGTTTGGTCACCATTTTGGGCCTGGCTGTCAATGATACTGTTCAGGACAGAGGAGCTACGGAGGACATTAGTTGGGATCAATAATACTTCTAGTCCAGGAACAACGTACGTCATGCGCCAGAAGTCGTGACGGAGATCGTCTTGATCCAGACGCTTGGTTTGTCGTAGGCGAGCCAGAACACCGTCCTGCGCAAATAGATTTTTGGCCACCTTACCAGCGAGAGCCCTGGTCTGCTCATCTGGCGACACCATGCAGGAAACCAACCCCGAAAAGATATCTTCGTAGAACTCTTCAGGGTTTTCTGAAGGTGGGTTCTCCCATAAGGACTCTGGCGACGGTTCGAGGAAGCTCAGTATGTTGCGTAGCAAGGTAGCATTCGCAATACTGGCTTCCGATGCCTTCCGCTTTGTAGTATGGTTGCGGCTAGCTAGATCGGACTGCACGGAGAATAGAGCCTGCTTCAAGTTAGAATAAGGGTCACCCACTTTTAGGCACGCAATGGATTACCTTCAACTGTGTCTGAATGAAGCCAATGGTTTCTAGGAACAATGGGCGATAACGCTCGGAATTTGTTTCTCTGACAAAGAATGCACAAGTTTGTATGATGGCAATCTTAAAAGTCATTGGTGAGGATGGATGTAGACAGACTTGTGCTAGAGACTCGACGGTGTCTTCGAGATTCAAGTGAGTCAGGAAATTAAAAGCCGCCGTAGTGATGTCCTGATCGAATAATCCAGCCTCACCAGCTACAGTGCGACGGAACACTGCGTCACGGACTTCGTCTTGAATATCCATGGCATAACTGATGATTGCCGTTTCACTCGAGATGTCGAAATGTCGCACAACTCGCAGTAGTTGGAGCACGCAATATGCTGCCGACTCATTCTTGTTCTTCAAGCCTTTCCTTAGGCCGTCCAGGTATTGCATTTTCTTGTTTATGCCACCAGTCTTGGACTCACGCAAGCCACTGGCCACCTCGAAGACTTCAGGGGTAAGGAATAGAAGACTCATCTGCATGGGGGATAATATAGCTCGCCTTTGATTGTTGTCCACGGCAGTCTGAGCCATGTCAAAAAGGGTATCGGCACCGCCATCAAGTCTTCTGTGCTGTTGGTGCAGCCGAACAAATTCTCCTGGGACACGGTCAATCCATCTCCGGATCAACATGGGCAACGCAACAGCGACCGTGTTCTGGAATGACTTTTTGAAATGGAGAAAGCTAGAGCATAGTTCTTGGATTACAAGTCCCATTTTCTGGCCATCAACCCATAAGTAGCTCATCAAGCGTAACAAGGTGAGAGAGTACTTTTCCTCTTCTGCCAGGGTTGTTGGCTGTGGTACACCGCCATGAACGTGAGCGGCGGTGCGAATGCCAAAAACAGTTGTCCTGAGATACTCGAACGCAGCGTTCCAATTGCTTGCGCTACAATACTCGACAATAACTTTAGCATAAGGTTCAACTTGTACCCAACGTTGGACCTTGAGTGTTGCAGGGTTTAATCCAGGCACATTGGTCGCCATGCGCAGTCCGAACTCCTCGAACTTGCCTGGGTCAAGGAAGTTGCGCAAAGTGTACTCGTCCAACAACGTGACTGAAGGCAAAACAAAATTGTCCGGCACTGGAGCCAACATTAATTTGTTGAGCTCTGTCAATCTTCCCACGAGTAGCCCATCGAGAGGCTCCGGCATGACGAGCCCCGGTGCCGGCTGCCCATTCTCGACACCTCCAGCGCCATTGGCAACCTTTTCTCGTTGATGTTGCCAGGCAGCAGTGCAGCAGTCGCCAATCAGACCGTACACGTAGGTTCCAGAAGCGAATATATGGTTTGGTTGAGCTTCCAAGGATTTGTACGGACGAATGAGTTCCTCCAGTAATGTTATCAGCGAATCGAGCACCAGTGCTATTGACGTGGCGCTAATCTTGAGCAACGAGGTGCGCGTAATGACGATGATTTCGTCTTGACGGAAGTCTTCGGCTTGGCTGCCAGTACGATGCGGGAGCTGGAGGAAGAATCGTTAGCGCATCTCTATGGGTTCACTCAATCTTGTACATATATACGGCGTCGCCAAGGGTTCGCCCAAGGATCATTGGGGGCGGAGAGAGGCCATACTCTGGTGGTGAGCCTTTCGACTAAGCAGCCGACAAGACCCGCATCGCCATTCATCTTGTGTTCCGTCGTCTAGCTATCCTGAAGCTGCTCCTCATCGTGACGGTGCCATGAACCTTCAAGATAGGAACGCGGGGGGGGAGAAGTCGCAACAAGAGGGCAATTGTTTGCTCGTCACGGTACTACGTCAATGTCTCAGATAATTAAATGCCGAAACCTCTGTCCCCAATTCCCAGCGTGGAATCAGCTGTCTAGGTAGATAGTTTGTCGCTTTCGTTTTTGCGGGAGATTCGTCTCCGGCAGGATCGAGCAGTGTATCGTATCGTACAGATGTCGTCGCGAACGAAGGAGCGTATGTAGTGTCGCCGCGTCTCGCTAGTAGCAGCACTTTCAGTGGGACGGACGGTGAGGGACGGTGACGGATGCTGGCAGTCAAGATACCTACGTCTCTCTCTTTTCTCTTTCGCGCGCGAGACTCTGCACTTGGCGACGCAATTACAGTCTCTGGGGATCAACCAGCACAGCGCGATATTTTGTTCAGCGAGCAGAATGGCAGCGAGCAAGCCAACAAGCCAGCAAGCGTCTGTCTGTCTGGATCACCACAACCAAGTAATAATAATTATTGCCGTCCGTCGAAATGGGTGCGGCAGCCCAACGCCATCAATCAAGGATGGTCTAAGTACCAATGCGGGGGTCCAGGTCAAGTGCTATCGGACGTGCTGCCCCCATAGCGCAAAGCCGGCCGGCACAAATAATCCACCCAGGGAGCAATCTGTGGACCTGACAGGCGCATTCCTTACGCCCCCCAGCAGAACTCGTCATTTTTCTTGAATTCCTCGTGGGGAGGGACACTACTGCCAACTCAATTTCCTTAGAAAAATCGGCTCTTGAATTTTTGCCCAATCTATGAAATCTATATAGTAGTCCATTGTCCCGTCTTCTTGCGGGGCACAACGTGTGCTAATTCAACTCGTACGAGAAGCTGAGGCCTTTAACTGTTCCCTCCCCATACTGTGCATGTTGAAGACTTTCCCTGACCCAGGCGGGCCAATGTTGCACAGATCTTCAGACGGAGCTGGCATCCACTTCCCAATGGGACAACGCTGTCCTTTGAGGGTGCAAGTCGCTTCGGAAGTAGCCATAAAATGGAGAGGCCTCGAGTGCGTGCTCGAGCCACGAGGTGCCCACCAAGAAGATAATTGCGATCCGTAGCAACTCAGCACCATGAGAACAACTTCAGAATTGGCCCTATTGTATCGCAGTAATCTATTCTAGCGTCTGAATCCCGAGATTTAGGTAGCTGGCGCGAAATTTCTTGGGCCACGCCCGCGATGCTATAGTCGGCTGGTATCTACCTACACTATAGCCCAAGGCAGGGATTCACAAAAAAAGTGGCTCACATAGAGTCAAGGGTGTTTCTACCCCGGCTGACCCCTATTTCGACTCTCGGCAAACGTACACAGTAGATATTGTACGTATGGCTCCCGGAGCCAGGATTCTACATCTTTCGCTCGTAGTACGGACTGCCTTTCTTGACCCATGTGCCTTTGGCGCTTCTATATTTGGTACACTTAATATTAAATTGAAAAAAAGAAAAGAAAAGATATAGATGAGGGCAGATGCAATCATGATACTCCGTACACGTTCACAAACATTGAACAAAACAAGAGACAAGAGGCGGGAGCCGCAATCGCGAGCTCGCTCATCGTTAGCTACGTGAACCTTCTACAGCACTTGCACAGAATGGTGCCAATGTTCATCTGCTGCTTGCCCAACGGCATCTGCCCGCCGCTTAGTCGGCTATCTATAGTTTCGACCACCGCGTTGGTTTCTGCCGTCGTCGTATTGACGTCGATCACGACCATACGACCCCGAGTTGTTGTTGCCACCGTAGCCGCCATAGCTTCCTCCATGAGGGGGCGGAGGGGGCTGATAGTAGTTTTGATGTCCACCGTAGTTGCCGTTGTGAGAACCTCCATATGAATTCTGTCCACCGTAGTGACCAGGAGGCGGCGGCGGCGGCGGCAAACCTGCACCAAAACCGAAGGCGCCAGGAGGTGGGGGAACCCATCCTGGAGGAGGAACTGGAGGAAACGAGTTCGACCCTCCATATTGCTGTTGGTGGCCACCATATGCTGGACCACGATCCGGGCGTCCGCCACGGCCGCCAGACATGCCGGGACCGTAGTCAATCCTTCCCCGACCTCTGCCATTGTATCCACCGCGGAACGGTGCTCCGCCATAACTACGTCCAGAGTTGCGCATCTTACCCTTCAATTCTTCAATATCATGTCGGTTCAGCGCAGGTGTTGGAAGCTCAACACCACGAAGTAGCATGGACTTATGAGTGTGGGAGCTGCTCGGCATCTTGTACACGACACTGCAACATGATTAGCATGCTTCTGGAAACATAGGTGTGATAACAAGAAAAACTTACGTCAACGAACGATCATCTTCCACGTTGGGCATGCTTTTACTCTCGAGTGGATACTCCAGAGTACCATGTGGGAGATAGTCTTCCTGCTTCTCGACTTTTCCGGACAGGCCTTGTGCTAGTCGCGGGTTGATCTTATACTCTGGTGCACCCTGCTTCTTCGAGTAGAAATGACTAGTGATGTCATCGTAGAGCTCTTGATTCGCTTCTGATAGAAGCAAAACCTCTTTTCCTTGTCCATTCCGCGCCGTGTCTGCAGCACTCAGCAGCGGGTACTTCTTCTCAGCTGCGGCCAGAAGACGCGGCATATCGATGAACGGTAGAAGTGCGACGCCTTGCCAGGCCATCTTCTTGCCATTGAGATCGACCTCGAACTCTTCAGGATAGAAATCAATGATTTCGCTGTCCGGATTTGTCATGAGGTCATGGAATTCAGCCGGCAAGACATGACGAGAGGCTGCAGGTTGGACACTGAGGAGTTGCTCGAAAGGTCTCGAAATCCTGCCCTTCTCAAAGTTGATCTCCATCTTCCCAAGGTCAACGAAATCTTGCGCAAATGGTGCGTAGTGATACGGATAATACCATTCCCAAGAGGGACAGCCCTGGAAATAGTATCTTAATACCCAGGCGAGACCCTCCGTGTAAGCTCGCGCGACTTTGTGGCGGAATTCGATGTCCTTGGGATCGACATGGAACTTCTGCTCGTAATACCTATCTGCGTAGCCATCCTCCCAGAGCCTGACTGTGTCTTCAGACGGATCGGGTTTGGGTTGCGCAGAGGGCGTAGCCGCTGAGTCACTACCAGGAGTGCTTGCTCCATCTTGCTCAACCAAATCAGCCTTGCGCTTGCCAAGAGCAGAGGGCGCTGCCGCAGGATCGTCTCCGTTTGCAGAGTTAGGCTTCATCAATCCCTGGATTTGGCTCTTGAGCACAGCAGCGGCACTCTTGTTGGCATTGTTGGCGTCATCGTTAGGTGCCTTGTTGATGATCATGTCATGTGTGAGCGCCTGTCCAGGCCCACCTTGCGAATTATCTTTGCCACCGTTGCGGTAGTCGTTCCTTCCGTTCCTCTCATCATTCATTCTGCGTCTCTTCGCAGAGGCTTCACGCCTTTCTTCAGTCTCTCTTCGCCTGCGGAAGATTGCGTCCTCCTGTTTAGCCAGGCCCTCAAAAATAAGCTGTGCCCTAGCCAAGTCCACATGACCGTCTTTAGTTAGATAGCCACCCATATGAGGCAGATTGTCCCTCCAAATAGCTATCAGCGTGTCGATACCGTTTTCGCGAATCTCCAAAGCAGGCAGATGGGGCAAGAAGTCGTTTCCGACAAAGAAACACATGAAGACCCAATCATCGATGGCCCTCTCCAGATCAAAGCGAAACGGAAGTCCAGGGACATCAAGCTCCACGGCGAGATATTCTCGCAAAGCTGAGACATGGAGCCAAATAAAGGGTTTCAGGGGCATAGGCTTCTTATCCACCAACTCGTCATCTTTTGGCTTGGCTTCGCCACGGCAGTCTCTGGCCTCATGGCCAGGTTGCCCGCAAAGTCTGCAAGTTCGAACCTTGCCCTGGTCAGCAAACACGTCTTCGCGTAGAACACGGAAGTGCGGTTCATGAGTGGCAAGACCCAGCATGATCAGATCGGCATCGAGACCATAGATCACATGACGAGTGTTGGGATCATGCTCCGGCGAGAGGCGCTGAGATCGAACGAAGTTCATGATCTTGTGCTCACCCTCACCTGGGATGGTGGCATCCGAGATAATAACCTTCATTTTAGACCAAGCAGGATCAGTATTCAGCTTGTAGGCGCACCAATATCTCAGGCTGCCAGCTAAGATGTCCATGAATGGTGTTCCAGGAGTGATTGAATTGGAATCGAATGCCTTCTTGTTCATCGACTCCAACGTTTCCGGGGGGAGAACACCACCATTCTGTTGCTTGATCATTTTATAGAGCTCCTCCTTGTCGGCTGCCTTCTCTTTGGCCTCTTGCGCAGATCGAAATCGTCTCGAACGTTGTTGGTTCATCTTTGCACGAGGGGCTACACCGTCTGATCATTTTGTCAGTACTGAGAACACCCATAGCAATTAAATGAGCAAGGGCCGTGAGCTTACCAATAGCAATCATGAGCAGCTTCCTTGGGCGAACCATGTTCACAACACGGTCAGTGTATTTGAACACTTCCAGCATCATCTCCTCCTCATCTTTGGGCGCAGGGCGATCCTCTGGATGCGAACAAGGATGGACTATACCGTTCATATCCAAATAGAGGTTGTCAAACTCTTCGCCGTTGGGGTTGGGTCTGGTTGTGTCGACAGGTATCGTGGATCCATCATCCATTTCGATGGGCTTATCCTCAATCACAGGAGATACAATCTTGGGATACTTGTTGGAAAGCCATCGGAAAGCTGCGGGAATACCCATCTTGGCGGTTTCAACGGAAACCCGTTAGCTGATGACGTTTGAAAGTGTTGTGATGGTATTTTATTTGGCAGCGCCTAATATGTCTTGGATTCGGAGGCAGCTGCAGGACTTGGTAAGTCCTCGCGATGGAAAATTGGACCCAAGCGACAGCGCGCGCATCGGCGTGATGAGTATATAGACAAGCGTTGTCGAACCGCAAGGTTTGTGATCGGATCGCCGTGTTGTCAGTCAAGTCGAGACGTTGGCAGTGTTGCGCGCAGTGTAGCAACTGCAGTGAGACTTCAAGTAAGAATGAGATACGAGAAAGAAACTATATCCTTCGCTGGCAGGTTAATGCAGCGCACAATCAATTGAGATAGTGACGCGACAGATCCCGGAGAAAGGAACAATAAGAAAATGGCCACTTGCGACCGCGGGTGGTGATGAATCTGAAATTCAGATTTCTTCAGCCTGGCGCGAGCTCGGTCCTTCAAGGTAACTGCGCTCACCTTTCTGACTTTTGAAAGCTACCTGTGTTGCCTGCAGCTGCCCGCTTCGATGTGATTGCGCTAGCCATGAGTGGAAAGGTGGCGTCGGTTCTCGGTGGTAGTAGCCGCCGACTTCGAAATTCAGGGTCCAATTCAAAGCTGTGTGCAAGCTTCAGAGCTGGATGCCAGAATTCTAGATTTTATTGCCGTCCCTGCGGAATGAAGACTCGCTTCTTGGCGATTCTAACCACGAGCAACAACTTGTTAGAAATCAGTCACATTCAAGTCTTGGAAGGAACAGGATTATCATCCAGAAGACTCATGAGTAGCTGTTAAACTTGAAAACATAGAGAGAGCTCGAGTACACTTGCAGTAGTATTCAATGTGTTGGTCACTCCTTATCTGCATAAATACAGCTAATGTCATATGATCCCTGCTGCAAGCTAGCGTAGGCCATACCTGTCCAGATGAAAGCCCAAAGTACATCACTTGCCTTGAATAACGCCCCAAAGCTCTTCATGAAATACCAGATACCATGAGTGCAGCTATTTGAAGCTCTGGGCCTTGGCATTTTGCTTGTGTTCTTGTCGCTTGCCTGCGTGATGAGCCGCGAAAGTCTAATCATTACAAATCGGTGACCTTCCCCCAATGGCCTCGAGATTCCCCGAACGATCAGTCCCAACTCTGTATAAGCAAACATGTTCTCGACCATTGCGAATGCGCCGGCGAAACAGTCCGTAGGCGAGACCATCGCGGTCCTCGGCGGACGTCTCAACTCTGCGACCCTCCTCGAAGACCGCCGTGCTGCGATTCTGGGACTGCGAAGTTTCGCCAAGGATTATCCTGCCTCTGTAGCGTCCGGCGCCCTGCGAAGCTTGATTGGCAGTCTATCCAAAGATGGCGAGGATGTCGACACAGTCAAGGTTGTCCTCGAGACCCTGTTGATGCTGTTTGACCCCAACCAGGACAGTCCAGAAGCTTCCGAAGACATAGCTCTCTGGCTAGCCGACGAATTCACCCAGAGGCAAGAGAACGTGACGTTGCTTCTCGACTTCCTCGAAACAAACGACTTTTACTCGCGATTATATTCTCTACAGCTGCTGTCCGCGGTACTCTCGGCCCGTGCTGACCGAACCGAAGCTTGTGTATTTGCAGCACCACTTGGCATATCCAGCTTGGTAGCTGTGTTGGAAGATCGACGCGATGCCGTCCGGAACGAGGCCGTTTCGCTTCTGACATACCTCACTCCCACTTCGCCAGATATCCAGAAGGCAATCGCCTTTCAGGGCGCCTTTCAACGGATATTCGCCATCATTGCGGCCGAGGGCGGCCTGTCCGAGGGCGACAGAATCGTCGAGGACTGTCTGGTCCTGCTGGTGAATCTTCTCAGACTGAACCAGTCCAACCAATATACATTCCGGGAAGAAGGATATATAGCCAACTTATCTCAGCTTCTCAAATCCACATATGAGCTCGGAAAAGAGGCCGAAGAGGTGGCGCAATGGGCACAGCAGCAGGGATCTCGAAACACTTACGCATTACTCGCTATTGTGCGGCTGTTTCTAACGCCTGGCGAAAAGGAGACGCCGCAGAACCAGAGAGCATTCTGGCAGCATGGCGTCCTCTACCATGCTTTGCAGCTTGCTTTTGCACAGGCTGCAGATGTCTCGATACGCGCGGAAGCGTTGACGGTATGCTCAGAAATCATCCGTGGCAACCGCGAGCTCCAGGAAGGCTTCGCTCAGCTCCAGGTGCCTAGTGTCCTCCCAAATGATGTGAACGGCGTCAATGGGAAGACGAATGGTATTTCCGTCACACTTGTGTATGTGATTGATGGCCTACTCGATCTTACCTTGAGTGTGACTTCGTTGCAATTATTCGACCTACGGATGGCTGCGTGCGAGTGTTTGAAAGCTTATCTATATGGTCACGACGAGATTCGACTGCATTTTCTTCATCGCGCTATCGAGGGGTATAGCAGTGGGAGCGACGAAACTGCTAATGTTCTGACTACCCTTCTCCAGCCATCTGCTTCAACATCCAACGATCCATATCGTCATTGGTTTGCATCCATTGTTATGTTTCATCTTCTTCACGAGACTGACGATGGCCATGAGCCAAAGGCCAAGACACTTGCCATGTCTTTGACCGAAGGCGATGCTGAAAGTGGTGAAGAGGTTGTGACCAGCATACAGACTATTACAGCCCACCTACTCAGCGGACTGAAAACCGGCATAGATGAACGCGTCATCATGGGATACCTCATGCTTCTCATCGGCTGGCTGTGGCACAATCCAGCCGGCGTCGACGACTTTCTTGGAGAAGGAAGCCATCTGCAGGGACTAACCGAGGTTGTCCAAGAACCGAAAAGTAATGCTATGGTACGTGGTCTGAGTGCCATGTTATTGGGTGTTATCTACGAATATTCCACCCGAGAGTCACCTATACCACGTCCGTCCTTGCACGAGGCTCTGCTGTCACGAATGAGCCGCGGTAACTACCAGGTCTCCTTGCGAAATCTCCTGAAGCATCCAATGATGCGGGATTTCGAGGTTATCCCTCAAAAGGCTGACGACTCTGGAGAGCTTCCGGAAGTCTTCTTTGATGCCACGTTTGTCGAATTCTACAAAGACCACTGCAACCACGTGATTCGTGCGATTGACACGGATCCTGCAATCGAGACGTCTGTGGTGGTGAATGGTGAAGAGAAAGGCGTTTCTCGCCAGCTGGTTGATGATCTCCGAGCAGAACTCGATGCTGTCCGTGCCAAACAAGATGAATACTACCGGAATTGGCAGTCGTCACTCATGGATGGTACTGCATCTAATAAACAGCTTGGACAACAACTGGAAAGCACAGTGGCAGAGCTGAACAGAATCAAATCTCTCAATGATGCTCTTCATCGAAACCATGAAAGCGAGATCAAGAATCTGCACCGAAAGCATGAAGAAGCCGTCAGATCTTCTGATCGCAAGTATGAAGAGTCTTTGAAAGTTTTGCAACGAAAGCACGATGACGAAGCCAGAGCCTACCAGCGCAAACATGAGCAAGAGACCAAAGCCCTGCAGCGGAAGGTCGACCAATTGGAGAACCAGAACAAAAGCCTTGAGGCCGAGAACAAGGATGTGAAGCAGAAGTTTGGCGATACACTCAGAGCCATTCAGCGTCTAGAGGAACAGCTTAAATCGACTGAAGAACAGGCTGCCAACAAGACGGCGGAAATTCAGCGACAACTTGATTATGTCAAGAAAACATCTGAAGCTGAAGCAGCTCGAAAGGAGCGCCGCACTGGTGCTGAGATAGCAGATCTCCGAGCCAATGTCAGCCGATTGGAATTGGACTTGATGAAGGCAGCCAAGACGCACTCAGAGGAGGTCCAAGGTGCCAGAGCCGAACTCGAGGCCGAGACTGTCAAGGCTAAGGAGGCCGAGAAACGCGCGCAAGACTTCCAAACTCAATTGCAAGAAGCACAAGAGTCGGCAAAGAATGCTGCTGCTCAATTACAAGCACGTGTTCAACAGCTCGAGACCGATTACAATGCCCGGCTTGAGGCTGCAGAAGCTGGAAAGGCAAACGAACTCAAGAGTCTAAGATCCGGTCTTGAAAAGAAGTATGCGGACAATCTCGAGAAAGCCGAAGCTAAGCTCAAGCAGGAGCACGCTGGCGAGCTAGAGGAGCAAAGATCCCAGTCCGAGAAGGCCAGGGTCGAGCTTGAAAAGAAGCATGCTGACAAGCTCGAGCAGGTCAGCGGAGATCTCAAGCGAGAACACGCTGATGAGCTTGAGCAGAGTAAAGCTCAACTCGAAAAGGCCCAGAGCGATCTCCAAAAAGCCACATCTCAGCCAAAACAGCAGAAGAATGATGAATTAGAAAAGGCCAAGTCTCAACTCAAGAAAGCCCTGGAGGATCTTGCAGAATCCAAGTCTCAGATCAAGAAATCTGAGGATGAGCTCAAGAATGCCAAGACTCAGTCAAAACAGCAAAAGACCGATGAGGTTGAGAAGCTGAAAGAACAGCTCAAGAAGGCTGAGGATGAACTTCAGAAAGCGAAATCCCAGTCCAAGAAGCAGAAGGATGGTGAGGTTGAGAAGCTGAAGGGCGAGCTCAAGAAGGCCGAAGATGAGCTTCAGAAGTCCAAGTCTCAGTCAAAGCAGCAAAAGGACAGCGCTTTGGAGAAGCTGCAAGCCGAACTCAAGAAGGCCGAAGAGAAGCTCCAGAAAGCAACGTCTGAGTCCAAGAAAACTGAAGAAGAACTGCAGAAAGCAAAATCCCAATCGCAGAAGGCCGAAGACGAGCTACTGAGAATAAAAGCCGAGTCGGAAACTCCCAAGGAGGAGCTCCAAAAAGCCAAATTGCAGCTGGAAAAGATCAACACCGCGGTCAAGCAGAAGGATGCCGAGCTCAAGACAAAGGATGAGGAAAGAATGGCTACACAGACAGAGTTGGACGATCTCCTCATGGTCTTTGGTGACCTTGAGGAGAGGGTGGAAAAGTACAAGGTAAGTCGCTGCACGCCTCAGCAAGCGCTCCTATGGTACATGATTACTAACTTCTTCTACAGAAGCAGGTACAGGAGCTCGGTGGAACAGTGTCAGACGCGGAGGACGACGACGACGACGAAGACGAAGACGATGAGGAAGACGATGACGATGACGACGGTGTTGACTAAGTTGTTAGTACCGTACTCTAAGCATTCAGAGTTCCTATCCCTACTGAAAATGCTATCAACTGAGTACAAGGAGCAGCGTCAATTGCCTCAAGTCTTTGATTTGACTCCGACAGTGAGGGACTCTGGCGCAAGTGACATTGACGCGATTCGCTACTCGACACTTTGGATAAGATGCGAATGAACGGACATCCTGGTAGTGATATTCATCGCAGGTAACTCAAAAATAGAGACAAGATGAATAAAATTTATTATTCAACTCATTCTCTGTAACAAAAGCTGTTTGATGGTGTAAGGCACCTGATGCAGGGGTTTTCTGTATCGTTATAGTGTATTCTGTACTATGCTTTATAGTACGGCAGGGATTGAAGCACTAATACCAAAATTGCTCCGGTTACTGCAATTTGTTGGACAAAAGAAAAAAATTATGCATTTATCCACTTCTGCAATGCGGCCGGCATGGTTCTCAGTTTTCGCTTTAAGAATCTGGTATCCACCACAATTTTGCTATTGCCCAATTTGTGCCAAAAAATTAACAGCGACCACACTCTTTCAACAATCTTTCATTGAAACTGAGAAACTAGAGATTATTGGTCTGTTTGAACGAGTATCAAGTCCGAAAATATGGCGCCACTCAAACCCGAAAGAGTCACTGAGCCCATCAGCGATTCAGAGTCGTCCGACTCGAGGGAGGAAGACGATGAGGGCTGGGATGATGTTGAGCAGGATGAAGAAGAGACCCAACAGGTGATCTCACTGCTCGATGACAAAGTATTCCCAGACGTCATGTCCATGTTGGAACACTGCAAAGACAAGCACGGCTTTGACTTTTTGGCCGTACGACAGAAGCTGCAGCTGGACTTCCACGGTTGTGTCAAGCTGGTCAATTACAGTATGTTTATTTTATTTTACCCCGAGGCCTATTCGAGGACTCACATGATCCGATCTATTTGATGAGTCTAAAGATCAATGCCCCATTCATGTTTCTCTCAGCGGAGTGTGAGATGTGCTGGAAAGGAAGCAAGGAAAATTGAAAGAACAAGCCTAATCAATCGCATGCCTGTCAAAGAATAATTGCTAATCTGCCCTAGTTCGCTCTCGAGTTCATGACGGCCAGACCGTGTCGGAAAACATTTCGACATCAGAAATTGAGTCAGATCAATACTTGAAGCCAGTTCTGGACGACGATGCCGTCATTATTGGCCTCTTTGATCTGCCAGATATTGTGCCGGAGAGCACTCCAGCGCAAACACAGGATGCCACCGCCGTGGACGACCTACTCAAGCGCAACACTGAACTCCAGGAGGAACTTCAGCGCATTACCGCACAATTTGAGCGCTACCGTGCGACAGTCTCTGAAACCCTAGACCAAAGATGGGGCGATGTCGAGGCCGCCGAGGCAGAGGCTTCAGCTGCAAAGGCTGCGGGCAAGGGCAAGGAGATTGCGCCCAAGAAGCCCGAGGATGCTAGCAAGTACTACTGGGAGTCTTATGCTGGCAATGGTACGTCCTATATAGATCCAAATGATGGCATCATTTGAGGCAGGGTCTAGTTACTTACAGACATGACAGACATTCACGAGACAATGCTCAAGGACACAGTCCGAACCGAGGGCTACCGCGACTTCATCTACAACAACAAGCACATCTTTGCTGGCAAGACCGTGCTCGACATCGGATGCGGCACTGGCATCCTGTCCATGTTTTGCGCAAAGGCGGGCGCCGCTCGCGTCATTTCGGTCGACGCCAGCGACATTATTGACAAGGCGCGCGAAAACGTCATCACCGCGGGCCTGTCGTCGACCATTACGCTGATCAAGGGCAAGATGGAGGAGGTGACGCTGCCCGTCGACCAGGTCGACATTATTGTCAGCGAGTGGATGGGCTACTGCCTGCTCTACGAGGCCATGCTGCCGTCGGTGCTCTACGCGCGCGACCGCTACCTCAAGCCCGACGGCCTCCTGGTCCCCAGCACCTGCAACATGTGGATCGCGCCCGTGGCCGATGGTGAGTACGTCATGGACAATGTGCACTTTTGGCGCGACGTCTACGGCTTCGACATGAAGGCCATGCAGTCCGGCATCTGGGACGAGGTCCGCGTCCTGCACTGGCCCAAGGCCACCGTCTGCGGCCAGCCCGCTGGCTTCAAGCTGCTCGACCTGTACACGATCAAGACCGAGGACCTGACCTTTTCCTCTCACTGGCGGTCCGAGCTCACGCAGGATGTCGACGCCGTCGATGGCCTCCTGATCTGGTTTGACAACTTCTTTTCGCCGACCCGGGAGGACAACAAGAGCGTTGGCCTGCAGTCGGTAGCGGATGACTGGGCAAAGGAGAACCAGGACCGCGTGGCATTCACGACGGGCCCGTTCAACACGGAGACGCACTGGAGGCAGGGGTTCCTCATGTTCAAGTACAAGGAGGGCGAGTCGTCGGCCTTCAAGAAGGGCGACGTGATTGAGGGAGACGTCACGTTTGCGCCTCCCGAGGACATGCCGAGGGGTCTGATCATCAAGACGAGCTGGAGCGCTGCTGGCCAGGACAAGAAGCATGCGCAGTCGTGGGATATGCGGTAAGCTATGTCTGCTATTTTTTCCTTACCCTTAGACATTCATGCGCTTGAACCCAAGACCATTTCCCTATTTCCTGGTCAGTTCAAGAGAAAATAGATAGTTCGAGATGAAAACCAAGAAAAGAAAGATCTAGAGAACATTTTAAAAGTATATGCAGTATCCCGCAGTGCGTTCAACCCTGTAATTTCTAGGCCTTGCTGAATACATGGCGACATTGTCGCTCGGAAATTGGCCATTTTGGATTTTCAAACATTCGGTCTCCGTCACAATATCCAATACATAAGTCAGCAAGTTGTCCTCGTGGTAATATTACAAGTCTATTGTGATTCCAAGTACGTTTTACGAAGCAGTAGATTGAATCTGTTTGGTATAATGTATGTAAGCTTCGGAATCTTCCTGGTTTTCTTTCTGCCTTTCTGTGAGGCCGCCCCTGAGGTATCAACGCCGCCCAATGCAAGATCAGGGCCTATTTCGCAATGCTATAGAGTCGAGGACCGAAACGCCGCCCTGAAATGCAATACTTTTGTCTACCGGATGCCGATGCGAAGGAAAAAAGCAGAAATTCTTGCTCAGAAATCTCGGAAAAGACTGACGAGGTCGTCCAATCTGCCGACCTGGCCAAGAAGTTTGCTTTCGATATCGAGGAACTGTTGGTACTCGTTGTAGATGTCACCTCTCAGCTTTTCTTCTTCCATACCCTCAACGTCCTTGCGTTGCACTACTGAGAGGACGTTCTTCTTCTTGAGGCGCTCAACCTCAAGTCGCTGGAGGTGGCGTGCCATTGCCTTGTACGTGTCGTTGACGACGCGTGCCATGGTACGCTTCTGGTCAAAGAACCATAGGAACAAAGTACGGCTGGCCGTTCTGTTGTTGTCGCGTGGCACTTCTTGAACCTCCAAATATCCTTGGAGCTCCATCTCCGCCATCTTAAGGTACACATCGCTCTTCTTCATGAGGGCAAAAGTGGGCAATGTTTTATCATCGATCTTGCCCTTGGCTCGGAGGACCTTGACCAGACGTAGTCCTTGTCGGCCAAATGACTCTTCGATCAAAGCATCAATCTCAAAGAGCTGAAGCTTAGGAATCAGATGCCCAAAGTCGACAGTCCATACACCAAGGTCCTTTGCGCCGCAATGCCTGACAAAGCCCATGTTGCTTTCTGCCAGAATAAGTAAGTGCTGGCGCATCTGATGGATTCGCTCCGTTTTCGTAGGTACACGTTCGGCGAACTTGACTTTCGTGTCACGAGTACCATTTTGGCTAGTGACAACCTTCGTGTCGCTTTCTTGCGGTCCGTCGAGATGATGACCATTCGTCATCTCCACGTCTCCATTGGTGGCCAGGCCGTCCACGTCTTGATTAGCCTCATCGCCTGGTGGCTCTGCCTGGATCTTTTCCGCATACGCGGTATTGATGGCGTCTGGGTCGCACTTTCCGATGCCGGAGAAAACATCGACTGAGGGCCTCAGATACTCGTAGATCTCGAGTGTGCTGACTGACGGAGCTTGTGGGATATCACCCTCTGAACTCTCTGCGTTCAGATGGCAGTGTTGCAGCTTCTTGCTCAGAGCAGCCAACATTGCGGCGTAGACTTGCCCGGTGATAGGCCCAATCATGTCCTCGGCATAGTGAGAGAGTCTGCGGTTTCGGAGTTCGACCATGCATTTCTGGTAATTAACGTGAAGGATGGTTTCGGGCTGCGTGTTCTAGTTAGCTGGTGTCGTGGAGAGATTCATCAGGTTGGGAACTGACTTCAATGATATCATCCCTGCTGGGAGTTGGATGCCCATTCTCAAGCTTGCGGCGCTTTACTCCCGGGGTAAGATGAAGATAATCTCGCTCCAACTCTCGCCTTAGTCTCTTGCTCTCGTCCATGTATGCCCTGAAGATTTGTGCAGTCTTCGCATTGTAGTCGTTCTTCTGTTTGGTGCCGCGCAATCCGGTAGGGTATTCCTTCATAACATCACGCTCGATCTCGACACGCACATCATCTGGTGGTTGAAGCATCCTCATGTTAAGAGGCTCGAGGATTCCAATAGCAATAAGGTGAGCTATAGTGTCGAAGGTTTGCTGAGAGTGATCATGGCCATCTTCGTTGTTAGTTGAAGGTTCAGAAACAGTCCCGTTAACATGGCCATTGGTCTGGTGAGCCTCGCCGTTCATCAGGCCGCCCGATTTGTGCTTCATGAGGGTCGCCACATCTATGTGCCCGTTGACGATTACCTGATGTACTAGGCCTCTTGCCTCTTCGCCGTAGCCACGGTGCACTGCATCAAGAATTTTCCCGACTCTTACGAGGTTGTAAGCAGCCTCGGGGTTCGCATCGTAATGTGTTATGTTCGTGTCAGGGTCGGTGTGGTGAAAGATGAGGTTCTGCTGTATCAGGACAGCAAGGCCGTGTCGAACAAGCCGTTGGTTCATGGACGTATGCAGTCCGAGTTGCTTGAGTGTAGCCCTGCCCTTGGACAGCATTACATCAAAGATGCGCTTAGCAGAAGCTGGTCAGTCAGGCAGTCTACAAATGTGGTAAGTGTTTGATACATACCGACGGGAGCTGGCCATAGAGCTCTTGGATGAGCAGAACGCAGAGTTCTGCAACATTTTTGGTCTGTCGCAAAGAAGTTTAGTAAAACTGATCGCTTGGGCAATTGAGACTCGAGGAGCATGATCATCCATAGAAAAAAAAGTTTTAATCCGACAGAAGGGTCTTTGCGGTGCGACGGGCGACTCACCACTAACATGACTGTATTTGCGACAGGCGCCTATCAATACCGAGAAGAAGAAGAATATCTGTATGGGGGATCCTCAATCGGCATCTAGAGAACCTCTCACGAACTCTAGAGCCACAGTTGCTACCGCAGAGTCATTGGTTGTCAAGAGGAGAGAAGCTTGGAGTAAGTCTTTTCGGTGGTCGGAGTCGAATGTGCAGTAGTAGCTTGTGCGTTGAGTGAGTGATTCAGCAAAGAGTCATCAAATTATCCAGTAGGTGCTCGGCGATCTCAAAGATGGATGCGACTTTTGGGCGGCAGAATTTCATAGTGGGGGCGGGAGCTTTTGCAACAAGGGCCCCAGTAGCAGAGGTGCGACTTTCAAATGCTTGCATCGATTTTTTGCATCGCGCTAACGAGACAGGCGTCTAGAGGCAAATGGCGAAGCCAACATTATGCTGCATAACTCGCCGCCAGCTGCCAAACACTTGCATACTGGGAGACTCGAAAGTAGAATTAATGGATCAACGACAACACATGAACCATGTGCTGTAACTTTGGGTAATATCTGGATTTATACATAAATTTCTTCTTCCGATACGTAAGATTAGCAATTCACAGATGATGAAATCAATTGATACGTTGCGAGCGTGGTAAAATGCTCACATGTCACCTCTAGTTGCGAATAATTGACTGGATTGCTTGGAATTTTCTGCAAGCTAAGTGGTCAGTCAGCCCAAGCTTGGGCCAATCTGGCGGCAGTTTTTCGGCTGGCAACCCGGAATTGGCCTGCATCTGCTTTTCGCTCTGAGGTCAAGAACCATCACCTGTGTTGACGCAGACCGTAACCTCGATCGTCAATTGTCGGCGACCACCCCCATCAAAATGTTCTCCAGGACGGCTCTTTCGAGAGGTGCCCAGCTGGCCACCTGCCGCCAAGCTTCCACCAAGCTTGCGCAGCGTCGTGGCTACGCTGCTGCATCGTCAGCTCCCTCTTCGCATACCTTCGAGACGTCCGATGTTGCCGGCGTCAAGGTCGCGGCCAGAGACTCTCACGGCCCTACCACTCGCCTGGCCGTTGTTGCTAAGGCCGGAACAAGATACCAGTCGGCTCCCGGTGTGACCGCTGGTCTGGAGGAGTTTGCTTTCAAGGCATGTCGGGCATTGGACCACCAGCCAGAGCGATGAGCTAATTAGACGCACCTGCTACAGAACACCACGAAACGATCCGCCCTACGAATTACGCGAGAAAGCGAACTTCTCGGAGGTCAATTGAACGCATACCACACCAGGGAGGCTCTCGTCCTTGAGGCCAGCTTCCTGCGCGAGGACATCCCCTACTTCACTGAGCTGCTGGCAGAGGTCATCTCGCAGACCAAGTACACCAGTATGTCTGTTACAGCCATTGACGCGATTTCATGTGCTCATTGTTATCTCTAGCCTACGAGTTCCACGAGGACATCGAGCGTGTGATCCACCTGAAGCAGGCCAAGGTTGGCAGTGACGTTTCCGCTCTGGCTCTCGACGCAGCCCACTCCGTCGCATTCCACACCGGTCTCGGCGCACCGCTGTACCCTTCGCCCTCGACTCCTCTCAAGAGCTACCTCGACGAACACAAGGTTGCCGCCTTCGCCGAGTCCGCTTACTCCAAGCCGAACATTTCCCTTGTCGCCGACGGTGCCAGCACTGCCGCCCTCTCCAAGTGGTCCGAGCAGTTCTTCAAGTCTGTTCCTTCCTCGGGCTCCGCCCTCAACTCGGCCTCGACGACATACTTTGGTGGTGAATCGCGCAGTGCCCACACTGGTGGCAATGCTCTGGTCATTGCTTTCCCCGGCTCTAGCTTCAGCTCTTTCAAGCCTGAGGTTGCTGTCCTGGCTGCCCTTCTTGGTGGTCAGTCCAGCGTGAAGTGGACCCCTGGCTTCACCCTTCTCTCCAAGATTGCTGCTACCTACCCAGGTACCACTGCTTTCGCCTCTAACCTTGCTTACTCCGACGCTGGTCTGTTCACCGTCCAGATCTCTGGTAACGCTGGTGTCGTGCGCAGCACCGCTCAGGAGGCTGTCAAGGCCATCAAGAGCGTCGTCGAGGGTGGCGTCAGCAAGGAGGACCTCACCAAGGCCATTGCCAAGGCCAAGTTTGATGCCCTGTCGAACAGCGAGGCCGGTGTCTCGACCATCCTTTCGGCTGGTTCTGGCCTGGTTCACACTGGCAAGCCCTTCCAGATTGCCGAGACGATTAAGAGCCTGGAGGGTGTTACCGCCGAGAAGCTGAAGACTGTAAGTTACTCTGACCCTGACCCAGACTTTGGTTGACTTCGATACTAATAATTATCATCTAGGCCGCAAAGGCACTGGTTGATGGCAAGGCTTCCGTCGCCGCCGTTGGTGACTTGCACGCATTGCCATATGCTGAGGAGCTTGGTCTGAAGGTATAGATTGGAGAAAGGCGAATGGATTTGTACAACATTCAGCTTTATGCTGTAGAATCGTGACTAGTACTCTGTGCATATAGTAAATCTATTAGAGTTTCATTGAGTTCAAGTTGAACGGGTTCCTCGAGGATGCAGTACAGAGCGTAAAGGTTGTAAGAGGGCTTGAATTTTCATTGGCTTTGTCTTTGGACAGGCGTTTGAGTGAAAATATGGAGACATAAATTACTATAAAAGAATAGTTCAGAGTTAGAATAATATGGAAGCTCTCTTTTCGAGTTATGACTTGAGGGCAATTGCATTGACTGTTGAATTGATAGGAACCATTAGCGTCACGTGATTGCTAGCTCGGCATTCGAATTCGCAGGGGCCGAATTTCATGGTAGCAGCATTTCATCTCTAGCAACAACTTTACTGTACCAATCAATCCCGACAACCCGAACAACAATCAAGATGGTGTTCGCCTGGAAAGCCGCCGGTCTTAGGTGAGTTAATTGGCTCTTTGCAATCCCGCATTGCAATGCGGACGGCCCAGGTCGAATTCGAAGCAGCAGCTAGCTAACCGGACGCCTGGAAACAGCTACAACCGCTACCTCGCGGTCGCATCTCGCGTCGTGCGCCGAAGCTTGAAGGAGGACAAGAGAATCGCTGCCGAGCGCCGTGGAGAGTCGGATCTGCGCTTTGCAAAGTGGTCGGTAAGTTTGGGCAAATGGCAATCGATGCGCGCGCCCGTAGATGACTGACGGATTATCCCTCAACGGAACAGAACGGCAAGATGGGCGAGACCAAGAACCTCAACGAGGCCAACGTGGCTGCCACCAAGGAGGCTGCCTCCGCATAAACGACCACGATTCGAAGACCGTGACAGCGGAGAACCTGCATGTTGGGCAATGGAGGTAGCGATATCCCCTAAGGTGCTTTTGAAGTTGGAAAGCTCAGCAGGCCGACGATGGCTTTTGGGCGCTGCACTGCAAAGCTTTGCCCTTGTACAGATGTATAAAAATCCTGAAACAATTTAGACTTGTTCTACCTCTGAAAAAAGCCAAATTATTGCTAAATTTGAATGTCGGATCTGTATTCCTATGGATTTATTTGCGTACTACCTACCTACATACGCTGTAGTATCATGCCATTTTGCACACTAAGCGGCAATGACTTGGTTGGACCTACGCCAGTTACCACGCCCCAAGCTTTTTGGGCGGTGGACGACGGGAAGGCTCGGCAGGTCTTTTGAGCCTCAACGTCTGCACGCCAACCACTCCAACAAACTATTGTCTATCCCTTACTTGCCGGTAGTCTTGTTACCAGTATCTTTGTTCCTTCTTGTCTTGTTCTTTTTTTGATTATAATCTTGTCCAAAAACTAGATTACACCATCAAGGCATCTCATATACCCGCCAGCGCTCTATGCCAAAGCCCGCTCAGCCTTTCGTGGGGCCTAGGATTTTCCTCATGCTCACTCAACCTTGTCATTCAACACATTCCGGGGTATTCGTCTATGATCTGCTCAGAGACACTGCCAAAGTGAAGAACATACGATAGTACATTCCTTACTCTTTTTTTATGTTTGTTTTTCGTTTTGTTTCTTCCAACCACGTGCAAAAGCCCGCATTCATCACTGATCGGCACTCACAAACGTGAACCCGCAACGGACATATTCACCCCTCGTGGGTCCGCCCAATTGAACTTTACCTCACCATGGACAAACCACTCCGGGCACCAGTCCCACCTCTGCTGCCGCAGATTGCCTCTCACCCCGGCATCATGGCAATAGATATTACGGACAAGTTTGCGGCCGCCGTCAAGAGTATGTATCACCATCAGACAGCAAACACCCAGTGGTAGAGAAAGCGTTGGATACCCTGCTAAACTATTTTGTATTAGAATTGGCGCCTGGCGAGCTCATTAAAGATGGCCACTTTACGCTATTCGAGTCCGTCTCAGCTCTCGAGGTGAGTTTACTATTCAAGTTTACTTACATGCATCTCTGAAGTACTTTATGCCAAACTGACTATTGATTATGCGCGCAGATCATGGACCCAAAGATGGACAGTGGCTGTCTTTCCGAAGGTGAATCTCTCGACGAGGAGTATGACGTAACCAAGAATCTGTTACCAGAAGAGATTCTGGGTATAATTGATCAGCTACTCTGCCTAGAGGTATGTGATCCTTGCAACATTTCTATCCAGGAGGGAGGAGAAGACTTATACTTGAAGGTAGATGGCTTGGCATCTTGGCTATCCATTGTCTCAAACACTCTTTACCAGTGTTCACCTCGAGACCCTTATGCAGCCTACGCCAGTATGCCTAGATGAAGCCAATTTCGACAGAGATTCAGATGAGTGGAGGAGGCAGTCGCCATTTCTGTTTGTTCTCCGAGCTTACGGCATAGCCCTGCTCAAGGGATGTTATTACGTCAATGAGCTTGTAAAAGACGAACTCTACTATGAGGTGTGCAGCCTTCAGACCATCACCATACATGCAGACCTCGCTCACATTTGACACAGGAAGAGGATTTCGTGACAAACACATATGACCGCGACCTCTTAACAAATATATCCCTAGAGGACGTCAACGAGCTGCTACGCAGTACTCGGGCCGACCTTCGGGCCATGAGCAACCAACTGTCTAAGGAAGTACGCGAGGCTCTGGACCTTCGTCTCGAGTTCAGAGTGGCATTCCTGCGCGCCATGGAACTTGTCGGCATTCACAAGGCAAATCCTGAATCACTAAAAACCCCTTGGATCATGATGGGTGGGGTTCTGGAGCATCTCAGGAAACAGCACTCGCTTGGTACTCCCGTGCCAGAAGCTTTCAGCACAAAGATGCAACGGCGTCTGGCCAGCACAATGCCCCCACGGCCCATTGTTCAGCTTACCTTCGAGGATACTTGCGACCACTTTAAGCGTATGGCTGAGGACGGCAAAGAAGCAATGGACATATTGAGATATTCCGACCCCCAGAGTCTCATGGTAAGCCCCTCTGCAAATGGTATATTTCTGCTTCATACTAATGCATTCAGACATTTGTTTCCTCTTTTCAAGCTAGGAAACCACAACCATTGGTAATCATCAGAACATTGATGCAAAGTCTCATGTTTAAAGAGATGATCGTCTTGGGTTCATATAGTATCCGTCACATTTTAGACCATGATCTCTCGATCGTGTGTCTGCCCAATGCGCCACAGATTGACCCTGTCAACGACACGATAGAAGTGCCAATGGATCCTCGCCACCAGACAGCCGCCCAGATGGAAATATTTCGTCAACGAGTGGCCGACTGCTATCTTGACATATATCGGATATTCTGCCAGAACAGATGTCGTGTCAGGCGGACCCTGTGCCACAGTATACAGGAATGGGATCTCCTCCAAGCCGATGTTGAAGAGATCGATACTTTGCTCCAACACACATTGGACGAGCAAATGCATACATCGCAGAATGGACCCGTTGGCTATTCACTCCCGCTCTCCTCATGGGCGTACCTTTACAAGTTACGACAAATGGAATGGATCGTCCAGCTTGGGTTTGAGCTATCCGTTTATCAGCTTGACGAACTTGCCGGCATGTACTGGTACCTCAACTACGTCGCCAAGACTCGAGCACAACATGGCGACCGAATCAAGACCTTTGTTATGCGATCCATGTTCGAGGCTAGAAACGCCACCAAGACTTATAGCCCCGCCAAGGAGGAAAAGTACATGAAGTCCATGTCCTATATTCGGGTGACCATGCTCGATGCAGCATGCACATGGGAGTTCGCCGACGGGCTCTGCTGTCTTTACACTGTATTGCAGCGTCTGAAGCTGATCAAGCCTCCGCCACGGCCATACAGTGATGATCTTCTCCGATACGAGATCCGCATGAAACCTTTTGTCAACATTGGGCTACCCCAGCTGCCATCCTTTGATGACTTTACAAAGGCCACACTGCAGCCTGAGACGTCGATTCCTGACCTGCTCAAATATGCCGACGGCGCCGTGGGCGGAGCAAAGAAGGGATATGAGGCCTTGAGTCGGATGCAAGAGCAGAACACATTCTCAGTCGGATGCCACGACAGGTGGCTTGCAAATGTCAAGAACTGCCAGAAAGCTACCATCTTTGCCGGCATTGCTGTGAATATGTTGCAGAAGACGATAGAGAAATTTGGCGATGGCCTAGACGGTGAGCAGATGGGGCTGCACGTCGAAATGCCAGAAGAGGGCAAGGGATATCACGACTGGTGGATTGTTCCCAAAATTGTATCAACCGCATCATCGTCAGCGTAACGACGCTTCGGTCACGTCGCCAATAGGGAGGACAGTGGATTAGAATAGACTTCAGAAGATGATGTAACGCTGTTTAGACAAGTATTATTGCTAATTAGATATCAAGGCCCATGCAATCCGCATTTGGAGTCTTCTATGTACTTCACACATCACAGCCGCTGACTATATCTTCTGGGTATTTTCTCTTTTCTGTTGGGCCTGTGCACATGGGACAATGTTTTTTCAACCACTAGATGACACAACGACAAATCTACGATGACTATGGCTGAAAGCCAACCATGGCAGCAGAGAGGCTAGTGACCTGCAGTGGTTCTCTCGATTGGCATGCACACCCACGTCGTGGCATACAAGCCGATGTAATATCGCATACAATAGTAAGCTTAAGCCAGGGCCTTCTTGGCCGCGGTGCCTCTTAAACGAACAGTCTGCTCGTAGAGGACGTCTTTGAATGCAAACAAGAAGGCTGCAGTCAAGACACTCTGCGTCACCTTGGGAGCAATGCCTGTTCTTAGTTAGTAAGATGTGCCTCGAATCCACTTGTGTTTTGGACACGATTAATTCTTCCAAAATTATAGGCATACTCACCCTTGTAGAGTCCCTTGTAGCCCTCCTCCTTGATGACACGGTTGATGGCTTGTCCCATTCCCTCGCGCTGGCCGTTACCGGCGACATGCATTTGCGACTTGACCGTGATGTAGGGGTAGGTAATGCTGGTGGCGAAAAGCTTGCCGAGGGCGCCCAGGACAAAGGCAACGCCGGGCGTGATGCGACGCTTCTTTTCGACCACGTTCTTCATCTGCTCAAAGAGGGTGTACTGCAGGATGGGGTTGATGACGAGGACGAGGGCGGGCACGACACCGCGGAACAGAGCCTGGGGGCCTTCCTCCTTGAGGAGGGCCAGCAGGGTGCCAATGGTGGTCGGGCTGCGCTTCTTCTCGGCGCCCGGCTGGCCGGCGCCCTTTTCTTCCTCAATGTCCTGCTTGCGCGTCGTCATGCGCGTGTTGACGACCCAGATGGGGTTGGTGAGGATGACGGTGGCGGAGCCGGCGAGGGCGCCGGCAATCATGGACTCGACCGTGGTCAGCTTGCTGCTGGCGCGCCCGGCCTTTACGGCGGCGGCTTCGAAAAAGGCCCGCGTCCACTCGTACCAGTAGTAGTAGACAAAGTTGGTGACGCTGATGCCAAAGACGGCCGAGTCCAGCCCGGCGTACAGGCCCGAGACGCCCTCGCGCGCAATGATGCGCCGCACCGCCGTCAAAAAGGGCGTCTCGCCTCGGGTCGACTCAACTTGTGCGCGTGTCGAGAGGGTGATGAGGGGGTATCTGTTATGAGAAGGTCCTTCGAATTAGCCGGGGCAAGATCCCCAAGTCGATTGCCGATCACGGAGGAAGAGAGGAAGATGTAGTTCAGGAACAATGCGAATGGATGCAAGGAGAGAAACCCTACGTCAAGATCATGGACAGCACGCCGCCTCCGGCACCAGCCAGGGCGTGCGCAACATTGTCATTCTGCGGAATAATGGGTTTCGATGCTGCCGGAGCCATGTTCGTTGTTGTTGGTTGTAGTTGTTTATACTGGATTATCAGTAGTATGTGGAGTCTGTAAAGTAAGAGGTGTGAATAGGTATCGTGGTTTATCTAGGTATCGGTTCAGTCCGGAGCAACGAGTCTGGTATGAGTAGAAGAAGCTGATAGAGAGCAGACTATTGCACTCATATCCCAAAAAGCAAAAATGTTTCTTCTTTCAGATGATCGCACACCGTTCACTTTTTGCATCGGCTTGGGGTGGGAAATGAATGGAGCTTGTTCAAAAGAGATGAAGCCGAGGTCCGACTGATGTCACTGGCTTGCTGGCAATTCGGGTGTTTCCATTGATGGTCCTCCATCAACTGACAGGCGGGTAGTTTAGGTACGCGACTGTCCCGCCACCCCGCTGGGCAGCTGCTGTCACTGAGACTCTCAGCGCGTGACAACCCTCCTACCACCTATCGGTAGTGCTGTTCCCCCCCATAACCCCCCTGTCCCCCGCGTTTTCCGAAATGTCTCATTCCATTCAGACGTTTATGCTTGAATCGAGCAACGGGCTTTCACATGTCTCTCGAGCTCGTCGAGTTTGGGTTTGTAAATCATGCGCACTAGATCGCCCCGTCAGAACCGGCTGGTTTTCTTTATCAGTTGTTTATCATGATAGGAATGACAAGAGTCAAGAATATTTTGATTGACACTGATTTCTATCTTCTTGCTCTTGACAGTTCAGGCACAGCTTGTTGTAGCTGCACTTCAATAAGTTTTATAAAGTGCTGAATTGGCTCGTGTTACTCAGATTCTGAATTCGGCTGGCCATGTCTGTTGAAGAGATGAAAATATACACGTGGTTTCTGCGAGGCTGTATTTTTTATTCTCTTCACCAGACCAGTTGCGACGAGGCTTGTCTTATGTGCATGTAATGCCGCACTGGTAGTCGTATGATTTTTTCCCTCTCTCTCCAAATCCATAACAAGTAAATGTACTACCTACCTACCTCCTCGGTGATGACCTGAAGAGGTATCTCTAGGCTACATATGCATGTGTACTTGGTTTCAAACAAATATACCAAAGATTAAAATGTCCATGAGTTCTCAAGCACAAAATCAACCTAGCCAGAATAGACAAATAGCAAGAGACCTGGGATTTCGAGAAGCACCGATCGAATGTCTTGGCTACCTGATACTAAAGTGGTAGGGACTTGGAGGATTGAAGCACAACTCTGCTGGATCATGCAGGTTGTTTATTGACAGCCAGCATTCTGCCACTTGCACGCCGATTTAGTACTACTATGATCCCAATGACGTTCCACTCGCTATTTTTTCAAAAGTTCTCAAAGAGAGGAACAATGCAAATTGTTATCAAGAACAGACGAGAGGCAAAACATCTCAGCTCGCTGCATACCGATTGTATCCGTTCGCATGCATTGCCAATGATCTATTGCCAAAGCAGAGAGTGCATATTGCATCACGTGACAGGTATATAAATAGCAGAGACAGGTTGGGGGGGTAGTCAAATCTATGTGTGTGTGCCAGTGTGTGCCATAGGGTGGGTGGTTTTTTTGGGTGGCTGAGAATTGAGGGACGGCCCCTCGGACCCCATGTTCAATGATCCAAAAATAAACCTCCTGCATTTGCGATTTGTTTTCACGACACGATGCGGTTTTCTCTCTCGGCGCCTGAAGCATTTCCGCCCGTCGCCTTTTGCCATTATCCCTTTGCTATCCATGGCCCATGTACAATGAATGTCAGCGCAAGTGTTCAGCTGTGGATGGGCTGAATCAATGGCTCTCTTCGACCTTGCTGCCTTGCAACGCAGACACGCTCTTCGGCACTTGTCTAAGCTTATCCTGATTACCTAGGGTTTCTGTATAACCCCAGCTTCTGCTCTGCACTGCGGAAGACTGTGTGTTGAACAAGCCACTGCAATACTCTCGAGCAGTTGCCCTGTATATCATTGCCCGGCTGCGTCCAGGGCACATTCAACACAGCAATTCCAGGTCGTTCATTACCTGTGCAGCGTGTCTCTTTTCAATAAACTTTTACAGCATACTTTTGATGTCGGTTCTTCTCAACAATCATCACAAGGGATACATCAGGTATATATCTCAGTCATGATAGCAACTTCTGTGCCAGAAATGACGGAAATCCACCCAACTCCGCCGTCTTCGGCCAGCAACGCCTCTCCAGAATCTCTCGCCAATTCTGTTAGCAGACACGGTCTACCAGACAAGAATGTGACCAGTGACTCAATCGAAAATGCCTATGTTGCATTCATCTTCTATTGCAATCCTGCGGTTCCGGCAGAAACCGACACGACCGCATTAAGAGAAGGTTTCCGGGTCCCCCCACGGAGCGACGGCAAAGCCTTTAGCACATATACTCTTTTCGAGCTCATCAAGATGCTCAACACAAAGGAGCTCAAAACATGGGCTGACCTGGCTATGAAATTGGGTGTTACGCCACCAGATACTGGTCAAAGTTCTCAGAAAATACAACAGTATGCAGTGAGGCTCAAGGTTAGTGAAAGCATCTCAACGCCGTATCACAATCAATCGCTAATATGAGTCGCTTAGAGATGGATGCATTCCAGTAAGTCCGACGCCAGATGCAATTTTCTCGAAACAAACAAAAGCTCTGTAACATACAGATATTTTTTCTGTAGCTCATTCGCCGTCAGAAGCAATCACTAATCTCGATGGTGCTTGCAGTGCACATTGATGCTTTCTTTGATTATCTCCAAGGCAATGATCATCCGTATTGGACACAGGTACCTACGGATACGAATCCCTTACGCGCAGAGGGCAGAGACGGAGTCGCCGCCGAAGACGATATGGCACTCAGATCATTACTACCGCATATTAGGCCTCGTCGTGGCCGCCGGAAACCAGAGGATGACCTGAACAAATCTCCTTCACAGAGACCACGGATGGACTCGCCAAGTCTGGGCGAAAGCCGACAGAATGTCTCGGAGCCCTGGACAGCCCATCCAGACGGTCAACGAGCCTTTTTGTTCCCTACACCTGACGAAGCTAGATCTAGCATTTTGCCCGGAACCGGTTCGACCTTTCCATGGCCGTCTGAGCTGAGCCAAACGCCCATGACAGCCTATCCGCAGTCAGCCATGACACCAATCAACGGAAGAGGCTTTTGGGCAGATGAGCCTCGCTCGGCCATAACACCAATGAAAATGAGATCCATGGGACGGAGACACGGTGCAAAAGTGGTGTCGTCTGCTTGGCGGAGTGGTGGCTCCGGTAGTACAGGCAAGACACGCGGAAGGCCGCCTCTGCAACGTGGGACAGACACACCCTTATCTGCAGTACCTGATGACGATTCCACAGGCAAGATGAATCCATTCGGACATGATACACCTCGATCAGCACATCCCGCGTCTGCCATGGCACAGAGTTTTGCTGGTGCGCCCACCTCGGCTCCGACATCAGCACCTACATCCGCACCTACCTCGGTACCGACACCCACATCAGCAGGTCCCCATTCCTCACGACCAGGTCGGCCCAGCGGGCTGTCCCTGCAGGTCCCTGAACGGCAAGGTGGCAATGTGAGATTGGCGACTCCACCACCGCCAGTCCTCATGGTGAATGGGCAGAGTACGCCCAACGGGACCGATGCAAACGAGATATCAAACTCGGCGTTGACACAAGATGCCGATATTGCAAGCGCATCAACACACTACACAGGGAGGAAGTCATTGTCGACAACGCCGATCGGGATGCAGAGGCAGCCGGCGGCGCCGGTTCAAGATGAAAACATGATCAATGTGCGTGAGGTGGAAAGCCTCTTTGTATCCGAACTTCTCGTCGCCGACTGGGTCGACGGTAGCGGCAACAGCATCCCCCCTTGCGGCATCGAGGAAGCCGAGGCCATTGCCAAGATGACCATTGGCAACATGCAGAAGCAGGCGCTCACCCCCGAAGCTTTTCTCATCAACCTGTCGGCGCTGGCCGGCGGGAGCATATTGCAGAGGGGGGTCAGGGCGGTGATTACACGAACCGAGGACAGCCCAAACTCGAGCCGATACACCTGCAAGTGGGGTCTACGGTACGGCGCCTTTCGGGGCAGCTTTTCCATGACCGAGACGGTGCCGCATGCCGCGTGGCAAAAGGAGAAGCCGCTGCCCGGCGGGGCCAGCGCGGTTGAGGCCGACGCTAGCCACTGGAAGAGCAAGTACGAGGAGTTGCTGCGTGCCGTCAAGGCAGACCATGAGCGGAATACAGACTTGAGGCTGGGTGTCTTGGATTCACTGAAAGGACCTCATGGTCATGATTGAAGGCCAAAAAGGACACCAAAGGATGCCAAAAGGTGTTCCAGCACAGCCGATAGAGAGCTGTGCAAATGATGCATGTGCTCTTTTGTAATATTTTGGATGGGAAGTAATGGAGTTTTGTCTGTTTTCTTCAATGGATACCCATTTCTGTTATCTGCGGAAAGTTTTCAGGTTTGATGTATATAATTCAAGCATCATGGTGTTGACAAAGATGTGGGAAAACTTTGATACCGTCGAGGTGCGGGAGTAAGATATAGTATACCTACCTAAATAAGATGGGCAAGCTGAACGGAATCATGCCTGGAGCTTGAACTTTGGAGAACAGTCCACTGCCAGAGTACGTATAAATATGCCTGCATGTCCCAATCGGCAGCCGGGTCGGGGAAAAGGCGACGAGTTTTTTTCCTGGAGTGACTTGATGCTACCCAAGCACGTGCGGGATCAATGTTTCAATGTACGTAGGTGATCGTGGTGCTTTCTGGGGGAGGGAAGCACGGGAAACGTATGGGTAGATCCGACTTACAACCCCTTGCTCGCTCATGGGCAAGGCAAGATCCTGTAAAGATTATCTTATCTTTTTTGCATCACACACGATGATGCCGGCCGGGTTCTGATGAGGCTTGCTTCCATCTCAGCCTCACGTGGGCGTATCTGTTCATCATGCATACAGTTACTTATTTCTTCGATTCGGTTCATAGCAATGGGCATTGATGTGTCTACTTGTCTGCACTTGCTGATACTTTGCTGAGTCGTTCGTAGGGACTTTCGGCAAAACAATAGGAAGTGATCAGGTACGATGGCCACGGTGAGTATAGCTAGCCACCCGTCAAGCAATGGATACTGGTATGGTAAGATGATCGTGGCAGACGTGGCGGCAACGCTAGTCCTGCCGCCAGCCATCCGCGTGGCTTGAAATGCCGATATACAAAAGACTAGGATACGATTCCTGTGCGGGTCAACTCCGAGTATCCCCTTGGTTACATGGTAGATGAATTGAAATTCATTCTCTTCAACAGGCTATCGAGGGCGCACCGCCAGATTGTAGCTACTGTTGTTGCAATTCCCCGTTGCTTGCCAATGGCCGAGGACTCGATCCCCAGTAAGGTTGAGCAGGGGTTATATGCAGCAAATCCACGCCATCCAACCCAGAACAGGCCAGAGATGCACCCATGTATCGCAAAAGTCACTCAAAAGTAGAGGGAGACTCGCACACACACACACACACACACAGAGAGAGAGAGAGAGAGAGAGAACCAACGCCACCATAGTTAGCCTCTCTTACCCGTGCCGAGTTGTGTGGAGCTCAGACAAGTAACAAAAGTCACGTCCAGACATTGAAAGCACCGCCGTGCCGACACCCAAGCCTTAGTCGGCTACTTTTTCTACGTTTCTATTAGCCGATTCAACGCGCTTCAATCTAGACGTATGCTTGGTGCCGGTAGTACTACTGTAGTAGTAACCATGGGGCCGGGAATTGATTGCGAATACGTGAGTACTGGTGTTTATGGCTTCTTTTTCTCTCCTTGTGTCTTTTCTGAGCACCGATGTGCTCAAATTGCACCGTGACTGGTCGGTCGAGCTGAGGGCCCACGAGGAAAGCTGCAGAAAAGAAAGATTACGTACTGCTTCGGCTCCGGATCACCATTTTCAGTATAATGTGTTTATGAAGTTGGGAATTATTGGTAACGGGCGCTTAGTAGGGGACCTGGCTAAAGACTTTTGGTCAACAGCCCGTAAGCACGTTAAAAAGTCGCGCCAGAAGAAAAAAGGCCACGGCAATCATTGATAAGCTGCATTTCTCAATTGTGTAAAAGATCGCCCCTTGGTGCTACCTACATTGCCTTGTATGTGAAGCGACTCTTGCTAGAGGAGGTAAAATGTGGGTTTACCGTTGCTTACCGCAACTTGCGCATTGGTGACTGGATGGGGATGGAGCCTCGGGAGCCTCAAAAGAAGACCCAAAAAAACAAAATGCCTTGGAAACTAAAGATCCTATGCCTGGCAGCCTGGTTGATCCAAGGCGTCGCTTGCCGGTATCCAACCCATGGAACAATGACGTGGTTCAGCGGCGATAATACTTGCTAGGGGGGTGACGGGCATATTATTCTCCCTGGACAAGGGAATTGGAATATGGACATCTGTACGAACTACATGTAGCGACAAAACAAATCCCACCTCGGACTTCGGGTTCTGGATTGTGTGGTTTTTTTCTTCTTTCCTTCTTGGCTGTCGCTGCTTCAAGCTTCTCCAAGACGAACCGTCGAAATACCAAGCCATTCAAGCATTGTCTTGTCGCCGCCATTTGGGCGGGTTTGTCGAGCACCAAGAACCGCCAATATCTGGGCGATGCACGAGCTCTGGCCTGTGCACATTCGTACTTAGACATGAAGCCCCGGAATCCTCCGCGGCAAAACAATCTGAATACTGTATTCTGTACATATCTATCAACATTTTTGGCTTTTTCTATTTTTGTTTTTATTCTTCCCTCAATTCTTAAGTTTGGCTTGACTGTTTTCAGCGCTCCAATTTTCGCTCGTCCGAAAGCAAGAAGCAACGTGCTAGTACTTTGTAGTAAGTTACATTAGGTAACCTACATCTCTGTCCAGTGACAGTTTGCTGGAGCTTCCCCATGGGCAGGACAATTTGGGGTGTAGATCCTTTGCGTCGGGTGTTTGGGGAAAAAATTGGAGTTGGCTCCCCCTCCCCAAAATCATGGTTCCAGGCTTGCCAGGGGACTCGACCTTGCTTGAACAGTGGAGTTTTTTTTGCGGGGGATTTTAGCAGATTTAGGTCATCTATGTCCGTTCCCACATGTTGCTCCTTCTTTGACTTGGCCATTCATGGTGAAGCACGAAGTAGTAGTGAGAGGAGTGAGGAGATCTTCTCGCGATCATCGCTCGGCCTCTGCGAATGAGCTATCAGCACCGTTTGTGCGGGTTGCAGCAGACACGAAACGGTCTCTTTCTCCATGATAGTGGCCCAAAGCTGCGGGTCAACCACTTGTTCGTTGATTTGATCAATGATTCTCTCTCATTGATTGCCTGCCTCAAGTACCAGCGACTCAAGCATCAAAAGCCATGAGCGGCGAAACAAGCACTTTCTATCAATGTCCAGGTTAATCCGATAGCTGACGGGACATTGACTCGACGCAGTCAGCCTTGGCGATGATCATCAATGAACATAAATGTACTGTCGGAGTAGCAAACATGTTGTATTGGCTCACTCTGTTCCAACCACCAGAGTCTCCTCACCATGCTAATGTATGCACATGGCCCGTCTGGTCTGCCCATCATCGCCCCATCTTGAATGGTCCGCTTCAGATAAGCGCTACTACTAACCTCTAAGCAAGCTGTTGGGTTTCGACACCAATCCGGCCGGGACCATTTTTCCCATATTGCTAGCCTCGCTACAATTCGACAATCAAAATATGAGCACTCACAACAAGAGAGAGGGAATGAGAGGAACTCTCTGGGCTCACTCCATCTGGTCCATCTGCAACCATCAAGTCTCGAAGCGAGACACTCGGGCCCGCTTCTACATAGCTAAGACATCAAAACATAACTCGCCCATCAGACTTCAGAGACTCAAACCCTTGCAAGTTAATTAGCGAGAATGCAAGTTCCTTGACCTTGGGATATCCCCCAGTGGTCGATCTTTTACCATGGCAGGTCATGGCGCTCGATTCAATGTAGGATTAATAGTACTTGTTTCCATACAGATATTCGGCGCTGCGTAGTCATCCCTTTAATGTAAGCCGCCTTCTCACCATTAGCTTCAACGGAGCAGACCGTCTTGGATTGAGGTTTGACGCCGCTACGCATCACACATACTAGTATGATCATATTCGGCCAAGTATCGCTCAAGTACCGTATCGGTCACTCTTAAGCCGAAGGTTTACCTTCTAGGACGGGGGGGATGGTCGAAAAATACCACGCTATGTTGATCCCTTGCAAGTCCCCTCCGCATATCATTCAGGCCACCATCCTGGCACGTGCCATGCAAAGCGAATTCCCCGTGCAGGGACTTTGGAGGTTCCTCATATGTCATTTGCGGAGAGCCATGTAAACCCCAGTCGAGTGTAGCTGCAAGGTAACAGCCACTTACTCTTGCTTGCTTGGTGTGTGGTGCATCTCGAGGTTGCCCGCCCCCAGGTCAAATCGAATCCTTCAGAAGTGATACAAAAGCATTCCAATGTCTCCCCGCAGTCTGTCACGCGTACATCTTCCGTCTCTCACCTTTTCGCTTGAGCTGTTGTGAGTTCTTACCCAGCTGTGGTATCTGGAAAGAAGGCTGTTTGTTGTTGCTCTTGTTGCCAACTCAGTCTTGTCGTACAAAGTGCGCTGGAAGCTCTAATTGATCATTCCCCAACAAAGCTCTTTGTTTCGCGAGAAGTCAACACCCAATTACTACTGTTGCCGCGACAAGATTAGACAATCATCATGGCGGACGAGGTCAAGCCTACGTGAGTTACTAACTACGGTTCCGACAAAGACATTCTGGCTGACACGACTCAGGGCGGTACCCACGACGCACGATACCTCGGGCGCTGAGAAGGGACGTCGTGCTTCTATGGCGGCTGCCGAGGACATCAATGCCAACATCAATGCTCGGTAGGTCCAATGGACAGGCGGTACATCATGACAAGACCTTCAACTCACGTGGCCTCAGTATTTCAAACCCATTGAAGGGACTCACCCACGATGAACTCTTCAGAAGAGTGGACGACCTCATCGACTCCCAGGGCCTTCAGGACGAACGCGCCCTTCTGAGAAAGGGTGCATTGGTCGCCCAGGAGCCAGAGAGGTACGAGGAAATCAAGGGCGAACATGCCCTGACCGATGAAGAAATCGAGTGGCTGCGTGTTGAAGTCACTCACAAGTGGCGCGTCCCCAAGCTGCTATACATGACCATCATTACTTGCTCCATTGGTGCCGCCGTCCAAGGATGGGATCAGGAAGGCAGCAATGGTGCAAACTTGTCATTCCCGAAACAATTCGGTATTGGAGACGAAACCAGGGATCGTGACACCTTCCTTGTCGGTCTCATCAACTCTGCCCCTTACATTGGCTCTGCTCTCATTGGTTGTTGGTGCTCGGATCCTCTGAACAACTACTTTGGACGCCGTGGTATGTACAAACTCCAGCTGTAGACAAGATAACACATGAGCTGACCAGCATCAGGTACGATCTTCATCTCTGCCATTTTCTGTTTGATCACCCCCATCGGTGGTGCTTTGACACAGAATTGGCCACAACTCTTAATCACGAGACTTCTACTCGGCATTGGTATGGGCATCAAGGCTTCGACTGTCCCAATTTTTGCTGCTGAGAACAGCCCGGCTGCGATTCGAGGTGCTTTGGTCATGACTTGGCAGATGTGGACGGCCTTTGGTATCCTTCTCGGTGTCACGGCGAACTTGGTTGTTGGTAGAGTGGGTGACATTGCCTGGAGGTGTAAGTGCCGAAATCCTTTGCGTCCAAACTGATTTACGGCTTTACTAACATGGATAACTTCTAGTGCAAGTTGGATCTGCATTCATCCCAGCTATTCCGCTCTGTATCCTTATTCTCTTTTGCCCCGAATCTCCTCGATGGTACATTAAGAAGAACCGCTACAAGGATGCCCTCGGCTCGCTCATCAAGCTCCGAAACTCCAAGATCCAAGCTGCTCGCGACTTGATCGCCATCGATGCACAGGTCCGACTCGAGCGCGAGGCTATTGGCGATTCTACTTACATCAAGCGTTTTGTTGAGTTGTTCACTATTCCTCGAGTCCGAAGAGCGACGCTGGCTTCCTTTGTCGTCATGATTGCTCAGCAGATGTGCGGTATCAACATCATTGCCTTTTACTCGTCCACCGTCTTCAAGCAGGCTGGTACCGACGACTTCAACGCCCTGCTCGCCTCTTTCGGTTTTGGTGTCGTCAACTTCCTCTTTGCTTGGCCAGCCATCTGGACCATTGACACGTTTGGTCGCCGCTCCCTCCTCCTCTTCACGTTTCCCAACATGGCGTGGACTCTGTTGGCTGCTGGTCTTTGCACCTTGATTCCTGGCAAGGGCGGTGCTCACTTGGGTCTCGTGGCGCTGTTCATTTATCTGTTCGCAGCATTCTACTCACCCGGTGAAGGTCCCGTGCCTTTCACTTACAGTGCCGAGGTTTTCCCTCTATCGCACAGAGAGGTTGGCATGTCATGGGCTGTTGCCACGTGTTTGTTCTGGGCTGCTGTTCTGTCCATCACTTTCCCCAAAATCTTGGCGTCCCTCGATGTTATTGTAGGTTGAAGCTCATTGCGCATGAAATACTTGAAGAAATCTCCTGCTAACCCCCATGACAGGGCGCTTTCTGTCTGTATGCCGGTTTCAATGTTGTGGCGTTTGTCATGATTTTCCTCTGGGTCCCTGGTAAGTCGGCTCCTACAACTCTGCATCCTCAAATCCACGTATTTACTAATCGGGAAACCAGAAACCAAGCAACGTACACTCGAAGAATTGGACTACGTCTTTGGTCTCCCAACCGCCAAGTTTGTCCAGTACCAATTCCGCAAGGCCCTCCCCTGGTGGTTCAAGCGATGGGTGCTCTTCCAGAAGGGTGCTGTACTGGAGCCGCTTTACCACTTCGACTCGGGATCCGACTCTGATGGATACGGCGACGACAAGGCGCAGACCGGATTCTCCGAGACCAAGGAGCTACACGGGACACCTGCTCGAACGGAGCTTGGTACTGGCCCTGGATCGACGGCTGAGCCAGTCGAGGCGCCCACCGATAACGAAATAAGCAAACATTAATTGACCATACACCACAAGTATGGTCCACGCAGGTTGCTGAAAGAAAAGTAGTATACCACGGCTCATGATACTTGGACTGTGCGGTTCATACTGACTTCATGATGCGGCTAAGGTCTGGCAAAGATGTTGGCATGGTGCCGGCTTTTTGAGTGCGGATATATCGACCTAGGGTCTTCTTCCATTCTGATACCATTTCCGAGCTTTTCTTAAGAATACCCATTGAGCTATAGCTTGAAACAAAATCAATGCAATTGCTCTCGCATGACAAAACAACTGCTCTTGTTGGAATTCTTCGATCGTGACCGTTTTGAAGAGTGTTTTGTGTCATCATATACGAAATCGAATTACCATTTTATTAACAAGCACACACAAGCCTCGATGAATTTGTGCCTCTTCTAATATTGATAGTCAAAATTTAGCACATCGGTCGACATTATTGATTTACCATTACAGGTATCATGCACACATCACACGGTCCTACTGTCAAGGTTTCATGTGATGATACCAAGAAGATAGGTCTACGACCGACCACGCTGCTTTTACTAGACATCGTAGATTAACAACACCTTGGCATATCTCGTATCTAGACTGGCCATTAAAGTCGTACATGAGTCGAATCAAGAGTCAAGTCGAGCCGAGGAAACAAGTGAGGCGAGTCAGCAGCTCCTTGGGGGAGTCCCACCAAGGGGAAGAGATGCAAGGCGGGGGGATTACGCGGCTGAAGAATATGCACGAACGCCTGGTGAAAAGCACGATTTATTTTTTTCTTGTCTAAATGAGAAAAAAAAAAAGATCACGACTGTGAAATGGCACTTGTTCACCCCCCCGGCTTGAAGACAGTTCTAGAACACTATCCACTAACAAGGCTGACCCGGTAGTTGGAACGAAAAAAAAAAATTACACAAACGAGGCAGTGAGAGAAGTCTTTTCACGATGTGTCGCGACCGAAGGAAAATAGGCCGGTCTAGACACTCGAGGAGATGGGACGATGTCACGCCAGTTTCGCCGGCAGACCCAGTAGAATACCTAGCGGACACCTTTTCTTCTTCTTCTTTATTCTGGAATGTCTCTTTTTGCAAGCTCTTTTTGTGAACAAGATCCGGGGGAAATTGTTCAAGGAGCAGAAAGGTACACAGTAGTCGTGGTGCAGTGTTTCACAAATAGACAGCCGCCAGGCCAGGGGTTTTCCGAACCTACATCGTAGTATGCATGTAGTAGCGTCAACGGCTACAACGGCTTTTTGCAAATCTCGATTTTGTAAACTTTTGCCCCTGCTCTATGAGAAAGAAGGAGGCAATGAACGAGGCATGCTCAGCCCAGACAGAAGAGAAACTGAGATCCGAGGCAATGGACTGTTAACGCAATAGAGGCGACTACCATGACCCCGCGCGGTCGTGTTCGTGATGGCTGATGTAAAGCAATGACGCACGCAATCGATGATTCCGCGCGATCCTTTCTGGGCTGAGTTTCCCCTCTAGCGTGTGTGGACACGAGCATTGTACGTAGTAGTAGGAAATGACCCTACTGTAGTGCGGACGGTGTCTAGAAATACGAATACTAATGTAGGAAAGAAGAACTCAAAGGCCCCAAATTGGCAGTTCTGGAATTGCTCAATAAGCGCTCCATGAATAGGCATTATCGTGATCAGCAACTAAATTATCAGCAATACATTGAATACAGATTGATACGTGTTTTCTCTTATGAGTATCTTTGTCATAATAAGAAAATTTTCTTGGGTTAGCTGAAAATGTATAATATCCAAGCGAACTGAGGATCTTCTTTTGTGGCTGAAGCCGGCGCGTTTGGCATGTGGGCTCGTCGGTGGGGAAAATGGGCCAGCGTGAGCACTGACTGCGATCTGGGATACCAACTCGCGTGCGAGAGCCGCAGTGGACCAACTCAATAGTTTCTCTATCTTTTTCATCTTCCTTTTTGTTGTTTATTATTATGGATTCGGGACCCTGGCCATAGAATTCGAGCGGAACCACAGTTGTGGGGGAGATAGGTGGGCAGTCGGTGATGGACAACAAAGATCAACCTGTGAAAATGGCATATGACGGAAAAGTTGCGGAGCAAAGGTCAATGACAAAGCTTGACGAATAGCAGATCGTCACCAAGATCGGATCTTTTCAGCTCCCCACTGTATCTCTCATCTGTGTAGATCATTGCGACTCCCCAGGTCTTTTCGTAGTCGTCATTTGCAGATCGGATATCTCGTGCGGACGGACGAGCGGGTGCGTCAATTGTTGCAACTTTTACAACTTGTCTCGTGCCCAACCTGTGGAGGAGGAAGTGGTCGAGATGGTATAGTCGAGAAGAAAGTTGACACGATGGAGCATGACAAAGGTAAACTGCTGCTGGTCGTCGTTCCAACACAGGGAAATGTCCTGCTACTGTGAGCAGGATTGGCAGGGAGCTGCTTGTTTGTGCTGCACTTCAATGTTGGCTCTGAACTTGTGTTGGCCACTGGTTGCTCGTGTTGTCCGTTGCCAACCCTTTTAGGAAGCATAAAGGCGAAGGATGCGCTGTCGATATGGTTGACCTTTTGGGCCTCCATACCTGGGCGGAGCCCGTTCTCGGTGGGGGGGATGAGGAACATGTGCGATGTCACCTTGGGTGGATGGACCCTTTTGCTTCTCATGCGCGCGTTGACGACGTCTATGCGGAATGCTTGGACCATGGGCCCGGGCATTTCTTACCTGGTAATCAAGAACCACCAAATCTTGCATACAAACGCTTATACCGGGAAATGGCACTCACCTGGGCATTTCAGAAAACGGAAAACCGGCTTGCTCTTTCAGTGCAAATAAGACAAAAGCTTTTTTTTAAGGCCTGCCAATGCCGCACTGAGCACTTGAAACAGAAGTTGAAGCCAATCGGTGGCATTTCCCCTAATGATGGATTTGCTTAAGCGGTTTTAGAATGCTGTCAGTGGCTTTCCAGGGACCCGCCAAACCCCTGCCGCCGAGAGAGGGGCGGCGTCACAGGGGGCCTTCAGCCAACCAGAATCGACAATTGATCTCTCCACGCCCCTGGATTTGGATTTTTTCTTCTGGTTATTTTTTGGTTTTTGCGATGCCAGGGCCGGGGGCGGCAGCCGGCATGTCGCACGTTGAGCGCCGCCATAGAATGGCTGCTTGCTATTGAAACGCGCGGGAGCTAACCTAGGTGAATGAATCTGCTGTCTGTCTTTCGCTGGGCCCCGTGGACGTTATACACAGTGTCCAAGAGCGTACAGGACAGAATTGCATTCCCATTGGATCCCTCGGCTTGACTATCATGTAAAGTGTGAAGAACGGCAAGCCCTTGCCTTACATTAGCTTCAGGGGATTGCGCAAACCTCAAATCCAATTAACTGACTAGAAGATCCATCCCAGGTTTGGTTGACGGGAACAGTAACCTCTTAGGTAGACGCCTACCTAAACTAGAGGCCGCTTTTGCACGCCGGGCAGGTACTCTCTCCACTGCAAACAAAAGGATTATCCACCAAGCGACATCATCGCCTTGGTTGCCCGCAGCCCTCTACTAGCCTCTTTTTTTTTCTTTCTTTCTCTTGCTCATCTTTTCTTCTATCCGTCTGCCAGTCCTTTTGGTCTTGACTCGATTCTCTCTCTTTTTTCCTTCTTCTTCCTTGCCCTCATTTATACAATCCTAGAGGTCTTTTCACTCCAAGGCCAACCATCCTCATCAACATTGGCCCCTCCAGCATCACTATCACATCCACCGGGGTGTGATACACATTGGACCACTCTTTGTCCAACCCACTCCAGTATTGTTTGCTCATTTTCGCAAAATTACACTCTTTCACCAATTTGCCTACCTAGACCAAACTCTCTTTCTTTGGGAAACTTGGTAATTGCCCGGTGCAACCAGGTCTTCTGAACCTCTCAAAAAAAGCATAATCACTACGGTCCTGGCAGATTCGTGTGCTGCAAGATCGCATACTACACCGGCGTCGGCTCGCGTTTAAACACCGACCACTTCACCCGCGCACGCTGCGTCACCAGAAGCTCGCCGTTACTGGCTGCACCTGGCGATGCCGGTTTCGCCTCTCTCGTCCCCGAAAGATAGAGGTTTCCTGCAACTGGGCGCCTCGCGATCGAGTACTCTCGACGACAACATGCAGGGCATTCCGCTCCAGCCAGTGAGGAGCACGGCGAGCTCTACGGGAGCTCGCAAGGCGAACCAGGCGATTGGGAACGGATTTGATGGCACCCAATCGCCTCCAGAAAACGAAAAGAATGCCTTGTACACTGGTGCCGGCCGCAGAAGGGCCAAGAAGCCAGACCCCCCAGGACGAGTCAATTCGTTGGGCTCCGAGGAGTTCTCGCTCAATGCGATGGGCAGACTGTACAACAAGATTATTGGATTCTCCGTGGTTACACGATACCTCGTCTACATTGTACCGGTTGCCATTTTGCTGGCCGTGCCTCTGATTGTCCTGCCGCTCGTCGGTCATAAAAATGACCCAGTCGGCAAGAAGACGACGACGGACTCTGATGGCAATAAGACGACCGTCGAGGGTCCGTCCCTGTTCAACCTGTTTCTCTGGATTGAAATCACATGGCTCACACTTTGGGCTGGCAAAACTGTCGCCCACTTGATGCCTCCGGTTTTCATGTTCGTCTGTGGTGTTGTCAGTTCTGGCACCCGTAAATACGCACTGGTGCTCCGCGCATTGGAGATCCCGCTCTCGCTATTTTTCTGGGCTCTTGCCACCTGGCTGACCTTCAAGAACCTGTTTGGTAGCCAATACGATTCCTTGGGATGGGTGGAGACCATGAAGAGAATCCTTGGTTCTCTGTTTGTCTCCTCGGCCGTTTTCCTGGGCGAGAAGACAATCGTGCAATTGATCAGTGTGACTTACCACCAGAGATCTTTTGCCAACCGCATCAAGGACTGCAAGCGCGAGGTTTTCCTGCTTGGCCTTTTGTACGACGCCTCCAGGACCCTCTTTCCCATGTACTGCCAAGAGTTTGCCGAAGAGGACTACATCATCAACGATAGTATTGAGATGATGCTTGGTAAGCGAGGTCGTAAGGGTGGCAGCGGTACTCCCATGAGGCTGATAGGCAATGTGGGACGTCTCGGCGACAAGGTGACCTCAGTGTTCGGTAATCTCGCTTCTGAGATCACGGGAAAGCAGGTGTTCAACCCAAATTCGGCCCATTCTATTGTCGTGGAAGCTCTGGAGAAGGTTCGAACTTCCGAGGCTTTGGCCAAGCGCATTTGGATGTCCTTTGTCGTCGAGGGCAACGAATCATTGTTTGTCGATGATATTATTGAGGTCCTCGGCCCGGCGCATCGTGAGGAAGCCGAGGAGTGCTTCGAGGCTGTCGATGCCGACGGTAATGGTGACATCAGTCTTGACGAGATGATTCGCAAGGTTGTTGAAATTAGCAAGGAGCGCAAGGCAATCAACCACAGCATGAAGGACATAAGTCAGGCTTTGGCTGTGTTTGATAGAATCCTCCTCTTTGTTGTTTTGCTCATCGTTATCTTCATCTTCCGTGAGTTTCTTACCCATTTCTCCATATTATGACGGTGCTAACATGAAAAAACAGTCGCCTTCTTCCAGAGCTCCTTCATTACTACACTCGCTACTGCCGGAACTGCGCTTCTTTCACTCTCTTTCGTGTTCGCCGTCACCACACAGGAGTTCTTGGGTTCTTGCATTTTCCTCTTTGTCAAGCATCCCTATGATGTTGGCGACCGGGTCGACATTGTTGGATCCGAGAAGCAGCAGCTTGTTGTGGAACGAATCTCCTTGTTGTACACCATCTTCAACCGTATCGACAAGATGCAGATCGTCCAGGTGCCAAACATTCAGCTTAATAACCTGTGGATCGAAAATGTAACCCGCAGCAAGGCAATGAAGGAGGTCATCGACTTGAACGTGTCCTTTGACACTTCATTCGAGGATATCGAGCTACTCCGCCAAGAAATGGAGGCATTTGTCCGACACCCCGACAATGCGCGCGACTTCATGCCTGATCTGGTGATTGGCGTTGGAGGCATCAATGACCTGGATAAGCTCACGCTCAAGATTGCTATGAAGCACAAGTCGAACTGGCACAACGAGGCTGTGCGGGCCACCAGGAGAAGCAAATTCATGTGCGCGCTTGCGCTTGCCGTCAAGAAGGTTCCTATCATTGGCCCTGGAGGTGGCGGAGAACCTCTGGGAGGACCTTCCAACCCTTCGTACTCTGTGACGGTTTCTGATCAAGAGGCTGCTCGCGCTAGAGACAAGGCAGACAATGACAAGGATGCGAAGAGATTGGTTCCCATGAAGACACCCCAGAGACAGCCTTCTAGTGCGTCAAAGTACTCATCAACTTCACCCGAATTGCAAGCCGCCCAGAACTTGAACACCATGGGTGCTGCGGCACTTGCTGCTGGCGACGATTGGGGCTACAACAGAGACGATGACCCTGGTGCGTCCCTCGACGCCTCGAATGATCGCTTGGAGAGAATCCGCTCGAATGAGATTGATAGACTGCGGACTGATCTTCATAAGACTGAGTCTACGCGTGGCGGACGTCGTCAAGCCGGTACGACCCTTCCTGCGGACCATTTCGGCAGCCCGACCATTCAGGTAACACAACATGAATCTGCCTTCGATGAGGAGGCGCAGATTGAGAGCGCCCAAATCTACCAAAGCCCAACCATTACACAATATGGATTCACGTCCATGTCCCCACCATCTCAAGCCGGCACTTCCAGTCAGCCCGGCACCAGCAGCGGCGCAGGCGTGCCGGCGGCTAGAACAGAGACTCTGCAATCATCCTCATCACGAGGCTCGAGACCTAGGGGCGCTAGTGTCTCACGAGCATTGAGCAGCTCCCATTCTAACAATCCTTATCAGCAACGGTAAACGGCTCTCACACTTCTAGAAAAATAGAAAAGGTTCTTTTTGAGGAGTCATTTGGGACTCCATCGGCGTTCAGAGGGAAGACTTTGCCAATACGACAAAGCAACTTGCATGCCAGCACTAGCGGCGACCTGTTATAAGCATTTTCACAGGCAAGGCTTTCACCATGATAGTCAAAAAAGACTTCAGGAAATAAACCCGAAAACACATTACGAATTGTATATATCAACGAAAGAAAACAAAATGAGCCGGAGCGGCCACACTAGCAAATCCTGTAACCTAGTTGTATCAGTTTCACCAGTGACAATAGTAATATTGTATTCGAGCATACGTATCATACTTATGGATGGATATATATATATATACCCTTGAAAGTTGAAGCGAATACACTTGGTAGAATAATGATCTGCTACCTCAATTCCCGGGTTATATGAGACAAGTCGTCAACCAGCAGACCCGAGGTACCAAACGAGGAGGAGCCAAGAACCACTGACCGGCATTAAAAGGCCTTTCCATTGAATAAAGATAAGCACCCAACGCACCCTCCGCCTAATGCCGGAGGGATGAATGTGGGGGAAAGGACCCCTAAAAAAAAGTGTTTGGAAGAGATAGAGAGAGGAGAGAGACCATCACGCGAGCCGAGCAGGTTGATCACACGCTGCGCCCCACTTATACTTGGCACACTGCGAGTCAGAACAGCCAGTCATTCTTCAGATAATGTAAGTTGGCTGCATTTCTCACCGCTCTGCGATAGGTCAGTTTTAACACATAGCAAGGAAAACGTAGCCATTTCTGTTAGGAGAATTGATAGGGATATCCGTTCCGTTTAGGAGCTGGTTGAGGATTTCCCGGATTACCATGGCTCTCTGGGCTGGGCACACACACCACCTTGGCCTTTCCTCTCAAACCGGCTGTGCTATGATGTCGGTACTTGGTATTTCTTGTTTTTCTATTCGGCTCTCGGTCTTATGCAACTCCTTTTTTTGCATTCTGATTTATACCTGTGACAATCCTTACTTTTGATGTATCGTTATTTATTTTCTATTTAAATGTCCAACAAAGCCCAAGGCTAGCATTGCAGTCCCACTGTCTGTGTTCAATCTGATGAGAGATTGGAGATATCCCACGCAGCAGTAGTCTGACCTCCAGCCGCATCTCTGGGAAAGACCCTGCAACCATTGCGTTTGAGCGTTTCGTGACAGCCAAACGAATAGTCCGTATGTGCTTCTTTCTGTGCCAGTGTCATATTTGTGACAAATTAGAAATTAGAGACGACTAACGCAGGTGCGAAGCGGATAGTTTAGATGAAGCCCTGACTCGGACGGGCAAGTCGAGATAAGAGACGGCGTTTCGTTGGAACCATCTCTCGCGACCCGACAGCCGTATACTTGCTTACTGCTGCGCCTTGAGAGTAGTTGGTCGGCATACTCAAAGGTTCCTGCATGATTGTTTGATTACAGTTTGGCATGCACAGCGAATAGTACCTGCCATACTACAGAATCTGACCGAAGGGCAGCCATTCTTTTTCGCTTGATTTTTTTTTTTCATGACGAATACGCCATCGGCCTGCCGAGGTCCACGATGAGTATACATGAAGGCGGGCTCGGAAAGCCTTGCGGCCTCGCTGTCGTCAATCGTCCAGTATACCAACCTGGCAAGAAACGCGTTTGGTCACTGCCCCTGATTACCAGCATTATTGGCCTGGCGGTGTTCTATCATTTCCTATCCACGTTCCTTCCTTCGCCACCAATACACTGGAGCAGCATAGCGGACACGCCGAGTATTCCGGAGGCGATCAATGGAAACAGTTGGGCAGCACTTCAGCCGAGCAGAAAACTGGAATGGCAAAAATGCTACGATGGAAAGTTTGATTGTGCCAGGCTAGATGTAGGTGAAATTTCAACTGGAAACTAGTGCTTTCTCTACGAGACATGAACTGGAGAAACATGCCTTCGGAATGCTAACCGTCGACCTTTGAGTATAGGTGCCGCTCGACTGGCTGGAGCCGTCAGATGACGAGCGGGTGGTGCTTGCTGTTATGCGCGCCCCTGCACGGAATGGTGGTCGTGAATATAAAGGGCCAGTATTCGTGAACCCAGGGGTAAGAACCTATATAAACTGGCACTCAGTGCTTTGTTTCCCCTTCGCTCTTGCGCTGACGTGGACGGTACGCATTTAGGGTCCTGGAGGATCGGGTGTCTCTTGGCTCGAAGAGGGTATTGCTGAGCACATGCAAACAATCGTAGGAGATGATCATGTGGGTTCAGTGCTCGAGTAAATGCATCTATAGAATAATCGCTGACTCGCTCTCAACAGGACATTGTGAGCTGGGATCCCCGTGGTGGTAAGTGAGCATGTCGAGGTGGTTCATTTGGGAACGGACACGAGCTGATGAGCGGATCATTCTTTCACAGTTGGTGCTTCGGTGCCTCGAATCGACTGCTGGGGCTCCTCACGCAAGCGCCATGACTGGGCGATGCAGATGTCGGGTGTCGTGGACTCGCACCCCGGCATGTTGTTTGATGCTCTCGCTCAATTCGATGCCTTGTCAAGGCAGTGTGAGACTCATATGAACGCAACCACCCCCGGACTCCTGTCACATATATCGACCGCATCCCATGCACGCGACATGCTGGAGATCTCGGAGCAAATGGGCTTCCGTAAACTAAAGTATTGGGGCATCAGCTACGGAACTATCCTCGGTGGTACCTTTGCTGCAATGTACCCTGACCGAGTCGAGAGACTTGTGAGCGATGGTAAGTTTTTGGTTTGGTAATAATTATGATGAAACTGACGCAAAGTCGTGATAGGCAATGTTGACTACCATGACTGGTATGCCAACGTACAACTCAACTACCTCGAAGACGCCGACAAGATCATGGAGGCATTCTTTGAATTTTGCAACAGAGCAGGGCCGGACAAGTGCGCATTTCATGAGCCAACTTCCGAGGCGATCAAGGAGAGGTTTCTGGCCCTACTAAGCAGTTTACGAAAACTGCCCGTCCTTATCCCAGCTGGCACCAATGGAACGGAGCTGGAAATGCCCGAGCTCGTGACGTACTCGAAACTGCAAAATCTGATACGCGGCTGCATGTATAAGCCGATATATCGATTCACGGAACTAGCCAGCGCCATGGCCGCACTCGAGAGGCGTGATGGCGTACCGTATTATCAGCTGCGCAATGAAGATGAGGGACCTCCAGCCCTTCCAGTCGGCTTCTGTGCCGTGAACGAGACAACGCCAAACGTGCCCGCGGTGCCCGAGCACTCCGAGGACGCCTTTCCCGCCATCATGTGTGCGGACGGCGAGGCTGTCCCGGCCGCCGACTGGACCCCGGACTCGTTCCAGACGTACTTTGAGGAGCTCCAGCGCATCAGCCGGTACGCCGGGGCCTCAAACGCCCAGTCCAAGCTGTCGTGTGCCGGGCGGACGGTGCGGCCCAAGTGGCGGCACGCGGGACCCTATGCCAACATCACGTCGGCCTTTCCCATCCTCTTCATCGGCAACATGGCCGACAATGTCACGCCGCTCCGCAGCGCCCGCCGTAATGCCGCCGCTTTCCCCGGCTCGGCGGTTCTGGTTCAAAAGTCGTATGGTCATTGCAGCTTTGCGGCGCCGAGCACGTGTACTGCCAGGGTGGTGCATGCGTACTTTCGCCACGGCGAGTTGCCCGAGCCGGGACTCGAGTGCGAGCAGGATTGGGAGTTGTTTGAGGAGCCGCCTCCTGTAATGTCCGCTTACGGAGAACTCGGGCTCGCGGTCCGGGAGCTCTCAAGGAAGACGAATGTTGTATTTCGATGAGGCCCGGCGAACAATGACGAGCTGCCTTCGAGACATGGATTTGGAAATGTTGTATGATATGAAAGCGTGGCGTTTTGGAGCGAGCCCTGGTGCAATCCTTATATTAGTCTATACCTCGTTCATCATCAAGTTGATTATCTGTTTCACTCTGTTCATCATCGACATCGAAGACTGCACGGTATGGATAGTAAAAGATGGAGTGCGTGGGAATTGTCAGGCTGATTAGCCAACTCAAATGTCTAAATAACAATTCGCTTGACAGGCCCACCATTCTATAAAGTTTTACAGATGAGAACCTGTAACAGGAAACGACGCACATGCGTTCTTCTTTCCTAAAGAGTCGAGTCTTGTCTATCGCCTCCCTGACGAGCTTGCCAATTCAAGGCTTAAATAATATAAAAAAAAAACAATGTAATTCGAGCACCCTGCGCCGTAGTGCTGCTAAGTCCATCAACGCCGGATTTAACCTTGATTGTATACATTGAAGAAGATCAGATCCTTTTTCTCTTCATTTTTTCGCTGGCATGTTCTCCGTTTTCGTCATTTTACTTTCTTGTGTTCTGTGTCTCTCACAATCCCGCGCTCTCTCTCTCTCTCGCGCGCGCGTGCGTCAAACTGCTTTATTTGAGCATACCGTCGAATGCGGGGATCAGAGTCTGGGCGAGCCAGAAGGAGAAGACGAGCTTGGGACCGGTCATGAGCAGCTTGGGAACGAGACCCTTGAAGAAGGATCCCATACCCTCGTTCTTGGCCATGTTGGAGAGGATGCGGAAGCCGCTCTCGGGGTTCTCAAAGTTGCGGTTCTGGATACGGGTCTTGATGACATCAAGAGGAGCAGAGACGACGAGCGAGGCAGAGGCACCGGCAATGGAAGCGACAAAGTTTTGGAACCAGCTGGCCTTGTTGTAGTCATCGAGGCCAAAGAGGTACTCCTTGGTAAAGGCAGAACCACCAAACAGGGCAAACGAGCCGGGAGCGTTACGGGCGGCGGTCCAGCCCCAGCCACGGTACAGGCCAAAGCCCTCGTCGGCGATGATCTTGAAGATGCCGCGACCGCGGAAGGCCTCGGGGTTGGTCTGGCGCTTGATCTTGAGGACGTCCAGGGGCAGAAGCACAATCTCACCGATACCGATCAAACTGTAGATTTTGTGTAAGCACGGGAGCTTTCGGACAATGATTGGGGGAAGCGCATTGGCTCCAAGAAGGGAAAAATCTTACCTGCCGGCTGTCGAGTGCATAATGGCCTTGCCAGTCTTCTTTCCGAAAGCATTCTCAAAGTCCTTGCCATAGTGGGTGGCAAGGTAGTCGCGGGCAATGGGCTGACCGCCGTACTTGTATATTCTCTGGGAGACCTTGTAGCCGGCGGCGTATCCGAGACCGGGGAAGAGGGAGAAGAACTTCTTGCCGACGGGGGCGGTGGCCTTGTCCTTGAAGATGACGGCGTTGAGTTGCGACATGCCCGAGACTCTGCTGGTGTTGCTCATCAGACGCTTGGCGATTGTGTCGACCGGGTGGAAGACGGCCAACTCGGCGATACCGGCGGATCCTGTTCATTGCGTTTTTGTCAGCGGACTGGTGTTTCTCTTTCTTCGCTTTGCAGAAGGCCGTGTCTCGTACCGGAACCGAGGAGTCGCGCCAGGTTAGACTCCTTCTCCTTGCCAGCAACCATTGGGGGAGACATGACGGGCAGATTATGTCGTTATAAAAAATATAAAATAAAATAGAAAGAAGAGACTGGCTTGGAAGAGCACAAGCAGCAAGAAAATGACGTAGAATCAAGAAAGATGCCCGGTCGACTAGTTCTGCGCAACAGAAACGAGGAAGAGAGAGAGTTGATGAGAGAGTTGATTGATAGTAATAGCGGGAATAGAGAGGAACGACGTCGGGGGTCGGATATACGAAACCAGTACCTAATGTATCAGTCTACTAAAACTACGACTCGAGGGAAACAAACCACAAACTGTGCGAACTCGGGCTCGATAGTAATAATCCTCACGCAATTGTTGGAGTTCGACTCAAATTTTTTCTCACAAATTCGGAGCTAAGACGCGGACGGACAGGGGGCAGCTTGCAGCTACGGGCAGTTAGAGGCTCCAGCGAGGTCCTCCAGCGCGCCGGAACCCCTAAAGATTGGCCAGATAACGGAATAGCTCCCCACCAGATAACTCGGTACCCCACCCAACTTTTTTTTCTTTCTTGCTCTCATCGCATTTTTTTTCCCTCTCGAATTCTGGGCTCCAATCCGTTTTCTTCCTTCCCTCTTCAATAAGAAGGTTGAACCGACTTTTCTTCTTTCTCTTCTTTTCCTCAACATTTCACGTCCCTACAACAACAAGTCCACCACCCGCCATTTCTGCTCGAGATGATTCCTGTTCGTTGCGATACGTTTCAATCGCGATGTGCGATTGTTCTGCTGTAACCCGTGTCGGTCGCGTTCGCTGGTTGAATCTCTTGCATGAAAGGGTCTGGTCGGATGTGAGTTGGAGGTGACGCCCTCATCGCAACAAATTTTTGGTAAGGAACCCACATCATATCTTTACTGCACTGCCCAAGTCTGCTCTCACGAGCGTGGCTCCCCATTACAATGATGACCTAGAAATTCTAACAGTTATCCCTATCTGAACAATTTTTGAGGATACCGGTTTCATTTTTCTGATATACACGAGCACATTCTCCTTCATGATCTTGCAAACTTGTCACATAGACTGGACGCTAATATCAGATCAGATTTCTAGGATACATCTGTTGACACGTCAACTTGGACCTCCCCGCGTAGTTACCCAAGGAGCTTGGGTGGACCATGTGTTCGAGAAAGCACAGTCTGATGCCGCCGATCACATCATAGAAGTCTATGAGACGAGGCAGTTGTTGGCCACATGTCACTATGTCAAGAAGATGCATATACCCGCCATCGCCCGTCCTGGGCGTCCGTTGTAGTACTGGGAAACCGGATATCAATTGGGCTTCTTCGACTACGTTCCCGTGTCATTTGGCTCTCATTCCATCCGAAGAGGAAAAATGACGGGGCTTCTGATGAAGTCAAGTCGCGTCGGAGTCGTCTTGATTCATCGTGTCTCGTACGATGGTGTCTGGACATTCGATGCAGACATCTTAGATTTTATATATTGTTTTGGATGTATTATTTGTCCATGATTCTCTTGTCATGTATCAATATACGGCCATGTAGGTAAAGTCGGTTTGGGAGTAGCGGATATCAATCATCCATAGACAGATTTGTATTTGTGAAATAGAAGCAATCATTGCACTCTTTGAAAACCTGTTTCTACTGAGTGCATCATTTAGCTGTCTGCATCTGGACCAGGTGGGAAGTGTTCATGTCTGACCTCCTATAATACTATGGTAATTTCAACAGCAGGCCTATTGTATCGCACACCCAATGTTTGACGCAAATGTAGGTGCCCGTCAACATATTCTATGACATCAAGCCTGGAATAACGAGGCTTGAATTCCCCTTGAGCGACTACATCTGCAGTCGAACTTCTCAGGCTGCCGTTGATCTATCGATGTTTTAGCACGAATGAGCCCAATTCCAAAAGAGGAGTCGAATACCAACGGCTCAAATGGACTTCAATGTACAGGCTTGTCAGATCGCTTTCACCAGTGACTCTCAGGACTCGAATCCACCGTGCTCTTCCGATTAAGCTGATGCTGCCGTCCGGGGTCCTACCGACTTCGTTGATTCCTGCGAAAACACCACACTCAGTCTCGTCTTTCATCTATCCATCAATTTGCAAATCAACTCTTCAAGGCGCGCTGTGTGACATATGGGGCTTGATATAGTAAACAGTTCTGAATCAGTCAAGCTCAAATAGAGTGCGGCTGTATTGTCTCATGTTCACTGCGACACATGCAAAACTCTTGGTCTCTGTACGACACGTGGTATATGCATCCTGACACTGACTGTGGCACTTTTAAAGATGCATGCGTCCGATAGTCAAAACCCACAGACGGGATGCTACAGGAGCACGAGGATGCCTCGGTATTATCTAAGAATAGCCCCAGAGATGTCTTCTTCTCTTCTTCCTCCTCCATTCTCTCTCCGCATTTCTACTAGCTCAAGGGTATTACCGTTCGGCGACTAATGCAAGAGGTTCAACTCGGTCATATTATTGGGCCATATAAGCTCCTGGAGTGCAGGGTAACTCTATTGCTTGGCAGCACGTTTCTTAGACGTATGCGGTCCAAATGGAAGTGAAAGATCTGATGACACATGGTCATGTTACTCTTTTCGGTCAAATTCTTGACTCCCAGTCCCTTTTCATTGAGTTTGTGACGATGCCTTGCATCCTCACGCTATTTCTTTACCTCCATTTCTTACCACTAGACACGGTTATTTCATGTCGTCTCGACTGGTTGGTTTGTCAGACGATGCTTGATTTTAATCGGCTATTTCAAGCAATCCTCAGGGCTAAGAGGTCTTTCCCCTCAACAGGCATTGTCTCATCAAAACTCTATATAATCATTTCTCGATAGATTACTACAGGCATTACTGCCGGCCATGTGTTGAGGTTTAGATCAGAGCAAAGGTACACATCAGCCGTCGAGGCCATTCTAGCACAGAGTCTTCAGTGATTTGTCCCTATGATTGATGCCCTGCACTCAAATGCCATGCAAATTGCTTCCGTGTCCTTGGTGGATCTCTATTTTAAGCTTTCTATCTAGCCGGATAGTCAGTGCTGATAACGTCAGGAACATGGTTTTCCATGCACATATGACAGGCGCAGCAAAGAGGTTCTCGCGATTGATACTAACCACAAAAAAAAAAAGACTGAACCACCACATACGTAGTGCGACTAAATAAAGTACTGCTTATGATGCACGAGGCTAGGCAGGAATTGTCGATAGCTTTGAGCAACACGATTCGCCTAGTACCCCTACAAGCCCCAGGCGTCGTTCGTATAATTCATGATCGCCACTAAAGTTGCCGGATTCGGCCGGGCCATGGTACTGAAACAGCAGCCCAGGGTCGACTAATTTCAGCGTACGGAGCACCCGTCACCTACCCAATACGACCTCGACTGGCGCAATACAGCACAATACAGTACAGAGCATGAAAAACAGGTAGGACCAGAGTGGTTCGGCAAATTTCCCATTCCCCATTTAACCTTAATATTAGATGGCAGCCGCAGCTGACATCACGAACTTGTTACCTGTCAATGTGTCATGCAGTCCACACTTACTGTCTCATTGCCCTAGCTACACAACGGTCTTGCCCGTATTGCCATGAGGACTGTGGCACTGGCATCAGGCCCACAATCCTGACCGGCCGAGCCGGCTCTAGACGTGGATCGTGAGCCTCGTATACTCGACGATAAAAGTCTAAACGGCCGCCCTTTGCCCTGGCCATGTTTTTGGGCGGCATTGTCATCATCCCATACACCAAGACAAGATGAAGTCGTTTTCTGTAGCCACAGCCGTTGGATATCTTGGCACCCTCTGCGCCGCGACTCCCATCCAGCAGCGGGAAGCCTGCCCGACAGACTGGAAAACTCAACAATGGGATGCCATTGTCGTCGGTGCTGGCACGGCCGGCATCGTCGTTGCGGACCGACTCAGTGAAGCCGGCAAAAAGACGCTGCTGCTCGAGCTTGGCGGCCCCTCGTATGGCATCACTGGAGGAACTGAGAGGCCTGATTGGCTGAGCGGCACAAACCTCAGCAGAGTCGACGTGCCTGGACTTTGTAAGACGCTCCATCCAAGTAATTCAGGACGGGACTTGTACTAATATGATTTACCAGACAAGAGCATTTTCTCTGGTGGCTCGGAATTACTGTGTCCATCTGACGTCGTAAATGGCTTCCAAGCCTGCGCCGTTGGCGGCAACAGTGCGATTAATGCTGGGTTATACTTTCAGCCTCCAGACTCGGATTGGGATTTATATCATCCTGATGGTTGGCATGCTGCTGATGTCAAGGAGGCAACCGCGCGGCTTTTGGCCATGCAGTCTTCGGTGACGACGTATTCCCAGGACGGTGAATTTTACTGGCAGACGGGCTATGATGCCGCCGAGAAGTGGCTTGTCGAGTCGGCTGGTTTTGCTAACGTCTCCTTCAACGATGATCCCAACAACAAGGAGCGTGTCTTTGGTCGGCCAGTATACGATTACAAGAATGGTCAACGCGGCGGCCCCGCGACAACTTACCTCCAGACTGCTCTTGCGAGAGACAACTTTCACCTCCAGACTGGAGCTCGTGTCAAGTATATCAACAGGACCGGGGGCGTTGCTTCGGGAGTCACTGTCGAGGTTGATGGATCGGTCATTGAAGTATCGCTTGCTGCCAGCGGACGGGTTGTTCTAAGCGCCGGTGCTCTAGTTTCTCCAGCACTTCTGATGTACTCTGGTATCGGCCCAAGCGATACGCTGGCCAAGCTCGAAAACAGCTCCTATACGCCCTACAACTCATCGAACTGGATTGTCAACTCAGCTGTAGGCGATGGTCTATTTGACAATCCCAACACATTCATTGAGTTGTCGAGCCCTTATGTCGAGGCATACTACCACAGCTATGATGACCCAGATGCGGCCGACCGCGATCTGTACCTCTCGTCCCGAAGCGGCCCATACTCTTTTGCCTCTCAGACTTCAGCCTTTTGGGGTTACATCTACAATGAAGACGGAAGCCAAGCTGGCGTACAAGGCACGATTGACTCTTTCGGACACGGCGCATTCACCGATAACCACACCATTACTTTGAACATTTACGGAACCTCTGGCATGTTGTCGTCTGGCCGTGTCATCCTCTCTGATGATGGGAAATTTGTACCTGGACCCGACAACAACATCTACTACTCGCACCCGCGGGATGCTGAGGCCATTGCGGATTTTATCCACAATATCTTCCAAGCCCTGCCAGCATCCACTCCAGACGCGCCCGCAGCAGAGGGGCTGACGCCGCTGAACCTTGCGCAAAACTCCACCATTGAGGAGATCCAGACGTACATCACCACCCCGTCGGATTACGCGGTGGGGGCTGTCCAACATTGGTCCAGCTCCTGCCGTCTGGGCTCCTGTGTCGATGCCGACACCAAGGTCATGGGCACTGACAATATTCATGTCATTGATGCGTCGATTGTGTCGCCGCTGACGGTGAACCCGCAGTTTGGTGTCATGGTGGCGGCCGAGAAGGGTGCCGAGAGGATCTTGGCGTTGGACTCGTGAAAGTAGCAGGTGTTTTTGACCATGGTCTTTTAATTTTTTTTTTATTCTGTACCGTTTTCTGGTTCCTTCTCTTCTCGCCTGTTACTCTCGAAACGGGAGTGGCATATTCTTGGTAAAAAGTCATGGAAGATTAATGAGATACCCCCTAATGCGACCATTGTACGTTAGAATAATGTTAGAATAGCATTCACTCAATGAGTTCTTGCAGTGGACATTGCCGGCAATAGGTGTGACAATTTGTTTTTTCCCCCTCCAAAAGGGTTGAACTTGGGCAAACCTGTCGCAAGCAACAAGATCTTATCAACACAGCCAGGTTGTTGATTATACGATACCTTGCTTGAGAGTGGGGTGTTGATGCTGCACGACATTCCATAGTTTTTTTTGTTTTCCCATGTCAGAGCTTACTCTGTACAATAAGTGATCGACATGTGTCTGCACTCGAGTGATTGGTGGCCAAGGTCTTGTCATTGTCCTGTTTTCCCTTCTTCGAGGGTTCGAGTTGGTTTGTTTTTGTGTCCAACTGCTGCCCAACTTCCTATGCGCGGCGACCTTGTACGACCAAACAGAGAAAAATAAATAAAAGAAAATAGCGAGGTTGATTTTAAGCGTATTCGGCCCCATCCGATCTAGTCTTGGACGCAAAGGTGGATGTTTGGATGGGCGCGTAGTGGGTACGTGGGGCAGCGATTGGCCGGCTCGATCTCCGCGAAACCAAAAGATGGTGCTTTTTATGGTGGGGGTTGCCCGGCAACTGGACTCTTGCGCGGCCAGCTACAAACACATTGGTCCATATGACGCTTGTTGTGTACAAACTGCCTTTTTAACTTTGACCGCAGGCGGTGATGCTGGGGCAAGGGACATCCCAGAGTTTTGGTAAAACATTCCCACATAATTACCAAGGTCACCAGCTGAGCAATGTCAATGATCCCCCAGTCCGTTGCTTTGCTATACTGATCGACCCGACAAGTTCGTTCGAGAGAGAGTGAGCTGCGAGAGATAGCTCAAGAGCTGAACCTGGAGAAGACAAACATTGCTTGCTTGCTTGCTTGCTTCCTTCCTTCTACCGAGCGAGCGCAACCTGGATTTTTTTTTCCCTCCCTTTACTCCCCCTTACCTCGTCTCTGCAAGCACTTCATCCGTCTGCCTGCCCTTTTCGCGAGCGTTGCAAGCGTTTGCTCTTCCTTTTGTCATTTTATCTTCTCGATTCAGACTGAACCAAGGGGCAGTGGCGCAAGATTATCCGCCCACACACCAGCGGCAGCAACCGAGAGAAGTGAGACACACGACCTGATCATCTCTCAAATACCAACATTCCATTGCCATTTCATCCAAGGGAACTGTCAACGCCTGCTTTTCAAGATGCCGCCGATCGAGCGCGATGCCCCGGTCGACTGGCATCTGAGACACAAACACTCTGCCTCAACCTCTGACCAAGGAAGAGCTCTAATTCCCATGTAAGTCGCTTGCTCTACGCAGCATCCTGTTTTTGCTTCAGTTGCGCTGCTTCGCAATGTCACTTCTTCAACGGCTAACAAATCGCAGGTGGGATAGCTCTGATCCCGAGAGAGCACCCGCCCCTCTCCCATTGAATCCTCAGTCCCCTAGCACGTCACGAGCTTCACCAGCCATTCAGTCAGCACATGCCGCCCTTAATGAGAAGGCTCGCGAGAATGCTCCTGCGCTCATGCCGCCCTTGACCAAGCGAATGACAGACGGTTCCCCAGAGCGCGCCTTGGTTTCAAGGCCAAGCCCGCACAAGCGAACACAGACTCTGCAACCTTCTAGTGTGAGGGATCTTGGTTTCCTGCTCGAAGGCCCTCCTAGGCGCGACTCTGTTAGCTCCATTGGCACGTCAAGATCGCCCGAAAAGTCTGGAAGACCCTCGACACCCGTTCGCGGGCGAGAAAATGAAAAGGAAAAGTCGATTGATGGCGAGAATGCGCCAAGTCCCATGTCCAACAGCTTGACACCAGTCATGCGCTCGTCGACCCGAAAGGCGCCTCTGGGTATCCTCGGCGAGAATACCCCGCCGCAGTCAGCCACAATGCTCGCCCTTCAGAACATGCCACCACCGGCCTCGTCAAGAGAGGCAACACCTTCAATCGAGATACCAAAGCCTCTGTCCAACGTCACCAACAATTCGACTGGCATTCTCAAAACACAGCTGCCAGTGGAGAGCCTGTCACATCAGATTCTCACCTTGACGAACATTGCCACGGCTCTACAGAAGGAGATGGCCCTTCTTAGCCGGCGCAGTAGGGATAATGCTACAGATCTAATGAGTCTCAAAGAAGCAACGCATGCTCGGGACGAGGACATTCGCAAGAGCTTGCGTGAGATAATCATCAATGCGGACCACAGACGTGACGGCTTCCGTGGTGGCCTGTATATCGAAGACAAACCTCATGGCAGCCCACCATCAAAGCACGCCAGGCCGTTCTCGCTGCCGAGAATACCATCCCCGACCAGTTTTGCGGTAACTATGGACCAGGATTCAACCATCAGCTCGTCGACCATGAGTTCCGTCCCTTCTCTGGTAGGTGACTCGCCTGCTACACTGGCTCTTTTGGAGAAGATTATTCGTGAAATGGGCACCAAAGACGGCCAGGAAAATGCAGTCGAGCGCTTGACAGAACTTGCCGAGAGGCTCACTGGCCTCGCATCTTCGGCCAAGGTTGAGGAACTCATTGGCGAATTGAAGTCTACTAGCCAACAACTCGCTCTTGTTCCCGCAGGCGGTGGCCGAGGCGGTGGTAACAATACACGCGGTCGCCACCTCAGTTTCGACGACGACGATGATGACCGCAGTCACCGAGATATGAACTGGAGCCACGGCGGATCGAGTCCAGTATCTCAGAGAATCAACGCCTTCATTCAGGACAGAGATGGTCGACGTGCATCGCTACCTTCCAACCGCGCCGGTGAAATCGTCAATGAGGAGGTCATCAAAGTCATTCGCGGAGTAAAGGATAGTGTCGCTGCGAGCGGTGGTCTTACTTCTGAGGTCAAGGCTCTCGTACGTGAGCTTCGTGGAGAGGTTCTGGGTATGGGACGAGAAATTGGTCGCCGGATTGACGAGGTCAATGCCACGGTGGCTGCGGGCGGCGTCATTGCCCCAGCCGACACAAATGAACCCGCCACCAAGAACCAGATGGAGAAGATCGTGATAGAAGGCTTGGATCAGATGCGCAGCCGGATGACCCAACTTCTGAAAGATCATCGCCGTGAATCAGCCGAGTCAACGACCGCCCCGATCGACTACCAGGAAATATACAATGCCATGAAGGCCGCCCTCAATGACAGTCAGGAGCTTTTCTCGCGCGAAGATGAATTGAGCCGAGATGACGTGCTTCAGGCCGTCAGGGATGCATGGGAGACCTATAAGCCCGAGATTCACGTTGAGCAACTCGGACTCGAACGTGATGAAGTCTTGGCTGTTCTCAAGCAAGGCCTGGAGGAGTTTGCACCTCCTGAGACTCCCCAAGGAGCCAGCCGGGACGAAGTGTTTTTGGCTGTCGTGGAAGGTCTCAAACAATTCAAGCCGCCGCAAGTCGACACACCTGCAAGTCTTTCTCGTGACGAAGTTCTCGAGGCTGTAAGAGAGTGTCTTGAGGAGTTTGAATTCCCTGTTGCACCATCTGCTCTGGGCAATGATGTCTCGAAGGAGGACATGCTGGAAGCTGTGAAGCAAGGGCTAGAGTCCTTTGAGTTCCCCGACTTTTCAAATGCAATCGTCCCTCATGCCGGAAGTGTCGACAACAGCGAAGTAATAGAGAGACTTCAAGATATCATGCAGGTCATCAAGGACGAGTTCAAAGCCGTATCAGCGGAAGCCAAGCAAAATGTCGCAGCCAACGGTAGAGACACGGAACAGGTACTCGATGCCACTAAGGATGGCTTCGAGGAACTGCGTGCTCATATGGAAAGCTACATTGATCGCTTGAATGGCACAGGCAGCCATGATGATCTCGCACAGACTCTTGCCGAGAGCTTGAACGGCTTCCAAACAGAGATATCAGAGATAGTTGCTCAAGCATCCGATGGGTCCAAGGCTATGTTGCAGGAAGAGATAGAGTCTCTGCGCGACGCTGTCAACTCATCGCTGGTCCCACACACTCCCCAGGGCTCTGATAACAGGGAGGTCTTGGAGGCTCTCCGAGAAGGCCTCGAGCGTGTACGTCTGGAACTGCTGCGACCTCATGCTGGTACCACTGAGGTGCTTGACGCAATGCATGAGGGTTTTGGCGAGCTCCGAGCCACGGTCGAGAGGATTGCCGACAAGCCTACAGATCTGACAGCAAACGATGAGGTTCTAGACGCTCTAAGGTCCGGTCTTGACAATCTTCGAGCCGACATTGAGTCCCTTCGCGAACAACATCGCGACGAAATCGAAGCTCTCCGGGAACAGAACAAGAATGGCATCGAGTCTCTTCGCGAGCAAAACCAGAGCAACCTAGACGCGCTTCGAGAGAACAACGGCAGCCAGATTGAAAAGGCAGTAGCTCCAGTCAGTGGTACTGTCTCGGATGCAGTAATTCCTGCAGACATGTTGAAGCAAGACGATATTAAGAATCTTGAAGTCATGCTCACACAACTCAGGATCAAGGTGGAGGCTATGGAGCCCTCAGCACAGGCTGATCACGACCATCTCTCAAAGAGTGATATTGCGGAGATGGAAGAGCTTTTGCGCAATAACCCTTCGAAGGAGGACTTGACCGAGGTGCAGGAACTGATCCGAGCCAACCTTGTCAAGCCAGATCTCTCTGAGATGGAGGCGCTCCTGCGCAATGTTCAGGAATCAGTAGCTGGTTTGGCTCAGAAAGATGCGCCAAAAGAGGGCGCAGACGACGAGGAAAAGACTCCGAAGAATCTTGAAGATGCTGCTACCAAGGAGGATGTTGAGGCAATCGAGACAATCCTCCGAAACACCAAAGCTCGACTGGACGACCTCATCGATGGGGAGCAAGCCATACGCAAGGATCATGTCGACACTGTGGAAGCTTTGGTGCTTGAGACCAAGGAGTCCCTCTCTCTTCTAACGTTACACCTGGAGTCGGTATCCAAAAAGGACGACATCAACGCGGTCGAGTCACTTGTGACACAGATAATCGCCGCCTTTGACGAGATGAAGGAGCGTGCAGAGAAGTCATTGGAAGACCCAGAGCGTGTAACAAAGACAGATGTTGATGCCGTTGAGGCAGCATGCCTCGATATCAAGTCTGTAATCGATGAGGTGCTGAAGCCAGACATCGCTGCCTTGCCCACGAAGGATGATATTAAGGGCCTGGAAGAGGTTGTCAGGGAAGCAAAGGTCGTTCTTGACTCACAAGTCGAAGCCAACGAGAAGGCTTTTGAAGAACGTCAGGCAGAGATTGTTGGCGTCAGCGAGCGTGTCACCGAGGTCAAGGCATTCTTTGAAGAATTCCAAACCCTGGTCAAGGAAAAACTTGAGAATGAGACATCAGGTCTGGAGGCTCTGAGCAAGGTCCTGGAAGCGCTCAGCTCAACAATGGACAAGAATGCCACCGTCTCTGACGACTTGAAAGAGATGTTCGAAGTCATGAAGGTGGAGTTCGAAGACTCAAAGAACGGTGTTGCTGGCGCCAAGATCGACAATGATGAAAAGCTGCAGGCCACCACCGACACATTGGGTGCCAAGATTGATGAGAAGATTGGCGAGCTGATTGCCAAGTACGATGCCTTTGAACTTGTCATGGAAGAGCGCCACAAGTCTGGTGAGGCGCGGGATGTCGAGACTGAGGCTGCTGTTGTCAGCACAAAGGCTGTCGCCGATGAGCTCAAGCTCCTGATCGACACTTTGGGTTCTACTGTGACAGAGTCCATGGAAAAGATGGAAGAAGCCTCCAAGACTGTCTTCACAAGAGTGGACGAGCTATTTACAAAGTCCGAAGAAAATCACTCGGACGACAAGAACGAACACTCCATCACCAGAGACCAGGTCAAGGCTGCCGTCACTGCCGTTGAGGGCCTCCAGGGCCACGTCGTTGAATACCAGCCCAAGATACTGGAGTCAATCAAGGACGTACTTCTCATTGTCGGTCAGCACTATGAACATTCCAAGACAACCACGACTGAGATGCAAAAGAGCATTGAAGACGTCAAAGAGAAGGAGCCCGAGCTTCCCCAACTTCCTCCCGTCGAAAAGTACGATGACACTGAAATGCATGCCAAGCTTGACAAGCTGGTTGATCACAGCCATGCGGCCGGCAAGGCATATGCTCAGCTCGATACTCTCGACAAGGTCCATGCTCAAGTTGTGCAGACAGCAGCTGAGATCAATAGCTTCTTGGAAGCACAGACCAAGCGTATCGAAGAGGAACGCGAGGACCATGAGAAGGCCCAAGAAGAAGCAGCGAAGAAGCTGTCCGAGACCAATATTTCTCTGGCCGTTGCACAGGCGGAAAAGGAGCACGTGGAGGCAAACGTTGGGGCTTTGCGAACAGAGGAGGAAGAGCTTCGAGAGAGCATTTTGGCCTTGAGAACAGAACAAGAATTCCTGGCTCGTCAAAAGACACGTCTCACTGCAGATGTCTCTTCTCTGGAGACTGCCATGCAAATCAGAAGAGAAGAGCTTCACGCGATGGAGGCTCGTGCTGAGGGTCTTGAACGCCGAATTCTGGAAGGTGTGCTTGATCATTCTCGAGCTCTTCTGATGACAAAGTCTGGTGCAAAGGGCCGAGATGCCATGTCCCGGAAACGTGTGCCTACTTCCAAGTCGAACCTGGCGCCCAACCATGAATTGAGCCCCCCGGCCCCGCCGCCAACAAGTCATCGTAAAGCAGTCAACATTGCAGTCAATGGTAATCGTGCCAGCTTAATCCCACCGAATCCAGCCGGCGCCTCTCGCCGCATTCTTAGTCTCAGTCAGATCACCAACAATGTACCAACTGGAGGTTTGAAGCGCAGCCAAAGTGTTCGTACCCCAGCTGCTCCGATTGGTGTCCGCAAGGGCAGCTGGGGAGCGGGTATTGGAAAGAAATATGGAGACCTAGGTGGCGACAAGGAAAATGAGCCCATTGACTCGGTTCGTGAGGACGAGGAACCATCTGAGCTCGATGTTCAGCCCGACTCTACTCCTCGGCAGATGCCGCTGCAGATTGAGGCAGCGCCAGAGCCAGAAGAGGAAACCGACAATGAGATTGAGGACCTGGCTGCAGTGACACCTCCTGAGAGTGAAGAAAGTGGTGGAGATGAAGACAATGCCAGCGACTCTGGCACGTTGAGAAGGTCTTCTCTCGGTAGTCTTGGCACCACGGTCATTACCAGCACAGAAACAGAAACAGCAGACGGCGACTCTGATTACGATAGTGAGAGTTATGACAGTCGAAGCGAATGGACAGAGAGTGCTCTGGGCACGGAGAGCATGGCGGATACCGAGAGTTTGGTGGACTCGACGGTGGGAACGGGAGGCGAGCTCGTGCTGCATGCGGCTTGATGCCTTTGATGATAATGGATGGATATTGTGTTTTTATTGTTCTTTTCTTGTATTGCTGGAAGAAGCTTGTCTCTGTTCAGGTTGACAGCGGCCTTTTCAGGGTAAGGAAATCAATCAGCTATGATTATGATTCACGATTCAGATAGGGAGTAGCCTGTTAATATAGATTGTCAGAAATCGTTTTCATTTCCCACTCAAATATGCTTGATTTGTTCCGCTTCTACTGATGCATGCTGTATATATCTTTTATTTGCGAGGCTCATTAATCAATAAGCAATAACCCAGAAGTCTGCATATCAACTATGCGATGAAAATATGATATATACAAATAGTGAGATTCGTCCCATGTCTTGATAATCTCTTTGATTCTTTGTCTCCTTTAATTTTTTTTGAACTTCTCAAATATTGCCGTTCTCTTAAACATCTTTCTTTATTCTCTTTTTCTTTTTGTTTTTTTTTTCCCGAATACTTAAACTATTCTCGAAAGCTTTTAATTCTCTCGATCGCGATAATTTCTCTCTATCGCGATGATTTCTCTCGATCGCTATGATTTCTCTCAAATGCTTTCAGTTCTTTCGAATGCTTTCACTTTAATCATGTTTACTTTTCCAAAACACTTTCATCTTGGCTTGAACACTTGTATTTCTCTCAATGACATTATCAATGGTTCATGATATCTTGAAGAGTTTGTTGTGTCTCGAAAGGCTCCTTCTCCCTGAGCTACTTGTTTCCTCCTCAATCACTTCCTTCCACCCTGATTCCTCCTTCTCCCATTGCGCCCAATGTTTCTCAATCGTCCTTTCGAGGTTGTGCGGCAAAAGCCTTTTCACAGAGGCTGAATAGATGATCGTCATCCTCAATGTTCCTTGTCCCTCCAGGCTGAAATGGAATCGGGGCAATTATTGTCTTCCTCGAGGTCGGAGTCCCTCTCTTCGCGGTGGCTGAGGTGCTGCTCCCTGCGATCCTGAGCCTTGTCCAAGTCGTTGGTGTGCTGCATGTCGCTCATCCTCCTCAGTGGCGTCGATGGTCTCCTCCCTGTAAAAATTGCAGCGAGTCTGGTTGCCATTGTAGAAGCAGTTGGCACAGGCTCCTTCTGTCAAGTTCCGAGATGTTAGCTCTGAATTCATGATATAGGAGAATACAAAAAAAAATGGAAGCCACGAGGAACGCCTTGCAAGAAAATGAAAAAACAAAACGCGAGAAAAGTTTTCTCGAAAGAAACTTACTAGTCTCCATCTTCATTGGACCCTCAGGGGCGACGATGCATCCATCCCAGAACGTCTGGCAATGGTCGATGGTCGTCTCCTTGACCCTGTGACGGCAGCTCTTCTCGGGGCTCACGCCGGCGACGTACAGAAGCATGCTGATGAGGTTCATCTCCAGCTTCTTGATTCCGACGCCGTCGAGAGCCCGGCCGGTCGCCTCCTTCAGCTCGCGCTTGACTGGCGCGGCGAAGAGAGTCGGGTATCTGCTTCGCAGACCCTGACTCTCGAGCTGAAGGAAGGTGAAGACGGTGCTATTCAGCCCGCCAACCGCCTCGACGTACTCGGCGGCCGTCATGCCGTCGAGCTGTTGGCGGGTGAAGGTCTGGCGACCGCCTTCGCTGTTGGTGTTGTTGTCAGTCATGGTGTCTGAGTAATGGAGATTGTGTTGTAGGAGTAGAAGGTTGTGGTGGTGTAGGTTGTAGGTGAAGAAGTGGAAGAGGAAAGATTGAGAGTGAAGAAAAGGAGCACTTGGTAGTAGTAGTAGTTGCTCTCTCTCAGAGTTCGCTGGCGAATTTCGCCCTATGTGGTAGAGAAGGTGGTGAGTTGTGTGGCCTTTGGTGTGGGTAGAGTAGTGAAATAGAAAAAAAAGTGAGAGAATGGCAAGAGGTTGGTTGGCAGTATCAAGTCCTGACGCTCCAACTCCGCTGGCGAAATTCGACCAATGGAATAAGGAAGGTGCAGAAACAGAGCAGCTTCAATATTGGCAAGAAGGCCAAGTGAAGCGTGGGACGGAATGAGAATGCACAGAGAGCTTGGGTTGGCAGTATCAAGTCCTGACGCTCCAACTCCGCTGGCGAAATTCGACCAATGCAATAGTAAAGGTGAAAAGATGGATGACCTTCAATATTGGCAAGGCAGAGTGAAGGATGAGACGGAATGGGAGTGTGGAGAGACTCTCGTGAATAGTAGTAGGGGCTTGCTCTTAAACTTCACGAATGAGGTTCGCTCAATGTCATGCGGAAGGTGGGGAGATGGGTGACCTTGGCGAGGAGGCGGAGAGCGGAGTGAATGTGAGTAGGTATTTGCTCCAGAGCTTGACTGGCGAAAGTCGCTCAATGTCTTGGAGGAGGCCAAGAGATGGGCGACCTTTGCAACAACACGAAACTCGCTGTCAAAGCTTCGCAAGTGCAGACTGAATCGCTCTCAACCTGAGGGTGATAGTGAATCTCGTCTGATGTGCGGCAGAGAGGTATGGTGCTCAAGGCAGCAGATCGGACGAGTACAGGTATGAGGATGATGGTGAATATCGTCTGATGCGTGCCAGAGAGGTACGATGTTCAAGGCAGCAGATCGGACGAGTACAGGTATGAGGATGATGGTGAATCTCGTCTGATGTGTGGCATAGAGGTATGGTGTTTAAGCCAGCAGATCGGACGAGTACATGTAGCAGAGCTGACACAGTCTGGTGCGTGACAAGTGAATATGATCGATGAAGTGGGAGATGACACGGGCAGAGTAGGATTGTTGATCTCGTCCCATGTGTGAATGGTGAATATGGTGGCAAGGTTGGACCCCCTGGATGGTCAAGCCGAAGACAAGGGCGAAGATCAAGGGCGAAGTTCGCAAGACTTCTATGGATGAGTTGCAGATGGAAGGGAAGGGATGAGTGAATGTAGTGTGAAAGACTGGAGTTGAACGACTCGAGTCAAAGAGCGGGTTGAATCCGGTCCGGGTGAAGAAGAGGTAGGTCCGGAAGGAGGGTAGGTCCGGAAGGAGGGTAGGTCCGGAAGGAGGGTAGGTCCGGAAGGAGGGTAGGTCCGGAAGGAGGGCAGGTCCGGAAGAAGAGCGGGTCCGAGAAGAGGGCAGGTTCGGAAGGAGAGCGGGTCCGGAAGGAGAGCGGAGAGGAGAGCAGCCGCAACTGGAACCAGTTGTGACAAAAGGAACATGGCAGCTGTGACGACGACGATGGGACGAAATGACGGACTAAAAAGAAACACTTACACCGGGGCCGGCACCCATGGTGCTCAGGAGGGGGGGATCCGGAAACCCACCCGTGTTCCCATTCACCATGGTGCTCGGGAGGGGGGGTCTGTAGACCAACCCGTGTAAGGAGGAGGATGCAGTGCATCACACCCAAAAAGGCTTTTGTGCCCTTGTCGGCGAGTCGCGTGACGGCAAGTGGCATCAACAGACGTCTCGCGAGAAGGGACAATGACATGACGACAGCCGAAATGGTCGCCGAAGAATGATGCAAGTCCTGTTTTCGAATGGCGACGGTCATTGTTTGTCATGCAAGTAACAAATATTAACACCAAAACTTACATTATCATGTTCAAGTCTGTTGTCGGCGAACAAGACTTGGCCATGCTGGAAGAGGACGGGACTGAGACTTGGTAGGATGGATAATGTGAGTGTGATAATGATAATTATTAAGATAATGAGGATAATGAATGGTTAACAAGGATAATGAATGATAATGATGATGGAGAGAGAGGAAGAGGGAAAAAGAAAAGTCGGCGTCGCCTGCGAGATGGGGGAAGATTTATACTACTGTCCGGGCTGGCCACTGATTACAACAAACGGACAATCGCGGCCGGCGCGACAATCCAAGCCGGCAAATGGACCCACCCCAATGCGCCTGTGAGGGCGGTGAGAATTGAAAGACTCCCAATTCCCAGGCGGCGGCGGTCGCAGTTTGAGACTGGATGCCTTGCTGCCAGCCGCAGCGTCTGGCCGTTTGCAAACGGCCCAGCTCACGTGGTTTGGGTTGGCCACAAGTTGATAATCAAATAATACCTAGTGCTTAGCAAGACTACACAGTAGAGACTCCCAAACATGAGTGCTGCCTAGCTGGAATACTATTCTATTCATTGCTTGGTTTATTTCAGCCGGGTCAACTTAACATCTGGACTGCTCCGCCTGGCCTGGCTTCTCTTGTTTGAGCACTGCCAACTCTGGACTATTATCTGAACCATATCCATATTTCATTTTTCATCTACTCTATCAATTGGGTACCGGGCAACTTGAACATGTAGCATTTTAGCCATAGTGAGTAACAAGTAATGGAGTCTTCATTCATGTCAAATTAGTCTCATGATGGAGTATGCCTTGATCCTGGCGTCTATGATACATGATTGCTACTGTACAAGCTTACTATGCTGGAATTACTTTTCATCATTTCAGTCGATGCTTCAAGTCGATGCTCTCCTTGCCCATGTACGGCCAAAGGCACTCTGGCAACTTGACACTCATTTGTGACTCATCCCATCCATTCTCCAGAACTGCGGCAAGAACACGTGGTACAGCCAAGGCAGTACCGTTGACGGTCCAGGGAAAGATCACCTTTCCAGACGACTTGAATCTTGTGGCAAGTCTTCTCGTCTGGTAGTCGGTGCAGATACTGACACTGGTCACCTCACCCCATCCATCATCCTTTTGCCTTCTCGAGGGGAAGAAGGCCTCGATATCGCACTTTCGCGTGGCAGAGGCGCCGAGATCCGTAGACGGCATCTCGAGAATTCGGCAGTGTAGGCCCAGCATCTCCAGGATCTCGGTCTGTATGTCGAGCATCTCATCAAAGATTTCGGTCGTCGAGGACATGTTGGGTTCCGTCCAGGCAAACATCTCGACCTTGTTAAACTCGTGTACTCGGTACAAACCCTTTGTGTCCACGCCGCGCGCACCTGCCTCGGCTCGGTAGCATCTCGAGACGCCAATGCGCTTCATGGGCAAGTCACTCTCATCAATGATGGTGTTTGCCTTCATGCCCGCCAGCGGAATCTCTGCCGTACCAGCGAGCACGAGCTCGGGCTTGCCACGCTCCCGGTCAGCTTGAGACTGGGCAAGAGCGTAAATCTGTGTCTCGCCATGTTGATCCCTGGGCTGGAAACCGCAAGCTGCGGCAATGTGCCCGTACACGATACTGGGTGGCGTAACCTGCCTCCAGCCGTGCTTGGTGGCTACTGCAAGGGCAAAGTTGATGAGGGCCTGCTCCAACTGCGCACCCTCGTCGAGCAGATAGTACCATCCCCATCCGGAAGTTGTCGCGGCGCCGGCAAAGTCGAGCAGTCCCAGCTCCGAGCCAATGTGCACATGAGACCGCCATACCCTGTCCGACTCTGCAGGCCGTGGCTCGGGGTGGTCGTTGATGTAGGACAGCACAAGAGCCTCGTCGCCTCGTGGTGTCTGCTCGCTTGTCAAGTTGGGGATTTGCAGGGCAAGGTCCTCAATCTCGGCCGTGAGTTTGCTCTCGTTGCGCTCAATGACCGAGAGCTTCTCCTTCAGTTGCTTTGCCTCCTCGAGGAGTTGTTCCTTGCTCATATCCTTGAGCTGGAGCGTTTCTGGGTTCTCCTCGCCTTGTATCGTGGCCGGGTTTGCAATCTGCCTCCGGAGCAAATTGCTTCGCTCGCGAAGGTGGCGCCCTTCCCTCTGATGCTCCTGCCATTGCTGGTGTAGGTTGTTGATGCGGTCCGGATAGGTACTCTGTGCCTTATAATTCCTCTCTAAGCAATTCTGTTCGTGTAGTGTCGCATTCTGTCGTATGTGCTTGATGTCAATGTTTGGCCTCGGGGCCGTCGTTGGCCGTATCGGGGCAGGTTCTGCAGGACTTGGGGTTGAACTGGAGCTCGAGAGCCACGACGACGCGTGGAAGAAGCGCGGCTTCGGAGCTTGCAGGCGGCATTGGCGGCAGACAAATGGTCTGGCGGAAAGCCGCAACATGTTGATACACAGCCCAGGACTTCAAAAATGGTCCTGCTCAACTGTATGACCGCTGTACGTCTCTCTTTGTGACTTTGTTCAATATGATCCGATGTCTTGCGATCCGCGACTGCCCAATTTTAAGTGGGTCTGAGAGCTGCCCCGCAAGCTTGCAGGGGTAGCTCAGGTAGTACATATTGACCACTACGCAGTGTATAATTATTACTATACTCTGGCGAAAGCAGCCCGGGTATTAGACTTGGGAATGCTAGTACTATTATTATGTATGCATAAATACGTCTTTTCTTTGAACCAAACAATGGTACAGAACATAAAAACAATAACTGAATTATCTCATCCATGTGCGATCACATGTATTGGGCTGAAACTGTAGTCACATAGAGTGCACACCCAAAGTTCCAACGTCAGCACGGGATCAAGCGACTTGGTGGGCGAGATGTTGCCAGTTTCGCTAGGTTAAGGTTGAATCCGAAATCAGCCTTTTTCTCTTGCAGCTCTTAGTAACCTGAAAATCGTCGATGGCCCATGGAGGAATTGAACACGTAAATATGTACATGCCAATGCAACGCCACTCAGATGTACTGTGACCTCAATTCACCAGTCCCTGGTTTAGCTTTCACTTGGTTGACTCCCTGGTCTGCAACTCACTTGCTCTATCATTTCGAATTGCATCTTCCTATCATACTTGCCTTCTCAAGATGGTCAAAATCATACGTGATATGTTGGCGAATCATGTTGACAGCACATCATGAAAACAGCACTATATGAATATGCGTTTAATCCGCAAGACTTGGCTGATGTATCGAACGACGGGATTATTGAACATTACCTCAACTCAGTTGCCATTGACACGAATAGAACTCAAGCTAGGTTTCCTCCATATTGGAGAAAATCATGAGCAAGTCTTCACCTTTTCAGAATAAGACCACCATGAGAAGAAGGCCATTTTGCTTATACCAAAGCATTTACCGGATTACACCCGACGCCGAAAACCAAAATCTCACACACAAAGGTGAACACCATTATCCAAGAGTGTCAGAGAGTGACCACTTCACCCGCCGCAACAGAGAAATTAGAGCGCCATCCAGACAACGCCACATTTTTCAGCCGTCTCTCCACGATCCACGAAACTTATGCCTTAGATTCGCAGCAGCCGGGATCGACCCATCGTTGGTGCTATGCGAATGCGGCTGTCCCATGCCAAATCCATCAATGGGCAAGACCAAAATATCGCCATAGAGCCGGGGCGCCGTCATGCCCGAGAGGTCCTTGAGCTCTGTCAGGTTCTGCGGGTCCGCGAGCTGCAGCTGCTCCCACACGACGTCGGTCCAGGCCGCGGGCCCCGTCGAGTTCATGACCTCGAGGCTGGTGGGCGCAAGTGCCGATAACGTGGTATTGTAGGCCCTCGACAGGCCGTCTAGAGAGTCAATGGCCCGCCGGATCATGCTCGTGAACACGGCGTGTCCCGGCGCCGCCGCAATGGTCCACTGGCAGAACTGTAACTCGTGCGGTATGTCGGCCCAGCTCGACCCCCCGAGCTGGTCAAACTCGATACCAACGACCAGCCGCACGCGGTCCCGCATGCACTCGGGCACCCACTCGTCAATGGGCTTGAGGGCCAGCGTGTCCGTGTCGCAGTAGACGCCGCCCTGGACGGACAGGATGAGGTAGCGTAAAAGGTCTGATTTCAACCCGGGGTTTCTGAGCCCGTGGTACATGCGCAAGACTTCGGAATCGTGGGCAAAATGCTCGTCCACGAAGCGGTCGGCGCTCTTTAAACCAACCAGGCGGTATTCGTAATCGGGATTCATGGCGATCCACGACCGCGTGTCACTGAGCTGCTCGGGGTCGATGGCGAGGTCCTTTGGCGACTGTGAACGGGGCAGTGATATTTGCCATATCTTGGACGAAATACGTTCATGTTCCGACGAATCGAGAAGCAACTTGTGCCTCTGTTGCCAATAGAAATGATTCACAAGTATCAACAAAAACACCGATCCGAGAATATTAATGTATCTTCTGCGCTTTCGGCTCGAGTATGATGGTTGATGGAGTGGGACTTCCATAGCTTTGAGCCGCGAATACCTTCTTGAAGACCAAATGTGGTTCTCGAGCATGGCAAAGTATCGAGACGACTATGAGCCCAAGGCCATATACTAAAACTGCCATTAGGGGTAGGGACAAAGTAGCAATTCTGGGAAACAAATTCAGGGGAATAGAAAGAAAAGACGAGAAAGGGACAGTCTAGAACCATAAATATTGAGACAATCACATTAAAACTGAGGATTCCTGAGCCATCCCTTCGTTTTGAACATGATCTGTATATCCTCCATGTCAGCTGGGAAATGATGTCTTGGTGTCGTGACTAGAAGTCGGCGCTTGTCTCAGGCCACGTTGACTGCCTCCTTATTGGAATGCTGGTAGATTGGCACAACTCTTTACCAAAGGACACTTCAGCATTAGCAATTTTTTGCACGAGCTGGATCAAATGCAGAAATTTGTATCACCGAAAAGCGATCTGAGTTGGTCAGCAATGAGAATGAAAAAAGCTGACAGAGATAAATTGATGGGATTTTCTAGAGCTGATGATGGGCTTCAAATGCTGCAGAACCGGGCACTTTGTGCAATGCAAGGATTACATATGATTCTATTCATCGTCATCATCTATTGGAAGAATGTTGTGGTATCATACGGCACCCCATACCCCCAGAGTCCAATTGCCTTGGCTCTTTGCCAGGCCTCCAGGGCCCATGCTTTGCCTCGACATGCGTGTTTGCTGTGCCTGGGCATCGATCTCGTTGGGTTTACTGGCGCCATTCAGGCCTTGTTGCATCCAAAGATCGCGTTCCACTGCTGCAAGGGCGGAGATCTTGAGCTGTGTCGCCAGGCTCGCGCCAATCCAGGGTCCCATGGAATCAATGACACGTAGTGTGCCTTGTACTGGAGGCTTGTAGCCCTTTTCCTTCAAGATTGCAGAATTGACAGGATCTTCTTCTGCAGGTGCCAGGGATGGATCCCCTAGTGTTGGTGTCTCATCTTTGTCCTCGGAACCTTCTGGCGTCTGGATGGAAGGGATGGGGGTCTCTCGAATCTTGGTGCCACCGTTGCGTTTTAGCTTGGGATTGTTTCTATATGCCTGAACACCGCGGCCCTGCACCGGATCCCAGCCGCGCTCCTCCACTAGGAGACGTAGTTCATCAAAGACACGGCGGCGTAACCCAAGAACTTTTGAGCAGCCCCCTGTGAAAATGATGCGAGACATACAGATAGCACGAACGTCCATCGGCAGCTTGAGCAGGACCAAGTAAACAAGCAAATGTATAGGTAGCTCCTCGTCGTCAAATGTGGCCGTAGCATATGGTGTCTGGAAAAAGGTTGCCTCGCATGGCTCTGCGAGTTTGGAAAAGGGTATCTGAAGAGTTTTGGGTGGGCTGCAAGATGAGAGGTATATGGGAGTTGGTGTGGTGTCCTCTGTGGGATCTACACCCTCATTCTCATCCTGTTCGTGTAGCGTGTGCAATCCCAATGGTGTATCTTGGATTGGTGTTCTATGGGCCTTTTTGCACCATAGCATTCTCGTTGCGACCTCCTCGCAGTCTTCAAAATCCACAACGTCGTTGGTGGTTGGTATGCTGCCTTGTGTGGCCTCTGTTCGTGGTTGTATGGCGTCGACCAAGAAATTCCGCGTCTCCTCCAGGAGCATCTTTCCTGCTCTTGTCGATCGCATGGTGTTGACCTCGCGATACTCGTAAATCCCCGTGACTGTCGTTTCGTGCCAGCCGATGTCTACCACAAGTGCTGACCGTATGCCAGCTGCAAACGTTGTCGCAACTGGTGACGACAGGAGGGATATCGAAGGCGCTTGAAAGTGAATGAAGATTGTATCGATCACAGATGATATGATTGGCAGTGGCAGGGCCGGCGTGAGGACGAGAGATATCTTCTTTGGCTTGGTCGAGTCGAGCAACAGGTGTGTCGCAAAGGCATCACGGAGGCCGCGTTCGAGCTTGTCTCCGACAAGGGCCATGTCTTGCCCACGGCAATCGAGCTGGAACAGCTCATGTTGAAACCCCCAAGGCCGGCCTGCTAATCTTTCTCGCCATTTCTCGGCATATCCAGCTTCCCAAGCTCTTAAATCGCCAACTCGTTTGTCCGAATCTGCGTCGAAGGTAATGATTCGTTTGGGTTCGTAGTCTCCAGCGAAGCCAACCCTTACATTTCGACAACCCAGCTCGATTACAATTACGTCCTCCTCTACTCGTCCTCCCGAAGGTGATCCTATGATCGAGCTAGAATGTGGTCGTGCTGGTGTATGCGGCACGCCCTCCTTGGATGAGCCAGCGCCGCCCCGGATGCTCGAAATAGTGCGATGGGGTATGTTCGCGCTGGAAGACATGTTGCTGGACTTGTTGCTGTAGGGGTATCAGGCGGGGATGCAGATCTGCATTGTCGTCAAATCATGGCAGAAAACATTGAAAAAATCCCGTGTTGCTTCAAGGTCGCTGGTCGGCAAGTACAGTATTCCCAAGAGAATGATGTCGCCAATTCCTAGAGGTCGCGTCTGGAGCTCCTTTGCACCCCTGGTCGTCTTGGACTGGGAGACATTTGCTACATGTCTCTTGGCCACAAACATCATGGCTCGACACAACAATTTCTGGAATTTGACACTAGTATTACTACTTTATAGCATTTTCTGTTCAATTCTAGATACTAAGAGATGGTTGAATCAGTCCCAAGCACCGAGACCGAATAGTACAACCAACATCTGCACATGCAGAGAACTTGATGTGCAGGTATTCCAATTAAAGTCTGCCCCGCGATCCCTGGGGAAACCAAAGTCAACAAGCCGCCCGGCACTAAATTGACAATCGTTAGTGTCAAACTCGGCGGCAAGTTACTGACTCTGTACGTACCTGCCTACCTCCTACTTGCCGTCGTCACCTTAATCATGACCTCAGTTTTCATGTGGTGGCATTTGTGAAGATTTGCACACCATCACGAGTGGCTTATAAAACAATCAACGACTGGCTAATTTGCATTTATTTTTTTTCTTTCAGCACTTGCTACGCCCATGAATAGCACATAGTATTGGCTTTTGGCCTTGCAAGAGGCTCAAAATGGGTATCAAAGGGTATGTGAACATAATCACTCGTCTCGGGGTGACAGCGTCGCCACTTCTACAGACTCTGACCTAGGTTTTTTCAAGGATTTACAAAGAGATCGGCCCCGGCCAGCGCATATCACTCACCAAGCTGGCTATCGATCACCTGGAACAGACAGGCCGCCCTCTGAAAGTGGCCATTGATATTTCCATATGGCAGTTTCAAGTTCAAGCAGCAAAAGGTGGCTCAAATCCAGCAATCAGGACGCTCTTCTATCGCCTACTTCGCCTGCTGAGTCTTCACATCCACCCCATCTTTGTTTTTGACGGTCCAAACAAGCCCGTCTTCAAGCGCAACAAGCGATCCGGTCGTGGCAATGGCGTGGCTGCCTCCATGGCCAAGCGAATGATCCGGCTGTTTGGGTTCCAATCACACGATGCGCCTGGCGAGGCTGAGGCAGAGTGTGCATTTTTACAACAGAACGGAATTGTCGACGCTGTCCTCTCTGAAGATGTGGATACCATCATGTTTGGTTGCACCAAGACCATGAGAAATTGGTCGGCCGAGGGCAAAGGGAAAACACCAACACACATATCAATGTACGACACTGCTCAGCTGAAGCAGGGCGGATCTGGTCTCGACAGGGAGGGCATGGTCTTGGTCGCTCTTATGAGTGGTGGCGACTATTTGCCCGAGGGCATACCGGGTGCCGGAGTTAAGCTGGCTTGCGAAGCCGCGCGGGCCGGTTTTGGCAAATCTCTCTGCCGTTTGAAGCGATCTGATATCCATGGTCTCAGGGAATGGAAGGACAAACTGAAGCACGAATTGGTCACCAACGAGAGCCGCCTTTTCCGCACAAAGCACAAAGCTTTGTCTGTTCCCGATGACTTTCCAAACCTCGAAGTTTTGGGTTACTATACGCACCCAGTAGTTTCTCCCCTATCACACATCGAGAGATTTCGGAACAAATCGTGGGACAATCCATTGGACATTGTGGGCTTACGAGAGTTTGTCCGCGAGACCTTTGATTGGGAGTACCAGGGCGGCGCCATCAAGTTTATCCGCGTGTTGGCACCCTGTCTATTGGTCAAGAAGATGATGCAGCTTCATGCTGATCGCGAAGGCCGGAATTGCGAAGTGGAGGATTTGCAGAGAGAAGAGAGTCGACTCGCCCGTGCTATTACAAATCGACGAGAACACATCAGCACAGACGCAACTCCCGAGCTCCGAGTATCCTTTACGCCCACGGAGATAGTTGGATACAGTTTTGAGGAAGAGCCAGAAGAAGAGATTGCTTTTGGCAGGGATGGTATTGCCCTCAACAGCGACGATGAATTTGATGGCCTTGGAGACGAAGACGGTTCAGCTGCCAAAGTTGGGCCAAAGAAACCTTTCAATCCCACTGAGCCAGATTTATCCTGGATACCCGAGACAATAGTCAAGATTGGTCTGCCACTCATGGTAGAAGACTGGGAAGAGTCCCAACGAGTAAAGGCTGCGAAGAAGACCAAGACAAAGGTATCAAAAACAAGAGCAACGGTCAAGCTCGGGGGGATGCAGGCAGGGGCCTTGGACAAATTTGTCAAGGTTAGCAAAGACATCCCGGCAACTATGAAGGGGCTCGAGACTTTAGACAACAGTTCACTTGCATGCAGCACAAGAGCCCGCAATCCTCTTGGATCATTCCCAGCTACTTCACAAAAACAGCCGGTGTCAACTCAGAGCGAATTGGCTTGCAAATCAACAAGGCCGTCCACAACACATAGTAAGCAGTCCACCAGATCCGCAAAGAGTCCCAAGGGAAAAGGAGCCAAAGCCGCACCACCGGATCCAACGGTAAACCCGTGGTCGATAGCAAGCTCACGATTGCCTAGCAAATGCAACTCGCAGCCTGCTGCTAATACCATCACGACATCTACCGAGGCCATACTTATTGCATCAAGCCCCCTTACATCGCCTGTTAAGCATGCTCGCCCGCGTCTGAGCCGAGAGGGTTCCTCAGCGTCGGACAGACAGAGCTCTCCCAGGTCTTCGCCAAGTCCGCATAAACGCAGATCTGGCACTCCTGTGGACGGGACTCTGGATGGAGGTGTATTCAACCATGAATCCAGACCTTCCAGTCCTGTTGCCCGACAAGGTGTTGTCGCATCCCGTCGAAAGCTGGCTAGGACTGAATCCATGCCTGCCGATTCCCCCAGAGGAACCAAAAATCATGATGTCTTTGCATCCCAACGGGCGCCTCTTTCTAGAGCTAGCACCATATCTGTAGAGCCACATCTCGGGGGGTTTGATGGCTCGGACGACGACAACGACGACGACGATTTTGGCCTCCCTCCTCTGAGTTCCTTTGCGGGCCGTATCCCAAAGGCACCATCTTTGCCTGCTTCACCACGGCCATCCTTTACCATGCCTGCAGATGCGATGGAATCCATTACGGTAGACAGCTCGCCTGTCCTATCGCACAAAACGCGAACTTCTCTCGGGCCTAAACCACCCGCCACCTCTACTGTCCCTCTGACCAAGTCCAAGCAGAAGACAGCAGCCACAACGACAAAAGCAAGCAAGAAACAAGGCAAGCTCGATAACACGTTTGGTTTGCGCACGACCAAGGTATACGCACCGCGCAAGAGCATGCCCGGGTTCTTTAGCGAGATGGAGATTGTGGTGGATGAAACGGACGGAAAAGAGCCGGCTCGAGGCAATAGCCGTCGATGGCGACAGAGCGATATAAGCTTTGTGGATTTGACTGATGACTAACGACTGTAACGAGGATCCATGGCGTTTGGTGGAGTTGTCGAATTGATACTATATAACACAAGTGACCTCTTTGAGATATCAAGAGGGGAGGGAGGCTGCTGGACAAGCATGTAGTTGACGCACAGTACTGATGATGACTGCGCTCAAATGAGAGTCACCTACCATGGTAGTGGAACTCAAGAAATGCATAGTGAGCAATAATTATTTTGAATTGCAGTACATAAAATCTCACAGACCAAGCACCATAAATTATGCAATGTTCTTTCCTCTAATCGATGTGTCTTTATGACGGGGGTATGTGGGTATCCTGCAGTAAATACAAACTCGACCTGTCCCTATAAAACAGGCCTTTCGATGTAAAGAAGACAACTCAATAATGACAATCATTCCCCAATCCTTTCATATATCGTTCACTCGTTATAAATAGTCGCTTCTTCGTCCGATCCTTTCTGTCTTGTTTTCTCCATCACCATGGCCCTGAAAGCAACGTCGGCTTGCTAATGTCATGAGTCGGGACAAGGGCACCTGGGCTCCTGGATACCTAATCCTCGACAGCCCAAGGCAGGTCCCTTTCGACAACTCGGACACATGTGAGGTACGCGACAGGGCTGGAAGTGGTCCCGTCTTTGCCGGGGTTGCTCAGCTCTAGCTCGAGACCGGTGCCCATGAGCGGACGCACCAGCTCTCTGGCGGCTGTCTTCATCTCGTCGACCCGTTTTTCGAAGCGTCTCAAATTGTCGCGACTGTACAGTTCCGGCGTGAGTTTCAAGAAGCGTTTGCATTCTTCGTGGGTTAGGTACACTGAGGGTGATTGTGACCCAAGTAGCCGGTAGGTTCGGCCTACTGTCGCTAGACTCGGAAGCGTTGGAGCAGCAGGCGGTGGGCGATTGGCAGAAGAAGACCCTCCTCTGCGATCGGTTGGAGGCGGAGGCGGCGGAGCAGGAGACGTGTTTTCGGCAAGCCATTGTCTAAAGAAGGACACGGCGAGCCAATCGAGGTACGAGGACCCCGGCGTCACCCTTTCGCCGCGAGAGTTCGTAAGGTTGAGCCTGAACAGACGACCCTCGATCCGCGATATTGTTTCCTCCAGCTCGTCCACCTTGTCTTCAATAATGTCGAGGACGATTTCGGGCAACGCATTCCTGATGCTCCGTTCTCCTCCTGGCCACTGGCCCACGACATGGATGAGTGCCTCTTGGAAGATGACTTTCGACCTAGCCAGGAAGCCCAGCTTCAAGTATGATACAGGGTATTTTGCGATTTGCTTCCACAGACGTGACTGAAACTGCAGAAGGTGGTGATCAACTCGTGGTCCGCACACAGCCAAAGCATCGTATTGATCCGCCAACGTGAGCAGCGATTTGCACTGCACATATGCATCCGCTATGTTGATTCCGTCGAGTACAGGCGGGTAATTGTAAAAGATGCGAAAAAGGTTGTCGTAATCTCGTAAAAGGTCGGCGTCGGCCTGGGATATCGGCGGGCCATCTTCGGGCTGTGGGTGGTTTGGGGTATGATGATGACCACCAGCAAGTGATAAATTCGCGACGGATCGGAAGAAGGACGACGTCGTGTGGGGAGCCGAATGAGAGGGCTTGTGCCGAACGGAGGAAGTGTTTGCACCCGTGCCGCCTCCGAATATCGATCCCGTAGGTGCCGCTGTATTCGTTGTACTCGTTAGAGTACCGCCGCCGCCGCTACGGCTGCTGTCGGCCTCTTTCTGCACCAGCATCGGTAAATCGTCCCCTCCCGCTCCCGAGTCCAGCTCATATCTCCACCGTTTACGTGGGCCTGGCGATCCTGCGCCGGGCCGTGTCGTCAGCTCATTCCCACTCTCGGTCGAATTTCTGCTGCCCATGCTCACGCCGCTATCTTCCCCGATCCTCGCCAGATCCCTGCTAGGCGGTTCCGGGAGCGCGGGCAGAACAGTCGCCTTGGACCATTGCTGGCTGGTCGACGCCTCGAAGAAGCCGGAACATCGTGTCAGGGTGTGTCGGTGCAGCAGGTAGCGATTCTCCCTGCCGCCGGCGTTTATGACGATCTCGACATCGCCAGAGGCGCTAAACCACGGGAACTCGTTCTGGGGGATATAGGACGTCCCGCCGGCATGGGAGCGGTTGTATCTCTTGCTGCGCGACGAGACGTGGGGCCGAGAGGAAGATCGCGTGCCGACTACGGACTGGGCTCCACGGAGGGCGAGGGACTGCGATGCGTCGGGTTCACGTTGCGACACCATGAAGACTGCTGCTATTGCCGCTGGGCCGCTAAGCCGCTGCTGCGATTCAGGTGAGACCTTGATTCCTATACAGTTTCGAAGAAGCTTTGTGACTCGCAGCCACCCTGAGACATAGGAAGGTTTTCCCCTAGGCCTTGTCCGAGCGGGCTCTCAGTAGCCGGCCGTTGATGATAGTGGGTGCTGATGAGGGGCAGAGGTTGTGGCTGAAGCTCATGGCACAAAGGAGCACTGGAAGCAATCGTGACTCTTCAATAGTCCTAATTCCTGCTCGTCGTTCTTTTTCTTTTGTTTTTGGCGTATTGTTGTTGACTTGAAAAGCTTTGAAACCGAGTCGTCTGCAGAGTAAATACCGCTATGTTTCCAACAAGCCGGTTGTTGCCGTGATTTCCCAAAATTCGAGAGCTCGCAAATGGCGGCGGTCAGGTCGATTAATTGACTTTCCTGAGGCGGTGCCCAGCTATTTCGCCACACAAAGGGAGGTTGGTTGGAGACTTGCCAGGGTCTACGTAGCGAAAGAACCTGATCAAGAAGAACCCTGGTCGTAGTATTTCCCGTCGGTAGCGAGGCTAATTTGAGCGACGACGTCTTTGAGAGTAGCGCAAGAGAGACAGAGAGAGAAGGCGGGAAATTTCTATACTGGAAGAATCAAAAAGAAGGCGAGTAGTAGCAAAGTGCAAGTCAAGGTAGGCGCGGGTACAGATGGAAACCGATCGATGATATGACCAGACAAGTACGTAGGTAACAGACACGCAAGCTTGGAGGGGAAGGAATAACAATAAATAAATCAGACAAGGGGGGATCCAAATAATAGAGATAGAGATAGAATTAAGCTAAAAAGATGGATATAGTAATAGGTACTATCTAATAAAGCTGTCTGTCTCGACGATCAAGGCGTATATAGTAAAAGTAGGTGGTACATAGCTTGAATGACTGCTGGGGGACGGGACGCATCATTCCTCTCGAGTGAAGTTGTTTGTGAAAACGGAACCACATGGTCATGCTGCCAACTGATTCGCCCACGCAGGTTTTCCGCGTCTTTTTTGTTTATTCCTTGACGGTGCACGACAGTCCAGCAGCTTGCCTGAGCCTGCCGCGCTCTGCTACAAAGTAGAGCTCTGCTAACCCTCAATCTGCCTACCTTGGGCTTGCACCCCCTCCCCTCCCTCTGCAACTACTGGCCGCTTGCAGCCAAAACAGACCAGTCGGCTCCTCGCGATTTTCTCTGCGTGCCCAGTTTCTGGTGCCCACCCACTCAGCTGGGTAGGGAATGTGCCTCGAGGTGCGCTGGCCAGTCGATTGCTTGCAACTGGGGACACCATCAAACCTGGGACCTGGCATTTTTTGCAATTGTCGTGGTATCAAGTGCACATCTACGAATGGTTTTGCAAATTCCAACAAGAGCCTAGGCTTTGTTCTTTTACACACATGGTCAAGCTAAGGGGCTTGCTTGCCAACTGGTTACTTGCAACATCTTCCATATAATAGTCAAGTTACCGACTCGACCGGAAACGGCTGCCAAGACCACCAGCAACCACATCACATTGGACCACATGCCCAAGTCTACTATGCTCGCTCTGTAGTATGTACATAGGCCTTTATGCTGTATTTTGGGCTTTTGCACACGGGCAGTTGCCGAATGCTGGACAGTATTTGAAGTTGTGTCAGGACATGCACGCCTGCCTCTTAATATCTTTTTGATTTCGCAGCCTAGATTTCCATCTTCTCGTCTCCCAGACTTGCTCAGACTTATCAAACAAACAAATAATCGACCATCGATGGGTCATTCATTGCTTTTGAGAACATTGCAGAGATCTACAAAAGCTTGCTTGATTATTCGAGATGACGGGTTTCGTATAGCGACATTGTAACTGCAGGCGCGCACACCCCCAGATTTGCTTTCCTTTGCGCGATCACGACACATGCAGACTACAAGACATTCTACTTTTTTCTCTTTTCTTTTATTTCTTTTATTTTCTACTGTGATCCCAAGTCTCGCCAACAGATGTTTGTAGACCTGTCATCCCTCCACGAAGATCGATGTTGATATCTTGCACTCAAAGGTGATCATGGTCCGACCCCACTGTCGCTGAGAGCGAATTAACCAGAGTCATTATACACTGACGTTCGAGCCTCGTTTCCGCCCATCACTTCCAGGCCCGCGTAGACTGTAATTTCAAAGCGTCAGCTCGGCCACAAATGCACATGCACTCTAAACACCAAGCGCAGCCTCTCCAAATCAATGTGTGGCGCCTTTTGCATGATGAGTCCAACCGATCGTTGGTGCGCCTTCCGTTGCTCCAATGCATGCTGCAACTGGTCGCATGTCGGCTATGAAGGTGCAGTGTGCTGGACACTTTTCATATAATCACGCCACGAAACACGGCCGTATAAGCATTAAGAAGAACATGTTCATGCCAGAGCTTTGGATTCCATGAGAAAAGATAAATTGACAAGGTCCCACCGTGTCCCTCCCTGTAGACTGACTTTCCACTTCATCATTTCGACGCCAGATTTTGCCAGATTTTGCCAGATACATCTTGATTTTCGTGTGCGCAAATGACACTGGAGTCAGAGCTGAAGAAGTTTATCGGTCAGCGACTTCCAAGACCTGTTCGCGACATCCAACCTCGAAGGAATTTGTAAATGTCTATAGTTGCCAGGGCATAAACAGCAGCAGCAATAGGCGGAGGTAGGGGGAAGAAGCAATGCAAGAATCTAATTCCGCAACATGATTGGCTCCAAGTCTTTTTGCGATGCGAACGAGTAGATTGAAACGCCATAGAAGATGATTCGTGCTGCGATGGGAAGAGATAATGCGTGCGCTCAAGGTTTTATCCATGAATGAGATATGAATACTACCTACACACGGCATAGGTTACCTCTCTGCCTTCGGCATCGGATTTCTGGGCTGTTCTCGTTATATATATGTAGCTCCAACGACAACGTTGTTGCAGTTGCGGTTCTGAGTTTTCGGACCATTCACTTCAATTACAGATTCACAGTCACTATTGAGATATTACTGGTTGGATGCTTCAAGAAGTTTGCAATAAAAATTTATTGGTACAGTTGGGAATACAAACGCCAGAAGTTTTTCAGTTGGACTGCACACCCAATACCGATGCGATGTGTCGCGAATGTGGACACCGCCGATGAAATTCGTTAGAAAAGCACGCCAAAACTCCGGCCCAATCAAGCCAACCAAAGCAACCACCCATGAAAACCCACGCCAGGTATGTTCTGTGTTCTCGAAATTGATTTTATCGCCGCGCAATTTTCAAGCCATTGCCATATCGATATCTTGCGATGAAGTAGGCTGCGGTGTGCCTGCAGCAGTCATGACCTCGAGACCCTCGAAGACCGGGGGTGAGGCTCTCAGGTTTTGGAATGTCTGATTGAGATCCCTGCTGACAAACTGGCCGCGTTGTAGATCCTCGGCGAACAGGAAGAAGCCTTCTGATGCCTCAACGAGATAGGATTGCAGGCCCTTGCTCTCGAGTTGTATTTGTACATTGTTGATGGGGAAGTGGTTCTCGATATAGCGTGCCCAGCCTCGTGCAGCAGCTTCACTGTGCTCGTTGCTGTTGACGCGACTCCAGCCAATGCCGAGATGGAGGGTGAAGTTGTCGATTACGGGCTGCGATGTCGTGTTTGGAAGGCTTGGAGTCGCTGTCACCGCATCGTTGGTGTCGCGCGCGGGACTTGACTGGTGGGCAGAAGGCAGTGAGAAGGAGTTCATATCGAGCCGTTGAGACTTGGCGCTCCGGAGAGAAGGGCGCTCCTGTTGGTTGAAAGCGCGCGCCTCCTCGTTCTTGTGGAGCTCTTCTTGGGCAATCTTCTCCTCGACCCAGGTTCCGGATTGGCTGCCGGCTTCTGAGACATAGGCTTGTGACTTCTTGATGAGGACCATGCCAGGACCATATACCCATTCATCTTCTGCCTCTTTGACTGGCTCGATGGTCTCGAGCTTCGCCTCTTCGACGTCAAGATTGATGGCGGCTTCGTCGCGAGAGCGCTTACGGCCTTTAGAGAGAGACGATGGGGCAAAGATGGGCTGCTGCTGTTGTTGTTGCTGGAAACGGGCAGCAGAGGGTGTGTATGGTCCTGGACGGCTCAAGGGAGAGGGCTGATGAGAGAACACAGGCATACCAAACGCAGCTTGATGGGCAGTGCTTGGCGGCATGACCAGGACTGGAGATTGTGTGCGTGAGAAAGAACCCATGGTGATCTGTGAGTACTAGATGTCAGATATCAGACAGCAAGTTTAATTAGAAGTCGCAAGAAAGACTCCAGTCTGTTGTTGGTTTCCGTTGCGGGTAGGTAGGGTCGGAGGCTGTTCACTAGATGGGCGGGCGAGATGGCAAGTGAACTAGTTATAAGATTGGTATGGAAGAAGATGGGCACAGAGCAACTGATGGGAAGAATTGAGTTTGGAGAAAAAGAGAAAACACTGGTTGACAAGTTACGGAGGGCCGCGATCGAGGTGCACGCGGGCAGGAAACTTTGAGAGGCGAAGACTATTCAGAGTGAGGACCTCTTGACGCGAGTGGTGTAAGTGGGAAGAGGAAGATCAAGATGGGATACAAGGTATAGGACGGGTGAGGATTGGATACTAGGGAGGAAGAGTGTTCAACTACTACTTCTATGTAGATCGGGTGAGGAAGGTATGTTAAGGTAGAAGAAGAAGAAGAAGAGGTGGAAGTACGAAGATGTAAAAGTCGAAGAAAGGTGAAAACTGGGAGGGTGGCAGATAGATATGTGAGAGGTGAAATGTAGGAGATCAGCAGCGCGACGACAGACAAGACAGTACAGTATGGATAGGTATGGTAGTAAACGCAGGAAGGAGCAGAAGCAGCTTTCGCGCGGACGGGTAAAGTGCGTAGTGTAGTAGTAGTAGTAGCTGCAGCACGCAGAAGGCACGAAGCACACACAAGGATTGGCGTGGTTGCTCCGTGAAAGTCATTCGACATGGATATGGGCTGGGATGAAGGTTTCGGGGGCTGATGGATCATCGAGGAGCGCAAGTCAGTCAGTCGCAGTAATGGCAGTACCTGCGCCCGCGCGGAAGAGACGGGCGAATTCGCTTGTACCCTCCGAAAAGCAGAGCAGCTGCTTGCTTCCGATGAGAGAGCGAGAGAGGTCTGAGAGAGGTGTGTGCAACTGGAGTGCAAGCCGCCAGCCTGCACACAAGCTGACGGGGAAACCGCTTTTCCTAGTCTGTGCTGGTCTGTCTGGGACTTTGGCTAGGAAAGGTGTGGAGACAGTGACCTGAGACCCTGGGCAGGCTTGAGGAAAAAAAGAAAAAGGAAAAAAAAAGAGACAAAGTGCTTGAGTGCAGCGCGGAGAGCGGCAGGTCTGATCTGATTCGGCCATGACCCGTCAGTGTCGCATTTCTGATCGCAAGCTTGAGCAGGGTACCGAGGTACCTCCCGCGAGGCGCAAAGATGAGGAGCGGAGGCAAAGACAGACAGACTGCTGCAACATGATTGGCTAGTCGATCCAGAATCGCCCGCCAGCCATTATTTTTGCCTCTTTACCGCTCTTGGTCAAGGGCCAAAAAAAGGACGTTATGGGGTCGGGCCACCGCGGACGTGACCCATGCTAAAGCTCGCCAGAACCGTCTCGGTAGGGCGATGTGAGGACGCTCCTTGATTGGACTGTCGTATCGAGAGCCATGGCCGACAGTCTTGGCACGATGGCATCGACAGACACTGCAGGCAGTCTTCCGCAATTGGTCAGCTTTGGACCTCGCCTTTTCCTTCGTCTCTACCGTCAAGCATTGTCCGAGATCCCCTTGCCTAGTATAGCAGCAGGGACCAAAGCACACCAAATAGTAGGTTGCAACATTGGCTCGCGCAATCGCACTCACGTGAATCTCACCGAACCTGGATGAATGCCTCAGGCAGGATTAAAACCACCTGGCCAACGAGACCCGGAGTCTACCACACTGCCCAGGTGGCAGCAGACACAAATGTCGGAAGCTCCGTTGTTCCATTCCTCAGTCCATACAGGCTCTGAGCACCCATGCACACAGCTCGAGGTACGTACCAATTGACCATGAACTTACGAAGCATCACGAACAGATCCACCCAGTGTGTGAGTCTTGGAATGAAGGGCGAACGGCGAACGCAATTGTTCACTGGGCTGGTGTCGTCACCCGCAGCAACCATGCTCAATCTCGGCAAATCTTCATACGAATCTGGGGAACAGAGGCGGGCAGCTCGCATCAGTTTTCCTAGTAATCTTCGTACCTTCACTAGCTTTTCGTACTCGTCCTTCACTTTTCCATTCTGTGTTCCCAAGAAGATTAGAAACCAAAAATTGGGATAAAGGACTACTTTGCAAGTCGGCTAAAAAGCTTCTGGGCATTCTTCTATGTAATAAGGATGTAGACAGCACCCAAAGACTGCAAAGCATACCATGACATGATGGAACGGAATCACGATAATAGGGTGGGTTATGCCGCCCACTTTTTTTCTCTCTCCTCATTTCTCATTTTCGTCGCTCGTCTTACCAGTGAATAATTTTTTTTTTCTTGACGCCATAAGATACACCGAGCAGAAAATTTCTTTGCCTAGTTTCCACTGCACTACGTACCATGATCCGCTTCGCCCTCGTTCAAATGAAGTGCTTCCTGGTACAGCGCAAGGTCATCCGAATTCTCTGTTCCGCCATAGAGACCCCGGAAGCCCGGCGTTTCTAGCCCCGTCTGCCTAGGTGACCTGGCATGTCGGCGTCGAACGGTACCAGGCTCATGGCCAGCTCGCCTTTGCGCACGTGCGACCGGCGCCGTGTAGGATCCTCGGAGACGGCTTTGATGGCGTGCTTCCGGCAAGTGCTGCGGCGTACTGGGCTGTAAAGACGCCGGCACATCATCGCTATAGACTTTGATTTTGCTAGAAGACTGACGCGGATCAACGTGCGGTCTTTCCTCGCAAACCCTCGGTGGTTTTGAAGGAGTATCCCACGGCGAATGAGGGCTACTCGACAACGTTAGACCGTCATCTGTCGAGACACAGTTGATCCTGGCGAAGCTGGCGGTTGCTTCAAGTGGCCTCATTCCGCTTGCCTGAACCTGCGGTCTAGTTAGGAAGCAGGCAACATTACATTGGGACTGTACGAATCATAACTTACAGCAGGACTCGCGGCTGGTCCATCATGCCCGGTAAGTGAAGGAAGCCTAGCGGGCGTGGCCGGAGTTGTTCTACCAGCTCCTTCTCCAGGTGATCTGTCTACCGATTGTCGCATCTATGCGTTTTAGAGATTCGATCCCTTTGAAACTGATATTGGATATCCTGCACTCACCGAAGGCGTCGCATGCTCATCGGACACTACCCTATTGCCCATTGAAAATGGTGGTGGTAGTCTCATGGAAAGCATCTGGGCGACATTGAGCGATCGATCAGGAACATCAGCGGCCAAGGCTGCTCTTTGGGGCGTGCTTGCTGAACTGTACAAACTCTGCGCCTCTAGTTCGCCTGATTCATCATCTCTTGTAGGCATACGTTGTCGATGGGCCAACACACATTGCTGCGATAAGTCGTTGGCAACCGAGCTTGTAGCAATCGGTTTCTCTCGTTTACTTCTGTCGGAATGATGTCGACGGCCAATTTCACGTATTTGCTCGGGTGATGAACAAATGGCAGGACGAATGGAGTGCTTCGGCAAGACCTCATGTTGGATCTCTGACGCTTGAGCAAGATGGTCGTTGGTGCGACGACCTCGCTCATACTCCTTCACCTCTGCTATGGTTAGAGAGATGGTTGTAGCAGGGTATCGAAGCATATTCACACGAAACATTTAATTTCGCGTGGGATCAATGCAAATGGAACAGAAATACGCGGCCGTGAATTGAGTCGTGTTCGTTATAGATGCCCTTGACTTTCAAGAGATATTTGGCTCATCTCTGGTTGTGCAAAGTCGAGCATAATTCAGAGATCTATCTAAGGTAGGTAAATACAAAGGTAGCTCTTGCTGCCCCCTCCAAAGGCAATCGAGGGCATTCGCAGCTTCTGCAGTAACGTTTGGTCCTACATCTGTGACATGCTCCTAATCTCGTGGCATTGGCGGACTACAGACAATTCTGATTACCTTGACTTACCTTAAAAGGGGTAGGTACGTGCAAGGAAGTCTTTCCAAGGAGAAAAGGGCGTGTTTGACTAATGTATATACACATTAGTCGCCACAGCCCTACAAGGCCGTTGACGTTTGCAAGATCTTATCTCGTGAATACTCTTTGGAAAGAAGAAGGCAGCGTAAGCGCTTCGCTGGGACGTGGAGGATGTAAGGAGACAGACAAGATGCCATGTGTAACATTGTATGTAGGTAACATTACCAATTGAAAGTGCTTGCAGCGGAGTACGTACCTACCTAACTTACAGTCTTACTGGAACCCTGCTCCTCCTAAGACATCCACTCAACATTGAAATCCTCCACCCTACATACGTCGGCACAGGTCTTGGCAAACACCTAGTTATGCCTCAGCCTCTACACATGTACGATAGATTACTTGGCTACAAGTATCTCAGACGCTGTCACAGTCATTAAAGTATAGAAGGAAATGATCAAAGCACCAGATACCAAAGAAATATCATCATAGCTCATTTACAAGCGTTCCAAGTCCAGGTGTCCCTTCATTTTCGTGGCGTGCTGGACGCTCCAGATAAAAACAATATCGTACCCAGTCCATCAAAGAGTAGGGCGGTCAAGCAGCGGGCATTGGCGATGGGATGGATGTCAGGCACTGAGAGAGAATTGGAGACGCTGAGGGGAAGCCGTCCAACCTAAGCCACCAGAACGCCATCACCGACTGACGAAGCTGCTGCTCGTGTCCTTTTGCGCTGCCGACTGCCCAGCTCCAGCTTTCTGCTTTGCTCTGCCTCTGCCCAAATTAATAATTTGCGCGACGGGATCCGCTGCAGAGCTGCCAGATTCCGACGTCCTAATGTTCGCACGACTCTTCAGTCCCGACCAGTCTACAGAAGCTGCACCAGCTTATTTCCTCTCACCAATTCCCGCCAGGACCAATTCCACTAAAGTTCAACCCACTAACCTTAGCTGCCAGTTGAGCATCTCGCTCGCGGCGCAACGACCATTCATCCACCTCTGCCCATATCATCATACCACCTGCCCATCTCACACCCTCACTTGACCTCCTCGCGGGCGGCACGTTCGTTTTGTCCATTTTCCTCTGCCGGCCTTTGCTGCTCACTTAGGCCCGAAGGAACACACTCTCGGCCTTGCCTGCTTGTCGGACCCGGTCGGTATATGCCCACTGTCAACGGGCCCCTTCCCTCCTCTGGGCTCCATGAGTGTCTCCTTCTGCGTTGATCACCACCTCCCCCATTCCTTGCACAGCCGCCTGGACGATCGTCCGGGGCTGCTGCCAAGCTCGCCGAAGCCAAATTTAGTACCTTGAACCTTCTCAGCATCTCAGCATTCATCATCGAAGAGCATCAGTCATGAGCAACGATCTGAGCCTCTCGAGGGCCCTCGGAGGCTTACGCATCGCCAACCCCGATGATGCCACTACGAGTCCCACACGAGATACCCCAAACGACTCCGAGGGGCCATCTGCCATTGATTCAATTGCACCTCAAGCCCTATCCCAAACCCAGTCCCAATCTCAGTCTTTATCCGAGCCGCCAACGAATTTAAGCAGAAGCCAAACGCAAGACTCATCGCGTTCAGGGATAGAGGCGGACTCTTCTAACCAACCAAGCCCTTATGCGCATAACGAAACTCTTGCTTACTCGAGCTCGACCACATCACGCCCGGCATCTAACCTCTACTCATCCGCTGAGCGTGATCAAGCTGCAAATTCCTATAACATCCTGAGGACCGAGCCGTCGAAGGCATCCATGTACAGCATACCCACGAGGTCAGACTCTAGAGCAAACCCACAGTATTCAGTAGACCCCAGCAACATACCAACGAGAGAGCCAAGTCACCGAGACAGATCGTACAACCAGAACCGACCGATACATTTGCCTGTAACCACTGGTCCTCTCCCGCCCAGGAGAAGCTCGAAGGGTATGGGGGGCGGATACGCATCTATTCCTGGTGTTCCTATTGCCCCGGAACCTAAAGGGGGCATCCGCATGCCGATTTCAAACAGCAGCGAGGAGTGGAAGGATAAGGGCGCAGCCGTTAGCGTGCGTCGTGAAGTGGACTCTCATGGAAAGACCGTCATGAAGCCGGTCAAAAAGGGGGTACGAGACTTTAACTTTGGAAGGATTCTCGGTGAAGGTTCATACAGCACAGTATACCTTGCAACCGATCGACAAACGCTTAAAGAGTATGCCGTCAAAGTGCTAGAGAAGAGGCACATCATCAAAGAAAAGAAGATCAAATATGTCAACATCGAGAAGGACACACTGAACCGACTAACGGACCACCCTGGCATCGTTCGACTTTACTATACATTTCAAGACGAGAGCTCATTGTATTACGTCCTGGACCTGTGTACAGGAGGTGAGCTGCTTGGGGTATTGAAGAAGACTGGCACTTTCGACGAGGAATGCACGAGGTACTTTGGTGCACAGATACTGGATGCTATCGAGTATATGCACTCCCGTGGCGTTATTCACCGCGATCTGAAGCCAGAGAACGTCCTTCTTGATGAACAGCTACACGTCAAAGTCACAGATTTCGGCACCGCCAGGCTCTTGACGGACCCGAGGCTGCCAAAAACACAGGAGCCACAGAGACCAGATGATCCCAACGGGAAGATTGGCAACAAGGACGACAGCAGAGCGGACTCATTCGTGGGCACAGCCGAATATGTCAGCCCAGAACTCCTGAAGGATAGGAATGCTTGCAAGGCTAGTGACTTATGGGCTTTCGGGTGCATGATATACCAGATGCTGGCTGGGCGACCGCCTTTCAAAGGTAACACTGAATGGTTGACGTTTGAGAAAATCATCGGTCTGGAGTACGAGTTCCCGCCAGGATTCCCCCCTGCTGCGAGAGATCTTGTGGAGAGGCTCCTAGTCAGAGACCCGAATAGGAGGTTGACCATTGAGCATATCAAGAACCATCCTTTCTTCGAAGGTCAAGCGTTCGGAAAAGGCCTTTGGCGTTCAAAAGCGCCTCGATTACGTCCATATGTGCCACCTCCCCAGGAAACCAAGATCATTCAGCTTGGCACTCCTTCCAGTGTACCCGCGAATGCCTCCACATCCAGGCTGCTGCACCAAACTAATGGTGTCAACGGCTCTAGCCGGGGTCCCGGGAGAATCATCACCGACATTCCCCCGCCATCTCAGCTTGATATTGAATGGTCACCAGTTCTCACAAAAACCAATGAACGGATCTTGAGATTGGGTGACTTATTGGTTCTGTCGGCACCCATACCTAATAGCCCTCACACAAAAAATGGTGATGATGGCCACAGGAAGTTTTCAAGATTTTTTGGCGGCAGTACGACCAAGAAGAGACAACGTCTAGTCATGGTCACCTCAAGTGGCCGAATTGTTCTCGCGCCCGCAGGTGGAGAGGAGAAGAAATCGAAACAGGAGATCAGCCTCTTGGCTCCAGACGCATCCTGGCGTACCCAGATAGACGCAAAAGGACAGACTGTGTGGTGTGTTGACTCAGTAAGTGCCACAAAGTAATGAACCACTTGTTCAAGAGTATTTTTTTTTACTAACATGGAAGCAGCACGGGTATCACTACACATTTGAAGAGGCCAAGCCGGCAAATTCACTCGACCCCTCGAGAGTCTCTGCCAACGATTGGCTGGAGTGCTTGGATCAGGCCCGCGACATGGCTCTTTCGCAGAATATGTCTGGACCCTATCACAGCGACAGCGCCTTTGGCGACATGTCTTCATCAATGTCCAGCCCAGCAAGTACATTGGGCGGCAATGGTGCATATAGCGAGGGTTTTGGTGTCAGCGACAGATCACAGCGACATCAACTAAGCAAGAGTCAAATCAGTCTTGATGACGCTGCGTCCACAAACGTGAAGCGGAACCGTTTTAGCAAAAGACAGTCCAAACAGGGACTCGGTTCGGCTTTCTAGAAACAAGCTTTCCGATTATTGACAAAGAGAGCGGATAGGGGTGGTGTACCCTCCGAAACTCGTCAAAACCACAATCAATGCATGCATCACCATTCTTTCTTTTGTCGCATACTCAAGCGTGGCGTCGCAGGTTGACGATTTTTTCCCCCATTCTCTTTATTTTCTTGTTCTTCTTTCTCATCATGGGAAAGACACATTCAAAGGTTCTCTGCATCTAGGTTAGGAGTGGGTTCCTGTCTTTTGGTATCGTTCATCAGCATTGCACATTCTGCGCCTCATACACAGACGGGTCGGCGACACACATGCATTTCAAGAGTTAGCGGGCAACTCTTTCCACTCGGCTCATTCTAGAACGAGCTATCTTACTACGCAGTCCTGGTATCTTTGGGATAATCTGAATCAAAAAAAGCGTCCAATGTGGTTGTTAAGCAGTAGAATACAAAAGACGGCGAGAAAAAAAAAACAAAGGGCCCAACCAAACGGAAGGGAGCTCAGAGAGTAGTATCAACGGCTACAATACAGGTAGTTATAAAAAGGAATGGATCGGCGTATGCGCTCGTGCCAGGAAAACCTACCTAAGTAGCACAATTGATTGCAATTGTCAACTCCCTCAATGCATCTGACTGAATTATGTTTCTCATGTGAGATATATCGAGAGTAAGATGTAAATGGTATGATGTTGCAAAATGATGATAAAACTCGCGATGGCAAATTGGGTATTTCAACAACAAGAAACTAACAATAATAGTCATGATTTCCCAAAAATTCGCAGCATTGGGAACTAAACACATGAGTTTCTGCCCATGTCATTGAGAAATAAGGCGGCGCACCTAATGTGTTGTTCATATATTGGTTCCGGTACGTTTTACCATGTCACACGCACGGGCCACTTGGCGTGGCTGAGGCTCAAGCCAGCTGTGCTGTCTCCCGCTGTGTCGCTAGCAGCAGGCGCCCGCGCGACTCCAAAAACCTTCAGCTCCAAACCTCGCCAATCAATCGCCAACCAGTCAGTTTTGGGAACTACTAGAAACTGACAACGCGAGTCGCGTTTCCACGAGACTCCGCAACCGATTTTCCACAATCCGCCATTGAGTCGCAATCGCAGACCGTCGCACTTGACCAGCGCATCGGCAATTTTGTCTCACCTTGGCACACAACCACCCCCCCGCGAAGCCGTACTCCCATCCAGCCCCCGGCGCACCGCACTGCGCAAACATTCGCCCAAGATGCAGCCCAGCTACCGCCCATCATATCCACCACAGCAGCAGCAACCGCCGCCGCCGCCGCCGCCGCAGCGTGCTTCTCATAATGCTGGTCAGAGACGAGGAGGCATTGGTAAGCAGTCACTACTGTGGTTTGCGACGTCGTGCTTTTCCCAGCGTGTTCAAGCGCGAGGATATTGCCGGCCTTGTTCCTGGCGCGCGTGGGCTAGTGCCTCAAAGTCTATATTGCGCCTGCGCTGCGTTCCCTCTTTACCTTCTTGTCATTCCCCACCCCATCATTTGATGGCTCCACAGATTGTCAGCTATTAGGAAGATCCAGCATTGTCGTGTCGTGCTTGTTGAACTTTGAGCTGCCTCACTCTGCCCTTGTGTCTCACTTGCTGTCGCCCTCTGGCAAGATACTCGTGCTAACAGAATCTCAATGCCAGGCCCAATGATGTCTGCTGGCCCCGGCCATCACCAGGTTCCAATGACTCAAGCGCAGGTTGCGCAGCAGCAGCAGCAAGCAGCAATGCAAGTCGAAATGGCCAAGCGGCGAAGCAAGAAACCTACGGACAAGAATCTGCCAGATGCCATCGATGACTGCACGATTGGCGACGTGGCCAAGAGATATCGGGAACAACGCGACTTTGAGAGGCGACTCGATGCTACGATGACGCGGAAACGACTTGATATAGTAGATTCAGTCAACCGAAGCGTCAAGGTACGGTTCCCTTCCGCAATTGATTTTCTATTCATGACTTTGTGTTGACTTGAGTCGGTTCAGCGCCACAAGACCCTACGTATCTGGGTCACAAACACCACCGAGGATCAAGTTTGGCAGTCGAATGGTCTCAACAACGATTCTTTCGACTTCAGTTCGAATACCGAGCCAACATACCGAGTCAAAGTGCAGGGCCGCCTATTGGAAGATGACGATGACTTGGACAAGGATGATGAGGCTGGTGACGAAGAAAAGGGCGATAAGATGGATGAAGACGGAGACAAAGCCGCGAAAGCCAGCAAGGCGCAAAAATATCGATTCTCACATTTCTTCAAGTCATTGACTGTCGACTTCCCGGCCAATCGCAAAGGCGGCGATCAACCTGTTGAATGGAAGAAGCCCGAGCGGGCTGGCAACTCCGGAAACCTCCCCGCTTCTGCCGATTTTGACGAACTCACCTTTAAGCGAAGCGGTGATGAGAACCTTAATATCACGATCAATCTCTTCCGACACGAGGACCCAGAGAGATACGCGCTAAGCCCTGAACTGCAAGAAGTTGTCGACGAAACAGAGGCAACTCGGCAGGAAGTTGTCATGGCTGTTTGGGATTACATCAAGTACTTTGGTCTCCAGGAGGATGAGGAGAAGCGCAACTTCCGTTGTGACGATATCCTCAAAAAGGCATGTCATGCTTCTTGAAAAGTCAGTGAGGGCTCTGCTAACAAATACCATTTTAGGCACTAGGTGGCATCGAGACCGGGTCCATTCCCCTGCTTCAAACCTATATTACTCCTGCTCTGAAACCCCTTCCGCCAGTCAAGTTGCCCTACACCATTCGGGTCGACGAAGAATTCCACAAAGATCCTCAGCCTACTGTCTATGATGTGCGCGTCTCAGTAGAAAGCCCCCTCCGCGAGAAGATGTCTGCATTCTTGAACAACCCTGCCTATGCTGGCATGCTAAAGGAAGTGGCAACACTTGACGATCAGTTGGCAACTCTTGTTCAGGCTATCCACGTCTCTAAGGCCAAATACGACTTCCTCACTGCATTGAGTGAGGACCCTGCCAATTTTGTCAAGGATTGGCTCAGCTCCCAGAAACGCGATCTCGAGGTCGTCATGGGTGAGGCCATCCGTGGCGGCGAGGGTCCTTCAGGCGATGAGTGGAGAAAGGGCGGCCAGGATAGCGTCTGGGGCACTGCCAATGCCAAGGAGAGCGTGAGCATGATTCTGGCCAAGCAGCCACAACATGTTCAGAGGTAATTTGACGGCAACTTTGAAGTCTGCAACATTTATAATGGTTTTTAAAATACTCGTCCGCTGCATTGGCCAGATCTGCCGAATATGAAGTCTCTTGGGCGAATCCGTCAAAGACCACGAGACAACATATCTAATCAAGTCCATGGGGCACCTGCGTTCGGATGGGGAGCGGGTTTCCTTCTGTGCCTAAGGGCACTAATGGTATGTCTTCAGGGTTTTACATGGCGCAAGAAGGGATCGAAAGAACGGGAAATTAAAAAGAGCTGCCCAGGCTTTCTTCCAAGCCCAAGATCTTGTATCACGTTCAAATTCAGCAAGGTGGAGTTCTGGCGTCTAGACACGAATTAATGTGTTACAAGTGCGAAGAGTCGATTTATATTTCTCCTATCAAGTTTCCTGGGTCGACAGTGGAGATGGGCTCTCAGGTTGAACTATATGTGGCAATTCTCAAACTTGGCCGACTTTGCATTTGCGTCGATTGCGAGCGCTGTCGCTGGAGTATAACTGGTGTCGATGCATTCCTACGATCAGATGGAATTTGTTGTCTTCGCCTTATTTGTCATCCACTTGGTCCCATGAGGTACATCATCGCTCAGAGTAAGACTATATGATCTCGCTGCTAGGGACTACATTTCTGAAACAAGATTGTGAATCCGTACAGGAAAATGTGCAGTTGATGAGTCTGATATTTGCGGCTTTGCTTTCCCGGGGAATGGCCATTCCTTCGTGTCAAAGATACTATTTTCAAAATATAGTTTGTTGATCTTCACGCTACGTCATGCGAGTCTCCGTCAAACTGGAGCCCTGGCGGTCTTAATAGCTTAACGCCGAACAGATAGACATCACCCCGCTGGTTATAATGGAGTTGGAACATTCGGAATTGAATATAATCTGGTATTGAGCTGTACATCTTGGTGATATTGGTTCATATCTGGCGCAGACTAAATTTCCTGCCTCTAAAACTTTCAAGAAAACCGTTTGCCCATTCAAACGTACCATCAGTTACTTACCCACTTGAACAAATCAAAACATTTGGCATCTAATCATGTCGGCAATCTTCAAGTCCGCCAACACAGCCGTCATTACGGGCGGCGCCTCGGGTATCGGTCTGGCGCTGGCTAAACGCTGCGCCGGGGCCGGCATGAAGGTGCTGGTCGCGGACCGAGACGCCGCGTCCCTCGCAGCGCTGCCCTCTGTAATCCCTCAGAACACACCTCTGACGGCTGAAATGGACGTGTCGAACCCGGCGGATTGGACATCGCTCAAGGCGCGAGTCGACGCCGAGCTGGGCGGCCGGGTATCGCTCCTGGCCCTCAACGCCGGCATGGGGGCCCGGACCAGCTTTGACGAGGGCAGCGCCGTCGAGGTGGACAAGTGGCAGGCCGTGTTCCAGACCAATGTGTTTGGCGTGGTCCAAGGTCTGGCGCATCTGCTGCCCCTGGTTCCGCGCGGTGGTGGTGGTGGTGGTGATGAGCCCGCCGCCGTTGTCATCACGGGCTCCAAGCAGGGCATCACCAACCCGCCCGGCAACCCGGCCTATAACGCCTCCAAGGCCGCGGTCCGCTCGCTGGCCGAGCAGCTGTCGTACTCGCTGCGGGGTACCTCGGTCGGCGTCCACATGCTGGTTCCCGGCTGGACGTGGACAGGGCTCGCCGGCGGTGTGGCCGGCGGTATTCGCGACAACGAAAAGGGCCAGCAGAGCAAGAAGCCCGATGCGGCCTGGTGGCCGGAGCAGGTTGTCGAGTACCTCGAGGCCAAGATGAATGAGGGACAGTTCTGGGTTCTGTAAGTGTTGTGCCGTGTGGTTCCCTGCATCTTGATTGTCATCCCGCCTTTTACAAGCCTACTTATTACGAGCTTTGTCATTTCTTCTCGAGTGCAACTTGAGCATGTCAGGAGAGGACGTTGGGGATATACCGTGTCTCATTCATTAAAGCTCATACTGCGTACATGTAAAAAAACAGATCAGCTAACTTTCTATTCCTATAGATGCCCGGACAACGAGGTTACCGAGGACATGGACCGCAAGCGTATGCTCTGGAGTGCTGGAGACGCTGTCAATGGTCGGAAGCCGCTGAGCCGCTGGAGGGACGAGTATAAGGAGGAGGCCGCCGAGTTTATGAAGAAAGACCTGTAGATTCAGTGACTCATTCCAAGTTTGTCGTAAAAACTGTGAAATATACTAGTAGGCCATTACCGTTCGAAGACCAATTACTTGACCTGCGAATAGCCTGGTCAACGGGTTTAGACTTGATTTCAGTGAATCTACCAGCAGCCATCAGATTCTTTGACCAAAGATTGGGACAAATGTGAGACTTTATTGTATAAATTCTGGTGCACTACCATTCGAGGTTGCTCTGCAGGAACAAGAGCAATGATCAGTTCAAGCTCATGAATGAGCATGAGAAGAATTGATGCAAATTTCAGTGCCACTGATATGCGCTCTGTGAAGAAAGAAGCAGGGGGAAAAACAACTCGGGTATAAGATCATGATCCTAGAAAATAACACGAAACTGGGTTATTATATGTTCTTTAGCATTACCTTGACCCCTTCCGCTTATATGAAGTGAACGCCCAAAACATGCGTCTCCTATGAAGTATTTACCGTGTCGGTGAGGACTCCAAGACCTTGCATCAGATGCCATTGCTCAACAGCCACCACCCCTCCGAATCATAAGACTAATACCAATGCTGCTGATCTCTTCAGACGCCTTGGTGCATCTGTCTGGCGGGGGTAACTGGGTTTGGCGGTAGGTTTCGAATCTGCTTGATGAGGAATTCTCTCTCATCAATGAATTGCTCATCATCGGTCCGATCTTCCAGAAAGTGGCTCAAAAAGTTGAGTAGCTTCTCTCTGTTCATAATGAGGATCTTCTGCACTGCCACCGACTTGTTCGGATTTGCGACGAAGACTTTGAACACATGGAATCCTTCATACTGAACCATCTTCCTGTCATCGCGCAATAAATTCATGCAGATCTTGAGGTGCTCCCCACGATCAACGTAAGCCGTCATGACATTATAATTGGAACGGTCGAGTAGTATTTCGCCGAGCAACTTAATCGACTGACGTTTGGTGACATAGCTGTTTGATTGCACCAGTATATGGTTATACTTGTCAAAGAAGAGCTCAAAATTGACTGCCAAGTACCTCGGTACGAGCTCCTTGTGTCTAGTCAAAAGCTCCTACAAGCTTGTCAGCATTCCATTTGCAATTGTGAGAACAGGAAAGGTGTCAGGACCCAGGCAAACGTACCCTGAACGTGGTGAAGGCATCTGCTGCAACCTCAAAGGAGCTCTTGTCGATCCAGTCGAAGAACCTCCAGAAGACGCCACTACCGCTCTGCAACCGGTCTCTTTCAATAGCAGTGACGCCCTTGGTGCTTGAACCCAGCTCTTCGCCATCGTCGAAGAGGACAATGGCAGCAGCGGCCTCGTTCTTCAGCACTTCCCGGAGCACCGTCCCGGCCGGCGTTGCGCTCTCCTTGTGTTCATACCCGCGACACAGTTCAAGCAGAACTTGCGGCTTGTTGTTGACGACGTAGCTCAGCGCCACCGGGTCGGTCTTGGGCGAAGCGGTCGGTGGTCGAAAACGGAAAACGTATGAGAAGATGACTTGGGTGTCTTTTCGTGACTCAAATGGGAGACGCCATAAGTTTTGCGCCAGTAGGAGTAGTAAATCCTCCTCAATGAGGCCCTGTACTAGTTGATATACTTGTTCGGGAGTACTGTCGGATTCTATGCGCCAACGGATCAGTAAAGAGGGTGCGCAGTGCGACAATGTTTCTGCCGGGACATACCTGGTGTTCCTTGAAGGACAAGCTTCATTTGACTTAGGACCTTGGCAAGTTCCTCTGCCTGGCTACAGTCAGTACAACAGCCCAACAGCTCCAACAGCTTTGCGCCTCGTAGCAGCTCACCTTTCCGGCAACATCTAGTTTGGTCACATGCTCCCTCGCCTGTTTGGACAAATCGAGCGTGTTGGTCCTAGTGCGAGCTCTCCCGAAGAGGAAAGACATGGTCGCAGCTTGTGATCATGCAATGCTTCGTGTATTATAAGACTGGCTCGTTTCTTGGGAAAACCGAGGGATCAATCGCCTTTGGGCAACAAACGGTAAAAGTATGGACGGGACGGACCCGGACTTAGCACCGATCGAGGCGGCGGAAGAGGTGTGTTGGCGGGCGAATCAATGGATGCCGCGGGGCTTGGAAAGTATGGGAAATCGGTATTTTTCGATAGCCAGGCCAGATCTGGGATTGGTAAAGTCAACCGTAAGCCTTCATCGGAGTCGCACGTTCGTGGGTGCTTTGCGAGCAAGAAGATGTTTGAGCCTGGTTGCTATTTACAATGGACGTCAGCCCGGGTGATAATAAAGGGCAATTATGCGGGATCCAATTGTTTATCTCATTATTACAGGGAGTCCATACCTTCTATGCTCCCTGCTCCTTGTTCTCCGTTGGGCCCCCTGCGGGCACCATTGGGCATTCTGGGCACTCGCTAATCGGCTGCTCTAGGCGCCCAACTGTACATTACCTGACGTACACGAGCGTACCTTGCCTTTCTAGCAACCCGCTTGAGCCTGTGGCGCATGCGCATCTTCCGACAGACGACCCCTCTAATTGTGGCGCTGCTCTCCTGCATCGCAACAGTTTCTCTGACAAGGGTTATGTTTGACTCAAGTGTGCGCTTGACTCACCCCGCCATAAATTTATTATACACCGTAGAGGGGCAATCGGGTATCCGACGACTGGAGATCGCCTCGTTTCTCCTCTCAACTCCACCACAATCTTTTGGTTTCATTCTCGCGCGACTCGGCGCAGGAATTGATCCCCCTTTGGCACTTTTGGACTGACTGAACGAATATCGTCAAAATGTCCATTGATTTCCCCAAGGAAGAACTCGCCATCATCGAGAAATGGCGGGAGATCAAGGCCTTCGAGCGCCAGGTTAGTCACACAAGTTGCTCACGACTTTCTTCATGGACATTGTACTAAAGACGAACACTTCTTCTTGCAGGTTGAGCTATCAAAGGACAAACCTCCATATGTCTTCTACGATGGCCCCCCGTTTGCGACCGGTCTGCCGCATTATGGCCACATGTTGGCCTCCACCATCAAGGATATCATTCCCAGGTATTGGTCCATGAAGGGCTACCACGTTCCGAGACGGTTCGGTTGGGACACGCACGGCCTACCCATTGAGCACGAAATCGACAAGAAATTTGGAATCACAGGCAAGGCTGCCGTCATGCAGATGGGCCTCGAGACATACAACAGTGAATGCCGCGCTATTGTCATGCGATATCGGGAGGAATGGCGGACCACCATTGAGCGTCTGGGTAGATGGATCGATTTCGACAATGATTACAAGGTGAGTAGTCCCACGAGGGATAACGCGTTCGATCGTACTGATCCGTGCTTGGTAGACTATGAACACCGACTTCATGGAGACGGAATGGTGGATCTTCCAGCAGCTTTGGAACAAGGGCTCGGTGTATCAGGGTCACCGTGTGATGCCCTACTCGACTGCTCTCACGACGGCTCTTTCCAACTTCGAGGCCAATCAGAACTACCAAGACGTCAATGACCCTGCCGTCGTTGTCTCTTTCCCCCTCAAGAGTGATCCAAACACTCACCTTTTGGCCTGGACGACGACACCCTGGACCTTGCCTTCGCACACGGGTCTATGTGTTAATCCCGACTTTGAGTACATCAAACTATTGGATGAGAAGTCTGGCAACCACTACATCATTCTTGAGAAGCTCATCAGCACTCTTTACAAAGACCCAAAGAAGGCCAAGTTCAAGATTGTCGAGAAGGGCATCAAGGGCAAGGACATGCTCGGATGGAAGTACGAGCCTCTCTTCGATTACCTTGTCCCCGAGTTCGGCGAGGTGGCTTTCAAGGTTCTCAATGCAACATATGTCACAGATGACAGCGGTACAGGTATCGTCCACCAGGCCCCGGCTTTTGGTGAGGACGATTACAATGTTGCTTTTGAGGCTGGCATCATCAATGAGAAGAGGCCACCTCCTGACCCGCTCGATGATCGCGGTGTCTTCACCGACAAGGTTCCAGAATTTGCGGGAATGCACGTCAAGGAGGCCGACAAGCACATCATCAAGCACCTGAAGGGAACCGGAAGATTGGTGGTTGACTCTCAGCTGAAGCACTCTTACCCCATGTGTTACCGTTCGGACACCCCCCTGATCTACCGTGCTGTTCCGTCCTGGTTCATCCGCATTCCCGAGATTGTCCCTCAGATGCTCAAGAACCTCGAGGGAACACACTGGGTTCCTACCTTTGTCAAGGAGGCCCGATTCGCCAACTGGATTGCTGGTGCTCGCGACTGGAACGTCTCACGAAAGAGATACTGGGGAACCCCTCTTCCCATCTGGGCCAGCGATGATCTGGAGGAGAAGATCTGCATCGGCAGCGTCGCTGAGTTGAAGGAGCTGAGCGGCTACGAAGGTGACATTACTGACCTTCACCGTGACAAGATCGACCATATCACCATTCCTAGCAAGCAAGGAAAGGGAACACTGAAGCGTATCGAGGATGTTTTCGATTGTTGGTTTGAGTCCGGCAGCATGCCGTATGCCAGTGTGCACTATCCCTTCGAGAACAAGGAATCTTTTGCCAAGAGCTTCCCTGGTGACTTCATCGCCGAAGGTCTGGACCAGACCCGTGGTTGGTTCTACACCATGGCAGTCCTGGGTACTCACCTATTCGGTGAAATCCCGTTCAAGAACTGTGTTGTGAACGGAATGGTCCTGGCAGAGGATGGCAAGAAGATGTCAAAGCGTCTCAAGAACTACCCTGATCCGTCTCTCATCTTCGAGAAGTATGGATCAGACGCTCTTCGTTTGTACATGATCAGCTCCCCAGCAGTCCGAGCTGAGCCTCTGCGCTTCAAGGAAAATGGCGTGAAGGAGATTGTGAAGAATGTGCTCCTGCCTTTCTGGAACAGCTACAAGTTCTTTGAGGGTCAAGTCGCATTGCTCAAGAAGGTCGAGAACGTTGACTACATGTTCGATCCCAAGATGGAGAGCACTAATGAGAACGTCATGGACCGATGGATCTTGGCTAGCTGTCAAAGCTTGCTGCAATACGTCAACCAGGAAATGGCTGGTATGTTTTGACTTCATTTCTGCACAGCCGCACTTATACTGACCATATTTAGCCTACCGCCTCTACACGGTTGTACCGCGTCTCCTGGGCTTGATTGACAACACCACAAACTGGTACATTCGATTTAACCGCAAGCGTCTCAAGGGTGAGTATGGTGTCGAGGACACCAAGCACGCCTTGAACAGTTTGTTCGAGGTTCTATTCACGCTTTGCAGAGGACTTGCTCCTTTCACACCATTCATTACCGACACCATCTACTCTAAACTTCTGCCACACATCCCCAAGGAGCTGCAAGCAGAGGACCCTCGCAGCGTGCACTTCCTGAGCTTCCCCGATGTGCGCGAGGAGCTCTTCAACCCCGTCATTGAGAGACAGGTTGGGCGGATGCAGAAGGTCATTGAGTTGGCCCGAGTGTCGCGTGAGCGTAGGAGCATTGGTCTCAAGACCCCGCTCAAGACTCTCATTGTTCTCCACCGTGATCAAGAGTATCTCGACGACATCAAGTCGCTTGAGACGTATATCACGGAGGAGCTCAATGTGCGAGACCTTGTCCTGTCATCGGATGAGGCCAAGTACAATGTCCAGTACAGCGTCACAGCCGACTGGCCCGTTTTGGGCAAGAAGCTCAAGAAGGATATGGCAAAGGTCAAGAAGGCGCTCCCTGGTGTCACAAGCGACCAAGTGCGCAAGTACAGCGAGGACAAATTCATTGTGGTCGATGGAATCCGACTTGAAGAAGGAGATCTTGTGGTGAGGAGAGGTCTGAAGGAGGACGAGAACTCGAAGAATCTCGAGACAAACACCGACCAGGACGTCTTGACCATTCTTGACACGGAATTGCACCCCGAACTCGCACATGAGGGTGTGGCCCGTGAGGTTATCAACCGTGTCCAGCGTCTCCGAAAGAAGGCCGGCCTTGTACCCACTGACGACGTCAAGATGGAATACAAGGTTATTGCAGACCCGGACAATATCGGTCTGGAGGAGGTGTTTGTCTCGCAAACAGCAACCATTGTCAAGGCGCTGCGCAGGCCGCTTGACAAGCACGACATCACGCAGGTTGATGGGCAGATACCCGAAGAGAAGCAGGATGGTATCATTGCCGAGGAGGAGCAAGAAATTCAGAACGCAACTTTCTTGCTCAGGTTACTGAAGCTGTGATAGAGCAAGCGCCAAGAACAAGATAGAAGAAAAAATGTAAAGCGACAACCATCTTGGTGTGTCCAATGGTAAATGCACTGAAATCACCGTTTGTATATATGTCTCTCATGTCTGAATGAATCGCGTATACTTGCTTTATATTGTAGATCATTTATCCAAGCAAAGTAGTATACATGGTTGGCCCGACCTTTTGAGGCTCATGCTTTCTTGGCAGCCTTCTATTTCACCCAGGTTGATTAGCACATGGTTCTCTAGGATGTTGGATTGAAGGGTAAATTCGTTACCAGATAGCAATTCTTGAGTTGCATAAACTCCTTAACGCATTTGTCCTTGTGGACAGAATTATAATCAGCGACAATACATTTGCCGTAGACGGAAGCCTGTGGACGGTTAGTAAAAGAGAACTCGCCGTTCTTGTAGAGACCACCATGCAGTAGAAGTTGCATTGTAGTATTTCGTTGCCTCACCTCAGCAGAGCATTGCGAGACCGCAGCAGCAAACTTTTGGATGGGCCGTGTCCGGGAAGGCATGTTGAAATGTGAGAAGTCTGTACCCTCCTTTGATGCAATGCCGAGCACTGCTTGACTATGGATTCTTCCACAAGCTAGACTCTGGAGCAGGTATTGCGAGTCACTGATGATGTATGTAGGTGCAGTGTCACCGCAGTTTTCGCTAGTACCTATTTAGAGGTACCTCGCCAAAGTTAGTACATGCATGCGGCAGCCACTTAAACAGAACCTCATGCAATTTGCTAGTCATCCCGTTAGTGCTTCACCCAAAGGCGCGTTCCTGTCACCAAAAGCGCGGGCCGCAGCCACTACCAACCACTCAATTTGAGCTCCACACGCGCCCCGCGCTACCTATTGAATTGCGCGGAACTCTATCCGCGTATTTGTCTTTCGCGTCTAGATCCTCGCGACGCCCTCGTCTTCTTTTTCACTTCTGTCTTTTGACTTGGCCATTTCCCCATTGTCATTGCTTGGATTTGCAGGGCTCTGCGATCGGACTAATCGAAACACGAATCTTGCGCTCTCAAGCTTGCCCTATACTTGCTCAGCTACACCTTTACGAAACGAAACCTTGGAAGCCGTCACCGCTTCGTTTTCAACCCCCCATCGACCTTGACCTTTCTGTGTCCCATAACACACCTCTGGCGCGACTTCTTTTTCAACGTTCACTCGCCCTTTGAACTTGCCTATTAAGCTCCTCAGAGATAAGCAGCTCATCGATCGCGATGCAGTAGAACTGCGTCAATGCTCTCCGAGCAGCATACAACCATCAGCACAATGTCGCCAACTCGCTCCATCCACAACATACTCAGGATTCCGCGAGTTCGGCCACTTACAAAATGTCACCCGACTCGTCGCCAGTCCCATCTAGCTCTTCTTCCTACGTTGCATTGTCAGTGGCCGGAGATGGCGATGAGTATAGCGAAGAAGAGCTCCAGTTCATCTGGGATACCGTCATGCGAGCGGAAGCGACATTACCGCAACTTCCACCTTCCTCGCGCCACCCGACCAATGCACTCTTCCGTGCCTACGGAGACCTGCTCGAAGAGAGAAACATTGAACCAATCGATGGCGCCAAACTCGACAAGCTCCTCTTCAAGATTGGAGGTTCTCGCGATGGCAACACTATTACTGAGAGGTTCCAGGCCGTTATGGCCAAGATGAACATCACAGTGCGGCTAGATCTCGACGATATTACGGATGATGAGTTCTCATCACACTCGGATATTTCATTGCAATCAAATGACCAAGGCCACTATATTTCATCAGAGAAACGTGGCTATTTGTTGCAACCGACTCGTGGGGACAGACTGAACCGCTTGGAGCCGTTGGATGAGCCAGTTGCGGACAACAGAGATCTCGAAGACGAAGATGTGAAGGAGCAGGTGCTCGAAGAGAGTGCTGCGGCATTCGAGGAGCACCGCGACAGAATCCAAAATCTACATGTCCTTGAACAGTGGCAAGACAAAGCATACCACCTCAAAAATCAAGCAGAGCTCTTCGTGGAAGCTAGAGTTGAAGATTTGATATTACAATCGCAAGACGTGCTCGTTGCATGGAACGAGATAGCCGTTGAGGTCGACGAGATGCCACTTGATGACCTACCTCCAAATGTATACTCGAAGCGCATCGAGAAAATTGCAACTCGTACCCACGAAATCAAAACCTCTAAAAACCTTCTCGTCGGATGGCGCAATCGCACACAAGCGCGACTACGACAGCAGGATGAGCACCAACGGCAATGGGACGAGCAACGCCATCAGCAAGCAGTCGAGGATGGCCTTTTCAAAGATGATCCGAAACTCGTGAGACTGGCTCAGAGGACACACGAAAACTTATCCAAGTCGCGCATTCTTGCACATTGGTCGAATCGCGCAGCAGAAGAGGAAGAGAAAGCCGAGGTCGCAAAGAGGGCGCATGAGATGAGTTTGAAAGCAAAAGCTTTTGGACTCCGACCTAAGCCGCAAATTTTCGCATCACTTCGACAGAGACTCCAGGAAAAGGTCATCGCCACGAAACAAGTGCACGAAGTGGACGCTCCTCCACCACGTCCAAATACCACTGAACAATTCAGAAACATCACGGAAGAGGGTATTCCTGAGAATCGGCCAGCATCGAAGCAATCGAGCGACCCGGCCGTTCATCAACGGGAAGCCGACGCTGGAGGTCATTCTGCTGTCACTCATGGAGAAATGAACCCTCCACAAAAAGTCATGCTTTCTACGCCTCACGACAGTGATATGCGAGAATCCGGGGTCCAGGTTGACCAGGGTACGGCGATTCCCAAGGACGTTGAACGAAAAGACGATGAGTCATCATTGGCAGATGAGCTTGATGAACGCACACTGCTGGCCAAAAGACATCTAATGCGCATGAGGTTCTTTCGAGCTTGGGAAGAGTATACCTCTAAGCACACGAAAATGGTAGAGGAGTTTGCTACAAACAAGGCGTTGGAATCTTGGTATGACAGATCATGTCAAATGGCAGCAAACGCCCAGGAAGGAACGCAAGAGCATTCCCGGCGCAGGGATCGTCACCTTCTGGGACAATGGCGTCGCCCAGATGAACGCCAAAAAAAGCTCGAAGCGATGGCTTTGGATTTTTACAGGAAACAACGCCTGAATAATGCATTAGCAGGATGGAGAGCAGCTGCAATTCAAGAAAGGGCCAAAGTACAGGGATTTGATCAGATGTCAAATCTGGCAGATCAATATTGCAGGACGCATGGCACCCTGCAGGCCTGGAAAGCTCGGTCCAGAGAGAGCGCCGTTCGAACGACCATGAAGCAAGACGCGCTGCAGGCATGGCGCAAAGATTGTGCGGAACAACAACGTCGAAGGGAATTCTTGGAATACATGACCCAACGTGTCGACCTGTACCGCATCAAGGAGAAGGTATTGCCATCTTGGCGAGGAGCAGCCACAGGCAAGGCCACTAGAGAGCAACAATTGCGGACATGGAGCCAGCGCGCAGACTTTTATTCACTCACAACCCAGGCAATCACGACATGGCGAGCTACAGCCAAGGCGAAGCGCAGAGCGAGACTCCGGGAAACATATCTAGAAATTCGCCGTAGAGTCAAGAAAGCCATGGGGGCTCGTTGCATCGCCCAATGGCACAAGAGCTCAGAAGCTCGTCGCCACCATTTGGACTTGGTTACTGAAGAGTTCGCAAAATACCATGATTGGAACGCCAAAGCGCAGAGCATCAATACATGGCGTTTGCGAGCTCGCGAAAAGGCTGAAATGGAAGCAGCACGGCACACCGAAGCTCAGCAGCAGCATCTCAGGACTTGGAGGACATGCAATGACAGCTTACTGCAATTACAAATCGAGACGGAAGAGCATTTCCAAGACAAGGCCATGTCTAGAGCTGTAAAGGAGTGGAAACTCGGGTCTTTACAGCTTGAAAGCCGTAGGAATGCTAGCGAAAGGCACCTGAACCGGCAGAAGAAACAGCTCAAGCAGGGGTTCGAGCTCTGGTATACCAAAGCTGCCGACAAGGCTCAGAGAACTCCAGCCGCCGAAGAGGAGCCGACGATTCAACAACCGGAACAGGAAGAGGTTGACTTCATATCGACTCCAGCAAGACCACGTCTGTTCATGGGTCCGTTGACTCAAACCACTACTCCTCTCGCCCCTATACCTCAAAGACAACCGTGGTCAGGATTAAGAGGAGGGCCTGGAGATTCCCTACTTGGACGTCCACTCGCAGCTCCTGGAGGCACAGCTAGTCGCTCTGGTCGATCAAGGAGGAATTTGCGAGTCTATTGGGCCGACAGGGGCTGAATGAGTCTGGCAGATATCGTGGGAATTGGAAAGTTGAACGAGTCAAACGACGATAACGAATCCATGTAACTTGCATTGTTTTGGCATCCCGGTGTTGGATACGGAAGATACCCCCTCTGTAGATTTTGGTTTAACTGCGATCAATGATTCGCTTGTCTAATTAAAAAAAGCATTGAATGCACAATGTCGACTTATAACTAAGTCAACAACTGTCTGAGTTTTCTCGATGCAACCAATATAAATGTGCTTTGCCAATCGTAAAAGACTTTTCTTGGTTATATACTAATAGAACAACTGTCATATCTGTTTACTATATGTTCCAACTTATTAGAGCTACATACCTAATAGAACCACACGTACATTGATGCCTATCTCAAGACTAGGTAAGTAGGTAACTCTAAATGTACTTTGTACTTGTTGCAGAAGTGCCGGAGCATCAATTTAGGGGTGATGCCGTCCTATAAATTTAGCGGCCCCAGCGCCCGAAACTTGTCCCCACGTCATACTGAGCTGCATGCACTACAGCAGCTTGTCCCCATGTCGCGTAATTGTGCAGCTGACACGGAGGCACATGGCAACTGAGACTGTACCCCAAGTCTTGTACGTTGAGACGGATTCCTCATCTCGCGAATTGAAGCTTCAATAGAGTCAATTGTCACTTCCTTGTGCCGTCTCCATCTTACCTCCTTTCTCCAACATTGCCGAGCTGCGCCCTGACAGAGTTGGCTCTTACTGCAATAAACCCCGAATTAGCTCCATATTCGCGAATAGCTTCGAGCTTCGAACCATCCTCCCAGTATACCCAGCTTCAGCAATGTCAGTCTCGCTCGAGCTCCCACGGTAGCCCTAGAATGAAGGCCATTCTTCCCGGAAAGCCGGAGGCGAGCCTACAAGGTGTCTCGACCGGCTACTGGGACAGCAAGCGCGTGATTGTCTACATCAGCGGCAACGCCCTTGCGATTCTCTCCGATCCTGAGACGATTCTACAGACCATCTACGATGACGACGAGAGGACTTTGGATGCCGTGGCTTTTGATGAATACTCTGGAAAGATTGCTGCATGTACAGGCTCGACAGTCAGGATATACCGCCCATTCGACGGCGAGCAGAGAGTATGCTATTCCCCAAGCACCATCAAATTGACAGACATGTAGCTTAACATCAAACGCACAACAGTGGTTCTTAGAGTCGACTTTTGAGATCGAGGATGCTTCGACTCCCGCAACGCTCTCTTGGGGAAGCTCCGAAGAGCTGCTAGTCGGTCGGCGGTCACTGCGGCTTTACGATACGACCTCGAAACCTCCCGCCTGCCACTGGAAGAAAGACCTGGCTACGCCGGCCAAGACAGCGGTCTTATCGTATGATTCGGCTTATATAGCTTCTGTCGGACACAATGATCGATTGGTCAAGGTCTGGCGCCGACTCAATTTTGGATCAGAGGACGTACACTTCGACTTTGGCTACCTGCCACACCCTCAGGCAGTGACGAGCATACAGTGGCGCAAACCGTTCCATGTCGACCAAACTATCGAAAACGTTCTGTACACCTTCTGTGCAGACCAATATCTGCGAGTTTGGACGGGCGCCGACGGGCATGGCTGTGAAACTCTTAGGCTCTGGGGTAAACTCAATCTGGCGACCGCTATTCAGGATGAGACGTTACGCCAGGATCCCAGATCTCAAAGCCGCTTAGCCTTCATCATAAGCCAGCGAGATCTCGCCGCCGCAACTGAGACGGCCGTACAGGACAAGGACGACGGCGTGGAAAAGGATGTTGCGTTGCAGTATCTCATATCAATCGCAAACAGAGACACGGAAATCTGCATGGTCTTGGATGGCCATGGAAATATGGCAGCATATGCTTTGGAGGGTGTGAGCAGCAAGTCTCAAAGTACCAACCACATTGACAATGTTGCCTTGACGAAGTCCCGGGATCTTGACATCACAAAAGGGTTCGACGGCGAGCTGCCCCACATCGAGATCCAAAGTTACTGCAATAGATCTGCCGGGCATCTTCATGTGCTCTTTCATCACTTTGATGGCAAGGTAGAGGTGTTTGAGAGCAATATAGCGGATCTACTTGACCCAACCTCCAGGTCAGGTCGTTTGCATCACCGAGCTACGTGGTCGGGCCATTCTGCTTCAGTCAAGAAGATTGTGCGCAATTTCAGTGGCCGCTCTATAGTTTCCAGGACAGAAGGTGGAGAGAGCATCGTTTGGAAGCATGCCGCACACCCTCGAGACACAAAGCTTCTCCGCCACAATGTGATTGCTGAAAAGAGACACATCCACAGAATATGTCTATTAAGAGGCGGAAGTTTTGTCGTCTTTTTACATCACGACGCCATATGTCTATGGGACTGTCGACATTCGGAGCCTCGATTACTCGCAGAGATTCCGTACCAAGTATCCGGCAACCCTCTCTGCCTTGTTGTGCTTCCAAGGCATAGTGTCAAAGAGGTTGATGTAGCACATATTGCCACGGTCACATCCGCACACCGTGGTGTCGTATGGCAACTCAACTTGCCAATCAAGGCGGAAACAAATGGCTATAAACCACAAGCAAATGGCCACAAAGCTGAAGAATCTGCCATTCAAGAATTCTGCACCTTCAACCTCGAAGGGACTGAGGACCTGGCCTATGTTCTTCCTGTGGATCCGGCCGGCTCGGCTCCAGTTATATCTGGGTTCCTGGACGTTTTCGCTCGCGATATAGCGGTTTCGTACACCCACGAAGGACGAGTAGAGTTCTGGACTGCGCGTGTGGACAGAAATCGTGATCGCGTAGAATGGCTTTCAACTTCATCTATGGAAACTGGAGTCTCCAAGCCCGCCCTCGTAAGTGGCAGTACAATGAAAAAGGCTGCCTTGGTCAACTCTAGTCGCTCAGAAGTCACCATCTGGGATATCAAAGGTGCCAAACTGGAATATGCCCAAGACTTTGAGAGCCACAACACGGTACAGGACCTTGATTGGACATCGACGCCTGACTCGCAATCCATTTTAGCCGTCGGATTCCAATATCGTGTTGTATTGCTTTCACAAATGCGTTTTGATTACCTGAACAAAGGTCCTGCATGGGCACAGATTCGGGAAATCAGCATCCGAGAATACACACCGCACCCAATCGGTGACTCGACCTGGCTCAGTGGAGGTAATCTAGTGATCGGAGCAGGCAATCAGTTGTTCATGTATGACCGCAAGTTTGAAACGCACAGTTCGCTTGTTACAACAGCTCGACTACCGCCTCGCAAAGATGGGCTGCGAGACCTTTTCGAGGTAACGCAGCGTCTCAATGGCCCGCTACCTGTGTTTCATCCACAATTTCTCAGTCAGTGTATGCTTGCTGGCAAGAACTACCAAGTCAAACGAATACTTCTGGCCTTGAATCATCTTCTCAAATACTATGTCGAGGGCGACGTCATCGATGATCACCTGGGCATGGATTTGGCAGACTTCTATCTTGGTGACAGTGTAAGACTACTGTACCTCAATTAAGTAGACTAAGCTAACTGTGAATAATAGGCATCGAGACCAAATGGTAATGATCCAACATCATATTTGATGCGCCGCATGTCGATAGACGACAGTGAAGACACGTTCACAGAAGACACGGCTCTAGCTATATGCGAGCGACTCCAGAAAATCGGGCTTCCACAGCTATCGGGTCATGAACAGATCCAACTGATAGACATTGTCGAATGTGTTGGGATGGTGGAACAACAACGCCGGTCCATGGATGAGAATGGCGCGCGCTTCATGCTCTTCTTCCGACAGCACGCACTACACAAACGACGGACGAACGAGATTCACATGTCGTGGCGTGAGATCAATTGGGCCTACCACTCGACAAGTCAGGACATTTTGACCGACTTTGTATCTCGACAGCATCACGGAAGTATGCTGTGGGAGAATGCCAGGGAGAGCGGAATATTCATGTGGCTTACAGATGCAGCCGCGTTGGTAAGTTTTGCCTTGCTGCTGAAATGCCAGAATACAGAAGTGTTGACTGCAAGACAGAAAGCGCAGTTCGAAGTAATTGCTCGAAATGAGTATACCAAGGGCGAGTTCAAAAACCCTGTTGATTGCAGTTTGTTCTACCTTGCACTTCGAAAGAAAACGGTACTACAAGGGCTGTGGCGTATGGCCAGTTGGAACAAAGAACAACGTGCCACGCAGAAGCTCCTGGCAAACAACTTTGACGACCCTAAGCACAAGACTACCGCGCTCAAGAATGCCTATGCTCTCATCAGCAAGCGACGTTTTCGTAAGTGATTATTTTCTTGGCACATGGTAACTATACTGATGAGAAACAGAGTATGCCGCTGCATTCTTCCTACTTGCAGACCACCTGCAAGATGCTGTAAACGTTTGTCTTAATCAGATCAAAGACTTGCAACTTGCAATAGCAGTGGCCCGAGTATATGAAGGAGACCAAGGCCCCGTGCTCCATAGGCTCCTAGAGAATGAGGTGTTGGCTATAGCAGCTCAGGAGGGAAACCGATGGCTTGCCTCATGGGCGTTCTGGATGCTCAAGCGTCGGGATATGGCTGTACGGGCTCTCATCACGCCGGTTTATACGCTACTCGAGACTCCAGTCTCGCCAGATCTTAAGGCGAAGCTCTACCTCACGGATGATCCAGCACTTGTGGTCCTCTATGCACAGCTGCGGGAGAAGACTCTGCAGACCCTCAGAGGAGCAACCAAGATTTTGCCTCGCACAGAGACAGAGTTTGTGCTTCACAATGCCAGACTGTATGACAGAATGGGTTGCGACTTGCTAGGTCTTGACTTGGTGCGCAATTGGGAATTCCTGCGCACACCAGTCAAGGCGGAGACTGGGCTGGGAGGTGGTATCGTAGACCCCAGGAAACTACTGCGCAGAAGGTCTAGCTTGGTGGTAGCTGACATACCCATGAATCCCTTGGGTGAGATGAAGAGTGTCAACAAGGAAAAGCAACAGCCGACTGTCTTTGAGGAGCCGGACGCGGGAAGCCTATTGGATAGCTTTGGCTTCTAACGAATACGGACGGAAAAGGGGCGGATCGACAATTCTGCCTCTTGTGCGATGGGATGGATTAGTATCATGATGGTATCACGTCATTAAGCGCGCATAACCTGCCGAGGGAGATTGAATAACATTGCAACTCGATAGCAAGAAACAGATGCTATTCACTGAAGAACAAGGGTGCCGATTCTGATCAATTTAATGCGTCATGAGCACTGATACCTTTTTGTCCCCAGAGCAGTGACTTTGCCGAATGGTCACTGGATTTCAACACATCTTTGCTGTTCCTCAAGTGAACTCCCTTGGCTGCAGTAAACTCACATAGCAAAACCATTGAATGGTATTGGCTTAGTGAGGCAATCTGAGGCTCGTGAAACATAATCTATTAATATTACCTACGACCTACTCTATTCAGCCTTTTGGAAGGCTATTTCCTGAGTCGTGCTGTACGTGTACTTCGGAGCGAACTTTTATACCATCCACATACATGTCCGCATTCGATGCCCCTGAACTAACCAAGCATTTGAGCGGCACCTCGGGGCCCGTCAGGTGCATTTCGTCCTCGTCCTGGACTTGCGTGAACCCGTCCTTTTTGTGGTTGGACTTTTTGGGATCGCCGCGGCCCCAGGTCATCAGGCCCGGCACCGATGGCGGGTCCTGGTTGCTGTGGCTCTTCTGGGCGGCGTAGGAAGGGGATGATTTCCGCCGCGAGATGATATACAGGGGCCGCATGTTGGGCAGGCAGGCGGACAAGATGCCAATGGATGGCTCGATGGCGGACCACACGCTCGCGGGTCCCATGAGAGACGTCATGTCGGTGGCTGTGGCGAATTCGTGGAGGTAGTAGATCCGGACGCAGCTGGCGCAGCAGACGCTGAGTGAAAGCATCTCGGTTAATAGGACGCATCTCAAGGTGTCTAAGAGCAGGGAAGCTTACAAACTCCCGAGGAGCATCAGCCCACAGATACTAATCTTCTTCCGGGTCGACATTTGCAGCCGCACGATCTGGGGAATCGGGATGGCGAGGATGAAGGCATCGAGAAAAACGTTGATAATGGCGAGGGCGACAAAGAAGGTGCCGACATCCAAGGGGCACGAGCCTTCAGTGTTGCCGGCGAATCTTGTCCAGTAGAAAGACACTGGCTTACAACCTGTAGAAATGGATCGGTCCTCAGTATTTACAGAGTGGGAGTTGCTTACACTCGTATTCAGGTCTCGAGACTTGTGATATACTTACAGTTGGCCATCCCAATCGCCAGCGTTAGGGGGTAGGCGCAAGTAATTACACCAGCGGTCCAAATGCATATCGAAAACGACAGTGTTCCCGTTACAAAGATGCGCTTGTACAGAAGGAGAACGGAGATTTTGGTGAAGGTGACGGCCGCGGCAAATATATAAGTATGGGCGAATAGTAACTTGAATCCAGTCAGCAGCTGTCGTGATTCCAATCGAATAAAGGGGCGGAGGAGCAGGTAGAAGACTTACTTTCGAGGCCGTGGATAAATCTCTTGCCGTCACCGCCCAAACGTGTTTTCCAGCACCAAAGCGACCAACTCCAAAGGACATGCCCGCACTCCCACCGGTGAACAGCAGCGCTACCACGATGGCATAGTCATCCTTTTGTAGCGGCGTGTCGGCGATGCGCCGTGATGCGAATCTCAGAACCACTGCACAGGCTGCAATCACAAACAGAACTGCTACCAATGCGCTGTTGCTCTTGGCTGGGTCCTCACTCAGATCTAGATCGGAAGGAGCTGGCCCAAACAGAGCGAGGATTACGGGGTCGATCTCCATTATTCAAGCAAGAGAATTCCGGGAGGGATTTTGATGCTTTTGCGGAGTATGCGTCAGAGACAATACATAGACTGACATGTCGAGTTCATTCTCCGCATCGTGAGATATATGATACTGGAGACGATCGAGGTAAGGAACATTTTGTTGCCTCATTTTATGAGTTTTGTTACCAATTAACAACTGACGCATGTAACATTGCTATGGGAAAAGTACTTAGGGTCTAGGAAGCTGACTCGAACACGGAATAATTGGTTCTAAATGGTATCAGGTCGAGGGCAAAGTTACCAAGCAGCATCACTCATGCATTGTCGCAAAAACCCCGGCCATATCCCCCTTGCATGCCATCTGTTTCTGTACATAGTACGATGAAAAATCACATCGCCAAGGCGCCTTTTCCGTTCCGAAGTGTAAATCATGTAGGTTGATAAATTTTGTACTAGAGGCACGATGGAACGGGCTCTAACGACCCAACCCTTTTGCTAAAATCCCTGTATTCACTTGCGAACCCATGACTTTTCATACTAATACTGCACCAGATGCCAATAGGAGGGAAGCGGAAGCCCCTCCGACCCCATATCCCCCCGGCCCCATATCCCGGATCTAGACTCGACGGGCCCCTGGCAAGCCATCCCCCTCCTGACTCCGAGAGACCATCGGTCCGGGGAAGCGTGAATTAGGACCGCATAGAAGAACATTTATGAAGCACATAGTCGAAGCTGTTTTTAGATTTGTGCAGAATTCTTTGTCATTCATCACTTCTTGTGATATAGTAAGAATTGCGTAGAGCTACAGGCATTATTTTCCCACCCGCTGTTTGTGAAGCGCCCGAGTTGTGCAAGATGAGCGCTCATACATCGTCCCCGGAACTGTGGAAGACTCTTACTTCCATTGAGCAAATCAGTCCAAGAGGCTGGCCCCGATATGTGAGTTCGCCCGACAGAAAGACAGAGAGCTAGACTTTCCTCGATAGACTTTTGGGCTGACACCACACTATATCTAGTTATTCCCCTTTGAGCTTGGAGATGATTATGATCTTAAAGAAGTGACCCGCGTGTTGAGAGAAGGTTGGAGCGCAACATGCCGTCGGTTTCCCATCCTCAGATCCGAGGCCGTGCCCGACCTAGAGGCGAAGCAGGGCGGTCTGCTAAAGATACGTGAGCTGGACCTCGAAGAACTCAAGACCATTCAGCCCATTATCGTGAAAGACTTCCAGGCCCCTGGAGCTTTCGCCACGTTCTCTGAGCTCAAAGCCAAGCACTTTCCCGTTGCGGCGCTCGATGAGAATGTACTGTGTCGGCGATACACTTGGCCGTCGCCCGAAGACCGCCTCCCAATTATGCTCATCCAGCTCAACTTTTTGCGCGGGGGCATGATCATCAACTGGAATCCTTACCATGCCGTTGGTGACGGTCAGACCTTCTTCACCTGGACCAAGGTGTGGGCCGAGGAGTGCCGGCGGGCGCAGGGCATCCCAATTACGAACCCGGCTCATATACCTGATGATATCCTCACGGATAGAGCTCACGTTCTGAAGCCCAGGTTTCCGGGTCCGGACCACGCAGGAAAACTAGAGAACCACCCTCAGTATGCGATCATGACCGACCCGATGAAACAACTAGAGAAATTGCTGAAGCGCGATGGCCATGCTGGCCAGATATTTTATTTTTCCGAAGAGTCGCTGGCGAGGCTCAAGCAGGATGCATACCCGCTGAATCCCAGTGAAGACGAGCCGTCGTATATCTCTACAAACGACGCCCTGTCTGTGCTGGCCTGGCGTTCGGTTATGGCAGCGCAATTCCCGCTCGACGAGATCGAGGGCGACCCAATCACCACCTTCAACATTGCCATCGACGGCCGCTACCGCACGCAGCCGCCCATTGACCCAGCGACCCTAGGCTGCTTCGTCATGTTCCTCGAGGTCAAGGTGTCGCTGCGCCGCATGCTCGAGACCGAGGACCTGCGCGAGCTGGCCGCGCTGCTGCGCCAGGCCATCCTCGCGGCCAATGACTATCCGGGCGGCCTGACCAACGACATTTCGGCGCTGGTCGACAGCCTCCCGCATGTCGGCCTCATTGTTCCCGGCGCCTTTCTCGACTCTCCCGGCCTGGGATGCTCGCAGACCTCGTGGGCCAAGCTGCAGCTCTATGGGCTTGAGTGGGGACCGCTTCTGGGTCATCGTATCGCGTCGATCCGTAGCCCGAGCTGCGGTATTCTCAACGGCATGCAGATCATGATGCCCACGCTGCCGGGAGGCGGTCGCGAGGTTCTGTGTGGTATTGAGGAGAGGTGTCTGGAGCGTCTTATCAATGAGCCACTGTGGAGGAAATATGCCGAGACTCGATAACTCTTGTTCCCTCTTCTAATCTGATGCAACTACCAAAAGTCAAAGGCGTGGCCACCAGTGTGCTATTGACCATGGCTTCCACATAGAACTATTTGGCTAGCTCTTCTTTCAACAACTATGAATTTGAGTCCAAGATACTGGCGGTCGACTTATAATGCTCAAAAGTGTCTTTCAAAGGCTACTCAAGGTGCCAACAGACCTCCTGGTTAACTTTTATATACGTGGAGTCTATATCCAAGTTGTGTGATGAATGTTGACTGAATAGTACCATGAGAATTGGATCACCCATTTGATATCTAAAGCGAATGTAAGCTGCCGAGACAAACCCGATCTACTGACACCTTTTGCTTCCTCCGCCTTTGTATATCACGTTCCAATTTCTTTCAAGACTTGTGCGCATCTGAATGCTTGGACACTTCGGGTTTTTCGCAACGCATCGCATCCTCAAATGCTTTTATCTTCTCACCGGCCCGATCCTGGGCATCCTTGACCGAGTCCAGCTTAGAATAGTTCAAGAATCTGCCATACACGGCGCTGTCTTGTGTGGGAAGTTGATCGTTGAAGATGTCCAACATTGGTCGGGGCTCGCTGGACTTGCTGGATTTGTGGCCGCGCTTAGCACTGGACATCATTGATCCCTTCGTCGACCTTAGGAATTGTTAATACAAGGAAGATCCATGCTCACAGATATGCCATCACTAAATACCTACATGATTATAGTGAGGGCAAGGTGAGTTGAGACAGAAGCTTGTACGATGAGCGTTTCTCGTCTTTGTCTTGCGAGATGTTGCCGCGTGCTGTAGGAGGCTTGTCATTATACGGTTTCCGCACTAATCTCAGGATCTGTGTTTCATATTATATTCCAGCGATATAATATACTCTATGCCTCCCTTAGCTTCGTCAATTTCCATGATTCCCATAGCTTCTCAAATCCCACAATTCCCAGTGATTCCCACGATTCTCTCGATTGATTCTCTCAATTCCCATGGCTCTGCTGTTGTGATCCCCATGATTTCGTATGATTCCCTCGTTTCGCAAGTTCTATACTATTTACGATTCCCACGAGTCCCAGGGTGAAAAGTCATGTTGCATGGAAATTGCAATTCCTGTCTATAACACAATCTGATTGGAGGGTTCCGCATCAGATACCTTGCTGCTGGTGCAGCTGAAAACGGTTGGTGAACGGTTGCCTCTAATGACCAATAACTCAACGGCCAGCATGGGAATCGCTGATTATTCTCGTGTAACACGCAGGCATACGCTACCAAGAAGCGAGGCCCTAGTACGTGAGGCCCTTCGACCAGTAGAAATTCGCCGGGCGTGGGAATCAGGGCGACGACCTCCCAGTACACTGCCACTTGGCACTCTCTCATCACCGAGGGTTGTCAGCCACCATACATGTGTCAGTTCCAGCTCAGCCAATCGCACGTCGTAAACAATGGGAATCGGCCCCACGGCGGGATCAACAGGCGCAATCGATCATTCGTACCAGTTTCGCCCGGCTTTTGTGTACCTTGAGAAAGGGCAAGAATACTTAAAACGGCTCAGCCTATCTCCATGTCATTTGTATGGGACTGCATTCCATACTCATTTTAACTGCTCAATATGGAGTTACGGAAACCTACTTTTCGATTCGACCACGGATGCAAGTATTTCCAGGAGGCGGGCAGCAATGACGAGGCTCTGCCAATGTTCCGCTACAAGGAGGTGTATGAGTAGGAGACCCCCGCCCCCAATCCAGGACAAAGGCCTTCTTATACTGACAAACTTTATGATAGTTCATCTGTTTTTGCTGTCGATACTTTCGGAGACGGCTCGTGGATTGACACAAGCATACCGAGCCAGTGCCCGCCAGCATGCGCTTGCCATCAATTGGCCGTGTCGCCCGAGGAGGAATCATTTGCCTTTACCGTCACCAAGTCTAAAAGCATTTTTCAAGTTCAAATTCACTCCATGAGACTCCGATTCGAAATCTTGGAGAAGTTTGTCTCCGTGAAGGCTCTGAAAGAAGCGCCAATCGGGGACGGATTTGGCGCTTTTGATGGCTTTGCTCTGGTAAAGTGCCGGCCTCACTTGATGCAAAGATTGGACCGATTGCGTCAGCGGTTGAAGTCGTCCAGTCAGAGCGCCATTGATACTCGCGAATTACGTTTGGTGTCGGAGATGTATCTTCTTGTGAACGGGTTGTTGAACGATACGGAGATCACTCAGCCCTTCCATTCTCGGGGACCATCCAGGAACCTTCACCCACAGCAGTGTTATGATTCACAACAATGGGGGCGCTTTTCGAATGCCTACATGGATCTTCCATCGCAAACCAACGTTCCACATGAACAATCGATGTGGTTTGGACCACTGGAATCCGATGACACTTACGGAAGGCCTCAATACACCCCGCAAGACGTTCACTCTTGCAGTGTCAATTCTTATGAGGAGTCTTACACGGTGCACAACGAACAGAGCTTTGGCTCATTGAGTCTTTGGAAAGTTGGCGACCCTGAGAATGGCAACGATGACAATCATCCCGATGATCGCCAAGATCACTCGCAGTCTATGCTCAACAACCCGCCCGCCATAGAGTCGCAGCCATCACTCACCAACGTTATCAATAATCCAAGAAGTGAGTCTCTGAGAATTGCTGCATCTCGTGGAGACATGGAAGCAGTATGCCAACTCTTGGACGCCGGTGCAGACCCGAATAGCACACAGCTGTCACCATCTTCTGGCCCGGCACTTTATGAGGCAGCGCTTGCGGGGCACGAGTCTATTGTCCGTATCTTGATCAATCACGGCGCCTTAGTGGAAGGCATATCGATTGGTAGCCGGACGTATCACCCGCTGCTTGCAGCCATCAGACGCCGATCTTCCAAAATCGTCAAACTACTCCTCAGTCATCTCTCCAACGCCAATCTCAACGAAGTAAACCTTCTTGACATCTGCCCATCACAGGATAGATGGGTCATTGCCAGAAATCTTCTCGATTGTGGTTTTACTCCAGAATCTCTGACAGAACAAGCCGTGGAGCTCTCAGATCCAGATGAACGCCTTATTTCAGTTCTTCTCGACGCTCGCGCTGATTCGAAGATTCTAGAAAATATACTTTTCCAGCGAGGACACGAAAAGCTCGTATGTGCTGCCAAAGATCAGATTTCACGTAATAGGCGCCTGATTAGCGCGGTACAGCGTGGATGTCAGCGAGAATATGAGCAGGAGATAGCAGCAGGGGCTAACCCATCGTGGGCCCTTTCAACTTCGCTTCGCTCCTTGCAGCCTGATTTAGCGGGTTATCTGCTAAAGCAGGGAGCAGATCCTCGATTGCTGAGCTTCCGAGGGGATCTGGCTGGTGAGGTAGGGAAGATTAGGCTGTCATACATGCTGGCTCAATCTACCCACTTCAACGATAAACAACTTCTGGATGTCCTTTTAGACCAAGGGGCCAATGTCAACGGCCTCAATTTTGAGAATGGAAAGTCGATTCTCGTGGAAGCCATCGAAGCAGAGAGTTATGCTTGTGTTCAGCACCTACTTGATCGCGGAGCTCTTGTGAATAAGCAGGACTGGTGGGGGACCATCCCGCTGAGAGCCGCACTGCAAACTGGCAAAAGTGAAATCGTTGTTGAATTGCTCCAGCACGGTGCTTCCTTTGATAAGAACTCGGACGAATCAACGATCTCTTCAGATTGCACTGACCAAGGAGACCCAGCCTATGACGGGCTTTACACACATATAGCGCTTCAGAGCCGATACCCTAAAAGATCTCTCTGGAGACACCCCTCCCCTAGAGAGCCTCATATCAGAAGGACCGAACTGTACAAAGGAGATCCCGAGAGCCCAGAAGTGCTTGTTGCCAGGTCCAACCTTAGAAACTCAGTTCTGTCTTTAAACACAGGGTTCAGAACTCCGGAAGAGGCTTTATTCGACGCAACTTGCAAGGGTCAAGTCGCATTGGTTCAAAATATGCTCGAGTGTGCCGCTGATGGAAATGGATGTCGCAACGCGATTCCGAGTCGAGTTCTTAGCCTAGACGATTCTTTTGGTGGGAGAACGTGCCTGATGCAGGCTGTGGAAAGTGGTCACCTCAAAATTGCGAAGGCTCTCCTACAGTATGGGGCTGATGTCAACATAATGTCGTCCCACGAGACTGCTCTGAGTATTGCGGCAAAGTCTGGCATCGAATCTTTCACTCGGCTTCTACTTCAGCATGGAGCGGACTTGCTTATAGCTGCGTTGATGCTCAAGATAGACCTTGAGTGGACAGCTAGACCAAGAGCTATCAAATGGCTAGATATCATGGCAAAGCGCTTCCAAGAAGATATTCTATTCCAACAATTGGATACCAAGAGGGAGATTGCTTTGCTGCACGCTGAGTTTCTCCGGGAGCATGAGCACATGAGGCGCACGGCCTCATTCTCTGGCGATACAGACATGTCGCGGTGTGCGGATATGTCAGAGGATGGAAAAGCTCTTGACTGTACAATTAGACTCGAAATCTCGAAGCGATGGGCATACAGTCTTGAGCTCAACTCCCGGAAAGCTTGGGCTATTGGGAGAGTAACCTTGAAGCGCCTGTGCAGGAGAATGTTACCGCAAGATCTCAACCAAACATTGCTGTTTCTGGCCCTCGCCAAGTCCATGTCGCGTGTCCTTCGCAGTGAAGGCCAAGATGATTGTGGGGAAGAGTTTGATCAAGACGTTGAGCGATGGCAAATATTGTTCAAAACAACGGATCAGTTGGCTTTTCAACAGGCAGTCGAGTCCATCTGGGGCATCAATCTAGCCGGATCCCATCCGGACTTACTCATTCCCAGTGAACAGGACCTCGACCCCTTCCAGGCAATGGCTCTGCACGTCTTGCAGCAGACCGAACGCTTCCACATAGGCAGCGAATCCGGCGACGTAGGATTGATGTCTGTCCGAGCTAGTTGGAAGCTGAGGCAAGGCGAAAATCTTCAGCCATCAGACGGAACCCAGACAAATTCAGGCTCGTCTCCGGATCCAGGAAACAAAGAGAGCACATCTGAAATAAAATGTCATGAAACTAATGACCATGTTTCCGACGGTTCTGAAGACCATGCTGTTCCGAAAGAAACGCCAAATCACTGTCTCTTAGACCACAAGGATATGGTGCTTGCAATTCTCATGGCCGGCACAATATTTACGATTGTGATTGGTTTCTTCTTAGGTAATATATCCTCACAATTCATGAAGGAAAAATGCTCTAGTCACTAACACCTTCATTCTGCAGCCGTAGGCCACTCGCTTTTTGACACGAGTCGTCCCAGAGGGGATACCCCTGGCAATATCTTGCTAACAGTCCGGCAAGAATCGCTCAAGATCATTGCAGCCTCTGTTCTGGTCGAGACACTCCCTCACAAGGAGTCCAGTGACCGAGAATGGGAAGGAGAAGTGTTGCCCGCTGTCCGTAAACAGACCAATGAGGCGATTGAAACCGGGCAAATCAATAGTAGCGCTAAACTGGCCGAATTCTTCGTCAAAGAAATCGAGCACAGAGTAAGATTTTCTTCATATTCGGATTGCTGATTCTGCTAACACATTCAAGTTCACGGGCTTAGGGAAGGCTTTGGCCGCTTCATGCCATCGGAAACGATACTTCAACGTCATGCAGAACGCTTACTCCATGTTGCAAGCTTTCCTAGGCTTACCGATCACAGCCATAAGCCCCAGCTCGCTCAAACAGCCTACTGATGAGTCTACGGATGCGAAGTCGAGACGTAAGAGGGCGGTATCTGAATGTAGCGAGACAGAGCGCTCTCCCAAGGCTGCCAGAATGTCGCCCAGCACGCTAAATTTGCCCAAGTAAGTACTGAGCCAGAAGAAAACCCCTTGTGCATACATCTTACCTATTATCAGCAGTTTCACCCCATCAAGTGACGACAATAGCTCAACAGTATTGAGCAGCAAGTCAGCTTCTGCGAACATTCACGGAAAAGTGACGTTTTGTGTTGAATGTAATCGCGACTTCAAGACGACTTCGAATTACGGAAAGCACCGGAAAGGTCCGCTCCATGACAACAAGCGTTACCCATGCGCGTATGACTGTGGGAGGCACTTTTTGAGAAACGATATCAGGTTGAGGCACGAGAAGAAGGCCCACCAGGGGATCATGGCTACCAAGCCGCAACTTCCTGCTTCATTTTCTTCATAGACAACCAGTGTCACGGTATTAATGGTCAGGAGGTTATGTTGTTCCTTGCTCTTTCATTGAGTGTCGTGTCGGTCGCGCGACGGATAAATTTCACTTTCTACCATTATGCAAAGTGCTAGCTGTCATATTCTTACCGGCGACTACCTTGATAATCTTACGGCGTGCGTTGGCCCTCTGTGGTATCGAGGAGAGGTACTGGAGCGCCCTGTTAATGAGTCGCTATGGAGGAAGTACGCCGAGCCTCGGTGATTTTGTTCCCTTCTTTTTGTTATTATGATGACAAACCCAACTCGTCATGTCTCATGTCTTGTTTCTTGATTGATACATACACGATTGATCAGCTCCTTAGACCGGGGGCGATGCCCCCTTCATGGCTTTCGCTTAATTTCGGTGAGGCTGAGCCACGAGCGAATAAGAGATATGCAACCCGTTTCATTGGGGATAAGTTGAATTGACAATGGATTTACGTCGGATGACTGCAGGCACTGCGATACCCACGTGAAGAACTGCACTTTCACTTTGATAAGGCCCATCTCCATTACCTACTGATGATGGACCAAAAAACGGACAACTTGATTGCCTGTCACCTTACCAGATTCAGCAAGCTCAATTATGGCGAACAATCTCAGTTGTGGTTGAGTAGGTAACGGATACAGAGTATGGAAAAATTGTGATTCATTCTGATTTCGCCTAGTAGGCTTAGATGTACGCGAATTGAGCTATTTGATATGCCTGTAGGCGAGGCAGATTGACACCCCCACTGCCGCCCATCACGGAGCCTCGCGGCGGCTACAGGCTTGTGCAGCAGTGGCGCAGCAGTCCTTGCCATCCATTATAACCAGCGGGCTCACGCTCAGCCAACCCCTCTTTATTTTCCCCTCTCGTGATTTCTTCAGTGCCGCATCGTCTGTCTTTGCTTAAATGGCACATTGCGCGAATCTTGAGTGCCGAGCTGCTAGCGACACGGTCTGCCACAGAGCGCAGCGATATCAACGACATGGACCCGTTGTCCTTGGCGGCTAGCGTTGCCGGGCTTATCAGCCTCGCCGATGTCGTCTTCAGATACGTTTACAAGTATGGAAAAGCCGCCGCTGGTGCCAAGCAAGAAGTGTTGGCCCTTTCTCAAGAAATCAACAATTTGTCCAGCCTCCTGCGTACGCTCGAGGCCCTGGCGAGTGACCTGGAGGATGGCGGCGATGAATTTAACCCTGCATTGAGGTCTCATCTTCTCGTCAACTGCAAAGATACGCTGGAAAAGATTAGAGGCAAGCTCAAGAAAGCGACCGACAGTTTCCAGGCTCGCTCCAAGCTTAGCGGAGTTACACGGCAGCTCAAATGGCCATTCGCAGCATCTGAAACAAAAGAGCTCATGGTCGAGATCTCACGGTATAAAGAAACCATGACGCTGGCAATTTCGTCTGATTCGATGCGGCAGCTACAACTCTCCCTTGCCAAGCAGGACGAGCACGGCAAGCAAATCGCTGCCATTCACACAATCACCAAGAGAATTGAAATCAATACTCAAATATTGGTCAACAATGAGAAGCGACGGGTGTTGGATTTCTTCATGCCGGCTGCGATCAATCCACAGAGTAACCTGGAACACAACATCAGGCTCAGACACCCAGTGACGGGCATGTGGCTCGTTGAATCAGACGACTTGACCAAGTGGATACAAACACCAGGCTCAAAGCTTTGGCTCAGCGGCATTCCAGGCGGAGGCAAAACAGTCTTGGCAGCTGCCGTAATTCAGGAAGCCCTCGCGAGAGGCTCACTCCAACACGGTGTGGCTTTCTTCTTCTGCGACTACAAGAATGAGGATACTTGGAAGCCCCTAAGCGTACTTGGTGCTATTGTATCTCAACTTGCTCGTCAAAAGGACGAGGCATTCGACATGCTCAAGGCATATTTTGATACCCTCCATCCCGAGAGAGGGCTTGAGAAGGCTGCCGACCTCGAGGAACTTCGACTGACGATTGCAAAGATGGCCGAGCTATTTGACCAGGTCACCGTCATCATTGACGGACTTGATGAGTGTGGCGATCAGACAGATGACGTTGTCGACAGCATAGCCGAGACTGCAGAAAATAGCCATCAGATCACTATCGCACTGTTCAGCCGGGACGAGATTAACATCAGACTACGTCTCGAAGATGAATTCAAGCATATCCCAATTGCAGCGACCACTGGAGACATTGACCTTTTCGTGGGTGCTGAGATCCAACAAAGAGTCCAGGCCGGGCGCTTCGGCACGCTTAGTACGGCACTGAAAGATGAAATACGAGAGAGACTAGTAGAAGGGGCAAATGGAATGTGAGCACATCAATTCGTTTCCAGGACATGACATAGCATCACGATCATGCTTAATAACCGACGATAGGTTTCGATGGGTCGTCTGCCAGCTGGACTACCTGGGCGAGTTTGCCACAGACACAGACCGCCGCCAGGCTCTACACGAACTGCCGCCCACGCTCCATGGCAGCTACATGAGATTGCTTGAAAGACTGAGCAGGCTCCCTGAAAGAATACAGTCACGAGTGCAAATGTGTCTCCAGTTTATTGCATCGAGTAACCATTTCATAAGCACGATCGGAACTCTTCGTCAGGCAGTTTCAGACTTCGCATCCACCGGCCCTCCTCTCGTCGAAACAAACTTGGTCTCAGAGCGGGAAATTGAATACAGATGCAGTAGCTTGATTCGAAAATCCAAAGACGGCAATTCCTTTGAGTTTGCTCACTTCTCAGTCAAAGAATTCCTAGAGAGTCCATCGATTTCGGAAAACCCCAAGTTTGCTGGGTACCACATCTCAAAACACCGGTATCAACAGCTACTAACCTCCCAATGCCTCAAACTGGTACACCTGAGCAACGTTTACGAGCAACAACACGGCACACCTCCGGATTTTTTGATTGAAGACCAAAAACAAAGCGGTCTCTACAGATACGCGTGTTCACATTGGCCATATGTCATACGAGAAGGCTTGGAAGATCCAAGCCTCGTGCAACTTTGTCATTCCTTGGTCAGCAGCACAAGCATGCAGACGATCAATAGTACAAGCATACAGTCAAACCTGCCTTTCTCTTGGAAGATATTTTTCAAATCGGCATTTGTCGAGTACTTGCGGTCCCGGTATTCCTCGGGCAGCAAATATCAACCGATCCGCGACCGCATCATATCGGAGGGAAAGCCTGAACAGTGGTTCGAGCCTTTACACTTGGCCGCTGCTCTCAATATGCCCGAGGTTTGCCTGTCACTGCTCAAGGCTGGTGCAAATCCCAATCACAGATGTCCTTACGGCACACCAATAGACCTGGCCATGCGCGCAATTTTAGCATTTATGCCCTGGGATTCGGCGTGGAATGAAGACGAACCGCAAGCGATGGGATGGGGACGGCCTCAGAAACATTGGAAAGTCATAAAACTTTTGGTTCCCGCGGTCACTCAGCGAAATCGCACGATTGAAATTCTTATCCAAGCAGGATCAGAATTATCACACGACAGAAATCCGGCCTTGGATTTGGGCAAAGAGTCCATCTTCTCAACAGTTTCTGTCATAGCCTCCCACACAAAGGACTTCAATCCTGTCGTACGGCTGATGTCCTTGGGTATTACCCCTAGCGACTCCGAATTAGATGCTCTGGAAGGTTATCTCAAGTATTGGAATATTGAAAAGAGCATACAAGGAGACAGCCAAGTCCGAGACCGATCCCTCTTTGACCTCCTTGTGTACCTGGACTCCACTGGTGCTTACGACTCTGCTTGGGGTATACGGATGGGCTCCATTGTCTGGAGTACAGCCAGCGCAGTTGGTAGCGCGTTCACAAAGGAGCGGAACCTCGGAATTATTGACACACGCATTTCCCTTTCCAAAGACGGATTGGTGCAGCAGGCTCTAGCAGCTATCCGCAGGGATGATAGTACAGCCTTGAAGACATGCTTAGACGACAACCGTCTCGACCTGTCGCAGGTCTATACCAATAGGGCAGACGTGAACATTACCATGGTAGAACTTGCCGCATTAGCCAATGCCGTCGGGTGTCTTGAGGTTCTGTTGGACTTTGGCTCCAACGCGGGTATTGATCATACCAGTGCTCCATCAACCAAGACCCTGATACGTCGTTGTATTAGATATCAAGCCCTAGGATCTTTGAGAATTCTGGTTGACCACGGTGCCTCTCTCTTGGCCGTGGACTCTGATGGTATGACGATTTTTCACATTTGCGCAAATGAATTTGGAAACTCCAATGTCGGCTTTTTCGGAGATGTCCTTGAAATTGATCCGCTTGCTACGGTCGCCGGCCTGGTTATGAGAATGCCAAATGGAGAAACCCCACTCGATCTGCTCTTATTGAGAAACAAAAACCACAAGGAGATAGAACAGATGACGCTTCTGCTAATGGACTGGTGCGATAAGATCCCTAAGTTCTGGTTAGAAGATCACCAACTATTCACAAATGCGGCAGCAATTGGCTCGGCTACCATTATACGTCGCCTATTAGACATGGGCGCCAAGCCGGAGCCTCTCGGGGCTAGCAACTTTCTTCCTTTGCATAACGTGAATGCGAGGGCAACCCTTGAATTTGTAAGGCTCCTTAAGAGTCTTCATGGAGAGGTTGCATGCGCGGTGAGAGCAAGGCCCGACATGTGTCTGCCGGTTGAATTGTACATCATGCATTGCGTACATGATGCTATACATCCGGACGAGGCCATTGTTCATGAGCTTCTCACACCAGAAGTCATTACACCGACAGATCCGACCATGGGTACACTCTGGCGTTTTTGTTGCGAGACCATACCGGTCAGCGCACTCAAATGGACCCAAAAGGCGAAATTAGATTATCTTGACGAGGACGAAAGACTGTCGGAACAACTTCTCTTAATGCTACAGCGTTTGGGCTGCATGGACGGATATGAAAAATCCTGTTCCCAGTCGGCACTGATTCCATTATTCAAGGGCGTGCTTGATGGCCTTGAGAGTGACTGGTTTTCAAACCCCACACTCTGTATCTCACCGAACGAGCCTGGTGGGATCACGCAATTGGCTTTCGACTCTACCAAATATTGGGATACAGCCAAAACATCACCTACCACAATTAGGCTCTTCAAACAAGCTATAGCGGACGGCCATGGCGAACTAGTCAGTGTTCTCTTGCGCAGAGGTGTAGACGTTCACCAGCGGCAGGATGGGGTTTCAGCAGTTGAGTTTCTTTGTCTGGAATCTCAAGTCATGACAAATCATGCAACGGCCAAAGGGAGAGGCATGATATCGGAAGTCTTGGATCATACGAACCTTGAAAGCTTGAATGAAGTCGAATTCAACAAGGGTAGATTGGGCCTGTTGCACATGATCACCTCTTGTGCCGAGCCCGGTCCTGCGTGGCTCATGAGCGAGCTTGTCAAGCGGGGGGTGGATATCGAGAGAAAATGCGCCACAACTCGACTGGAGACGCCTCTCCTATATCACTTGCATGAGAAATCGTTTGATGTTGCTCAACTTCTGGTGGAATTAGGCGCAAGTTATGGAAATCGGATGTCAATAGACAAGCGCATAGACGTCCCACAATTGGCGGCATATCGGGGGGCCCACACGTTTCTACAATTCCTGCTCGCACATTCAGTCAAAAACTCAATAGAAATTGTGTGGGACAGACCATGCGAGGAATCCTTCGAGGTCGACAAAGATGAAGATGACCACAAAGACGTGACTGCTCTACACTTCGCAGCGGAGGGAGGCAGTGTCGATTGTCTCCAACTATTCTATGATAAGGGACTCTTGAAGGAGTTTGAGCCTCGCACATCACGTGGGTGGACCCCGTTGCATTGTGCAGCAAGCAACGACTCCTTTGAAGCCATCGAATTTCTGGTATCCAAAGGAGCTAACGTTAACGCACTGGCCAACGACAAAAGCTCACCACTACACATTGCAGTTCGGTGTGGACACCTGGACTCTGTCAAGACTTTACTACGACTTGGAGCCATGAGGTCAAGAGACTCTCAAGCTATGACCCCAAGAGCGTATGCAGTTGGGTACAGTAACAGAGACATCATTGTTGTATGCCTTGACGAGGCCTTTGGGCCCGAAAGCGAGGTCATGCCCAGCACGGTACCCTGGAGTGGAATGAAGCATATTTTCCAAAGTCTTGAGACTGCAATCGAGCGTGACGATGTAGAAGAGTGCAAGAGGTTACAGAACCTTGGGTGTCCCTTGAACGCCAGCATGCCTAGCTGTCATGGCTGCTCTCCTCTCATGGTTAGTTTAGCATTTCGTAGCAGAAAGGTCGCTGGTTGGATGCTAGAAAATGGAGCGAGCACTTTGAAGGTAAAGTGTGATGGGCATAGTGATAGTGGAAACTATGCAACCGAAATTGCCGCTGAGACGAAAGAGTTGACGACCGTCTTACCACATTTTCTAGAAAGACATCACGATGAGGGGGGCGACTTGATCTTCGGAGATGAGTATCCTTTGCATTACGCTGTCTACAACAAGAACATCGCAGCAGTAGAATTAATTCTTCGGCATGTGGAGGACAACAAGTCATACATGGGGTGAGTTCGTCGCTACTGCATATTTTCAATGGTTGACTTGTTAACGTCCAATACAGAAGAAGGGCCCAGCTGGACCCTGAGCTGGTCAAATCGACCATTATCAACCGTTTAGGTATGGTTGAAGACAAAGATACAACACCACTTCATCTAGCCGTAGAGAACAAGGATTTGGACATGATATCGCTTCTCGTGGAGAACGGAGCTAGAATAGATGCACTTGACGATGTCTTCGGGGCACCGTTGAGCTATACAAGCTCGGAACCTGTGGCAATCCGGCTAGTTGAGCTGGGTGCTTCACTTGGGCCTCTTTATGAGGACAATTCGTTATTTCCCAAGCTATTCCACCGCCGAGCCACAAAGCATGATACCATCTCTTCATTGGAAGAACCAATCTTCAGCGGGTTCCAAGGCAGGTATTTATGGATATACCCATCGTCGACTCCGTTCCAGATGGATGCGGCTCTCATGCTTACATCTAGAGGACATGATATAAACCACGACCGTGGCGTGGGACAAAGTCTCATGCACGAATTAATTTGCGGAGACACATCGTCGAGCTTGGTATTGCACAACAGAGACCTAGGACTCGACAAGACGACTCCATTTCCGTGGCATCTGCTTCCCAGTCCGTTTGTTGATATCGCCTTCCTGGTGACACGCTTCCGACATTTCCGCCGTTTACTCTCGACTGATGACTTTACAAGGATCATGAATATGCAGCCGGACCGTGGTATCAGTCCCCTTTGCTGGGCGGCGCGTATGAACCGTCTCGACATCATGGACCATTGCCTCGAGATGGGTGCCAACATTGACTTTGAAGGTATGCCTTTCGGCTCAGCCCTCATGGTTGCATGTTCTTACGGGCAATTGGACTCTGTGAAGTTCTTGGTTCGCCGTGGGGCACAAACGTCCTATATTGGACAAAATGGCCCCGTCAACGTGATGAAGCGGACACAGTCCACCATTGTAAGACAATGGCTGCTCGTTGGTAGGTTCAATGAGCAGAAAAGGATTACGTCGGCCGGGTATGAAACAGCGGCCAACTGGAGTGATTGTGTACTACGCCCATGGAGCGGCATCAGAGAAGCGAGGTTGATGCTGACGGGCAGACGTGAAATGCTGCCGCACGAGAGCTCCTTTGATTACGCAAAGAAACTAGCGACGATAAGAAGGGATATGAGAGGGAAAATTGTGCCAGACTTGATCAGATAGGCGAGGAATAGACTGTGATAATATGCATAGAGACTGCTTTGGTTATGTACTGTATACAAGACAAGATTGATCAACTTAGAAGCAAGGACCAGCAAATCGACTTCGTCGCAAAGGGCTCTGATCGACAACAGCTTAGGACAGGCGTCTATGCTGCTTCTTCCTCTTGAAGATACTATTCATGAACGATGATCTGGAGGCGCGACTACGTACTGTGTCGTGAATTGTAATTTCTGTCATTGTGCAAAATGCCAGCTTTTTTTACCAACTACCTTAATTTACCGCGTGTAGCGGTTAAAAGTCTAGACTTTCGAATGCTGAACCGACTTCGCCAGAGTTTACTCATTTGGGCTGGGGCCAGAAAGGGAAACCCACCCCTGAACTCAGCCCAGCGGCCGATGTGACAGGGCCTTGCATCAAGACGACCCTGAGGGGCGAGGAACGGTGTGAGCATTCTTGGTACGGGCCTGAGGGCTGTATGGCACGAGCGGCCGCTGGGGGAGGGTATAAAAGGTGGGTATTAAAGCTAAAACACGTAGGATCGTCGAAAAATCGTGCTTCTTTTTTCCCCTTCTGGTAGAAGCTGAAAAAAAAAAAAAAAAAAAAGAGTAGAAGACCCGGGCATGGGGAACACTAGAAGATATGACACGTAGGGCCCCGGAAGGAACAATAGATGTTCGCGTCGAAGGATTCCGACTACGTACGTACGCACAACGGCCGCACTCTTGTAAGTAAGCAGTCCGTGCCCATGGAGAAAGGACTGGTTATATCCGGTGTGTAGTACAGAATAGTTTGTCCCTTTTTTAGTGAGAGGCTTGATATAGGGCTGAGTTGGCAAGAAAATCAGCTTCTGCGCCGTCTCCCCGACCAATAAAGTGTGGTCCGGTGGTTTGGATCATTGCCTGTTACTACCCTGTGTGTTGTATTATTAGGGGGCAAAGGGGGGGCATGAAAGAAAGAATTGGACGATTGGTTCCGACTGGACCATTGAAATTCAGCGCCATGCTCATTCAAGAGGTTAGCTGATGAAGCTGAGCATCCAAGATGAGTGTCCAGAGACGGGCTTCGCGGTTCTCGAGCGGTCATGGCCCCCAAAGCCAATATATTTTGGGTTTGCACGTACTTCGTAATAAGGTGCGTCTGGGCAGGCATAGCATAATGGTGTGTGCCGGTCTTGGTCTCGTCTCATTGCCATCGTCGCTCACGACCCGACAGGCTGATCCATCTCGGACTCTCATAATTTGCAACATTTCTCCATGAGGAAAGATGACGGGGATGACTCAGTGACAATGGGGGGTTTTGGGGGGCAGCAAGCAGCCACAAAACAAGCCTCTTCCCGACAGCCCATAATTTCTCCACGGCATCAAAAGTTCTTCTGATGGGCTGGTTCTCTCTTGGTCGTCTCCAACGGCTGGGCAATGACAGCAGGGCTTGGGGGTTCTGTTTTTGGCTCAATAGTCTCGCTTGTCCCCATTTCCCGAGCCAGCGAATGAGGCTCTTGGGAAGCAGAAGATCATTTGTTCGTGGTCAATTTCCAGAGAGTGGATAGTGTAATGCAACGGTCGTTTGTGCGCTAAAGAATTTAGCGTCTGGTCTCTCATGAACCCTCACCATTCACCTTATTCAATCCGATTCCACTTTTCTTTTTCGCTTGCGGTCAACCGTCGGCCGACTGGAACCGATGGCGCTCGACGACACTGTCTGTCTGCGTTCTACCATGTATTTTATTAGCCAAACAAGGCCTTAATGTTATTCATGAAGGAAGTTCTGATGGATTTTGAGCCGCTGGTCCTCTTGGAACGACGATACAGCTTCGACTCGAATAACAGGTTTTGTCAACGGATGAGGAGCACCAAGATAACCCTTGGTCGAGCGGCAGGCAACGCCACCGCCGACGAACTACCGGCTCGAGCCGTTGGATGATGGGTCCATTACCTGCCAAATGGCAAACACGAACAAGTCTACTACGAGCTAGGGCCTCCCCTTCAGTACAAAGTCCCTCCTGGGATCCCCAGTTCGATTAAAGCCATGAGAGCGTGGCCCCCCAGGTCCCCCAGTCCTTTCCAAAAGATCCCAAACCCCAGGAAAGGATTGTGCCAGGTCCTCTCACTCATTCGTGGAATCATGGATCACCCCCTTGGCTAGAAGGCGAAAAAACCTGACGCCATCATGCAATCAAGGTCAATATTTGTGATTCTTCAGCGACTCGCAGAACCAGGGATAAGGATTCAGGTCTTCGGCACACTCCATATCCTGTGCAGATGGGCGTAGTAAGGGTGCATGTACCGTTCGAGACTAGGAATGCTATAGCGTGGAGACGGGTAAAAGAAACAGTGTACGAGTTACAGTATGGTGATCAGCAGAGATGCCATCACGAAGGACAAGTCGCCCGTGGGCATGCAATTCAACAATTTGCACAATTCTTCAGCGTTCATCTTCCAGGCCCGCACACATGGTACCCTACTGTTGCTCCTCCCCGACTCCCGGCCTCTTTAGACATGTGGAAAGGGAAAGTCGGCTACAAGCCTGCCACGGTGGGATGCATTGTGGATTCTGGGCGCGTTCTGCGCCGCACAGATGCAGATATTGTGACCAGGGTTTGCGGCTCGCAAAGAGAATCCCCTGATATGCAACGCATGCACTACTGTGTGCGCAGTAGGTAGTATACCTACTTGCGGGTTCGCAAATCCGAGAAGGATGGACCTTTTCTCGGCACTTTATCTTCTAGTTTCGCTGATGCAAGAGACGTTCTGTACCTTGCCTCAACATCTCTCTACCATCGCACGGGCTCCAATCCCTCTGAACATACTGGAAAGCGAAGGGGTGATTTTATCGAGATATCGTCGCAAAGCATGTCGTCCACTACGGCCGTCTCGACGACGGCGACCGTGACCGCGGCGACCGTGCAGGCCTTGACAACCGAATTCAAGGCGCCTACGACGTGCTACTCGATGCAATTGACTCAATTATCGTCACCTGGATGGGAGATATGGCTCAATGAGCCGCAACCAGTGCCGGGCACCGTCTATCCAGACTGCTACCCGACTGAGTTCATCGATGGTTACACCAGCATCGCCAACGCGTCGTCTTCAATTGCACCTATGATGAGCCCACTGGTGGCGCCTGAGAACTGGGTTACCGCCTATGAGCAGGACAACGGCTACATCGCATTATGCCCAAGGTGCGTGAGAATAAGCCATCAAGGAATCCGCACAGCGCGCGTGACTTCCAATATCCATGATGGAGACTCTGGATGATGGATCGTTGGCGTCATCTCGTCATCTTCCAGAGTATCATCAAATCTGTCCCCGGACTTGATTGCTGACCAGCAATGATCTTTTAGTGGCTTTCTCATCCACATGATCGATGACCCAATAGACACCAATAGGCCAGCTTATGGAGCAACATGTTATAGCGATTTCACGGCAGGACATACAGTCACAGTGAGCGGGTACGACACGCAGGGCTTCACCGGCACCAACCTCTTTAATCCAAAGTCAACGGACCAGGCATTCGCTCACGTGATTGAGGGAAAGAAATTGACCTCATCAATCGTAAGTAAAGAAGCTTTGACGTACCACTCAATTGGGTGTGTAAATCATGCCTGAGGCCACGCATCTAACATGAGTCCTATCAGACGGCGGCAGCCACAACTACAACTTCAGACTCTACTACATCCACCGCGCAAACGTCTGGTGCATCGGCCACGAGTACGAGCTCATCAGATTCATCAAGCTCGTCGAGTTCAGTGAGCGGAGGTACCATTGCCGGGGCCGTGATCGGCTCCATCGCTGGTGTGGCTTTGATCGCTGCCGCCCTCTTCTTCCTTCTCCGCCGCCGAAAAGGCCCAGCCGCCTCGGCCCCGGAAGCTGGAGGACAAGGCCACAGTGCTGTCGAGATGGGCGAATCCAGCACAGCTCAAGGAAGTCCTTACCAGGAAAATTACGCCTTCAAGAACGCGGCCATCAAGGATTATTCGACAGCTCCAAGTCACGCTTCTGCCATCAGCCCTACCTCGCCATACGGCCAGATGCACTACGGTCAAGCGATGTCCGACGGAAACTATGCCGAGCTTCCCGCACATAACCTGTCCGAGCTCGAGACGCCGCCTGGACCTACATCGGCATCGAGGGAACTGGATACCGGATATATGGGAAGCGAGCTACATAGCAACCACCAAAACCATCCTCCGTCATCTCCGCACTGAGAGGCACGCGATTCTCGTGAGGGATTTCAGCATACAATTCAGTTGATGTACAAATTGGACTACACCCTGTAACTCAATGCAAATGATGGCTTTGGGATTTCTGTGTTCGGCTGCTGTCAGAGCAGTGGGCATCTTACGTGGTATTCCTGTGATGGACATGAGTATATTGCCCAAAATGTGGCAAATGGCGTTTTGAGCGAAGCGGATTTGGTTCTTGGATACCTTTTAATTTTTTTTTTGGAAGTCTGTATTAAAAACACTACAAAGCGAGATATTTGCCTTGCCCTCCATTATACATACGGAACTCACGTCCAGATGAGGACGGATAGTCGATATACAAGGCTTGAGATAGTGCACCACGAATTACAGGACCATGGACATTGTAGTACACACATGTATCCAGTGACTGATGGTCGACGAGACTTTTGATGACACTGCAACTCTTTCTCACAGTACCTACCTACCCATAATAGGTACGAACCTGATTCTTCAAGTACTGTTTAAAAGCTAAAATGACCCAAATCTCTGCATAGTTGTGCTGCTGACAAGATACAGCTTCTACAATTACTATTCTCACCAACTCAAGTCCATCCATGCTCGTTGCGTGCGGGGCCAAATTCCAAACACAGCCATGGCTGCTTCTTTCAGTCACATTGCCATCATCGGTGGCGGCCTCGCAGGAGCCACATTAGCGAATGCCCTCGTTCAGAGATCCCATCTACAGACATCTACGAGTCGCGGCCCAAATTTTCTGAACGCGGTGCTGCCATAGGATTAGCTACAAACTGTGAGCAAGCTCTGGCAGAGATGATCTCGTCGGCAAAGGCCATGTTGGAAAAAGCCGGTGCCGCCACCATGAACTCTTCGTCAACCATGTTGGTAGATTTGAAGATCTGATTTATTGCACGCCACTCAATCATGGCAGAGGAAACGATCAGAGATCTTCTACTGTTTCATATTTTCATATTCTGTCTCAAGCGCTTATCTAATCTGTCTCGAGCCCGCGAGTCGAGTCGGGCCGGCTACATGGACTGCAAACCATCACCACGACTTGACCGTGGGACGTTCATTCTCAAGTGAACTGGTAAGTCAAGCGGGGACGTGAGCCCAGGCCTCAATCTCTATTCTCATGCCCTCGAGCGAGAGCTTCTCAATGCCAAACACAGATACCAGCGGCGAATGGTCGGGGAACCACTTTTTCAAGTTCTCAAACAGAAACTCTTGAGCCTCATCCTGCAGCGGAGCGAGATAGATGACGAGTTTGTAGACCTGGGACATTCCCTTGCCGCCGATATCAATAAGGGCGTGATTAACATTGTCAAAGGCCTGTCAAGAACATGGTCAGAACCAAAGCATAGCAAAGGCGCGCCGTCGGTGTTTGGAAAAAATGGATTTATACCGACCCTATCATACTCCTCCTTGAGGTCCTCGGAAACCTTGCTGGTCTCGCGGTCCCAGCCACCTTGCCCGGAAATAGTAATGACCTCTCCGCTCAGGGGGTAACGGGCAGACTGTGACATGTTGGCGACGTCTTTGGCTCCCTCGCCATGCTTGGAGTACGCGGCGTATCTGAGGTGAGACATGTTTGCTTGATTTTCAACAATGTGAGGCGTCTTGGTCGAGATGTGTGATTTGATGGTATCAATTGCCTGTAAGGGGCCGTCTTATATAGACCATGGTATCAAGAACGGTGAAGGCTCTCGATACCAATTTACTATTGCCTTTGATTCCTCATGTTTTCTCCAGTTTCATGGCTTTAGCCCATTTCACCAAATTCCTCTCCTTTGAGTCAAGAGCCAGCGATCAACTAGACCTGCATGCACTAGAATGTAAGCTGAGCTGATGATACTTGAAGGCCTAAACGCCTATAATAAAGTGTGCACTACTGCATACTAGTAAGCCCATACGGGAAGGGCCGCCTTTGAGCGCGTGAAATCAGATTTATAAGCAAGTTTGGAATCAAATCAGAGGCCCGGTGTTGATCTGCCATCACGATCTGCCAATGATGTTCATGGAAACTCTCTCCCAATGCTAGCCAGCCCCCCCCCCCCCCCACCAAAATCCAAGACCAACACTCAGAATCACGTTCGTAATCAAACCGCTAAACTCTAATGAGCAGCAACTAAAGAAGCCATAGAAAGCCCGCATTGTAAGGCTTACCCGGATTAGATGAAACTGGCAATAGATTTGTTGACTCAACATGCATACATACTACATTGCACGTAGCCTTAAGTGAGGAGTTATGTAGATTCTTGGCATGAAGTCAGCACCGTCCATAGCGGATCTATTCTTTTGGCCTTTGTGTGAGTGTATGGTCCAAAATTTAGGGGCTCAAAAACACACGATGGAGAGCGACTAAAAAGGAGTATTAAGCAAGATTTGATTTCTAAGTACAGATCAAAAATCATTATGCGATTTGCTTTCCAGAAGTGACTGCATGATCGATTTGCTATGTTACCTCTCTAACAGTACTTGAAGTGGCATTATTGAATAGGCTACCCCATTATACTTGTACAAGGTCTATCCTCCTTCCCTCCTTTGAGGTTTCTCATTTCCATGCCACTTGCAATATCGAAAGCGACGAAGGTCTGACTCTCCAGATCTGTAGCATTCCACACTGGTCGGGTACAAATCGGATGCTCACCTGACAGGACAGACGCATAGTATAGACTCCACTGAGTGGTGTATAGTGTGCTACTATAAGAGTTCCTTATCTGCCTTATCAGGCTGTGCCACCCAGGAGCGACGGGGATACATCATTCGGGAATCTAGGTATGAGAGGCGCGGGGGACTTCTTGAGTCGGGCGTATCATATCCCTTGATTGAATTGCGCTGCAGATAGAATATGTACGAGTTTACCAGGGGTCTATTGCTGTGCCACCTGCATTCACACCACTCCTCCTCTCTTGATTAGTAGCCGTATCCAAGAACTGCGAATCACTCATTTCAAGTACTACAGCATAATAGCTGACTACTTTACTTGTGCGTGTAAATACGGACATGGCTGACAAAATAACATTACACGCGGCCATTACCACACGGCACTCGACGCGCGTCTTTCTCCCCAAGCCTGTTCCACGCAGCATCCTCGACGAGGCACTGGATCTCGCGAGGTACAGCCCGTCCAATACCAATATCCAACCGTGGCGCCTCTTTGTCTTGGCAGGTCAACCTCTAAAACAGCTCAAGACGGCCGTCTTTGCAGCCGCCAGCGCAACCGAGGAGCCCCTGCGCGCCATTCCACCGCTGCCAGCGCATTTGGAACCTCTACGCAAGGCCCTCGGCGCCCAGGTCTACGGCGCGGGCTTTGGTGTCGAGTGGAGCGACAGGATCGGCCGACGAGAGGCCGTGCTGCGCATGTTTGAGTTTTTTGACGCACCCGTTGCCGCCGTCGTGTGTGTGGATGAGGAGCTCGGCCGGCCCGATGCTCTGAGTGTGGGCATGTATCTGCAGACGCTGCTGCTGGCGCTCACGGCGCGAGGGGTCGGATCTTGCGCCGAGGTCGCGGTCGCTGGGTATGCCGATTTGATCAAACAGGAAGTGTGTATTCCTGATAACTTGGCCGTCATCTGCGGCCTCGCGATTGGTTATGAGGACCCTGAACATGCTGTGAATAAAATCCGTCCTGGGCGCCTGCCGGTGAGCGAGACGACGGTCATGATTGGCTTTGAGAATCAAGAGTAAATGAAACAGAACATTCTCTTCATTACAGATATGCACAAGTACGTAGATCAGAACTGAATTACATGCCAGACACAAATGGCCCGACCAAGTGAACCATGACCAAGGTCAAGCTACATGAACAAATACGGCCAGTGAATGGGCCCGAAAATACAAAGTCATTCCTCAAAGTCATTCCTGGGGACAACCACATCAGCTGGTGGAATACCGCCGTTGAATACCTGAACACGATTGCTTAGGAACGAGTCCTTCAGCCACTGCCAGTTGGTCCATCATCTGCCGTGCGGTTCTCGCTGGTATGGATTGTCTGCATCTCCTCCTTTCCCTCGCCATTCTCGTTCTCCTCTCCTGCCTTTTCCTCAACTTCTTTCTGCCTGACAAGCTCTTCCAAATGATCCACAGTCTCAAGGAACAATTGTTGGCCCCGCTCCCAGAGTTCAATCTGCCACTTTGGAAAACGTCGAGAACCGACGGCATGCTTTCGCCATTTTCCCTCTGGTGTAGAACCCCCAAACAGACCAGGAAATGTGTCCATGACATCTTGAGGTGTGGGTTGCTCTCGCAGTCTTTGTAGAGTAGCAGACGGGTCATTCTTGGGGCTGTCGTTTGCCGGATCATTCTTGACGAAAAGAATCTTCAGGTGGCGAAGGATCTTCCCCTGGTTATCTGTGGACATTACGGCTTCCACAGGTTCCCAGGAACGCTCCCGCAAACCATTTTTTGATTTAAGAGATGTGTTTTCGACGTCCACTTCAATGTTTGGTCCGCTCCATCTGATACCGTGAATGTCAAGCTTGGACCAAGTCAAGATGCCCTCTCCATCGTATTTTCTTCTGGCTCTTTGGATGACTCCATGCTCGTCGATCAAGTCCTTCTTACACTTCTGTCTTGTCCGGCTTGAGATCTGGCCCCAGCTACTGTTGATTCGGTCGAGCGTTGTCCGTTCTTCGCCAGGGAAATCAACCCTGGCAAAGATGGTAGCTTGGCGGACTTGTTCCTGAGTAACCGTTTCGTTGGACCTATTTCCGTCACGCTGCCAATACTCCCTCAAGGAAGCGACCGCCTGCTTGGCATTATTCAGCAGCTCCTGTTCTGCAGGATGAAATTGGGGTTCATCTGCTACGGCCGCTCGTAGCGGCTGCTGGTCACTCAGGTCGACGAATAGATTCACCTCGCGATAGCCGATGACTGAGAAGTACAAGACTGGCTTTATGAAGGAGATCCTTCTTAGGCTCGGACAAGGACTGTCAGATGCTGCAGCCGCAACCAGCCTTCGGAGAAAGGAGGCCACGACTGGGATGATTGTGAATAAGCCAAGTCTGTCAACAGGTATGACAATCTTTAGCCGGCGAAGACCTTGGCACTGGCTGAGCAAGGTGAGTGCGTGCTGCAAGGAGGCACCTTGATGACGTGTAGGCGCATCCTCCGTCTCTGGAAACAACACAGCAAGCTCGTCCTCGTCGATGCGGACAGTCATATTTGAAAGGAATGCCCGTCGCTCTGGTGCTATTGCAGCCAAGAATGTCAAAAGGTCTTCCGGGCGTCTGCAGTAGAGTTCGTTGACGCGGTAGAAGATGCCATGAACCTGAAGATCAATGTAGATTTGTCGACTGACCAATTCAAGATCAGTAATGACTACGTTGTTCTTCTGGAGTGCGTCAAGGTAATCCGATCTCCAGCGAAACTTGTTCGATCGCTCCTTTACTTGTTGCACATGAACAATTGCCTTCGCCAGGGCGTATTCGTAAATCTTGAGGCGAATCTCAATGGGTAGCTGGAGAAAGGGAACCGCTGCATTTTGACGGCTCTTGGTCAAGTGTGGATGGGAGGGATCTCCCAAGTCTATAAGTTTGACCATGGTTACGATGTTCAAGAGTTTTGATGCCAAGGATCAAACCTGTCTGCATATATGTTAGAGAGAATATGGCTAAGTCAAGGGATGGTAATCTTAGAGTGCAAAATGAGGAGGAGAAAGGCGCCGGTGCCGGCGCAGGTGAGGAGAAAGACACGATCTTGTGAGAGTCGCCGAGGCTCGTACCTTCAACTTGGAAGAGATGATCTCTGTGTTTTTTTGTACCACCATGCGATTGAGGGCAGTGATCCAAGGTCGCCGGTATCTCGGGGCTGCGACGAGTATGTGATCAACTTCCCGCCGCCGTTTGAACCGGTAGATGATGGGTAGGATAGTCGGCGCGACGATGCGCAGTGATGCGAATGGCGATGGGGAGGGAGATGAGATCGACGACGGGATGGTTAGAGGATCGAGTTGCTTCACTATTGTCAAGTGAAAGAGTGAAATGAAATAAAAGAGAGAAGACAAGGGTGCTTTAACGAGAAGAGAACAAATGCGATGCTACGCTCTTTCCGTCTGTTCAAAGCGCCGCGTGCTTCTCGTTGACTGTTGATCGAGTCACCAGATGTGTTCTGCAAATACTTGTTGACGGTGTTGAAGCTTGCACCTTGAGCTGCTCGCCGCACAAGTAATAGGGGAAGGAGCTTGAAAATGGAAAGAGACGCTGGATTTTGTGCCTCTGCCGTGGGCGTGGCGTAGAATTTCTTTGTAGGCAAACGCACCGCTTCACGCAAGGCTGTTATCGATTGTTCGAAGAGCAGTACTCTCGACGCCCAACAGATTGTTGGCTGCTGGCACGCGTTTGCATGATGAAGAAGATAGCCAGTGATAGATCTTGAAACTCGACTCTGGTACTGGAGGAGATGCGCCGCATGTAAGTCCGGTTGAGCCGTTCTCTGCAATCATTTACTTCTTTACTTCACATTTTGATTGTGGCGAGTTGCTGATTCGCTAACGAGACTCTTGTAAAGCATGAGTCACGACGGAGTCGTAAATATCATGTACATGATGATGATGTATTTTGCTTGAATACCTAAGCTAGCTGTCATAGATTAATGCTACCTGCAAGACTTAGTAGGCGCGGTCCGGCCAGGCATCAAACAAGCCCTCGTGAATTGTTATGTTCTCGAACGTGACTTCGCCCTCTCCTTCATGAAAGAAGCGAAGTTCAGTTGATGAGGCATACCAAGAGCTGTCGCATCCAAGTTAGCAAGTGTTGAATCTACAATCACAACCAGGTCAAGCAAGAGTTTCCAAGAACTTACCGTGCCCACGTGCTCAAAACGAATCGATCATTGGCGTGAATTTCGACCACTGCGTTATCAACCACAATAGTCAATTTGAGTACTTCTACTGTCGCCTCGCCATCTTGCGCAATATCGAAAAGACGGAGCCGTCCATATTCATTCCGGGAGTCAATGTCATTGGTAGTCTCGGCGGCAGCACTGGTGTTGGCTCGGTCAACCATGATGGACTCGTTGCTGAACTGGTAGTAGATACTTGTGCTCTCATACTCGGAAGCGAGTATCTGGAATCCTGCCTTGACATCACCGCCCCGGACTGACTGCGGGACAGTGATCGAGGCCTCGAGGACAAAGAATTTGGATTGGGGAGATTGTTGGAATGGTATCACGGCGGAAGAGTTCAGAGTACGGCTGTCTTCCTGGAAGCTCTCACCCTCCAAGAGGGCTGCAAGCGACTCTCTCACAATGGTTTGCCTAAGGGTGGAAAGGTCCACAACGCCCGACTCATTTCGGCTTGTTTTCCATGATCCGACCTCTCGAGCGAGTTCATTGTCCACAACGTTGCAAATCTTTCCGATGCTGAGCTCTCGGGGCAAAAGAAGGGCGCCGGTCCAATTCTGCTGGTTGGTAGCCGGGTCCAAGGTGCCATAGTAGTCTCCAGTGAGCCACGTGGTAGAGATGAACCGATCCGGAGCGCCGCTCGCATTGGACGGCTTCGAGTCTGCTCGGACAACCTGTCCATGGGTCGCATAGGCCGAGTGTCCCCATTCCAACTTTCCCGCATATGAAGGAATGAATTTGACCTCGCCGTCCTCGATTGTCACGTCACCCGAGACCCACAGCGCGTCCCTGAAATCAGACACTTGGGGCACAATGGGTGCTAGTGACCACTCGGCTCCCAGGGTGGTGAAGAATGCTCCGTCATCACTGTAGCCTTCTTCGTCCAGTGTGAAGATGTTGGATACCTCAAAGTTGAAGCCCCAACGGCCCGCCCAGTTGCCACTTCCCCATGTCGTGTTGGCGACCTCGTGCCACCATTGGCCAAGCTCCTCCCAGTACTGGAACTCGGGGTCATACTGGCGGTAAAGGAACTGACTTGGACCGTCGCCGTGTACGCCTCCCGAGATGACAAGGTACCACGTACCGTCAGTGCTGTTGAGGAGTGTATCGAGCTGTGTGCTTTGAAAGGCGTAGGGATCCCGAAATCCTGTCACGTTAACGGCAAAGGGAGGTCCTGGGATAACTGGCCCTTGCTCCAGCTTGGTAAAGTTCTTGCCGTCGTCATAGGATACAGCGAGAGACTGTGTCTCGCTTCCACGAGTATAAGCAATGGTCCACTGGATGGGCAAATACGAAACGGAGGTGTATAGAAACGTTGGTTTTCCGTCCACGCCCACGTTGATGACGGTGCCGTCGAATACGGCCACCGGATCATTCAGTCCTCCCGCCTCGATGAAGGGGGCGCCATCTGCATTCAAGTCCTTGTATGTGACAAGGTCATCCGTGGTCGCCCCCGAAGCACCATCGTGAAGCCAGCCGAAATGGACAGTGCCCGTCTCGGCATCTACATAGTGGGCGCAGGGGTCTCCAATCTGTCCAAAGGGAGGCAGTATGTGAGCGCGAGGCCGCCAAGTCTCGAATAGAGAACCATTGGCGAGTGTGGACAGGTTGGGAGGCGCGGAATTGTAGTCTATACCTGCCTGGCCGAGTGCTCCGGCAGCAAAGAAGACGAGGGACCACATGGTTGGGTGCTACCTTGGGAAGAACTGAACAGCGGCTTCAGACTCATCGGCAGTAAAGAAGACAAGTGCTCACGACCAAGCATACCTACCTACCTACCTACCTACTAGGCACCGTGCCTCCAACTTATAGTTCTAAAAGATTGAATCATCCCCGCCTTTGTATCCACTGAAGTCATGATGAGCCTATGCCATGGAATTAGGAAAAGATGGAAAACTAGCGAAAAAAGCGCCATTTATTAGATATTGCAGTGCCAGTACAGGCTTGGCATGACGATTGGTCCGTCTTCTGAGCACTACTACCACAATAGAATCAAGGACGTACTGGGGACGCTCCGTCGCTAAGACTTCCGACTCCCGGTTCCCGCCCAAGTCAACCCCGGACCCAAGTCACCCCACGGTGGGGTCACTGTCGGTCCTAATTTCCAGCGATGTTTTACTCCACACAATGTTTACCTACTCCCCAGACTCTCCGTACACGCAGTGCGGGGAGTAAGTCCAAGGCGTGGACAGGAGAGGGCCTTCTCAGGTGCTCTTTTACTTCGAAAAACACGGAATGTCATTGTATGCGATGATACTTGGATAAGACTTGCCCAGACGTCTTTGGGGAAACCAAGTCCAGACCAGCACTCGCCTCGACTATGGCGACTTGGTCTTGACCAGCTTGAGGGTGTTGCAGAAAGAAGATGTCAGGAGGAGATAAAGCGTTTGAAAAGGAACAAGTCTACCGGTCTAATTTCCCTACGACCGTAATAAATCACGCTGACATGTCTTCTGCTAATGCTGCCTGCGACCTCTTCCAATCGTCAAAGGGTGATTAATTATTGGACCAAATGACTTTGTTCTCTTCAACAAACTCCTCAAAGCTCTTTGGAGCATGACCCGTTACTTTTTCGATAGCATCGCTTGTTGCCATTTCCGAGTTTTTAGATGCTGAGAGTTCTAGTCGCGTCAAGAACCGAGCAAAGTAGTCCGACAGACCAGCTTGGACCAAGCCTTGAATCCGGCTTGCTTCGTCGAGCTTGACATGCTCGATTCTACGCCCGAGGACTTTGGAGAGTTTCTCGGCAATCTATAAATGTATTTCTCGTCAGTACAAACCTTTTTAAGAGAGGATCGGTTATAGGTAGTGTGGTCGCACCAGATCATAAGTCAGGTTCTCAGGTCCAAGAACCTTGAAGTCGCAATTGTAGGACTTTTCCACTGTCAAAGCGTGTACAGCTACTTTGGCAATATCATCAGCGCTAACAAATGGAATCTTTCCGTCCTGGGTAGCGGTAAAGATTTTGTTGGACTTGCTGATGGTAAATGCGCTACCCGGCTCAAGCAGATTCTCTGAATAAAAGTTACTGTCAGCGAAAGTCGAATGTAAAAGATTTGCGCATACCCATGAACCAAGACGGGCGAAGTACACAATACTCAACACCAGACTGGATAAAATGCTCCCAAACTCTTCCCATGCCGTCTTTGCCAATCGCAGCCGACATGCCAGCGCATAAAACGAATCGCTTGACGCCGTGGTTCTCGGCCGCAAAATCCACGAACTTGTTCATGGAAACCCAAGGTTCACTGATCCGAGGTTCCATTAGGTAGACGGCTTCGATATGCGTATCACGGCTGAAGGGCTCTCTCCAGGTCGACTCATCGCCCATATCAAATTTGATCAAAGGTTTCTCACGGTCATGCGACGCAGCATGAGATAGAGGACCTTGGCGCGAACCTAGCAGGAAGGGTTTCTTGTCAGCGGCCAACAGCGCCGCAATGCGTGTGGCCGTTTTGCCGCTACCGCCCGTGAGGAGAATCGTCATGTTGGATAGAGAGGATCTTCGTTACTTGTAAAGCTTGTATGGAGGATATAATTTTGATAAAAATCTTTGATGGAGAATATCAAGAAGAAGACGGAATATGAACAAGAAATGAAACAATCGCAATATGCCGCCTACGTTATAATTATACTGCGCCTTTACTAGCACAGCACTTGAAGTCATCTTTCAAAAAACATTATAATCAATCATCAGCTTCTCCGTATTGTATGAAGTTCCATCATACTATGGTAGACTCGGTTATCTCCACCAGTCACGTCCGAGGCGATCGATCCGAGAGGCTATAGATACTCCATATTTACCCTAAAATCTAGACGCGGCGATAGTCGGATTTTGGGCCGAGACAGGCCGCAGAACTTCGGATCTCAGTCGGCCGACCGGATCCGAAGCTAATGGGTGGTGTAGGATTCTTAGTGAGCCGCATAGGTATTGAGCGTCTTCATGATAGCGCACCTTCACACAGACTAGCATATCATTAGTGCTGTATATCGAAACAATTTTACAATACAATACCTCTGCCACCAAGACAACTACAGAGTACCTTGTTTTCACTCCGAACGTGTATTCCTGCTATATGGTGAACAACGTTGCAAACAATTCTTTCCCGTTGGAACACCTATACACGGGAAGGGCTCTAATATGGATGGGAAACATGGCAATCTCCGCATGGCGAACCTTTGGTTTTAATCAAGTAAAGCTCCTTCAGATCGGTGTCCAGGTTACCATACTCGCAACGACAGGCAATACTTCAACCTATCATGATTTTGGCATCTACCTGCGAGCTCTGGGACCAGGGCTGAGGTTGGACCTTCAAAGTGAATGAGAAGAACCTCACGACTACTTACACAAGCACAATACCAGGGTACACCTATGTGCCGAGCACATGCGTCACATTCACGGGCAATGAAACGGTCACTAGTAGTAGTTGAATCAGTAATATGAGCAGGATTGGGACTAAATTGTAGTTTCACGATTTCTGGTCATGAGCACCATTGATACGTTTCGCCCATGATCCTAACGACTATTTCACTTGACGCATAGCAGCATCATGCCATGACAAGGAAGTCTTGCAGAATCTTTTGATTTGTTGAGATCGGGAGAAGGTTATGAGTTGGTAGTACATTGAACGATTAGTCTCGGTGCTACCTTTTGAAATAAAAGATAGCACATTTTACTGGCGAATTTATCCGCTCATCCAAGCACGGCTCTTTGTCCTTGTCAAGAAACCTGAATGCCGGGCGCTTCTGGATGCCATTGTGAACATATTTCCTGTCCGACGTCGAGTTTACTCGGACATTTGGAGTGGAAAGCTTCGCCAGTCATTCCACCACTGTGGCTTATTCATGTCTGGCTGCCACAACTCCTCAAACGCCGTCTTGAATGTTTTCCGCGAGTCATGTTGCCACTCATCGTGCTCTGGCCAATCCTCCTTGGCCGCCCTCTGCGCCCGCTCCTCATCTAATCCAGTGACCACGATACCGGAAGCATTTTGAGACGGTGGCGATGCGGCTTGAGACAAAACCTCGCCGTCTTTGTCATCGTGTGACTCCTCTCGTCTCTCTACCACCCAGCTCCGCGTGAAGAGATCGAGAAGACCGTCAAAGTCGGGTTCCTCGTAGCCCGGTGTGGCGAAGCGGCCTATTTCACGTCGAACGTCCAGGCGAAGCCAGCGCAAGTTGGAGAAACTCGTGGTGGCAGCGCTCCTCGTGCTCCTTGCATTGCCTTCGTCGCTGATTACATTGAAGATGGACCGCGCGAGGGTCCCATCAATTGCACAGTCGACGATCGCGTCCTTTAGGTGGGGAAGTGTCACGGCCGCGTTCTCCCAGCTCTGGTACATGTCTTCCTCGGGGACATCGTCGGAGGCGTTTTCGTCTGGTCCGACCCAGAAGCAGAGATGGAGCCAGGCGCGTTTCAAGCGGCCAAGTTGCGAGAGGGCACGGTAGAGGGCGACCTCGCGGGCGTCGCCGTGGCTTCTGGAGACGGGAATCTCAATCTCTGTCAGATATGGGCAGAACTCTGCGATGCGCTGCACCTCCGCCGCCGTCATCCTGAGGAGCTCAGAAGGCTTGCGCTCGTCATTCTCGGAAAAAAGGCCACGTGAATCGAGGTGCAGGGAGCGAAGCGTCTTTCCGTGGCGTCGTAGTATGATGTTGAATGAGTTATTGCCCACGAAGCCTTCCAAGCACAGGTGTTTCAATGGTCCAATATTCTCTAGAATGTCATTGAGCGCACCTAGATGTTCCCCCCTAGGGCCCATTTGCTGCAGGCAAAGGCTGGTCAGGTTGCAGAACTCGCCGGCTCGCGCTTGGGCAGCCAGCGTGGGAAGCGGCAGGCTCTGGCTGGCGGTTTTTCTGAGCGTCAGATGACTCAACTTGGTCAAATCCGTTCTTTCTGAATATTGCAGCATTTCCTCGTCCGTTACTGCCTGCCGATAGACCAAACTACGAAGTGCGCCTCTTGTCTTCTCCCCCGTCCCTCGGCTTGCATCTTCACAATTACGAGTATCATGTCCGTCTCCTGAGCCGGAAGCAAGATCGGGATGAAATCCAGCCCAAGGCGGTCTGCCCCCATATCTTGCTTCCAGCAATCCGAGGGCTGCTGAAGCTGGCCCGGGTCTGAATGTCACGTGCTGAAGACTCGGCGCTACCCCGGCAACCATGTCCATCACGGCTGGCCACAGGAAGCCGAGGTTGCCCTTGTGGTCAGAACTATTGCAATAAGCAACAGCAGTACAAAGATTGGGTGATGTCACCAGCGCCCAATCTTGGCTGCTAATAGGCTGCGGTACCTGATCGCGATGCATCCATAGACTACCGAGCTGAAACCTATGCATATGAAGTCTGCACTGTGGGAATTGTGTCGCAAGCATGTCGACGACACGTGACGGGATCTGAGAAGGTGCCCAGACGAGGTCTTGCAAGACAGTCACCCTTGAAAGAAAGGTCGGCAGGAGATGCACGAGATTTGTGTCGTTGTCGCGCAAATCAAAGGCGCTTGGCGTGTCGCCGTCGCGCAAATAAAGGTGGCTTGATGTGTCATCATCGCCCAAATCACCGTCGCCTAGATCATTGTGGCCCAAATCATCGTGGCCCAAATCATCGTGGCCCAAATCATCGTGGCCCGAATCATCGTGGCCAAAATCATCGTGGCCAAAATCACCGTGGCCAAAATCACCGTGGCCAAAATCACCGTGGCCAAAATCACCGTGGCCAAAATCACCGTGGCCAAAATCACCGTGGCCAAAATCATCGTCGTCCAAACCAAAGTTGTTTGTTATTTTCGAGGGCTTCAGGAAGTAGTCGACTTCAAAATCATGCCGAGAATCCCATTCGATAACCGGGTCCTGTTTCCTGGCCTCTTCGTCGGGTCCGCAAGTTACTCGGAGGCGGCGGATATGTCGCCAGCCGTCGTATTTATCGAGCAACTCAACCCAGCGCTGAATATGGTGTTGCTGGCGAAATCCGAAAGGAGCCACGCCGTCGGCACACGGATCGGCGGCCGATAACCATAGTTGGATCTGGCGGAACCGTTGTGGTTTGGCTGCCGTCCAGCAGGTCTTGCTACACAGCGCGAAGGCATACAGATCTACTCCTGCTCCCTTATCGCTGTACGCGTCATCATCATCGTGGGCAACGATAAACTCGCAAATGAGCTCGAGTAGGTGCAATGGCAGGTTATCCAAAGCCTTGGGCATCGTGTTGTTGTAATAAGACTGGATCGAGAAACAAACGGTTCAGGACAGGATATATACGGATATTATTCGAGTAAAAAAGCAGACGACGTCCCAGCCACATATGCAACTTTTTAGTGGCCGCCGCCAAGAAATACCTAGTAGCGTGGAGTCGGGAAATATGTAGCAATGCGGGGTTAGCTAAAAACTCAAAGTATGGCTTTTTTATTTATTTATTTTAGTTTTTAAATCAGATTTGATTTTCGTAGATACTGTTAAATTGGAAATATTTTGATTAGATGGTTATTGAAATAATATTATTTCAATAAAATCATCTATAAATCGGTCTCTAATTATGAAGTTACTGTCGAAGGAGCATACAGGTTGCACATGTAGTTTATTTTGGTAAATTTTAGACTGAACGCTCGATCGAGGAAGTGTTGGTGAACGCAACACTGGAAGGGGGTATATGGAGTGTTAGGTTCGATTCCTAATGGCGCTAGTCACTGGGGTGTCCATGAAGTTATTCTTTTCTGGAAGTGCTTGTTATAGTTCCCTAGAGCCTTCCGCTCTTTAAAACCATGGCATGCCCATCTTGAGTGCTTCAGTCCCCGTGACTATCAAACCTACGTATTGCCCAAACTAAAGGCTATCTCGTTTCTTACCCTAGAAACGTCCGCAGCCTTGGAAATATCACACCGCGGCGCAAACATATATACATTACGTGATCGAAGCTCCGTGATAAGTTTGATGGCGGATTCCGAGATACAACCCGATTGAGTGAGGACGAGGCAGCGCCCCCTCTAAGGTCGTACCAAGATTGCGATATATAGAATTTCCCTTCTCCTATACCGTCATATTAAATACTAGTATTGTAATTCCATTTGTAACTAATTGCGCCTGGATCTAATATAAAGCTACGCACATAAAATTCGCGGCATCCTAAGATAGGAGTTCGACTCGGCTCTTATATTGCTGTCACATACATATGTTACACCCAGAGCCGTGTCCATTGGTCTGAAGCAGATGGTCACTGGCAAGAAAGTAGGCCTTTGACACTTATCGGGCCGCATCCGATGCTTGTGAAATGGATTGGATTTGCCCTGATCTCTCTGAGTTCGCACTGCTGCAGTATCAATCCAAGCAGTAAGCTGACTGAATTTGATGATCTTATATTGACCAGCTCACTCAAAGAAGCTTGATTTGAGAATAAACAATTGTTCTTTGATAAAGGTGAAACTTGGTCTCGGAGCATCGTGAACATGCCGCGTGACCCCGTTTAACATTACCAATTCCGGCAGGTTTGGCCCTGAAGAAAAGTGGAGGGGCGCCATTATCTCCGGCCCCAGGGCCATCGGTCCGGCTCAGCGCCGTCAATAACGCCATCGCTTCACTTCTTACCAATCCAAAACATGCATTGACGTCCTTTCATCTTCATTCCTTTGGGTCTTGTGCAGAGCGCTTGTGGGAAACGGTCTTCCCAAAGGAGAGCACCGTGATATTTTTGGGAGTTGTGACGGCTGTGGTCGTTCTTGGCGCTTAGTGAGCGCATTCCACCATATCTCGGGAGGCTTTCCGGAAGCTTGTACCTATCTATATCTCCGACGACAATGTCACCCGACAGAGGCAGCGAAGCCGATGCGCCCTCGCAACGGCCTCATCATGCCACCGATGGAATGCGTCTGCTGCCCGAGGGTCGGCACTTTACGGTGCGCGGCGTCGCCGTCGGACTTCTGGTTGGCCTCGTCATCTGCTTCTCCAACATGTACTTTGGCCTGCAGACGGGCTGGGTCTCCATGATGACCATGCCGGCGAGTCTGCTGGGCTTCGGTATCTTCCGCACCCTGGCGCCGCATCTCAAGTTCCCGTTTAGCCCGGTTGAGAACGTCCTGGTTCAGTCCGTTGCCGGCGGCATGGCTATCATGCCACTCGGCTGCGGCTTTGTCGGCGTGGTGAGTCCCGAGTGCCTTTACCTGAACCGCGAGTGAGGTGCTAACATGTTCTCTCCTTTACCTAGTTGCCGGCTATGGAGTATCTGCTCAGCTCGGAGGAGCAAGGGCCCATATCCTTGAGCCTATGGAAGCTCATGGTCTGGTCACTGGGATTGTGTTACTTCGGCGTCGTCTTTGCCGTCCCTCTGTGAGTCGCTCATCTTGTAGAGGCCTACGCCAGAAGTACTAAACATTACGTCAAAACAAGCCGGCGCCAAGTCATCATCAGGGAGAAACTCAAGTTTCCGAGCGGCTTCAGCACAGCCGTGCTTATTGGTGTGCTTCACGGGAAGAACCAGCCCAAGGGCGGCATGGTGCTGGATCCGTCCAGGGCGGACACCTTCGGCAGCCTCGCGCTGGAGAACCGACCTCTTCTCGAGTCCGAGGATGCCAACGACGGTAATGAGACAACTCCAGCCCCAGCTACGACAGCTGATGAAGAATCGCTGGCACAGCCGTACAGCTGGGGGGCAAACATCAAGTTGCTTCTCATTACTTTTGGCATCTCGGGGTTTTACACACTTTGTACGTACTTTTTCCCCGTGCTGCGGAGTCTGCCTATTTTTGGCACTTATGCCGCCAGTACCTGGCTCTGGGATCTCAACCCGAGCCTTGCCTATGTCGGTCAAGGAATAATCATGGGGCCGGCAACAACGTTGCATATGCTGTTGGGGGCGGTGGTTGGCTGGGGCATTCTGTCACCGCTTGCCAAACACATGGGATGGGCACCCGGCCCCGTGAGCGACTGGGAGACCGGCAGTAAGGGCTGGATTGTGTGGGTTTCCCTGGCCATCATGCTCGCAGACTCCGTTGTTAGCTTGAGCTACATTGCCTTCCGGCCGTTGGTCCAAAACGCACCCTCTTACGTAGCGTCTGTCCGGCAGAAGCTTCAGCACGGTTCTGTCAAGGGTCTCTTCCGTTCTCAGTCGACTGGCTACACAGCTGTGAGAATGAGCGAGGATGACCCAAGAGACTCTACCGCCGGACGCAATTCGCTCTCGCAGCTGCTTCCAAACCCCACGTTCCAGCAGGACGACGACCATGAGCTGAGAGAATGGGATCAAGATGATGCGCCGCCCGAGCAACTTGTTGGCAGCAAAACCGTGAGCATTGGACTGGTCCTCTCCATCCTCATCTGTGTGGCCAGCATTCACATCACGTTTGGCGACCTTGTGCCTCTCTACGCAAACATCATTGCGATTCTAATGGCCCTCGTGCTGAGCATCATGGGCGTGAGGGCGCTCGGAGAGACGGATCTGAACCCCGTATCCGGAATCAGCAAGCTGGCGCAGCTGTTCTTTGCCCTTATAATACCGCAATCAAACAAGGCCAGCGTGCTTATCAATTTGGTCGCCGGCGCGGTCTCGGAAGCCGGAGCCTTACAGGCCGGCGATCTCATGCAGGACCTCAAGACGGGGCATCTCCTAGGTGCGGCACCGAATGCGCAGTTCTGGGGCCAGGTCATTGGCGCCACGGTGGGCGCCGTCGTAAGCGCCTTGATCTACCGTCTCTACACGGCCGTGTACCAGGTCCCCGGAGACCTCTTTCAGGTGCCCACGGCGTACGTATGGATCTTCACGGCACGTCTCGTTACGGGACAAGGTCTGCCGCCTCTGGCTCGGGAATGGGCCATTGGCGCGGCCGTCCTCTTTGCCTTTTTGACTGCCCTGCGCACCAAGGGCCTGGGCAAGTCGTGGCAGGTATACGTCCCAGGCGGTATCGCTGTGGCTATCGGTATGTTCAATTCAAAGCTCTCCTTGACACAGGAGTACGCGTGGTGGCGTGGCTAATATGGTTCCCTTTCAAGGCATGTACAACGTCCCGTCCTTTACTCTCGCTCGGACTATTGGCGGCCTGGTGAGCTGGTACTGGAGACAGCATCTGAAGAGGGAGGACACGCCATTGATCGTGTTGGCTTCTGTAAGTATCCCCAAAAGGGCCCCCAAAGATCCCACACACCAAGTGACGCGTTCATCCCGACTAATTCATCACCAATAGGGATTCGTTCTCGGAGAAGGCTTTCTGAGCATCGTCAACCTTATCCTGCAGAGCGCTCGGGTCCCACATTTATAGGAAGGACTACCTATGGTTGGATCTTACCAAAAGTTACAGATGTCAGAGAATAACCAAAACTCACTGGATAGCCAAGTACGATATAGTAGCTCTGGATTTTTTTTGCTCGTCGCCATCTGTATCATTGAATTTCATGCGTTACTCCCAAGTCCGCAGAACAGAGATAAAGATCCGAACCCTAGGCAAAGATGAAAACGTGTTTTCCATATCACCAGTACGAAAAATTGTGATACCAGTTTGGCTTCTGTTGATTTGTACAGTGCCGCTTGCCGTTGCGGCCATCTCGACCAACAGATACTTCAAACACGGGAAACTAGTCTTCACTAGCTGAGTATATCGTCACTCGATTCGTATGATCAACGACGTATCCAAATGATTGGGACTGTAAGCAAGGGTTGGGGAATCACAGTGAACTTGATGTTGAGACATGATCAATTTAATATCGAAATACAGTCTTTTATGTATTAACGAATAGTCATCTGAGGCAGTGATAGAACTGCGTACTATGAACAGTGAAGACACTTGGAAAAAAATTGTAAGTGTTCTTGTCAACATTCATCATTGTCAGTCGTGACCCAAATAAGCAATAACTCCGGAGGTATCTTGTCGAGCAGTGCGTTGCGCCTCAAAAATTCCGATAAGTGTGGCCGCCCATATATACATGTGTGGCCACATCCGCCATGTTGTCAAGGCGGCCTGCCTTTCATAAAACTCCACCAACCAATTATGCGAGATCCCTCTTTTTTTTGCGGACTTGATGTCCAATCCGACATATGCAAAATACAGACATAAAAACATGAAAACACGAGTCGACTCTGTCACTCGCGTTTTCATGAACTCAGAAGCTCGTTGCCCTGAGTGAGCTCCTCGAGCCAGTCAGCAGCCATTTGCAGGACTGTGCTCTTGCTATAGCCACCGTTCTTCAGATTTGGCACAATCTCTTGAAGATTTTCAAAGCCGTCTTTGATGATATGTCTCCTTCGTTGTTCGGACTTGATGTGGTTGCGTCGCTGAAGTATTTGTTAGTAAAAGTTGGCTCTTGTGGAGAATAATGAGTAGGGACTCGGCATACCTTGGCTTCCTCGCTGAGGTTCTCTCGAGGTGGCTTTGCCCCATTGACAGCAGACTTGCGCCTCCTCTTGCCTGGCGCAGCGCTTGACGAAGAAGCTTCGCTAGTTTCGTTCAGGTTATCTTTCGATTTGCGTTTTCTGGCGGGTGCTTTCGATGAAGACGCTGTGACTTCTTCATCCTCGTCATTTCCCTCGTCACTCTTCCTACGTTTCTTGGATGGGCCTTCTTCCCGGGAAATCGCCGGTTGGCCGTTTGCTTTATTGCCACGTGGAGAGCTGCTGCCACTACCCAGAGGACTTGGAGGTTGGGTCGTGGTCGCACTGTTGATAGGTTGAAAAATTTCGAGGTACTTCATTCGCTCACCCTCCAGAGTCTGCGTCGTTTCTCTCTGAGATGGAGGGACGAAATTCCTCCCAAAGTTTCTGTCCGACCCCCAGCGCACATCCTCGGGAACCTGCTGTGCTACTCGATGGCTACTTGGACCGTGTGGGTTGCCAAAGGCCATGTCGGCGAAGAGGTGCTCGTCGCGGTGCTCCGTAACGGGTGATTGAACGGGGGCCGCACGGACGGGGCTGGTCCGCCCTGTGTATTGTCCCTGTGTTCGTAGCAGAGGGTGAGCTGTCGTACGTGCTGGTGTCTGTGAAGGCAGCATAGCGCTGCGAGCCATAGCATTGGCTCGTGGGGGCAGCCCGTTTTGAAGTCCCGCCAAGACAGCAGCTGCGCTTGTTGGCGAAGTTTGACTATGTTGAGGGGGGTGAGGAGTTCGAATGTGATGTCGTGGTGGCTGCATCATTTGCGGTGCGGCCATGGTTGGAAACTGGATAGAGTCGAACAGACTATCGGAAGATATATGGGAGGTAAAATCGAACATGGTCGGGGAGAAGTTCGTTGTTTGGTGGCCGAAGGAGGTAGCGGTGCCCATAAACTGCGGTGGTAATTGCTGCCATGCATCGCTAAAGTTGAGGCCCTCTCCGAAAGACATGTCCATGAGAGGACCGCCAGACTTTAGTTGCTCGAGAAGATGGTTGAGGCTCTGCGATTCCTCAAAGGAAAGGAGGGCCGGACCGGGCGCTGGTTCCGGTGGTTCGAAGAAGAGATCATCTCCCCTACTGACATCTATACATTCGCGACGGTCAGCATCATCATCGTGACTGGAATACACTCTGCTATCCTTTCAAGACTTACAACCAAACGGCATGCCAGCGCCCTGGGCTGGCTGTGACGACCCCATTCTGGGACGCTGTACCGCGAGCATGGGTGCTTCTCGAGAAAAGGTGAATGAAGTAGAGCTTGGAGGGGGCGAAGCGTATAGTACGCTTGCGAAAGCCAGGCACGATATTGCGTCGTTGTGGTCGCGCGCAAGGCTCTGGCACACTATGAACGATTGGCGGCAGTGCATTCACGTCGCGGCCGGCGGATGGGTGGGCGGCGGTGAGTGTCCGGCGCGGGCTGTTAGCTCGAGGCTGTTGACTTCCGGTAAGATGTAGTAGTAGTGAGGCCGTGTAGTGGATGTTGATCCGGAGTATAGTTAGCTAATGTGATGGTGGTGGTGGTGCTGGTGGTGGTCGAGGCAGACAGCGCGAGTCGTGGATGGAGTGTTAGTGCTCGTGTCAGTCGAGTTCGAATTCGAGTCGAGAGTTTGGAGTTCTAGTTGAGCTGCATATAGTCGCCGCTTGGTCAACGACGAGCAGGCCTCGAGAGATTATATCAGTCTTCTCAAAGTTGTCTTCCTGGAGGGCATGGCATGGTGTCAAGTCGGGTCGTGTCGAAGCCGCATCACGGGCGTGTGCCCGTTTAGGAAGGGAAACGGAGGTGTGGTTAGAAACTACTGCAGCACGTTGGGCTCAAGCATTATAGTCGGCTGTGTTATAGAGGAAGGCATCTGGAGGCGAGCAAGACGGCCGTCAGTGGGACAGGGTTGGAAACATGGAAACATAGGACGGATAAGCATCGAGTTGAGCCATCCCAGGTACGCTCTCCTCAAGCGGAAGTTGGGAGTGAGTTGTGTTCTGAAGAGTCCCGAGACTGACTGCACCCAGGGCGCAAAGGGTGTGTGGGGAGGTGGTGAGAGTGACGGGGAGTAACGAACTCGAGGCCATTCGCTGGAAAGGAAACGACCGAGGATCCCTGTTCGGCTCGGCGCTCCTGGTGGTCACCTGCAGCCAGCAGCAGCAACAGGCGGCGGCGGCGGCGCTGGTGATTACGGGGTGCCTTTTTTTTTTTTTTTTGGGCTTGCTTGCTTGCTTGCTTGCTGCTTCTCGCGCTCTCTTTCTCCTTCTCCTCTCCTCTTTATTTGCTTGCTGGGTATTTGTCTGTGCTCTGCCTGCTGCTGCTTAACAGGATGCAGAAGCATGGGAGCAGAAGCACCTAGCCGGGCAAAAACCATGATTTCCCCCCCAAAGGTCTTAGCCTCGACATGGTCTGTATATTCGCTTATCGGGGGCCAAATGCAGGTATAGGCGTAGTGTGTGCAGGGAGATGAGCTACCATGGCACGTATCATTGGCTATCTTTCCCAGAACACCCAGTCAGTGACCTACAGAACCAGTCTGTGGTTTGTCTGCCTTCCATGGTCTACTACCGTGTACGTTTGGAGTTGTTCAATTGCTAAAATCGAGTCTACCTCTTGAAGGGCAAGAAGGCGTCTTCCTGATCTCATGGATGATGCAACAGTTTCGGAATATGCCTCGTCTCTTGAAGAAAGAGTGACCTCATGCTGTAATCTTCTTTCTACTTGGAGATCAGATCCAGTCCAGCATATCTAGCATTAAACCGACTCACTGACCGTACATGATCGCGTCTTGCCAGCTGCAGAAGATGTGCATTAGCTGGCTGCTGCTCTCGCTCGCTACAGCGCCTGAAGATCTATTCCCTAGCGGGCACACGCTGCGAGATCACTGGGGGGGTGTTATAGACAAGCGGCCGGCAGGTATTGGGCAGAAGAGAAGCTCGCTAACATGATCGACAGCATACCTTAATGTACTCTGAGCCTAGAGGCTCAGACCTAATCTACATAACGTACAGTGCAGTGTGCGATATCCATGATGAGGTCTGGGCAAACCTGGGCAAGGTTCCCAGCCGAGGGGAAGGGTCTAGATGCATATTTCTGCCCCAGATATGTACGTATATGTGCACTATCCCTCGCTCCCCCTCCACCAAAGAAAATGAGAACTGCTGGCTGCTGCTTCTGTGCAGCTAACCTGGTATACCTTAGTCCGCTTTGGCCTTACATTAGTCGGCATGGCCCCCGTTCGCCCCGCTGGGTAGGCTTTGGCTTTTGCTGGGCTCCCGTCCATCACTTTTCGGCCGTTCTCTACCTAGGACCATACAGAAGAGCACTTTGGCAGCGGCAGGTTGGGGGATTTCACATGTCAGACGAAAAGGCAGCGCAGAAAATCGAGAGCAAAACAAAAATCACAGCAGTAGACATCGTCATAGCAGTGATGGAAAAACCCGCCGCCGTCGCCTTTTTGGCTGCCAGCACTACTCATGATTTCCCGCCCATGGAGTCACTAATGAATACAGTAGTTTGATTAAGCTACACAGTAGGTGTTCGTTTTCTGATGCACGGTTGGTTGACCCCATCTATCCGCTTCGTTCGGCGACGAACCAGAACATCTCAAGTTCGTCATCCGGCCGCCGACGTCAATTGAGTTGACGGCTGTCAGTAAGTAGTGGTGACGAGAAGCCAAAAAACCATGTTTCGAGCCTGTTCAACTTCCCGTTTCTCACTCTCCAACTGCCCCAATAAGTCCGATGCATTAAGCTGTCGTTACCCACACCTACAAGATAAGGGTGCCAAATTCCCTTAATGCCAATTTCTCGCTACTGGGTTCGTCGGAGCTTAAAGGGGTGTCGCAGCATGATTTATGCGAGCACCGTGTTGCATTGCCCTTTGACCAGAACGGAAGGCCAGAAGACTGCCCACGTTTTCTTAGACGATCCCGCTTCCCGCCTACAACTCCATCAGAAACGTGTCTTGGGGTATCAGTTTGCGTCGATTCGAGAGGTGATCCGATGAACGAGTTACTGAATTGACCAGACTGGAGTGGGTGAATTGAGTCGAAAGGATTACCTGCCCTGGTATGATCTAAAGTAGTTAACAAACTACATACCCTACTATTCTCGCTGCTCCATGACAACATACCATGTCCTTTGCAGCGCGCGCAGAGAGCATCTTTGGTAGCATTCGATAAGGTTCATCAGATAATCGAATCGTCCAACCACCCCCAGCCTGACTTGACTGACGTGCAACTGGGGAATCGTTGTCGCCGATCCAGACTGACATTCCAAATTCACCATAGTATCGCACTAGAAGCGCTTCTATCTGCCGACAAGCTACTACTATACCCAGGTAGCCACTCTACCTAGACGTGAACCAGGTATACACATCCTGGGAGAAGAGAAGGACAATACGGCTCCCGGTGGAAGTCGGTCGTTGCGCGCATTACCGGCGCCGTTGGGTTTGCTCCAAGTGCGTACTGCTGGTAGCAGTAATAGTAGTAGAGTAGGTAAGCCGTTAGTTAGCACTAACTGCCATCAACCCCCAACGGTGATCATTCAAGCATCCATCTCCACCTCCAAACAACCTCACGCGCCGCTGTCCCTTTTGAGGACAACGACGGTCGTTTAATTGACCGCATTGTGTTTCTCTCTCCATCTTCTGTGCCTGCATTTCGGCTCTGTTTACCATCTTGGACTGATTGGCACCGTTCTGGAAGCCTTCGCTGGACTCCCACCCAACTCAGCCTCCCGGGCTCTTGTCCGTATCTTTTCACACCATCCCGCGCACCACTTTGTCTCGGAGTCTGCCGTACTCGCGTACCTGAATCTACTGCACATCCGGCGCATCAAACGCGCGCATCACCTTCGGCGCCTGCCTCTTTCTGTCACAGACCACCCCCATTTGACCGTCTCTCTGCAGTACGCTCTCGTTGTCCTCCGAGATTTGGGTCATGCTGGGGATGGCTTCAATCTCCACGAAACATAGGTACTGCTGTTCGGAAATTCATTCCTTTTTACCAGCGCGGTCTATCGTCTCTTTCTAGAATTGTTTGTATGTATGCTTCCGAGCGCCATCTACCGAAGCAGACCTAGGTACGATCGTTCAAGTCGGGCTACATCCCTTGGCCCCTATATTCCGCGGGCGACATTTCTGGCCCGAGGCCCGAAAACGGCCTTAAGACCGTGAGCAAGCATTTCGGCAGTGATTTCCTGTTCCTTGCTTGCGGACAAGACAAGACCCCATTCTTGCGGCAGTATTTGTACTCTCGGCCGGCAGACACAAAACTGCTTGCTCGGCTTTTGCGAGGAGGCCTGGACCTCTGAGCAAGTTGGGTTGCAGTTATGACATCTCCATTGCAACCTCGGCCTTCCACTGCGAGGCAGAGGTGGGACAAGGATGTACCAACCCTTTTGCGACCTCTTGTTCGAGCTTACATACTCGGATATGCGACGACCGTCACGCCTCGCCTCATCACCTTGGTTCTGCGGCAGTATGTCACGACCAAGAAGGCGAGGAAGGCCAGGGGCAGCAGCGGCGCTGACAGTAGTGGTCCCTCCTCCTCACAACAACCTGCCCTCTCGACACCCCTGCTACACATCCTCCGCGGGGGCTTGGAGCTGCAGCGCTTCCCAACCTTTTGTGCACTCCTGGTAGGAGGATCGTCACTTCTAGAAGTAAGTGAGACTATCTTATCGTCGTTGTGTACTTTCCTCTGATCTTCTCAAACGCTGACTGAAACTAAGTTTCCTCTTTCCGCAATCATCTCTAGACTAGCATCTCGTCTAAAGCCCCTGGCACGACAAAGGTGAGTTGGCAGGTCGATAATTGATGCCCTGGCTGGTTTCATCATTTCAAATAAACATTTTCTCACTGCAAATTCTGACTCTTGTTGAATGCCCCAGACTTGCGAGGTTCTTGTCGGCTTTTTGTGCTGCCTGGTATAGTCTCAAGTTACTTCAGTCGAAACATAGTGACGCATTCACAGAAAGGGCAACTGTTCAATCTGATGATGCACAGCCACACCGACTCGTCGAAGGTGAGACGATTCACTATGCTGGCCGCACTCTAGACTTGACTTTGTTTGCACTTACACGAGCGCTCGATGTGATCGTGGGCGAACTATGGGATCGTAGACACCGGACGAAGCGTCGGCCGTGGGCACAGGTAGGTGGATGACGAGGAGAATTCCAGACTTTCCAAGTTCTTCGTAGCACTAAACTTGCGACAGCTCGATACTGCCATCTCGAAACTAACCGATCCATCCATCTTTGCCCTGTCATGTGGCTTTATCATGTGGTCTTGGTTCTACTATCCATCGAGGCTACCGCGGGCCTATTCGCAATGGATTTCCACGGCTGCCGCGGTCGATGCTCGTCTCATTGAGGCTCTGCGTCGCTGTCGGAAAGGCGAGATCCGCTACGGTGAGGACACTGGCCAGGCGCCTCTCCTCGAGGCCATGGCTAGGGACTATGGTTGGCCTGTCGAATGGGGAGACCCAGCCAAGACGGCGCCGTACCCTTGCGAGATGGTACACATGGGATGTGGACCTAGCTGCGAGTATCACTTCATCTCACGCTTTGCCCGTTCATTCAAGTGGTCAATGACTACATATCTTCCCTTGAATCTGTTGCTCGTAGCGCGCAGTCCCCGGCTCAAGGCCTTTAAGAAGGCATTGGTATCTGCCAGTCGTTCTTCCGCCTTTCTAGCGGCCTTCATCACGCTTTTCTTTTATGGCGTGTGCTTGGCAAGGACGCGAGTTGGTCCGCACCTGATTGGGAAGGATGCTGCTTCGCGGACCAAGATCGATGCTGGAATATGCGTCGGGACTGGCTGCTTCCTTTGCGGGTGGAGTATATTGCTCGAGGCAGCGGGAAGGCGAAAAGACATTGCTCTTTTCGTGGCGCCGCGAGCCATGGCTACCTTGCTGCCCAGGCGTTATCATCTGGATAAACAGTGGCGTGAGACCCTTGTATTCTCATTGAGCACAGCAGTTGTGTTTACATGTGTACTTGAAAACCAGACCAGAGTGCGAGGTGTGCTTGGCAAGGTTTTGGCTACTGTTCTAGTACCCTAGCAGATCATGGAAGGGTAGGCGGAAAATAATTGTACTCTGATGTATATTCAAAATAGGTATTAGCTGGGACAGTGGGTCCTTAATCTCTTGTATCATTATATCCCAAGAACATAATTACTAGCATATAGTGCTATTTTTGCACAAGTATATAATATTTTCATGCAGTCATAATGCGCTTATACTGTATAAATCGGTTGCTCGAATAATACAAAAATGCCAGTCGTGGAATAACGCCGTAGCAATGCTTGAATCTAAATAACCGAATGCTCTTGTTGCATTCGCCACCTTCATTAATTTTACTGCCTATCTGGCAACTAGTAGTTATGTGTGCGGTCCACTATGCTGACCTCACCCAGCAGCAGACGCCCAGTACAAAGACGCAAACAAGTGCATCGCTTCGTACCGTGCTAAAGATCTCTCCATAGCGCAGCGCATGCCTGACGCCACTGCGGAGGTTACCCGGCAGGAAGCCAGATATGGTCCAAACGATACCAGTGGGTGGCGCCCTATTTTTGTCGAGAAAGTAGCGCGTAGTCAAGAGCACGGCCTCAATCGAGCTAAAGACGTAGAAGAAGTATGCGCGGGTCTGCTCGATACTCCTCGCGGCTTCATCCGTTGTGGCGAAGCTAGCAAATTCGCCGTCCTTTTCGGACGTAGCCGTTCCCGAGTTCGCCATCGAGAGCGTGTCAAAGTCTCGTTCAGCCTTGGCGCCGGTAAAGGTAGTGCTCAGTGCAATGTAGAGACCGAGGCCCAGCGCGAAGACGGCGTGAAGAATTCGCCATACATTGGCCGACTTGTCCGTCACGGCCGCCGCCTGCTGCGCCTGTAAGCCCTCCGGGCCACCAGCCGCTCCGCCAAAGAGACCCTCGAGACCAGTCCCTGCGAAAGGGTTGCCACCGCCTGGTCCGCCGGCGCCGGCGCCGCCCATCAGCTGCTGCATCATCTTCATCATGGGATCGTCTGCGAGCCCCTCCATGCCTTCCATACCTGGCGGCATGCCGCCACCAGGGGCAAGAAAAGGATTTCCGCCAGGCGGTGGTGTACCTGCGCCACCAGCACCAGGACCCTCGAAGCCCAGCATCATCTGCCGTAGCTGGGCATCGGACAACGATGGCTCGGCGGGGCGCGACCTCTGCTGCGGGGTATAGAAGTGCTGTGAGATATCGACCTCTTCGGGGTCGTCATGGCTGCCCTGGTCCCTGGAAGGTTGCGAAGGCGACGATGACGGGGGAGCTGTGGCTGTAGACTGTGGTGGGGTGGTGGTGGTGGTGGTGGTGGTAGTCGCCTCAGGCGATGGTGCTGGTGCTGCATCTAGAGGGCCAGCAGTTGCGAAAATTAGCTTGGGCTGTCTTCTCTCTTCTTTGCCGCCATCAATGACGATTGTCAGGGCGTGTCCATACCTCGCTGAAAGCCACCGCCGAGGCCTGTGATCTTGTTTAGACGTGCTGTACCTCCGGCCTTGATCTTGGCCTCGCGACGCTCCTTGCGCAGGCGGGCCTGTTCGGCGGCGCGAGCTGCTGCTGCATCTTCGGGAGCTGGGGCAGTCTCCGTCATCCTTGCCCTTGCTCTGGCCTTGGAGGATAGGTGAGAATGTAGATTGGAGATCGGGAGGGGGATTATGTGCGTCTATCGTGAAAGAAGAAGGCGATGACGACGACAATCGCTGCGGGTTCTAGCGAGATAGGGCACGTTATTCTGGATAGCTGCAAGATGGGGTTGTATCGCTTCGTTTGTGGAAATGACGTTGCGCCTTTGGATTGGCTGGCCAGTCAGCGAGTTTGGCTTTGGTGAATTGATGTGGTTTGTCCTTTTCTTCGGTTGCCTGCCAGCCAGCCCCCAGCAGCTGCTGCTGGGGAACTTTTTACTGGGAAATCTGCTGTCTCGGCCGGTCCCTGGCTGCTTATCGATACGCGACCGTCCACTGAGGGACGCTGCTACCTCGGCCCACCTTTTACCACGCTTGCTGTACCCTACAATGTATGTTACCTGCGCGCACTGGGCGCTTCTCACCACCAACTCGACTTGAACTCCCCCATGCGCTCTGGTCCCACCCCCAATTCTGTCCGTGATTAACCTTAACTGGTAGCCTATAGGGGCTCCATTTTCTATAACTTCTTTCGTCGATCCGCTTTCTCTCGCTTGCCGCTCTCCTCAAATGCCTGAAAAGGTAGGTTCCATTACTTGATCATACGCCCGTTCGTGGTCTCTATTCTTAGGATCTACAAGACCAACGCTCAGCGGCCCTCGCCTCCCTATCTTCTTCTGTACGATACGGTACCGTATCACTCGCTTGTCCGGTCTTGGACCGAACCGCACCGACATCCGACCGGGGTCTGGCCACTGTGCTCTATAGCACTCAGGCACCGCACCGTGGTATAGCCTATGAGTAGGCCGTATTGGTGGGTTCCCAGGGTTGGCCTTGTTCTGTGCGCAGCTCAGTGATGCACGGATCCCAAATAAGGCCGATATGATCGTGATAAGAGGTCCTCTTTTTGACCTCTGCTCCGCCTGCAAATACCCCTTGTTTCTTCGGGAGGCTTAAAATGCTTGTCCTTCACAAATACTTGTTTTTTATGCATTTCAACATTGCCAAACAGCCGAGAGGACGAAACAAATACTCCGAGAACTCGGTCATTTGGCCTTGCCACGGACACGACCTTGACACGTGAAGATATACTGGCATCATTTTATCGTGCTGTTGTTTTGGTGACAAAGCTTTGACTAAAGACTTGACTGCTATAGAGTCGAGAATTGTGGAATTGATCCTCAGTTCTATCAGTCGTATATACTATGTGCATCGCTATCGGACTATCGGGCGATTTGATTACCAAGATTGGACTGCCGGAGCTAGAGACTTCGTATCCGTTCCCTTGTCAATAGTATCCAACATAATGATCATTATCAACCTAAGCTACTGATCTAGACCAAAGATGACACTTGACGCCAAGATGCTGAACTGACCAAGGCAGTCAGGATTTGTGGACTTCTCATCGTCAAAGCTAGACTCATCGTTCCTGAAAGTCCACATAGCCTTGCCCATTCACAAAGGTATAGTGCCAGGATCTCTGCTTGGAATCCTGCGCGAGCTCCAAGAAAGTGTTCCCATGCGCCTCTGCACCCGTAGGATATGTTATTCCTCCATCGCTCTGCCGTTCATCTACGTAATAGAATCTAGAGGACAACACTGTCAGCAGGCTCTGTACTGCTGGGAATACAGTCACTACATGCTGAGATGACTCACTTGTACCCTTTGCCTTCAAAGCTATTGTTTGCAGCCCGGATCAAGTGCGCCGAGGCTGACTTGCCCATGCCGAAAACCAGCGAGTGAGAGAACCCAGCAACATTCAACTTGTTACCCGTAAAGATGAAGGTGCTTCCTGGTCCAGTTTTTGAAAAGCCCTCCACGGCCTCCTTGGCTGCTGCGTATACCGATGTCGCATTGATGTTGGTGTCGTGAGCGTATTCCTCCAAGGTCAGCGAGAAAGGGTTCTCGGGCGTTGCGGTACGCGAATAAGCTAAGTTGAAGAATACCTCATTGTCAGCTTCGCCAAAATCAACTGCTAAGAATACACAGACAAGAGAAAAACAGTCTCTTTAATGCTGCAACAACTTACCATTATAGACAACCACTTTTGGATCACCAAACTCCTTTCTGATTTCCGCAAACAATTGCGGGACGGTTTCTGGCTTACTTGCATCGAAAAAGAAGTGCTTGTATGAGTCCGAGGTCTTGGTGCGCGAGGCTATGGCAACTTGATAACCAGCACTTGCAAAGATCATGGCGGTCGCAAGACCAATGTTTGGACCAGCACCAATGATCAGAATTGTTGACATTATCTCCAACTGGGATTCAACGATCTGCTACTATTTGACGGATGATTCGCACAAAGATATGTTGACTCTTGACTTGAGGTATAGAATTCAAAGCACGAGGCTGAGTTTCAAGCAGCTCAATTATGATGGACGCCCGTTCTTATACTGAACATTGGCATGAGCCGAGCCCCCCTCCTCACCTCACCTAGGCAGACATGATTAGTTGCGCGGTAGTGGGAGTAAGCATCATGCAATATTTCCTGCAAATTCCGAGTGGGATCTAAGCTTGACCATTCGTTGATATCAAGCTTTCAGGCCAATCGGCGACATTTCTTTGAATATTGAAAGTTGGAGACTGTTTTAGCCCATGGTGCAATATAATTTGTGAGTGCTTACAGAGGGGTGCTTACAAATGCAGGTGTGAGTAATGAAAATGCCGTTCATGTGGATAGAATTATCGAGATATCGATAATGATTAAGAGTATTATTCTTGGTTTTGCAGAAACAAGAAGCAATAACTGCGATCATTGACTTGCTCATATTATTTACGTTCAGACATGTATCCAGAGCTATTAGTGCAGTACAACCCGTATAGTATAAAGGCAAGTGGTCGTAGAAGCCGAGTTTGTGCTGATGACCGAGTTAGTAGTGGCACATCACTTGACACAAGAATCGATGCTTCTCCAGTACTAATTAATCTGATTATGATCGATGCATCAGAATTAGTTTTCCAATCTGTACAAACAAATGAATCCGCTGTGCTTGAACACATTTGCACCTCCAGATCCCCTTCTATTCCTGTGGTGGGGCTTCTTGGCGGGCAGGTTACATAGTACTAGCTTCGGCACGTAGGCAGTTAGCGCCACTTTAAGCCAGCCTACCTCTGAACGCGTCGCGGAGACAAGCAACGCGTCTGTGAACGGCAGTTCAATCGATATTTTATATCGCCACCGACAATGCCTAATAGCATGTTCGTCTAGTTCCTCTCAGACAGCTATGCATCTCCGGCTCCATGGCGAAATGGAGGGATCTTGGAGAGGTCCCCGACTCGGACGAAGAAAGTCTTCTCGATAGCGAGGAATCACAGCCGCTCGAGCTGCCACCACCACTTCCACGCGAGGAGATCCAAGAGCCGGCAGTCGAGAGCACAAGCCGCGAATATGCCTCTGTATGGGATATACCGCCTTCTTCATCTCCATCGGGAATCCTAGAAAGCGGGATCGCGCCGTCGCGGCCAAGAATTGAGGTTCACATTCCAACAAGGCCAATACAACAGGAACCCGACTCTTCACCACTCTCCACCCCCGATATTAGCGATGATGAAGACACAATACCTCCGGCTCAAATCAGGAGTGATATTCAGGAAACATTGGGAATTCAAGATCAGCGCGAAGAGGCACCTAGGCCACAATTCGAGCCAAGCACCACCGCAGAAGCCATACCGTCGCCTGTGATCGTGGACGATGACGACGACGACGACGACGAAATAGTAGCTCGGCGAGAGTCTGCCCGGTTTGGCCGGTCATTGAGACCACGAAAGCCCATACAGGAGCACCCTTATCTTCTCGAGAATGCCCAGTATAGCACTCTATTCAAGACGCACGGCATTCGGCCAGTCAGGCTGCCCCCAGCGGAGGAACGGCAGAGGGCGCAAGAGCAGGATTCGCAAGAGCAGGATTATGAGGACGACAGCCAGCTCACGAATGGCAACGGCCAGGACTATGCGACTGAGGAGTCTCAGCAGGCTCTTATTTTAGACTCATTCGATGATGACCGGGACGAGTTGGCACTATCATCTCCCACGAGGCCTTCTCCATCACCCAGACGACCCCCGGCCTCGCAAGAGATGCCGAACAGCTCACAAAATGACGAAGATCTTCCATCGCTTGGTGAATTGTTCAAGAAGCGCTTGAATGACAAAACAACGACTTATGCCAAGCGGAAAGGCTCTCCCAAACAATCGTCGAGACACAAGGCAGCGAAGCTCAGACAGCTTGTCCGTGCTACTGAAGTACCGAAATCTCCACAAGCTCAGTCACTCGACATCTTTGATATTCCACCGTCTCCGCCTCACACGAGTCCTGCCTTCTACTCTACGATTGGAGCAGGCGATTTCGCGAAAGCAGGACTAGGGGTTGGTGTTCTCACCCCAAAACCCAGCAGTGTAATCGCTTCTCGTGATCCAACGCCAGCGCCAGCAACATTTGTGAGACATACCGTAGATCTCACCAATATCTCAGATTTCGGTTCAGACGATGATCCTCTGACTCATGAAGACGCTGATCGAGAAAGCCGAAGTCGGTCCGCAAGCCGCAGTCCGAAACCGAATATGGCAGTCGAAAAACGTCGAATTAAAGGTGTACTTCCGGCGTCATGGATTACGCTAGACCAGCAGGTTCCAAACAGCAAGACACGGAGACTTGTTCACAGGAGTCCCGAGCGGTCACCAGACAAAGCCAAGCGCAAAGGGGTGGCTCAACGACGCCAGTTGTCTACGAAGCACTCCAGCAATATTCCCTTTATTCTCGATGATTTTGATGACGATGATACGAACTTACGAAATGACGAAATTTCCAACATTCTCGAAACAGTCGATGTTCCTGACTTTGAAGACGACGCAGGATCCGTGGTTGAAGAAAATCACATCGATCACATGCTACCAGGGAGGAAAAGGACCAGTGCAGAATTAGAGCCTAGCGTGCGCCCTGCAGTAAAGAGGCTGAAGACGCAAAAGGCTTTCAACGGACAATCTGGCGTACGAAAGCGACAGCAGAGAATCACTGGCATGCTGGATACTCCCAAAAGCGATGCATCAGCGCGGAGATCACGACCAATGCAGACCAATAGAAGACCAAGACCTTCAAGGAATAGGAGGGTTGCTTATCATGCCACACCACCAAGGTTGAGCATTATTGACGTTATTGACGCGGACGCACCACAATTCCTTAAGGTGGCGGCTCGTGCAGCGAACCGGCGCAAGGAGAAGGGAAAATCTAGTCCTACTCGCAAATACATCAATCTTGGCTCCCGCCAGGACAATATAGATGTGCTCGGTGTATTACACGACTGGAAGACTGGGAAATTACGTTCGAAATTGCCATCAGCGACTTCAGTGCAGCACACAGCCGATCCTCGGCCTCTTCAGCCCATTTCTGATAACCCGTTATACCAGCCTCGGGTCTCGATGGGGAACATGCATTCTCTGCCCACGAACCGCTTCTCACAATCCAAGAGACTAGTCAAACAAGCCACTATTGACGGTTTCGTTGATCGTCAAGCTGGTGTGCATGAATCACGGCCAAGAAGCTTGCCTGGTGAGTCAGAGCGTACGGCAACAGCTACAGTTCGACGACTCCTCGGCCGCTCCAAATCTCAAGGGTCGTCTCTGAGACCGGCCCAACTCGAGACAGCCAGCAATGATCAAGTAAATCGACGATTGTTTCATGCTCGCAAAAAGATCCTCGACAACATCTATCGTCGAAGTGGGAAGACCCAGTCATCTGCTGCCAGTATTCAGTTGGAGCACGCCTTTCGAGGCCAGGCCCCCCAACCAGAACTTCCGCCACCAAGAGAAACAGCTATTGATATTGACACGCATTCTGTCCATCACAAGCCACGAGCACGGCAAAGGAAGCTCCATCGGCCGAGACAGATTGATATAGCTGCACCCCAATATGTGCATGCCAATGACCCATTGCCCGAAGAGCAAGAACGTGATTTGGCGTTTGAGCCAGTCGGTGTCGCAGAGCATATCAGTGACAACAAATTGCTGGGATTGGGACCATTTGGTTCCCATTATACTCAGCATTTTGAAGTCTTCCCGCTTGATGCTGGCGTACATTTCCACGAGAGCACAATCCTCGGTCAAGGTCGGATCTCGAAGGCGTTGATGGGCAAAGAGTCAGATATCATGACCAAGCCAAGAGGCTCAAGATCTCTGATCTTGGGCGAACAAGTGCTTCAATGGGACACTTGGACTGCCAACACCTCATCTGAGTTTGGAGTACTTTTCGACTGGATAGCAGACAAGGTGCAGGATAGCTCCAAAAGCATCGGTAATGCCAATGCGCCCACATTGACGGCGACCCAAGCTGCCGATTTTTGCGTCGATTACGTCCAAGAGAATCTCAGTTTCCCAGATTTGGAGAGTGGTAGACTATTTGTGCGTCGCATTCTAGAGGTCATCTCTGGATTTCTCAGTCGTCTGCCCTCATCAATAGCAGAATCTTCAGACTTGCGGCAGATTGTCGAGGTATTGACACGAGCTCTCCTGGTTGTGCTGCACGCGTTACGAATTTGTGAAGCGCTCAATCTCACAGAAGCTCTGCAGGTTGAAGATCTCCTGACAAAGACAGCAAAGCAGACCGCCCATGCCCTGCTACAGTCTGATCTGAGAGAACTAGTCACTTTCCACGACGAGTTACAAGTTCGTGCTGCAAGGTCTCGAGGAGTGCGCAACGAAAACTACTCCATCATTGGTTGGGTAACATTGATCCGACTTCTGCAAGATTGTCGTATTCCTCGGGCCAGTTTCTGGGATGTTGTCTCCTCGGCGATGTTGGAACCACGCATCACGTCACTCAACGATGCGCAAACTTTCGAACGTCTGTGGCACACTCTTTTCTTGCTGCTCCCTCTCGGTGAGTTTGATAATGCAGGCGTTGTGGTCCCTGGTTTTCGAAACACATCACCACTTGAGGGCTGGAATCTCCCCCAGAAGCTACTGAACCGAGTCTTCGAGCTGTACAAGGTTAATCAACGTCAATCGCCGAGTTTCAACGACTATTGCCGCTCTCTCGTCAGTCGTTGTCACTATCTTGTGGAACAATGGGGATGGCGGAGGCCGAACAGTGTAATTGGCACCATCTTCGACTTCTTTGCTGCTCAGAATTTATCACACTTGCGAAACGAGGAAGTATACAAGTCGCCGGATTTTCTCGAACGTCTTGAAGGTCCCGTGTCTTTGACCGTGCAGCCAGAGGACCGCTGCTTCCACATCTTTTTGAAGCTTGTGGGGTTGTCAATACAGCGGCTGAGAAGGTACGGCTTGATCAAGGACGTCAAGAATTTGACTGCTCGCCTCCTTCCGAATCATGACCGCCAGTACCTCAAGGAGAGCGATATTCACGAGAACGATTTGGCGTCTTTGAGAAATCATCACGATCTGCTATGTACACTATTTTGGTGCTCGCCTCAGGATCTGCGTCCAAATCTGCAAATGCTCGAGAAGCTGGTTATTCCTGGTAGCTCGCACAAGGAGGCCTGCCTCATTAATTTGAGGGCTTGGAATCAACTAGCACGATTTATTGCTTCAGCAGGAGAAGACAAGGACATATATAAGCCCTTCACAGCATGGCAAAACAATGTTTTCAAACAGGTTCTCGACCAGTATTCTTCGGTCGAGTCGGACATTCAACAACAATTCCTTCGAATGTCCAAAGATGCTTCAAATGGAGTCAGCCCAGAATTGGTCAAGAGGGTCATCAACATGAACAAGCAGGCTGCTATTGATGTCTTGCATTTCTCTTTGAAGGCCAATTTAGATGTTATGCGGCACGCACGGTCACTTGCTGCGGCCTCATACATTTTGAATACATGTGAGACAAAAAGCTCCCCATCCTCCTTTGTTTGTATACTAACTCATGCTAGACCAACTCCACGAGGTATTCAACCGTATGAGCTTGGCAAAGCCCGATTTTGATTGGAACACCCTTGGAGTTGCCGTGGAGATTGTCGATCATTACGTTGCGCGTATCGAAAATTTCATGGCCGTAACTGATATTTCGCATTCCGACGATTCATGGCATGGTGAGGATGCACTCATGGTATGTGCTCGATATATCATTGCCTCCGCAACCCACTAACCAGACCCTCAGAAACTCGATCGCCATGTTGCGATTCCGTTTTTCTCTATGGCCAGAACACTCTTGGCAGACGCCGAAGAGAAAACTTCGAGTCTCAATGGTGGAAAGCCAACCTGCCTTGCAAGAACAACCACAGTTGCGGGTCGTCTGGCGGCCCTGTTCTTGCGTCACGGTGTTACAGTATGTCATCAGGTCTATCTGTGCAATGTTGCCAGCTAACGTCGGATACTAGCGGCTGGTGTCATTCTTCTCGTCTGGAAAATATGGCCTATTTGAAGGACCTTCGAAATTGTCTCTTCACGCCAGACGGTACCTGTGTCTTTTTATGAAAATCCTCATTGAGAGAAAGATCACGGATTTCAAGGTCAGTCTGGATTGCATTCGAAGCATCGACGGTTCTAACCTAACAGAATACAGGCCATCAATGTCACCCCCCTCGAGGTATTCCTCTGTGCTATTGCCAAGCCTTTTGACGGACTAGCATACGAGTACCAATTGGCAGACGCTCTCAAGAGACAAGGCGATGATTGTTTCAAGGACATCATTGTGCCAACCCAGCATCCCGATTACGGGATCAATCGGGACCTCTTTGATCGTACGTTTCCGCATACCACTACTTTGGGAGCAAAATGACTCACACATCTAGGTCTCCTCTCCCTCATGCGGAGAACTTTGCGTTTCGCAGCGGCAAGCCAAAGGCAGCATATACAGCAAGAGTATTCCAAGGCGCTGAAGTCCATGATGGAGCAGATGAAAATGGATCTCAAGGCCATCGTTCATGATACTGCTGCGCACATGACTTTTATGCAGTTTGTGCGATCGATAATTCCTCTCATCAAGAAACACGACTTCTGCCCAGTTGACAACTTCTTCTACCAAATCAGCCACGAATTCTCCCCATCGGCTCAGGATCCTCGCCTACAAACGGCACAAATCCTATCGTATGGCTTGAAACTCGAGGATGGAGATGTCAGATCAGTCTCGACACTGTTTTATTTTCTCTATTCAAACTTCAAGATTGCCATGGCCAATGGGAAACTCGAGCAAGAGCGGGCAATTTTGCGAAAAGGAATATGGAACCCCCATATTTTCTCCTTCATGCTTGACCGGATGTTTCCGTCGATCGTCAAAAGTGTGTCAAAGGTACCCGAGGCATGGCTATTGCTTGACACTTATGTCGGTTCATTGGAGGATCTTTTAGATGGCTACCTTGAATCTGAGGAATCTGACAGACCGTACATATATCGGAGCATTGGCCAGGAAGATATGGGCAGTATTCTGGCCCTCATGAGATCTGTGTCAGCCGCTATAAATGAGTTGAGCAGCTTACAAATGACGGCCGTGGGGTTGGACCAATTGCGCCTTCTTTCACTGTTGGTGAAACTCTTGAATCTTCTAGGACCGTCCCTAGTGGCATTCTTATGCCTGCCAGAAAACTCGAGGACGGTCACAGGAAGAGCGTTGAACCGAGAGATCGAGTCTTTCACCGACTTTACGCGCGCCGCCAGCGAGTACCTCTGTGGAATTATACAGGCTGCAGCGACTGGTGAAGAAGTCCGATTCCGAATTGACCCACTGCTTCTCCTCGAAGAGATGCAGTTCTATTCGGGGGACCCAAATTTGAATAGCAATGAGCACATTGGAAATTTCAGCAAGCACATAGAGGATGATATACAGCGGACTTGGCTCAACACTGGGTCAGTCATCTCGGTCAGAGGTCCACCAAAACCCACTGCTCCATCGACACAGTCGGGGCAGGGCACAGCGGTGCCGAGCAGGAGCATCCAAGACGCGACACACGAGCTGTACGAGCAGTTGGAAGGATGGAACCGAATGTTTGATCAATCGCCTTCTACGGCCTGGAAGAGACGTCCAACAGTCCCAGATGAGGTGTTCTTGTTCTGAGGATAATTATATACCGGGATCCTCAGTGTGGTGAGCAGTTAAAAAAAAAAAAAAAAAAAAAAGGTGCCTAGCATGGCAGCGATGTCAGCATTGCATAGGTAGTTGGAATTACCAACTTCAATACGGAATAGTATTCAAAAACGTTGGATATCGCAAGCACATTTCCAATCATCTCTATGCATCAGTGTTTAAAGTGTCGCATCCGACTGCGAAAATGGTGATTTTGTTCTTGGCGACAAGACTCTTGATCAAGACTTGGCAAAACATTTGCGAGTGCTTGGTTGATTGATTACTCGCGATTGAAGCAGATAAATTCACGCATTGTTGGGCCCTTGTAAATGTGCGATAATCCGGTCCGGAAGGAACGGCGACGTGACTCGATCATGTCGATGGAATCAAATGATGGTATCCCGATAGTGCAGTGACAGCCGCGTGACACGCTGTCTAGCTAGTAATGTAGCCGATACATAATCCGGACAGGTCTTACATTCTCTCCATTGTGGTTGTTGCTGACGGGAAGTGGAGATGATCAGGGCGCGCCCAAAACACTATACGATGGAGTCCAACCCACCATTCACTCATTAGTATTACTCAAGGAAGAGAATCAACATTTGATTTGCTTATCGCATTTATTATGTAGAGAATCAATCTGCAAATAGTGTAGACAAATCCTGTACAGCGTAGTATTATGTCGCGCAGTATTACCAAGTCACAAGAAATCCAACATTAAAGCTGGTGGGGATCAAGGGGATGGTCAAGTCGAAATGACATCATATGATCATTACCATACATACCCCGCTATTGTCATGTTTACTATGGGCAGCTGGTGGGAGCCTGAACCCCGTTTCTTTCCAACCCATGGTTGCATGCGCATGAGGTCAGGCAGCTGCAGGTGATTCTCGTTTTTTTTCTTCTAAATCTCGCGCACGATTACAGAGTAAACGGAAGAAATGGCACATGCGTGTTACATTAATTAGATCCTGGGCTTAGCTCAGTGGCTACACAGTTTCTGCAATTCCCAAGAAGAACAAAAAAAAAAAGAGAGAAATCCGTTATTATACTCCTGTTGTGCCTCCGTCTCACACCGCACTCCACCCCAGCCGCCTTGCATTGTTTTTTAAAACAAGTACAACCAAGAAGAGTATACACATTCGATACCGAGGGTACACAAACTGGCAACTGTTTCCAGGGTCGACTTTACTCTAAAATCTGAGTATTCCCCTCTCCCATCGCCGCACTCCGACAAAACGCCAGCTTTTTTGGCTTTTCGAAACCTGACCGCCGAAGAGGCTGAGCAGCGCCAAAAGAACCCCTCCATCTCCAAAAAAACCATCTTTTCCTTTGCTAGGCCGCAGTAGAGGCAAGGCAGCCTTGAAGTCAGCCCTGGCCAAGCGACACTCTTTTTGCGCCAGAAGAGCCGCATACTATTGAATAGCTTTGCCTCTCTCGTTTTCCCCCGGTCCATAAGCGCGCATTCGCCCGTCTTACCCCAAGTACACGTACACATATACACAACATATACAGACAAAGCTGAGAAACAAGTCGACTTGTTCCTTTCTGACTTGCGGCGTTTCGTCGACCGAAGGGCTGAGTCATTTCGGTGGACACCAGCCAGCTTCTTTCCAAGCGTCGATTATTCGTCGATACATTACACTCTTCTCGCCAGCAACTTGGTTTCTCGACTCCTGGTGGGCTTTGGGAAAGAAGAAGACAAAACTATATTGCTCCTATATCGCAACAACCGACAGAGCCGGCGCCTGGCGCTTGAACAACTCTATTGCTTACTTTTACCTATATAGCACAAGCACGAAACTTTGTTTTTTTGGCATCGACGCATCCTCGGGTCCTCATTCCGTTGACCCTATTAACTTATATGCGCCCCTCGTTGGTGTTGTTAATCGATTGCTATTAGCTGTACCTAAGGAGGCAGAGTAGATCTGTATCGCAACACCAGATCTGTACCTACAAAACAAAGAGAGGAAAGGAAAAAGAGACACGCCCGCTTTTTTCATTCAAAGCCATGTCTCGCTTCGACGATCGCGGCCGCCCAGCGCGGTACGACCGCAACCACTCGCCAGACTATGCCTACGCTGGCGGCAGCGGCATCCCGCCGCCGGCACCACCACCGCCAGGTGCAAACTCTCACGCGCGGCTCGAATACGAACCCCAAACACCCATTTACCCACCACCGCCCGGCGGCTACGTCGACAACGGACCCGGCGGCCACCTGCAGATCCCCGACGCCCGCCTCCGGCCGCGGTCCCTGCCACCACCCGTCGACTATCGGGGAGGACGCAGCTCGCGCAACCGCGACCGGGACTGGGACTATGACGACGACGACCGCCGCCATCGCCACCATCAGCAGCGTCTCCGGTCGCCCGTTGCCCGGGCCAAGCGCGCCATTGAAAACACCTTTACCGACTCGACGACGGGTCTGGGCGTCGGCGTCCTGGGGGCCCTGGTGGGCGGGCTGGCGGCGCACGAGGCAACGGACCACGGCAGCGGGGGCGCCCGCCGCCCGTCCGAGGCGCAAAAGCGCAACCAGCTCGTGAGCACGGTGCTCGGCGCCGCCGTCGGGGCCCTGGGCGCCAATGCCGTGGAGAAGCGCCTCGAGATTGGCCGCGCGCGCACCGAGGAGAAGCAGGAGCGGTGGGAGCAGAAATGGGGCCGCGGGAGGGGCGATGACCATTACCACCGCGGTGGTGGTGGAGGAGGAGGAGGAGGAGGAGACTGGGACGATCGTCGTCGGGGTAGTAGCCGGGGTCGTCAGCGCGAGATTGATCCCGATGCTCGGAGCTGGAACAATGTCGAGGACTGGGTGTACGACAGTCCCGGTGGAGACAGGAGTCGCGATCGCCGGGGTGGACGAAGGAGTGAGGAGGGATATCGATACTGATTGGGGAGGGGGTTCTCCAGTTCATCTTTTCTTTTGTTTTCTCATTGCTTGTACAATGTTCATGGATGAGACATATGCTGTAAGACTCCTGGTGAGCACAATTTTGGAATGAAGATACCTTTGAGGCCATGAGTTGGGACGGATGTACTCGGTTTTGGATGGATGGAAGGACTGGGAATGGCTTACATTTACGACAAGGCTTAGGATTTGGCCTTACTTTTAATGACTGGACGAATATCATATCATATATCAGCGAAATGAAGCAGTATTATTTCACGACGGACTGGGTTTATGCAATATGCTCGTGGTATGGGTATAGAGATGCGGGAGTCTGTACCAAGGGAATGGGTAATATGTTTAGGGCAGAGGTAACATCGATTGCTCAAGGACAGTCAGGTCTATGAGAATAATAATTCTCTTTTCTTCTATCTAACAGAGAGTGTTTGCACTGATCTACCGGATCAAAATTATCGAAACAAAGTTTCTATCCCTGACACTTTTTCTCCTTCCCTATTCATTCCACTGACATACCAAACCAAACCATGACTGAAAGACAACAGCAAAAACAACAAGACAAGACAAATCTCGAAGAAGAAAGTTATCTCCTACTCAAGCCTCGCGGGACATGCGCTCAGCAGCCAAGGCCTGGGCCTGCTTGCGCTCAATGGCGCGCTTGTAGAACTCGGAGCACTCAACGACAGCCATTTGCAGGCTCTCGACGGTGCCGAGCATGCGCATGAGGGCCTGGGCATCAAGAATGTGCTTGGCGACGACGGCATCGGGCTGGGCCAGGTGGCGCACGCGCATGGTGCGGGCGTTGCCCTTCATGACAGCCAGGAGGCCAGCGACGGCGCTGTCGCTGAGCTGGGCGTGTCCGTAGAAGCGGAACTCGTCAATGTGCAGCGTAACGAGGTCCAGCTGCGTCTCGAGGTCGTAGCGGAAGCCCAGCACGCGGGGGCGGCCCTTGGAGAACCACTTGTCGGAAATGGCCTTGAGCTTGTCGGGGTTGAGGCGTCCGCCATTGTGCTGGGACTTGACGTACAGGTCGAGAGCCTCGGAGAGTGCGTACTCAAGCTCGCAGTAGATGAGAGACTGCTCACGGGGGCTGAGCGAGATGGTAGCATGGTGAAACTCGGACGAACGGCGGGTATGGGTCTTGAAGTTTGTGTTCTCGGCCTGGCAGTGAATATTAGCTTTGATGTTGTTTTGCAAGGAGAGTGACGCAAACAGCGATTGCTGCTTATAAGGAAATAAACTCACAAGGTCCTTTGCCATCTTCTTGATACTACCGAAGAAGTTTGCAGTCTTGGACGACTGGTTCTTCTTCTCGTCCTTTGTCTGGTTGGAGTCCTGCAGCCATCCATTGTCACCAAATAAGTTCTTGGTTGCCTGGCGACGGTCGAAATTCATGACCCAAGGTGTCAGAGGGGAAAACTGGTCGGCAAGGGCCGACTGGGGCTGCAGCTTTGCAGAGGGTAGATCATGGACGGTGACCGATCTGACAAGGCCTTGCTGCGGCTTCTTGTCCTCGCGCGAGGTGATGGCCGGCATGGGGGGCGGCTGATAGGTTGTGGCGGGGAGGGTCTCAAGGGGCTCGTCAATCTGACTGACACTCTTGGAGCGAAGGGGAGGGAGGAGGCCGGGAGACCTGATGGCGTCGCCGGGAGTCTGTAGCTGCGGACAAGTGTTGTCTCGCCAGTCGTTGTAGCCCTGAAGGATGTTGATGCGGTTCTTGGGGGGGATTATGGGGCTGATGGTGGGCATTCCGTTGAAGGGCGAGTTGTCAGAGTAGACAGAGGAAGACCCATCCCAATTGACTTGACGATGCTGAACTTCGGCGGGGGTGATGAGGGGGAAGCGAGCAACCTGAGGACCACTACCAATGGATCCGTACTTGCGGGCGTCGCTGAAGCTCACAGAGGCACGAGATCGATTGTTGGTACCATCAATAGCGTGGACGACAGCTTCAGGAGAGGTAGGGGTAACATTATTGTGCTCAATCTCAATACGACGAGAAGTGTTGGGAACACGGGCATTGTCCAAGTTCAGCGGGGGAGGGGGAGGGCGACGTCGACCCTTGCTGTCACGGGGAGTAGGGTAGGGCGACTTTTCGCGAGTTCGTACCTTGTTAGGAGACGGGGGAGGTGTTCCACGAAAGTGGCGATGATGGTTGAGAAAGGGCGTGAAGGTGGTCTTGGTGCTCTCGTGAGCACTCTGAGGTGCGTTGCTCTCAGTCGGAGCATCCATGGTGATGATTCAATTCGTCGCCGAGCTCAAGAATGTCAGAATGAAGAAGACTTGATTCAGCAAGAATGACAAGTGGTGATTGACGGCGACAACTTGCAAGATGCTCCGAGTGCAGCGCTGATTGCAGGCACCAAAAGGAATCGGCCTCTGTAGAGAGTAAGCAAAGGCAGAAGGATTGTTTGAGAGTGTGGTTGTGAGCACGAAAGTCTGAGTGTGTGACTGTGAATTTATGTTTTTTTCTCTGCCAGGAACTGCAAACGGAGAACAGCTTCGCCTGGTTGCCCGGTCACGTCAAACGCCTCGCCGCGCGAATCTCGAATATCTCTGGTAGGGAAAAATCCAAACAAACGGATAGCACTTTGGGTCACAATTGTTCATTCTTTTCCAAATCCCCAACAAGGACAAACAGCTGGAGGGGAGCGGGGGGGGGGGAGAAAAAAAGGCCTTTGAGCAAGACCAGACTCGCTGCATTCCCATTCTCTTGACCATGCTCTCATCAATGTCATGTCCACGATATCTCATACGCAGTAATCAAATATTTGTCACTCATGCCAAATTGCGCATTGTAATAAATATGTAATAAGTCTGCATGAGTAAAGGCAGAAACCAGCGTCCGTTATTACTGGCCATTATATGCACATTTCTACACGTCTCCTCATGAATCATCGGGTATCAAAGTACTCGTGTTTGACAAGCACGATGGCTTGGACCCCAGAGGGTGTGCCAAATCATCTGCAATGGATGTCATTCTTCGCACGGCTGGCAAGCTTGGGGGTGAAGGCGACACCTGCACAACTGTAGTCTTTCGATTTGGCGGCGGCGTCTGATTTCCTGCGGTAGCAGGCACCACGAATTGCACATGATCAAGATGGAGTGAGTTTTGCCAACGGTGCCTGTTCCTTCGGTAACTAGAGGGGCTTCCTTGTTGCGGCATTGCGGGCGAGATATCTTGCATATTGCTTGGGGCCTGTCTCGTTTGAGTAGGAGTTGTTTGATCATGACCTGAAAGCCAATCGAGCGCATTGTTGTAGCCCATATGGAAACCCCTTCGCTTGGCTCGAGTATGTGATCCCGACTCAGCCTGGGCAAAAGGATCTACTTTGAGTCTTGGGGGATTGCCATCGTGCCGGAAAGCTGGTGTCGTTCTTCTAGTGGGAGTCGTCATGTTGCAGTCGCTCACCGTCCATCTGTAATCTCGCCCACCATCAAAACCAAGCTGTGGAGTAAAGGGTCCCCTGAAGTCTCGCTCCAAACTCGTCGTGTCAGTCCAGCTTTCGGTCGCCTTTGATTCGGCTATAGGCATTCTGTTGATAGGCGGGTGTGATGGCAATGACTTTTCGCTGTCTACGAGAAGGTGTTTCCGGGCGAAAATAGCATGTGGTACGTGGCAACCGTCTGGGAGTGGCACAGCATCTTGACCAGAGCCATCAAGACCATCCTGTGATGGTGGCTTTGACTCAAAGAGCGTGGTGGGCAACCAGCTCCGTCGACGCTGATCCGGATCTGGCTCTTGTTTGTCCCTGGAACCCCTGCCCACGAATTTGTTCAAAAGACTGATTCTCGACGCCCGAGATTTCTTTTCCATGCTACTTTTGGAAGTAGCTACGCCAGCTGGAGTGGAGACTGTGTACTGCTCGGAATTGGTAGTTGATATCTCTCTTTCGTGAAGAAACCTCCCAACTTCGCCATGATGCCCGCGCCATTGCATTTCGTGAAACTCCTTTGGATTCGGATTGGTAAGGGGGAGAGTTCCTTCTGTGTGGGACGAGACAAAGAAGGTGTTCTCTATCAGCCATGGCTTCCGGTTGCGAATTCCATTACGTTCGGCCGAAAATCGCTCTTGGAGGGGCTTGTGGTCCGAGAGGACAAAAGGGTACCTGTCTGGGTGTTCCTGGCGCCATCTGGAAAGTCGATCGGTGGGGACGATGGAAGAAGTGATGGTCATCATATGTGGTACGTGTGGTAGTTCGAGGTCGGACTGTTCCTGGATCGGTCAGTGACTTCTGGTGAAGCTAACAACACTTGAGGTTCAAAGGAAGACCTCACATATCGACTCATGTGATCATGGCGCCATCGCTGAAACGCAGCTCCAGGATCGTGTGTGTGCTCGCAGTCAATCTCAATCAACTCGTACAAGACGCCGCCAGCAAGATCCAAATCTTCATCGCCCAGATGATCTCGCAGCAGAAGGAAGACCTGTTGAATACCGTCCTTGTACTGGTAGTTTCTTGGAACATGCCCGCAGTATCTCACAAGTACGTTCCTGCACTCTGGGTGTAGAATGTTAGATTGAGCCACATCTGTGAGGGTCATTTCTTGTGCTCTACTTACTCTCCTCATCAAACTGTCTTGAAGTCATGGCTGCGTATCTCACGCAACGGCCCGTGATGAGTTCTGGAATGGCGAACTCGAAGACAGGAACAGTCAGCCTGCGACTCGATTGATGGCGATTTGCTACCCCTGACTCGTTGAGAGAGAGAGAGACGAGGCCTGATATTTGGGGCAGTGGGCAGGTTTGGCACCACTGCTGTATGCGCCTTGTATACGCCTTCTCCTGCAGGACCAGGCCGTGTTCGCTCCTGCCTCCAGATAACTGCATAGGTAGGTACGTTGGACATCAATGATTCACATCTCCCGGGTGCAAAGACTACATTCATGTACATGGAGAAAACCGCTTTTCATCTACCCGAAAGAAGTACACAAGACTCGATAATATTTAAGGTAGGTACTGCAAATGTGGAGTGAACCTTTTCCTTACTTCCAACTCCCCAATATATATTTGGTAACTCGCCCCGATTCAATGTTGCCGTCAACAATCATAACTTGTAACTAAATTGCACTACACCCGAAGGCAGTCTGACAGTCTTACATCAATAATTTACTACTATTATCGTGTTGTATCGGCCTTTAATCTTTGTTTCCTACCCCACCTTGATCACATTGTTTGACTGAAGTTGTAGAGAAGAACGGAAGAACGCCCGCGGATTTGGCGCGCCAGATCTCCCATTTGGCTACAGACAGCCACCATAAACGTCCACAAGGAAGCACGGAAAGCACTGTAAGATATATTCCTACTTCAAATGCCTTTTACCAACTCAATAGAATCCAAAATGGTAGCAGGAACGACAGATGACGTATCCAACGATTCCGATTCTTGAGCCTGCTCGTCAAGTACCGTTCTACGCGGATACCCATCTCTCGAATTCCGATCCGCGGCATCTCGCCTTAAGTTGCGATTTCGAAGGCGTCTTTGGGGGGAGGGGAGTGTGGACAAGCAGACTTGATTAACCCTTCCCATTGTGTCACTCAAAGGATGCCACACTACCTAGGTACTCAATTACTCTGTAGCCAGCAGATAGACTCGATGGATGTATGCTATGGTTCTGGAAATTTTGATTATCCGTGTTTCAAATCACTAGCAATCGATCGATGAAGGTATCTTGTGGATGGAATCTATAAATGGAACTCCATATTCGGAATGCCAATTCAGCATGTGCCATATTTTCCAACGATTATACGTTAGCCAGCTATTATGCTGACCTAGGAGAATTGATTCCACTCGGTCCAGTGCATTTTTAGGTAATGATTCGAACCAGAAGCAAAAGGAAAGGAGAAGAAGAAGAAGAAGAAGAAGAAGAAGAAGAAACATTGTTGATTGCGTTTCGAAAGTACAGTTGCTTGTTATCACCGTCGTGTCATTTTCAGTGGTGGGCTCAAGAGAAACAAAACTTTCAAGATGTTATGGTGTCCTAAACCAAGTGTACTCGTTAGGCTTGGCGTGTCCGCAGAATCGCCTGCCGAATCAACAGCCGCTCAGCCCAAATCGCAATCCCCTTGCTCCATGTCCGAGCCCCCCTCTTCCGGGGCCGGATATGAGGCTCTTGAGGTACTAACCTGTCATGGCAGCTGGTCTGTGGAGATTGGATGTGATGCATACATGTTGGTTCGTTCGCATATGGGCAAGCTGCTGGCTGCAGTGACACAAGCACAGCAGCAGACTCGACCAGATGTTTTGTGTTGGCGGAAACAGCAAAACTACGACAGTGTTCAGAGTACAGAGTACACTGCCGCTCGAAGGATCCAGTTACACAAGACTAGCGCGCCGAGGGGATGGGAATAATAAGCAAGGTGACACAATCCAAAGAGTCAAGTCTGGGTTTAACACGGCTGCAAGCGGAGAAGTTTCCATGCAGGTGACTGATTTGGCGACTGGCCGCCAGCTGGCAGAGAAGACAAACAAATGATTTTACTTCCCGAGTTTCGAAGCCGCTGCCACCCCGCCGGGGCCCCGCTCTTCTTTCCCGTGTCGATGTCCCGGTCATGGTTTTTTGAGATTCTGGGGCGGCCAACCTGGTCCAGCTAAGTACAAATCGAGCGCCATCTGTGACAAAATGACGCGCATCATTCGCCCACACCGCGCTTCTAGTGGAGCATTGCTCTATAGTCGTCCTCAAGAGCCCCATAACTCTCCTTGATGGTCCGGGGTCCGCCCCAAGCAATAACGGACGAAACGCCTCTTGCTGCTCAATGTCTGCTTGCTTTGCTCGCTGCTCGCGCTCCCGAGTGCGCGGGCCTTTGTCTTAGTTCTTCTCGGGATGTCATATCGGTTCGTGAAGTCGGGCCCTAGCCAGTGTTCATAAATAGGACGCTCATCTCCCCCTTAAGCAATATGGTTTGAAAACTTCAAGTAGAAAAGAATTGTCTGTTTACTCCCCGTGGGACAAGTGGTGGCCTTTTTATAAATACCTGCGCCTCCAACATCCCGTGTCGCCTTGACTGCAGCCAATTTAGCCTGTCATTAACACCCCCCGACTAGTATTGGACTCGCTTCTCTCCTTGCTCAGGTACTTACACTCGGACATCACCTCTACCATACACAGTCGCAATGGAGACACAACCGGCAAAGCAGCCGTCTACAAAGCATTATGATATCGGTAAGAGAGTACCGTCCCTTTCCGACCCCGAAACTGTACTGAACATTCTTCAGTCATTGTTGGAGCAGGACCCGTAGGGCTCATGCTATCAACGTGTTTGGCGAGATGGGGATACAAGATCAAGCACATTGACAACAGATCGGAACCTACGCCGACAGGTCGTGCCGACGGCATTCAGCCGAGATCGCTGGATCTCTTGCGCAACATGGGTTTGAAGTCGGCCATCATGGCCCACAAGCCTGCAAGAGTGTACGAGGTGGCCTTTTGGGATCCCCCCAAGAACGGCGGCGGCATCGTTCGGACCGGTACCTGGGCGAGTTGCCCGAGTTTCATTGATGCCAGATACCCCTTTACCACTCTCCTTCACCAGGGTCTCATTGAGCGCGTCTTCATTGCAGACCTCGAGAAGAACAACACCAAGGTCGAGAGACCATGGACCATCACTGGTTTCAAGTCGGACGAGAAGGAGAACCCGGAATACCCCGTGGAAGTTCACCTAAAGCATGTCGACGAAACCTCGGAAGAGACTGTCCGCGCCAAGTACCTTTTTGGTGGTGAAGGAGCCCGGTCTTTTGTAAGAGACCAACTGAAGATTGGAATCACCCACAAGGACCCGATTGCTCATGTGTGGGGTGTCATGGACGGTGTCGTCACGACCGACTTCCCCGACATCAAGGTAAGCAGCCTCTATTTATCTGAAACTTGAATTCTGTCTGACAATTTGATAGATGAAATGTACCATCCACTCTGATCATGGTTCGATTATGGTTATTCCCCGCGAGGACAACATGGTCCGTCTGTACATCCAGATTGCTTCTTCAACCGACCCAGACTTCAACCCCCGTAAGACTGCTACTGCAGAGGAGGTTCAGGCATCGGCAAAGAAAATCCTGGCACCCTACGAAATTGAGTGGGAAAGAGTTGAGTGGTACTCTGTATACCCGATTGGTCAAGGTATCTCGGACAAGTACACTCTGGATCACAGAGTATTCCTCGGTGGTGATGCTTGCCACACTCACAGCGTAAGTACCATCTTGACTTCAGGCAAAGCTTTCTGCTAACCTATGTTCACCTCAGCCCAAAGCCGGACAGGGAATGAACACAGCTTTCCTCGATGCACTCAACCTTGCCTGGAAGATTCACGCTGTGGAAGCTGGCTTTGCAAACAGGGAATTGCTCAAGACCTACGAGCCAGAAAGAAAGACTGTCGCAGAGAGTCTGCTGGCTTTTGACAACAAGTACGCCAAGCTCTTCTCGACCAAGCCCTCGGCAGACACTGTTCAAGCAGCTTCGAGCGAGAGCGGCGAGGACAACGACTTCATCAAGACATTCAAGGAGTCATGCGAATTCACCAGTGGATACGGAGTAGCTTACGGCCCCAATGCGCTCAACTGGTCGCCGGATCACTCTGCAAAGTCCCCCTTGATCCACCCCCAGGGCACCAAGCTGCGGACCGGTCGTCTGATGATCAACGCCAACGTCACGCGAGTCGTCGACGCCAACGTTGTGCACCTCGAACAGGAGATTCCTCTCAATGGCTCGTTCCGCGTCTACGTCTTTGCCGGAAACCCAGCCGTCACCGGACAGGCGCTCAAGGACTTTGCCAAGAACCTGGCCGACAAGCGCTCCTTCTTTGGCGCCTTCCAGCGCGCAGACATTGACAAGGTCTCGCACCACGACAGCATGAACCCCCACAGTCTCTTCTTCTCCTTCTGCACAATCTTTGCTGCCCCGCGCAACAAGATTGAGATCTCCAAGGCGCTTCCCGAGCTCCTGGGCCGTTACCGAGACTGTGTGTATGCCGACGACCGGGGCGATCGCCGCGTTCCCGACGCCAAGGCTGCCGCCCACGCCAAGATGGGTCTCGACGAGGAGAAGGGTGGTGTCGTTGTCGTCCGTCCTGACGGCTATGTCGGTATCGTCACCAGCTTGGTCGAGGGCAGCGGCACAGTGGATGCTCTGAACGAGTACTTTTCTGCTTTCGTGACAAAGAAGCTGGGTGAGACACGATCTCAGCTGTAGACGAAAAGGTGTCTATGCAATGTCCATGTAGGCACCATCCCAGGATGACGAGGGCGCTGTTGCTTGGCGGGGTTTTCTGTTTGCATATCTAGGAGCGCGCATCGTTACAAGCGTTTTGCTAAGCTGCTTTGGTGGAAGATTACGTTAGGTGCAAACCACGACGAGGAAAGGCCATGATATACCTACCATTGTTCTTTCTCGAGACTTTGTTATGACTATTTGTATATATTTTAAGAGATGAGAAGTTTGGAACTTTTTTTTTTTTTTTTGGCTACATTGAATGAACGCTAATGTTTCAATAACAATCCAATATTTGGCAAAGCCAGCGAATACACAAGTGGCAGATCCATTGCACAAGATTGTCAGCAACGAAATGAAACCTTACAAGAAAAGACTCGACAACACTATGTGATTCACAATTAGACAGACAGTTTTTTATAACCTCGTAACACATAATGGCAAGAAGGAAAAGAGAGACGCGTTAAACACGAAAATGCCAAAACTAGGACGATGATCTACGAATTCAATAATGCTGCCGCTGGTGCCGTATTCCCGATATTCCCAAGCGCCAGTAGCAGCAGGTAGTGCAGACCTAGCCGGCGAAAGGAGTGGCAAAGCGAGAATGGTCAAGTACAGCGTGTTGTTATGGTAGGCGATTATATGGAACGCTGCAATAAATCAAATACCTATTTTACTAACATACATACTTCCCTTCAATAGATACAGCTGCGCCAAGACCATCTGCCATTCCATTAAACTGGATGCGGCTTTGAGGGCCGGAAACGGTAGAGTTGGTCCGAGCGTCAAAAACTGTCAAGACGGTCAGCTTGCTGGCAAATCATTGTCCGTCCGTTCCCCAAATATCCAAACGCCTTCGCCTCCTAAGCTACCTACCCACATACCTCGCTGTTAATGCTGGGCCACTGACTTTTAGACCGATTGTCCAACTTTAAACTTATCAACCCAACGGGTGCCACCTGCAGCAGATCCGCCTGGCCATTTCGCATGCGCGCCAGAGCCGCAACCATTTATCAAACTTCAATTTCCATCTACAGAACTCCGTAGCAACTGCGACAAGAGCGACAAGAATATTGTCATCTTAGACAGCGAGTCAGCTGACCCGGTAAGTGACTTGTGCTTGCTTTGCTGTGCTGCCTTGAAATGTTTCTTACCACCAAAACCCCCCCTGCATGTGTCCCGATGCCTTTTCCCTGCCGCCAGACATGACCCCTTCCTGTGCACCAAATGCTCTCACGTGACCTGTGAGACGTATCTCCTTTTTTGGAACGATGGGAATATTGTGACGATGCTTGAATGGGCCGAAAGAGACGGGGGCAATGGGATGGCTGGTGAAAGAGTTGCAATGGTTGGAGGAATCGTGTACTGGGCTTGAATGTCTCATCGACGTCTGGGGCTTGGACATGGGAAAATGAGCGTGGACCTGAGGTGGTCGTATTGCAATTGCCATGCAGGACATCAAGTCAGTATTGGCTTTGTGGAATACGACTACTCTCACACGAGAGAAAAATGGTCCCATCAGAGGCAGAGAGGTCATCGCAAATTGTCATTAAATGGCTTTGTGGTCTGTCATGTCTCTAGGTCAAGCCAGATGTAGATGGAGTAGGAGGGGTTGCGAAGGGAGCGAAGCATATGATCATCAAGGAGCAAGAGATTGACCAAGCTTCTCATGACGTTGGAGTGTTGAAAGAAACCCTCCATCAATCTCTTCAACATGTACCATGACGAAGAGGGGAACTCATTACCTTGCGGTCCGCGTTGCTGGGTCAGGCTGATTGGAGGTGGTCGTCGTTTGTCGTCATCAGCGTCTGTGCATTTTGGCTGGGCTGGGCTGGCTGGACGAGTTCGAAGGAAGGAACGATGCTCGTTTGCATGTACGAACGAGGCAGGCACGCGTGACGGCCAGAGTCGTTCGTTCTTTGAGTTCAGAAGCTGCTGATTTCCAGCGCGTCGAGTCCCTACAAATATCCTCCCCCGCGCCCACCTTGCCCATCCTTCCTGTTCTTTCCCATCTTCATCACACCACTTGATGACATTCACATTTCCCGCATTCCAACTGCGACCCAAGTACCACATCAACTTCATTTCATCTCCATTGCAACTGCAACCCAAACACTACATCAGCTTCATTGCAAATTCATTGCAACTTCATTGCAACTGCAACCCAAAAGTACCACGTCAATTTGACATCTAACACAATGGCAGGACAACTACCAGCCAGTCCTTCGCCCTCTCAGAGCAGCGAAAGGCTACGTATTCTATTGCGTGACGAGTGGGAGGCCCATCGGGAAGGGCGCAAGAACGCCCGCGAAGTCGGTGCCCCCAGCCTACCATTTGCCTAGTAAGTAAATTTATGTGTTAATTCCCTCCCTGTTCTGCTCTGTCTGGCAAGCACATGATGCCCCGTAAAGTGCTTTGTTGCTTTGACGCCACAGCACCATCACAGCGAAGATGTAGCAGCTAGCTCCTTGCAACTCATCCATTTACCCTCCGAGGAAACTGCTACTAACCACGAAGCTGCAGCGCGCCCACAAACCTGCGTACCTACAAAGGCCGGCAAGTCAATAGCTTCAGGGCTCCAAACCCAGGTTTGACACGCTTTCGACTTCCTGGCGAGAGCGACATCGTTTACCCTGACGACCCCGTTCGTCCAAGCAAGAAGATCGCCGCTAAGCGCGCAATTGATGAGATCGCTACCCCGAACGATACTGAACAATCATCATCCAAGCGCCAGAAGGTGCCACTTGCATCTACCCCCCTCATCACCTCCAACTTTGGATCTCGCATTCGCGCTAAGCGCGCTTTTCATGAGATCGACACCACGGACGAACCTGTCAGAGTTCGGACCGCCGCTTGGGTTAATACTACGCCCTCCGCCAAGCGCCAGAAGGTGCTCCTTCCCTCTACTCAAACCGATCCCGACTCTGGATCTCACATTCGCGGAACCCAGCGAATTCCCGCTAAGCGCGCTTTTCACCAGATCGCCTCGGACGACACTGCAGCAGTTGAGATTGCCACATCGGCCAATACTACACCCTCCTTCAAGCGCCAGAAGAAGGCGCCCGCTCCTACTGCTGAGCCCACCAGTGACTCTGACGACGAGGGCTCTGTCACCAGGAGTCTCTCGCCCATAAAGGGTGACGACTATCAAATTCAAAGTTTCCCTCCCATCAAGTGCCACAAGCTCAAGGACCTGGTAACTCAGCGCTCCCAGAAAAGCAGCCACACAGAGGAACTGCCCACGGAGCGCGCCCTTCTCAACTTTTCAACAATCCTACGACCCGAGAAGATCAAAGCTGGCAACAACACCTCAGAGGAGAAGCTTGGCTCAGAGAAGCTCAGCTCACAGGAAACTGCCACAAAACGACCTCTTCTTCTGTATCCAACAAGCCGGCGATTTAGAGAGATTAAAGCCGACAACAACACCTCTGATAAGCCCAGCTCAGGAAGGTATGCCACAGAGCGTTCTCTTCTTCAGTATTCAACAACAGCAACCCAGCGATTCGAGAAGCTCAAAGCTGCCAGGAACATCTCCAAGGAGAATTCCAGCTCAAGCAAGTCTACCTCTACGCGCCCTCCTCTTCAGTATTTGACGAGCCGACGATTTGAGGAGAACACAGCCGACAAAGACACCTCTGAAGAGAACCTCACCGCCGAGCGCCCTCGTGTTCGATATTTGATAAGTCGACACTCCGAGAAGCTTGAAGCTTTCAAGAAAACGGCCGCCTACACCCAATCTACCCGCAGGCTCACTACTCACAACGAAACTAGCCGTGCCCAGATTATTGCTGAAAGAGGACTTTACACTCGCTTCCCTATCGCTTCTTCCGATCAGAGGCGCATATTGACAGACTTTGCTCAGCTTCGTCGACCTCTTGAGAGAAGAGTTTCTGAGCAGCAAGAGTTTCGCCAGCAAAGAGCACAACAGCTTCCAGAAGCCAATGCTCAGGGCATTCAACAACCACGTCATCAGGAGTGGCAGCTCTTACCGTGTATACTAGTAATTCTACACATCGTCATGGCCATAACAACTCGGCTCTGGACTGTTGCCACCTTTTTGCAGAAAGTCTTCACAAACCCTCGTCAGATACTCTATCAGAATGTCAATCATGGTGACTCAGCCCGCGATGAATCAGCCGAAGATCAAAACACCCAAACCAACAGACTCCTCCCTGGAACGTTTCCAGGTACAAATGAGGATAATCCGCAAGACGCATTGCAATCTCCTCAACCTCTACCTCTCGATGATGTAAACAATAATGCCAGACAAAATGGCACTTTGCCTGAGGAGCAGGACGCAGCAATGAACACATCTCCAGTTCGCAATATTTACCCCACAGAAGATCATGTCACAGCTTCTTCCACGAATACAACCACAGACATCGTTCAACACGAAGATACCGCAGCAACCTCCTCAGTTTCTCTCTCATCCCGAGATGGGCGTAAGCTATCAGATGCACATTCGACAGTCGAAACAGACCTACCACAACAGGAGATACAGAGATCTTCCCGTAAATACAGCGACTCGTCCGAGGAATGGAGGCATCATGATGCCGCCCGACGGCAGTTGTACCATGAAGCCTTCGACAGAAACTATTCCTATGAGAAAGACCAGATTCTTGCGAAGGATCAATATCGATCAACCGGCTTGACCCCAGCACAAAACCTCGAGTGTGTGCAAAGAGCTTCAGTTTTATCCAAGGCAGCCAAACCCAAGTCCAGACCTACGTACAAGAACCCAAGAAGCTTCTTCGACGATGAGAACCAACACTCACTTCCGCACCGCACGCGCACGACTTTGAAGCCCAACCATCATAAGTTGGAGGAAGACGGCCAAGATCGTGCCGCTCGTGAAAAGAGAGAACAGGAATTGGCAGAACAGAAGCGCTACGAAGAAGCCAACGCAAAGCTAAAGAATCTAGGGCTAAGCGTACCACGAGCTCCTGTCATTATTAAGATAAATGACAAGTGGGAGGGCCAAGTCCACAATACACAAAAACCTGCTTTCAAGCCCCTCAAGACCTGCGCTCCAGAACCCGTTGAATTTGGACACCGGGACTTCCTTCGACTGGTCCCCCGAGGAACCTGGTTGAATGACAGTTGTATCCAGGCCGCAACCCAGTATGGCGCCGATTACATCAACAAAGCCGCTGGTGTTACACTGAAAAAAGACACGCCAAGGTGCGTTGCTCTAAACAGTTTTTTCTGGAGTTCACTAGTGAGCTCGGGTGTCTCTGGCAAGGAGCGCATGCTTAAGCGAGTCTGGGGTCTGACTCCCCAAAACTTCCTCGACGTGGAATCCCTTATCATACCCATCAACGCGGATGCTCATTGGACATTTATCTTTGTGCGCCCACAACGTCGTGAGATTGCCTATGTGGACTCATTCCACACCCGAAACCAAAAACGAATCGACAAGGCGCTCGAATTCGTTGCAGCATTCCTGGGTCCGCGCTTCAAGGAGGACGAGTGGAAGCAAGTGTCCTTCAATGTGCCACGTCAAACCAACTCGTATGACTGTGGCATGTTTGTGATTACAAACTCACTTTTGTTGTCACTCGGCTTAGATCCGAGTGACTATACGGAGCCTGAAATGGGCCACCAAAGAAGCAACATTGCGGCCATGATTTTGAACGGCGGATACCATGGCGATTTTGATCTTAAAAAGCTGTACAAGCTGTGATACTAGAAGAAGAGAGAGAAGAAGGATGGATTTCGAGATAGAAGAGATGGAGTTTGGACACTGGCGCCTGGTTGCCTTTTTGTTGGTTTTTGTATTTCTTTTTGCTTTTCTAGAGTTTTCAGCCTTGTTTGGCTAGGTTTTGTTTCTCATACAAAAGGGCAGGGACATGAGGTCGATTGAGCCCACGATTCGGTTCTCGCGCAGAAGACTAAAGTCTTTGAAAAGGACTACTATAGCACTTAATCAAACCAAAATCATAAAAGACACAAGGTGCATGATCTTCTCTTCCAATGGCGTGATCGAAGTAGACGACGAGTAACTCCTTTAGCTCGCTGCAGCTAACTTCAAGCGGAGATGCTCATGGATGATTATCATCAACTGGGCATTGTAGTACGGACAGCTGACATTAGCGATTGTTTGTAAGTTTACGTGATGAGACCATGATAGGCCGCGCTGTTGCAAAAAATGTCACGGCAATGATATCAAGGCAATTTCATCATCCAGATTGTTTATTTCCCCTCCGTATTGGCATATCAAGGGTATCTTTATAAAGCTCTGTCTCCATCTAACTTTTCCCCCTCTGCTGCTTCTTGCCTCTTGTTCTCTCCCTTGCTCGTCTACCATGCCACATCATTTAGGGTTGCCATTACTGTGACAAATCGAGCTGCTCTATGAAAAAGAAAAACAAAGCCTTCTGTTTTCTCCGTAACTCTCTCTTTCCACCATTTTATACGCATTGAAGCCATCGACGTCGATTGCCTGTCTGCCCATGACGAATTTTTGAAGCCCTATAGGCGTTCGCTGTGGTAAGGGGCCTTTCATCCCGTGCTGCCAAGGTCCGAACACATGAGTTTCATCTCGATTGCATATCTTTGCAGACCAGGGTGTGCTTCCACTTCTCAGATAACATATGTCTTGGTCGTCTTCTTGTCTGGTGGCATATGCCGCCTATTGAAGTTCCATGATGTCCTTTGCTCGCTCATAAACGATCCACGTGATACTAAGCGCGGGAGCAACCTTGAGCAAGTTGGGCACGAGACCCTTGTAAAAACCTCGGGGTCCTTCGTTCTTTAGCGTCTTCTGAGCGACATCCCAGATACCCGTGTAGCGGGCTGGGTGCATGCTGGTGCCCTGGGTTTGGAGTCGAGTTCTGAGAACGTTGAGAGGATAGACAACCGAGGCACCGAAAGCTCCCGATGTTGCACCCATGATGCCAGTCATCATGCCGGATGGTTGCGGCACGTCTTCCTCGTGAACGCCCAACTTTTTGGCTTGGTATGTGATCCAGGACGTTTTAAAAAACTCGAAAGTTCCCATGTCCAGGGCAGAGTAGGGGAACATGCCGATGAGACCCATGGTGACACCACGATACCAGGGCCTGAAGCCGCCTTCAGCCTTCATTTTCGTGATAGTTTGCTTGAGCAAGGGATAACCACGAGCTCCGCCAGCCACATATTCGGATTGAAGACTGCGCCCAAGTCAGCTGTATTCCAATTCTTCACCTGCCGAGCGACAGGCATGTAATGAGACGTACCGGAATTTGAGGGTGTCCATGGGATAAACGAAGAACCTGCAGTACACTGTTAATTGCCATTACTGGCAGTATAGAGAATGAGCAAATCAACTTACTGTGCTGTCATGCCGGCCAAACCTCCCGCAGCGAATTTACTATAAGGGTTTATGTGTTTCGTGTCGCCATGACCTTCGAGTTGTGCGAGGGTCCGCTTGGCGGCTTCGTAGGCTCCAAACTACCTTTCATCAGCATCTGTTCGTTTCACAGAAGCTAGCAATAGACTTACTCGCATAGCTGTTTCAGGCATGATTTTGATGACGTTAAGTCCGTTGCCTATATGACATATGAGCTCAAGAAGCAGAAAGATGGGCGGGGATGAACAAGAAAAAATACACACCTGCAAAGAAACCTCTGAGACCTCCATTGCGGTAGAGATCCAGCGTAGCCCCCCAGAAAGACCTGGCCGCATTGGTGATGGCGGCAATGGGCTTGCCGTTCTTGGCAGCATCAATGGCTGCATGGCTTGTGCTTTTGGTGTTGACCAGAAGGTAGACCTTCAAGCGGTCGAGTGGAGCAGTGGCGGTACGTGAAATACCTCCCGCGACTGCACCGGCGACAAAGTAGCCTGAATCGGGAAGGTATTTGATCAGCCAGTTTTCCTCGGCAGTTTCTTCTTCTTTTTCACTCAGGTCAGGTTCAATATCAGTGCCTCGTGCTGTTGTCGTAGCGCCGCCTGGAGCGGCTGGCGCCGTTGATGCGGATGTTGCTGCTGTTCGTAGAGCGTTTGCGGATGCCCTCACTGTGTTGGCGAGTTGTTCGCGACCGGCTGCTTCCATGCTGGCGCTGCTGCCGTTACTTTGGCTCGAGTGTACGTCTTGTTGCGATGAATGGGGTGATGAGTTTTCGATGGTTGGCGAGCTATTATCTGCCGTTTGTGAAGATTGTGGGGGAGACGAGCTCTGGCTGCGGTCCTGGTCCAAAGGAGAGGCAATCCTGACAATCGAACCAAAAAGAGCTAGCATAAGAGATTTAATGGTCGTACCTATACTGTGCAGCGTGTCGTCGTTGAGCATAGAATCCCCCTCCGAGCTCACAGTGACAATGTCCGAGTAAAAGGTAAAGACAGCGCGCAGAGTCGCAGACGCCTCCTGATTTGGCATGAATAGGAGAAAGTTTCTGCGCCATGAATGAGTTAGCAATTCTGATGAGCAGATCAACCAGATCTCATGTTCAAGAATGAAACAAGCAGACACTTGACGCCCACAAGAACTACTCTGCCATGGGCTGTGCACAAGTGGCCAGCCAAATGCCAACAATCACATTACAACAAAAAGTTCGCAAAAGTCTACAACAAAAACAGGGAAATGAGATAAGCACCAGAAAGGAGTTTTTCTCAACTCACCTCCACTCATCAAAGCTGATGTAGCCATCGTTATTCTTGTCAATATCTTCAAAGAAAGAGCCGAGTCGTCGCATCGGAACGGTGAGTCCAGCCCGCTGGAAAGCCGCCTGGAGCTCGTGTTTGTCGAGTTTCCCATCACTGTCATGGTCTATCGCCTTGAACAAGAGGTAGAGCTGCCTCTCAGCAGCCTCGACAAAAACCCTGAACTCTGTTTGATCACAGGCGTCAGCGGAGCCGTAGGATGCGCAAGACTACCACAGCGGAATCCCAAGAACAACAGCATCGCAGAACTTTTTTCAATCGGACCTTGCCTACCTTCATATTGGATTTTCCCGTCTCCGTTGGAATCAACAACTTTGATGATCTCTTGGAGGATGCCATCGGCATTCTTGAGAGCTGCGTCAGGGATTAGCTAGGCACAGTACAATTGAGGGCACCGACCCAATCGCTCTCTGCGCGATTCAATCGAGCGACCTAGGTGGTGTCTGTATCTGTCACTCACGGTGGTCAATCTTCTTTAGTCCACGCTGCAATGCCTTCCAGTCCAGCTCATTTTTGTTTTGATAGTCCAGCTTTTTCCACAGCGCCTCTACGCGCGCATCCCTCTGATTCTGAGACTCCTCCATCTCCATCCCTATCTCTGTGACCACATCTGGGACCTTCATGTCCGAAGATCATGCAGGAAGTGATCGCAGGATTTTTCCAACGAGGTGTTACGAGGTCGGCATAGCTGGCGACAGGGAACGACAGGGAGCGAGCGCCGTAAGAAGTAATAATCGAGTTTGTCGGCGGGGAAAGAAAACGGATGTGGCGTCGTCGCTGGCATCCACTGCGCGCTGTGTTGTTTGTGTAAAAGGGCGACCTCAAGATGGGGAGGCAGTCGTTTCTGCAATGTGTATGTGTGTAGTCGAGGCTCGAGGCTCCGAGGTCAGAATTGACGTCGGCTTGCAGCAAACAGCAGCTCCTCCGTCCGGGGGTGGGATACACGCGGGAGATCGGATCAAGAGCTCGACCAAGAAATGACCCAGAGCTTGAGAGCAGAGCAGAGGTTAAGGTAAGGTAGGTTAAAGGTGTGTGTGTGTGTGTGCTACGCTACTAACCGGAACCTACTACCTGACCTTGCATCCCAAGGATCCTTTAGAGGTACCTCCTGGCCATTGATGCTTGTGCTTCTTGTCTTTGGGCCATCCTGGAACGTCAAAAAATCCAATTAGAGCGGCTTCTTCGTCATATCGCTGGCCCGCTAACCAAAAGCGGGAGCTGGCCCCCCGCGATAAGCCACAGCTCGCTTGAACCACTCAAAAGAGCCGATGTAAGCCATTTGTCCCGTCGTTGATTTGGCAGCCTCATGTCAAAATGGAGACACTTTACTCTCACCCGGCTAGAAGAAGCACTTTTGGCATTGGTTATGGCCTGCGGAATGTGGGTTGAGCACACTGATTTGATTGCAAGAACCAATGAGCGTTCCATTTTCCGAGCTGCGGCACCAAAATGTGCCTCCAAGAAGCTTAGCTCAAATCTTCCCAGACTGGAAAACCATGAAATTGATAAATTGGTTATTTGCGCGGACGGGATCAAACCAATGGCAAATTTACTCCTATATTTTAGCCATGTTTCTGTAGTATTATGATAATCTTATGAGTCGACATGCTAAAGAACAATCCAACATGACTTCCCAGGTCCCGTGCCAGCCAGAGGTCATAACATGGTCGAGGTCTCCCTTTTCCAAGGAGGATTGGGGACTGCGAGACTAGCCCTTTGGGGAAGGGTAAGTTTGTCTGCATGTCATCACGCCCTCCAACCTCGCGGGCCCCTTGCACGGAAACGGTTCTCTACTCAGCCTCGCGAGGCTGCTGTTGGTGATCCCATTGTTCTCGCTACCCCTTCGAAGGGCTACCAGGAAACTACTACGCACGCCATGCCAATATGAGAACGCAAACGACATCTCCCGAGATCCGCTCTCCGTTTGTATACGCGCACCATGGCAGCCAGCTTCTGGGAGTCGACTCAACGTCGCTTCTGGATCTTCACCAAGGACGAACTCGCAAGAACTCGCAACAAGCTGAGAGAGGATGAACAGGCCTTGGTGGCAATGTTCCCTCTGCCGGAATGGAGGCACTTGAGCATCTACTTCAATCAGCGTTGGTCTCCGCTCCCCCAATCTTCTTGCTTGGATCATTTCAAGTGGAATTGCTGCTAACACCTTTTCCTGCTCAGAGGTTACCCGCCTAGCCAAAAGACTGGTCCTTCGCCAACAGGTTGTAGCGACCGCCCAAGTCTATCTCAAGCGCTTCTATACAAAAGTCGAAGTTCGCCGAACAAATCCATATCTTTTATGCGTTACAGCATTGTACTTGGCATGCAAAATGGAGGAATCGCCCCAGCACATTCGATTAGTAGTACAAGAAGCTCGATCGTTATGGCCAGGTATGAAGAGAACCTTTATTCGGCACTCAGACGTGCATGTACTTTTTACGGGTAACACAGGAGACTAACCACATTTCTATTGCAGACTTCCTCACCCTAGACATGTCTAGGCTCGGCGAATGCGAATTCTTCCTCATCTCCGAAATGAATGCACAGATGATCATTCACCAGCCGTACCGGACGCTGACGACCTTGCAAAGCGATTTCTTCTTGTCGTCAGACGAAATCAGTCTGTCTTGGACCATCATCAACGACCACTATATGACAGATCTACCTCTCCTCTATTCGCCACACATCATTGCACTGACAGCAATCCTTCTATCCCTCGTCCTTCGACCGAACCCAGTGGCCGGAGGTCAGGCTGCCAGCATGGCAGCTGCGCAAGCTGTTTTGGCGCAAGCGCAGACACAATCGCAGTCGCAGATGCAGGCGCAAGGAAGCCGAGGCCTGGGGTCAGGATTAAGTAGTGGCCAAACAACACCGGGCGGAGCTTTTGAGAAAGACAACAAGTCAAACGAGGCGAGAGTGGGTAAGCTTCAACGCTTTGGTGCCTTTCTCGCAGAGAGCGACGTTGCGATCGAAGACATGGTTGGTTGCACCCAAGAACTAATAGCCTTTTATGAGGTTCATGAGCAGTACAATGAGAAAGCAGTTAGAGACCAGATCAACAGATTCATCAAGGCACGGGGACTTGACAAAGGTTAAGAGCCGGAGAAACATGTCCCAGCCGAAGAGACCAAAGCAACACACAAGCCAAGACAGTCAAGGCAGCCAAAGAAATCAAAGTAGTGACACGGGAAGGAAAACCCCGTGTAAGCTGAGATGGCACAGGTCGACATTCAAATTTACTTCCATGCATTCAATCGAGACGAACTTCGAGCCAGGCATAGAAACTGCTTTATTAATTATGGGCTGGCACGCGAATATCATAGTTACGTGCCCCTTTACCTCATCACTATCAGCAAGCTACTTGAGCACACAGAATAGTCCTGCGTATAAAGGCGCAGTCAATTATTCGATGACTGTATACATTTCTATGCCATGGTATATCTGTCAATACATTACTCGTGCGCTTTATATCAAGTGTCTGTGAGCGCGTCGCAGAATCTTCAACGAGAAACCTGGCTTCTTTGTTGAATCTGGTGTCTGTAGTATAGGCAGGACCAGGTAAGAAACAATATCAATGATGCCACAAACTAAGCGTTATCATCTTCTGCGAAGATTTGTGTGGGCAAAGCTCATTCAAAACATATAAGAATTATGTTGCGTGTACATACAAACCAGGACATGGCACCATGGACGAGGCTGGCGACTTTCGACGTCAAAAGACACAGCTCCTCGTCTTGCAGGTCCTCAATCCTCTCATCTCAATTCCTAGGTAGCCATGGTGACTAACAGATGGAGAGACCGTATCGATCGCCTCGGGAATGGTCTTCTGGTACGGCTATTAGTGTTCATGTAAGTCTCACGGTTATTGTGATATCGCTGCAGAACCTGCTGCCATGGGTGCCGCTGAGCTTGTAGCGACAGGCTGGCCCGGCCGGCATCTCTCCTCCTGCAGGGGCAAATGCATAGGTATCTATCTACCTTGATCCATATGTCCATCATAAGTCTGCACGCAGCATGAAAGGGATGGTTTAACAGTGATACGATGTCTTCAGGTATGGAACCTTGAAGGTGAGGGCACCGGGAGTTGAGAATGATCACGGTCATCATGTCGGCCCGCCCTGGATCGGGTCTGTCTGTTGACTCACGGGGAAGTCGTCAAGTGAAAAGATGTCGATTGATACTCAGACTCATTCGCCGACCTCCGCGCACGGAAGCCATCATGCCATATCTCACGATAAGCAGACTGTTCTACACTATCTTGGGATAGGTCCCAACAACCACATGCCATGTCTCAATCCAGCCATACAATTCGGCGACAGCGAGCTACGTAAGGAAAGAAAGAAAAAAGCAATGACGATACAGGCGGGTCTAGCCGTTGAAGGCGGGTGTGCCAAAGGGTAAGGGACGGGCATCTTCGGAGTCAGTGCCCTCCATGCGCAAATCCACTCCCGAGATCTTCCCTTTCCCGCTTCCCGTCACTATACTACGTGCTCCTAGTTCAAATATCTATACCAACGACGGCGTAAGAGATCCCAGTATGCACAGGCCAACCATTGCGATCCAGTCGCATGGGCAATACTAGCACATACGTATTTCATGTAGTGGTGTATAATCATGGAATGGATGAGCTTTTATTTACATAGTATGATTTGCCCGCCTACAAGGCAGAGCAGAGCAGATTCCCATAATACTTAGTCCCTGTTCACGGAAAGCGACAGGAGGAGCAAGGGACATGGCAGGGACATGGCCATGAGCCTGGGGGAACACGCGCCCAGTGGCTTGGGCTGAAGGAACTCCAGATCCAGTCTCCTTCTCTTCTCCCATTGACATGACAGACAGACAGATGGGAGAAGGCGCTTGGAAGTTGTGTACTAAACTCATATGTACGAGCTACTATGTACAAGCGCTCCCCCTTGCATTCGTTCACCCGTTTCTTGACAGTCTGGACCGTCTGTGCAGATACACGACCGCATGACCACCGTTCACAATGGTGTGAAGGGAAGCTCGTTGGTTCGCTTGACAGAGGTTGACATCTATCAGAGGTACTTGCAGACTCTCGCTTCGCTCCGTGTGAGACTCCGTACATACGTTACATACATAGTAGCATTCTTCATGTCGCCTCCTGATGTGTACAGTACTCCTCTGTATAGATGGATGGGGGGGTGGGTGGTGTCCTTCAACCTTGAGGGCTTCAGCCAAGCCCAGCCAGCCCAAGCCAGGCCAGGGTTCAATTGCATGCATAAACCGACCCGCAGGCTTTTTGTCCAATCGTGAGCACAAACGGTTCCCCTCCAGCTTTTTGCCAGCAAGAAGCAACACTCGACACCCTTTTTCCCATTTCATGGCCGACAAAAAGAAACGGCGGTGTGGCAGTGTCCTGGACTCTCTTTCGGGACCATCATCAGTGTGTGTGCCCAAGAGATGCACACGCGCGGAGCCTAGCTATGGGTGGGACTACATGGTAGGGACTCTGGGGTTTTGTGGCTTGCCGGCCTCCCCTTATTCAAGGCAACTCAAGCGCCAGTGCGCCCCCTCGAGAGCTTCGGCGTTACCAGCCAGCAGCGAGTTACACTACGAAAACGATTAGTGAACTCTATTCTACACAAAAGGTGTTTCCCATCGGGAGGGTCGTTTCTGAAACCTGTGCCAGATCTCAAGAGAACCCGCAGCAAAAGGCATCGAGACTAGACGAAATGTAAGGGGAGAGAACAAAGACGCGCGCCATGGTCATTTTGAATTGTTATGCGAGTCCGGCAAAGAAACCCATCCGTTTCCCATGGCCGCCCTTGCATTACAACAATGGTCATGCTTCTAGAAGATCTTTGCGGATGGGGGCAGCCAGCACCAGGCAAGCCAGGGGGGCCCAAAGTTCGTCTGAACAAAAGACTTGAACCCAAGACGGGGACTGCTTCTCAATTCGTGAGCCCGCCCTCGTCCTCCTCCACCCTCCCCCCGATCTGGCTGCCGAATAGAATGGACGCCCAGCAAAAGAAGAGAACAGGCAGGAAAACCCCTCTCCCTTCAGATCTGATCAGGCAGGACGGACGTCCCTCCAAGAAACCTTGCTTTTGGTCACTAAAATAGTATCGGCCATGTTACCCCGCGCCAATGACGGCTGGGCCATGATGTATTGTCCAACCTCTTCTACTCTGTACATGCTGTACTGCTGGTGATTGAAGAGATTCGATCCCAGAGAAGGGACTCACTATTACGACAGGCAAAGTGTTTGAGCGAGGCTGTCAGCAGCAAATATTCTCGTCCTACTTGGCTGTGCCGTCTGATGATCAATTGCCAGTGGCGGAAAGTAAGGTAATCTTTGTGTCGTACGTAGGATCTGAATCCCTAGCTATGTGTATGCCTTTTGTTTGTGTACATTTGCGTCCGCCTCGCCCATTTTGTGAGGAAGCTGACAACCTTCGGGGATCCTACCGCGGGGCGCCTCTTTGGTGAAAGCAAGTAATTCGTACGACGATTTGTCGGGGAATAAGCACTCTATCAAGGCATTCTGCCCGATGATAAGGAGAGCTACTGTTACTGTCGCAACACTGTATACAACTGGTGGGAGTTGCTAAGCAGCAGCCTGCGGCACAGGCAAAGATTTGATGTAAGCGCAGTCATGTTCCCAGGCATGTTTACACTGCATCTTTGCGCAATAGCAAGCACCTGGAGTTTTAGCCGCGCATCCTTTAGGTCTCTTTTTTTTTTCGCCCCTTTCGTCACACCTGTCCCGCTACTGGCAAGGGCGCACAGCAGAATAGCCAGGGTCTCATCAATTCTCGCAAGATCATGGCAAAGTTGCACACGGCAAACGGATCATTCCCCCAACTGATGATCACAGATAATCCCACAAACTGAATTCACGCGGACTGATGTAATAGTGGCCGTCCGAGTGTGTTCTGCACAAGAAGAATGTCCGCAAGGTTTGGCTTTGGACCCTGAATCTTGAGCCAAGCGCCAGGATAATTCCAACTTCCCCTCCAGGGTCCTTTTTTTTCTCACTCCCCGAACACAGATCAGACATTCCATAACCTCAAGCATACTAGCTAGGTAATGTAGTGGGCGGGACCCGGGCAAGCGACCGTTGGGTCATGGGACAATTGATGGGCATGCCGATATAATAATCTCACATTTGCCCATGGGCAAACATGCCAAAGTAGGCGGTAGCATAAAGCCGCCGTGTCTGACGTCTAATTGCGAAATATAACACAAACCCTGGAAAGACACGCCAAAGAGAAATTGCGCTATGGTGGGAAAGGGTAGATCAACGGTAAGGTAATTTGTGTGTCTATTGCTTGAAACACTACAACTTCAGGCGAGACACGGCGCCAAGTACTAGCTGGCATGGCATAGGTACTATGTAGTAGCATGGCTACTGCTGCTGCTGCTGAGCCCCGAAAGCCGCATGAAAATCGGCTCTGGCTTGAAACAGACGATTTGAAACACCATGGGGAATGCGAGAGCAGAAGATGACCGCAGCAACTACATATGGCGGCGACCAATGCATCTCCAGTGTATAATACAGTCGCTAGCAGAGCTTGCAGACAAATGCTACCGCCTGAGGCGCTGCTTACCGTAGAATTCATGTTGTAGAGGTATCCAGCAATGAAGATGAATCAATCTGAATAGTGTCTGGATTCAGTAAGTACCTTGGAGGGGAAGAAATGCCACCGTTCTTCATTACAATGGAGCCCTTTTCTTTCGGAAAGAAGGCATCGTGCGCTACATTCCACTAGACACTGGATCGAACTGGGGCGCAATACGGGCGGGCAAAAGTAGGTCATTTCCCCTCCAGTGGGTGGATGGCAGATGGGTGTGACCTTTTGCGGCATCCTTCTCTCTGTTCTTTCACAGCACGATGGCAAAATGGAAGCCCAGACAATTGCAAGGTTCGGAGCAACTATGTGGGCTGGTGTTGCAGTGCAGGGCACAGCGCAGGCTGGAAATCGACTAGGATCGTCTCGTCCCAAAAGACCCAGCCAGCCAGCCCAACATGGGGCCCCTCTTTTTCTTCTTCCCTTTCCATCCATGGATGTGTGTGTGTGTGCGTATGTGTGCGTGCTCAGACCTTGCAGATGACGGTGCCGGACTGGAGGCGCCACAATACGACAACAATCGTCACAATCATCAACAAAAAGAAGCTGTCACAGTGCTTACTCGACAACCCAAGTACGGTGTTGCTCATACCTTTTTTGTGTGCGGTGGGTGCTGATGATTGGTGACGCTGCCACAAGAACGCGATCGGCGCTCGATCGTTCCCGTTTCTGCTGCCCAGCTGGAGCACCTATTTCATCAGTGGCTCGGTGGTCTGTTCCAATCGCGGGATAGAGAACTGTTTTGCCCGGTGGTCTGCAAACTGACGATATGTGGTTGAACCCCGTATGTTGCAGTTCAAGATCTGCATTTGAACTGTAGTAGTGTATTCGATCCAGACTCTCTCGACTGAGAGGTACGAACGAGAGACATTTCAGCGCTAGAAACACAACCGAAACAAGACCTATCCTATCCTCTTACCGCTTTCGAAGAACGGAGCGAGGCTATTTCAGATTACAATCCAAAGCATAAAATCAAAAGGGCAGTGCTCTCATGACCTTCTTTCGCTCTTTGTGGCTTTTTGTCTGACAAGGATGGGGTTTTAACCCAAGTGGGAATCTTGTTGATTTTGATTGCAGCAACATAAGCTCCCAGCGTTGCCTGAATGAGGATGGGGAATGAATGAATTAAGTGAGCGAGTGAATGAGTGAACCCACTGGGAAACACTGGAGAGATCGACCCGGGAGCGGCAAGTTCGGGACCTGAAATGCGAAATAGCGGCCACGCCATGCTGCAAGCCGCCCTGGCTCCGGGACGCGATATTAATAAAACTTCAGGTCACGATGGACACAAGACACCCCAAGGCCCCAGTCACAATTCACAATGGGCAATAGACTGGTACAGCTACTGCCGCCGCTACAGCACTATGGAATTGTATGTTTTTCGTTACACCAATGACCTAACCAGGGCCTCTATTGTCACCCATTCACACTTCAAGGTAACAAAGCAAGTAAGCTACCGAGGATGCCCCTTTTCGATTTGCTGAATGGCGTGCATACTGCACGAGAGAACAGCTGGGACGGGCGTCTTGGTCAGCTTCCTCAAACGGAGGGGGACAATATGCCAGTTGATGCTGTGCGCAGTTGCAGTGTAGTTGACGTTGCAGGTAGCTCTGTAACGGCTGGACCTCCTAGAGTATGCAAAGATGATCTCTTTGTCTGTCCACTGAATCGCATAGTCAGCCCACCATCTCGTGGTCTTGCCGTTCGACAATGATGATAGTTGCTTTAAACATGTGTGCCAACTTGGGGGATGCTATTCTTGTTCGCGGGCCTCCGGGTGCTCGATTGGGTTTCTAAAGCAGCTCACGATGGTTCAGACAGGTGTGGTATCTGTTTCTATCTCTGCTACGGTGTGCATCAGTCTGGTAGTAGTTCACGACCTGTTTCCAGCTTCTACCAATGGAAGATAGAAAATCAGTGCGCGCTTGCTTGGTTGCAGCATAGTGGTTGTGAACGGGCCGGGAGTGGCAGTAACATTGCTACATTGCACTGCACTGCACTACACTAAAGTACACACGAGGCAGTTGCGCTACAGAGGGCGAGCCAGGACCGAAATCCAGTACTGTTGATGAAAAGTCCCCCAGCAACTTCAGCAAAACAGAGAGGGAGAGAGGGAGAGAGACCCTTGAGACCATTTCTTGATGATCGAGTGGCAGGGTGGCATGTCAAGCATCTCATCAATATGGACCTAGGTATCTGTCCGTCCATCTGTCTGTCGGGCCCCTTGTTCACTATGCGATCATCCGCCGCCACCACACTGGACCTCAACCACAGTACGCAATACAGTTAGCGCAGGCCAGGCTCGAGACTAGACCCGGAGCGGCATGGGCAGACAGATGGGACAGAAAGACCCCCTAGTCCCTGTCCAGGGTGGCAAATGCGTTACCATTGGGTGGATGGCCCGCCTTTGAACGGTGGCCGCTACCTGCCATAGGGTACACCGGAGGCAGGGCACATGGGCTAAGGTCCCTAGGGTAGTGGGCATGGGCAGCCCATGGCCAGTGAGGAGCCGCCGCCGCCCTCCCTCGTCCGGCTTCTCTCTGGGTTTATGTTACTCTGATGGGTCCCCTGGGCCCTGGCCGAATGAGTTGACTTGCCCTTGTGCTTTGCTGCGCTGCTGTCCAACAAAATCCTTCGCCTTCTCCGAATCGCTACCCTCTACTCTCTCCTCTCCCCTCCTCTCTGGTCTTGTCCTCTCTCACAATCCATTATCCCCAATCAATTATTGCTATTCTCTATTCCACACCCCCCATCCAAATTCCAACCACCAAACTTCTCTTCCCCCCCAAAATCTTCATCATCGTACATAACAAGAAATCCCACACTCGAAACGCACACACCCAAATTCAAAATCTTCTTTCCACCAAGAACAAACTATAAGCTACTTTTTTTTCATAAAGCAAAAGCGGCCCTGCTTATTATACTTGGCTTTCCATAACTCTTGTTTGAGCAATCACACCGCATTTATCAACCGTTGTTATTGTTGTTGTTGTTTCAAAGCAAAAAAGCAAAGCTCCTTTTTTTAATACCGCAAAAAACTCGGTCCTCCCCACAAGCCGGTACTACATACTACAAACAACCCCCCCAAAAACGCTGCCCAGTGCAACCAACGACTCGTACACCACACACCGCCACCCCAACGTCGCTCCATTCCACTGCTCGTGCTGCTGCACAATCATCGCCAACAGTCACAATTCACACGACGCTGCATCGAATCGCCAATCTGACTTTATTAAGAATATCGCCAACCGCCGCCCATGATGTCTTCATACTACCAGTACAATCACCAGCCTACCACAGCCACCCCCTCGGTCTCCCACAACCACCATGGCGGGCGCAACAGGAGAGCACCAAGGCTATCCGTCTCTCAAAACTCCCACAGACAGTTTCGCGGCGTGCGAAGTATGAAGGAGCTCACCGAGTCGGCTGCCGTATCCACCTTCAGAACCAACTTTGAGAGCGGCCGTTCCTTTGACCTGGACGACGACATGGAGTTCTGCCCCAAACTCCTGACTGAGAGTGATGTAAGTTCCAATCTAATGTGATGACTATCCCCCTCCCGCGGGATCAACATGTTGCGCCGCGAGTCTCGCGCTGTCTGCATCTTATATCTGCACGACCTAGCCACGCTCTGCGCTCAAAGACAGAATCAGGGGCTAATTGCTTTTGCTCTATTTCCAGTTGGTGTCGATTAGCAGTTCCGCTTCAGACCGGTCATCTCTGTCCAGCAACTCTCCTCACTCATCGCCGACGCAACACCCTCAGCAGGTGTCCACGACGTTTTCACTCAACTCGTCGTCGCCGGCCTTCATTCCTCCCACCTACCACACTCAGCAGTCGACCCTGAAGCTGCACCAGCCCGCTGCCACGCGGACGCGCAACGCTATTCCCATCATCAACCCCGCCAACGGCCTGACGCTGTCTAGCCCCTCCCCGTCGGTGTCGCCTAGCAGAATGCAGCAACAGCCACTCGGTCGGCGATGGTAAAGGGCTGATCGTCTCGCTACCGTATGATAGTGGGACTTTCGTCCATTTACCGCCGTCTCCGTTGGTATGAATCTTCATGTTTTCAAGTTTGCTCATTCGTTTCTCGCGACAGCCATCTCTCCTAGGGAAACCGACAAAAGCGTCAGGCATCGACAATAAATCACCATTCAATCTTCACTTGGGAGTATATTCAGGGCTCGACTGCTACTGACATACACTCTCAATTCTCCCTACCTCTGTATAAACATCCCTTTTTTCGACATACCTACTTCTTGTGTTCATCAGCTAGCTTTGTTTTATTCAAAGATTCCTTGATGAGCGCGCGACACGAATGAAGATCAATCGATACCTTTTCGTTTTTTGTTCTGGGTTTCTTTTTGGGAAGGAAAATACCACGCGAAAAAAATCATTATCATCTCCGGTGTTTCGACCTCGAAAGATGAGGTGGCTGCTTTTGGGTCACGAATGGGCAGACGGGCGTTCCAGCAAATTATTGACGGTTCTTGCATTTTTACAACTAATCGCATCGGTTCATACCACGGAGTCATTTGGGGTTTTTTCTCATACGGTTGCGGCAACGATACAGTCATCACGGTTTATGACGACGAGAGAAAAAGAATACCTACATATAGAACGACACTGATTTCTATCTTGGGCAAGGGGTTGGGGGTTGTGTTATTGTCTCGTGTTTTTACTCGCAAAGCCAGTCGGGCCTGTTTCGGCGACATTGGGGAGGTGTTTTCTGCTGCTGCTTCTGCTGCTTGGGAAACGGTTTTATCACACACACATTGGGAAATATCCGGGTCAGAGAGAAGAATCTCAGCACAAAGGGTTTTCGGGGTACTGGTTACGGCGATTGTGCTTTTATTGCGCTCATGGCACGAGAAGGAGTTCAGTCTTGGGGTCAATTGCGACGCTGCAAATAAAGGGGTCGATCTTCTTGTTCTCAACTATATTCACTGTTTTGTACGATCTTGGCGGTCCTTTCGAAACAAAAAGAAAAGAACACCTGCCTTCCTTACTCATGTTTCCACTGTTTGCAATTTCTGGGTCATGATGCGATAAAAGGTATGTTGGAATACATGAGCGTGCAAGTGGAGTTTTTCTGTCTTTGGTGGTAGCGTTTTGTGTATTCTTTTACATACACAGCTGGACCGACCTTGTTGCGGTCTGGCATTGGTTGTGTTTGCAACTACAATTCCCATCATTGATATGTTTCCAATACTAATTGGCATAAATCACGACTTCTCTGCATTCAGGAAATGCCTTGTCCGCTTGTGACTTGAACAGTTGATGCGGCTGCTTAGGTTCAGAAATAGGGTCGCGTTTTGTCAGTGTTGCTATGTATCACCATATTGATCATAGCTCCCAGCATGCCACAGGGAAAAGCTGGACCAACCTGCCCGCGCCGTCCCGAGACATTCCTCTATTATTATTGTTTTTGGTTATGGTCAACATGAGCCCAGGTGGAGCAGGCAATAGCTGAAATAGTAAGTACTACTTCTTACACGGCCTTTCCTTTTCCTTCAACATGAGAGGTCACGAGGACATGGGCAAGGGAGGGGGTTGGGGTGGATATGTCCAAGTCACGAGAACAATGTTTGCCGCGGGTTGGAAAATAGAACGAAAAGAAACCAGAGAAGAAGAAGATGCGCTTGAAAGAAGGAGAAAAGTGTATTTTCAGTTTTGTTGAATCCCACGTGTACATTTTCCACCAAAGGTTATGTATGTAAGTATGCATGGTGCAAGTTGAAGCTTTGCCTGCAATGCGGCAGCACCTCTCTCCTCTTTCCAAGCACCAAGGCAGCGGGTAGGTGCATGGACACATGCCTGGACTCCTGTCGCCCGTGTCCACTTGCATGTTGAAGATTTCGTTTGCATACATAGACATCATAAGCGCCGCGTAGAGTGAGGCGCTGACATCAAATGATAAAGACCCTCTCTCACATACCAGTAAAACAATGATCTTGGGTCATAAGCGCACGTTTCTTTCTTTCTTTTTTTTCCCGACCTAGTGTGTGAGTCTTGACACCGCATAGAATCATTCAATTTAATGTGTAGAATCGAGAGGTTGTGATATCTAGAGTGTTAGACTTCCTCACGATTGCTCAGACTCAACTTTTCATCACACGTGGATCCAAAAAGTGGCCTGGTTGATTGTTGATAATATCCACGTCGTGCCATGACATCCCAAGAACACAAAACGGTAGATTTGAACTATCGGAATCGAGTCATGGTCCTGACCATGTCCAACAACAATGTTCAACTTTATTTTCCCATGCTAGTATGCTGAATGGAGTTGATGATTGCGTGCCATGGACGAATTGATTGGTGAGAGGATGTGGTTGTCTTTTTATTAACACATTGTCCTACCAAACTTAAAACTCCATGCCTCTTTTCAAGAGCCCAAAAACCCGGTAATAACAACACACGGTGCTCCGTGTACAATTCAAGATCCTCATACCGTTTACCAATGAGTCGTTGCGATATTCAACGTGACTATCTGAAAAGCCCCAACCAGTTTCGAACTGCAGCATTACATCTACAGCTGAGTAGTTGAGCTTGTGGCAATATCGTCTGGCCTTCGTAGCAGAAGAATGGTGTCGTTCAACTTTCCTTCCAACACAGTCGACGACAAGATAGATGTAGTATTATCATCTGGCTGTCAGATCAGACTTTGGCAGCAATGTATGCCTTTCAACCTGTTCTCCTCATCCATATCGATGATCACGAATCAACCAAGATTGAAATGGGGATGATTGCAGAATGATTTTGATTTTACGTGTAGGCTGACATCTTTGAGAAGTCCAATCCCCTCCTAGGTACTACAAAACCAGCAAAGCACATGTCTTTCTTTGTTACCGAAAGCCAGTTGATCATGAAGTCCCCATCACCAATCAGTAGTTACTTTCATTTTCAAGTAGTCTTACATATCATCAAGGGAGTGTCTCCCACCAGAGTATTAACCATGGTGAAGCTTTTTGCAGGATCCAAGTGAAGCTCCAAGTCCAAACTGAGCTGCTTTCGTCATGGGGTCCAAGCAATAACTTCACTCAATCCCTCAAACTGTCTCCTCCAGCAATCAGCAGAAAACTGCCATCAACTTTCTCTGGAAGCTTCCATCCGAGAGTGTTGTCAAACTGGTCAAAACGACAAATTCCATGCACGATCTCTCAAGTGAAGTCGAAGAATGATTGATACCTTTACCTGGCCCGACTTTTCTGAGCTTTTGGGAAAGCTTGTATGTATGCCTAGAAATCTTTCTCTTCTCCCCCCCTTCCCACATGAGATAAAAACAAATGTGAGAGAGTGGTTTTCGAAAGAATTTGTGTTTGTGAGGGAGAGAGAAAAAGAAGTCACTCTCGAGTCTTTATTGCGTATCTGCTTTTATCACCTATGAATAAATTCTAGGCAACTTCATGAGTAGCTGGGCCGTCCATTTCCATCCTGTCACGCCTTGGTGAATTCAATATCAGGAACAATCCAACAATGTAACAAAGTCAGTTCAAGTTTTGATAGACGTACAATGAGAATGATGACCCTGCTGGAAATTAGACACTGCGTTTGCAAACCGCACAGCCCTAGCAGTTCCCACTGGGCTTCGAACATCAGTTGTCAACAGGGACTGACGCCTGGAAGCGCGCCCACGTACCTGGATGGTCAGTTGAATAGACAAACGGGAGTGAGAGTAGACCCACTTCCTATAGAGGGCTGAGAACAATCGAGTCGTTGTATACTGTTGCCGCCGTCCCCGGCTGAGCCAATCACAATCAGTCGGCGCCCAACAATCAATCAATCAGCCTCGCCTCGTGCCTCTTGCCCCTTATTATTTCAATCGGCGTCGCGAACAAGTTCCCACACAAGATTAACAACAATTCACCACAAACAAAGTAAGTAAAAGCTTTCCTTTCTCTCGATATCTTTTCTCTCCTTTCTAACGTTTTCTCGAAAAGTTTGAGAGAGAAACACTACCATCATGTCGAGCAACGGGTCAGAGTACGACCCTTCGTCGTCGTCGTCGTCGTCGGAGGGAGAAGAGGGCCACAGGGAGGGCATCGTCGCCTCCAGGCTGCTGTTGTCGTCGGGGGACGACAGCAATGACGAGCCCCCCTCCCTTTCCCCCTCCGGGTCCTCTGCTGGCCCCCCTTCCCCCCAGCGCATGATTGTTACCTTGCGCTTCAACAACAACAACAACAACAGCAGCAGCAGCAGTAGTGGCAGCAACAGCAACAACAACAACAACAACAACAACAACACCACCACGCTGGACACGATGAACCAGCAACAGCTACAGCAGCAGAACAACGGCCGCGCTGGCCTTCTCAGAAACCAGCAGCGTGGCCTAAACGGTGCAATCGTCACGCACCCGGTCGGCACCTGCTTTTCCAACCGAACCGAGGACTGGCCTCGCAACTCCTACCACGCCTTGGAGGAGTACATGGAGAATGGTGGTCCGCACCAGGATGTGGACAAGACTTACCTTGCAGGAGTTCAGCACGGTATCGGCATGGGAATCGCCGCCCACAAGAACTCTCAGATGAGAGAATACGAGACTACGGGCAAGCTCTGGTCTCTTCCCATCAAGTTTGAACATCCGGGCACCAGAGAGGACCACATCCGCCACATTAATGACAGTGATGCCATGGAGTTGCTCGCCAGCATGGAAGCTGGCAACTCATTCATTCGACTTCGCGCCCAGATCGAGGCAGACGCAGCAAATGTCAGTGATTCTGACGGAGAGGATGAGATCGAGTCACACGATGGTACTAGAGTCAGTGTCGCCGACACTGTCCCCCACTTTGCCCGTAGCGACGTCTTCAACGCCGGATTCCCTTCTCTCAACCCCACCGGCCCAGGCGCGAACCAGAACCCGTCTGCCTACGACCCCCGAACTGGACCCCCAGAGGGTCGAATCCCTGGCTCTGTCTCCTGGACTTACTACAATAGCGGCTACTCTGGTCTCGAACCTCCCGAGGCTTTCCTCATGAACGAGGGTGGTGTTTGCCAGTACGGCAGAAACCCCTACAACCCTCCCCAGACCCAAGATCTTCAAGCCAGTCACCAGATGGGTCAGCAAAGCGCCCAGGGATTTCAGCACATTCCACAGAACGCTCAATACATTCCCCAGAACACTCAGTACATTCCCCAGAACACTCAGTACATTCCCCAGAGCGCTCAGAACATACCCCAGAACGCTCAAAACATACCCCAGAACCCCTCGCTGCAGGCTCAGCAGAACATTCACCGCACTCAGCAGCCTGGTCGCCAGAATAACTAGGGATTTCAGCAGCAGCAGCACGCTTATCAAGTCGGTCGACAGAATGCTCAGCTGGGTCTTCAGCAAGGTCAACTGCCCGCCCAGCACCGACCTCAGACTTACTTTCACCAAGTTCCGCAGCAGACTCAGCCCAACGTCCAGCAGCGACCTCAGCAGTCACGCCAGCAAAACCCCCAGCAGAACCCCCAGCAGATTCAGCAACAAGTTCAGCAGGCACGCCAACAGACTCCCCAGCAAGCCCAGCAGCAGGTTCCGAAGCGAGTTCAAAACACCGCTCAGCAATCCGAGGCCGCCAAGGAGCAGGCCGGCACTGCTGCCAACACCCGTTCCCGCAAGAGAAACCGAACTCAAAGTGAGCAAGGCAATCCCCAGAACTCCGACCAGAAGAAGAAGCACAAGTAGTCTTGCTTCGTCTTTTCCCTCTATACCCCCCTTTTCACCTCCACACCTTCTTTCGCAACCCCTCATCATGATTTTCCATCAGTTTCTGCTTTTTTGCCTGACCGAAGCTGGAATATGGCCCCCCTGTCTTTTCACATACACACGACAGTCAACAACAAGTGCTTGATAACAACTGTAACAAGCCCGATTGAGCGTTCGACCTGACTGTACAGTACATTCTCATTTGCAAAAAGTCGCTTAGGCTCAATGACGAACGCAAAGAAACAATAAACACCAAAAACACGAGGAAAATCACAAAACCCACCGAAAAAAAAGTTCTGTTTTTTTTCTCCTGCGACTGTTTTGAGTGTTTTTTTTTCTTTTCGGCAGTAAGCACACGACAGACAATTTGGCTGTCAACAAGGGCGCAACGAGAATTTCTCTTCTGCTCTGCGGGCGTAATCAATGGGTTGGTTCGGTATCTTGACCTAAAATCCGGAGCCTCAACAAAACTGTTGCTCCATGATTCAGATACTAGAAAACTCCAAAGCCTAGCTCGATACCAGAGAGAAAACCTCTTTGCCTACGCATTCACTTTTTTGTTTTTCTTGCCGACACATTGATCCCACGAGCAGAATCAGCATGTTCTTACGAGCAATGAAGTCATGAAGAAGCGGAATGACATTAACCCCCCTGTTTTGTACTTTTCTTTTTTGATTTTCGAACACCCGAATTAGTTCTTGCCTCTTGTTCCGTCTTGGACACTGAAGCAGAAATGTTTACTGGTTAGTAGGCCTTGACCCACAGGGATAATTCGACAGGTTTTTGGTAGAGCTTTTGGAGGAGACCCCCTCGATTGGGAATCAAGACAGTTCTTTTTGTAGATAGAGCAGTAACCCCATCCTCAACCCAATAAGAAGTCATTTGTCCATCTTTGAGTTTGTCTTGTTCATGCTTGGTTTGATATATGCTTCCATGTTTGACTTTGCCTTGGAGCCTCCTGATGCGTGACGGCTTTCCATGTGTCTACGTGTATATTTGTTCTTGCCAAGTTGATTTGCAGTTGATATCAAGTCACCGAGCAGACGATTCTACCGCCTTCAAAGCCATGAAATTTCATCACGACTTGATGAGCAACACGGAGAACACGGGTAATGCAATGTCAAAAGAATTATATTTGATGCACCGCTAGAGCCCTAAACCTACGGGCATGATATTATAAACCAGTACTCCTTATAATAGGAGTCGGGTATACCTTTCATGAATGAAAACGCCATCCCATGCTGGGTATACCTTAACCAGCGCCAGAGAGCCTTTTGAGATATAAGGAACCAAGTCCCAATGCGATCGATGCAACTGTCCTTTCCAAAAATGGACACAAGCGCTCCATGAGACTAATCGGTCGTCGCATGCCAATCTTCCCTTATAATTCATCTTCTTCCTCCTGTTCTTCAAGTGCCTTTGTATCCTGTGACGTAACTCATCAAAAGTATTTCGTGATGCGAAAAAAGCAATATCCGGCAAAATCCGAGCATGATGCATATTCATTTCACCACCAGATTCCATCCCCCTCAGGCTACGGCATTATTGCTGGCATTACTGCCGCTACGCTCATGGCCAAGGCCGAGGACTCGTTGGATGCTTTTCCGAATGCCCTTACCAGCAGCGCCACCGTCCTCAGCTGACGGATCTGCTGGCTGCGCATCACCTACAGTACTCTCGCGTCTGCCCAGAAATCCGAGGCTCAGGCGACGGCCGGTGCTAGACTGGCGACTATGCGTGGGCTTGGCAGCCTTCTTCTTGTTCTTCACCGCGACCACAGATATGGGTACCTCGGCTTGCCGTGGAGGCCATTCACCGTCGCGTTTCCAACCAACAACACAAGACCGAAGGACATCGGCCAGATTGACAGGGCATGCTGGCGTTAATGAATGCACAATAATTCGGTCGTAAAGATTTGAATATGTTGCGGGCGTGATGGATGCGCGCATAGGGTTTGCTGGAGGAAGTAAAGGCGGGGCCAGAGGTAGCAAGGTCTCGACTGTACAGCGAGAAGAGGCAGCTCTTGGGTGATGCTCTTTCGAGTCTCCATCCGAAGATGTCACGGCTGTTGTGTCACCTGAAGTGCGGGTAATCTCTGGTGACAATGGCTGTCCGGGCGAGGCAGGTGGTGACGACGAGACAAATCTAAAGAATGACAAGCGCCGCGACGATGGGGACATGGGTGTGGTTGGAGTGGATGGTGCCTTTGGCTTTACGCGCACAGTTTTTGCACCAGTCCAGGCATCACGACGTGCATTGAAACAAGCCAGACCCAAGTTCCACGTCGCTTCCTCACGCACTGCTCGTCGTCGTTTGGCACGCTTGGCCTCGGCCGTTGCCTTGACTGTAGACCCCACGGCATCAGGCGTATCAAAACGGTACGCCGACGAGATGGCGACAGTGTCATCGTCAGACCAGTCAGACCACCACTCCAACCGGGGTTTGAAATGTGCCGTGTCCTCTGATACTGTGCTGTATACTGATTCAGCGTCGTCACTGTCGTCGGCGCCATCGTCATCATTGGCATCTACAGTCTCCGCCGCATTGTCCTCGTGGTCATGTGACGGCGCCTCGGTTGAGGCCTCTACAGGACCATCCTTGGCGTGGTCCGAAGTAGCAGCAGGATTTGCGACGCCCGTGCCCGTGCCCGTGCCTGGTCCGGCGCCAGGGGCCGGCCGCGGCCACTTGAATTCCCAATCATTTCGGATCTTCTCGGCCAGGTACCTTTTGACGGCCTCCTTATTCTTGGCCTTATCCTTACTCACAAGATCGGCATCGAAGTCGGCTTCAGAGTTTGCGCTGGACTGCTGACGCAGCCTCGAGAGCGGCGACCTGGTGGACTTGTATAGATCCGAAAACAACATATTTGAGGAAGGTTGAACAGCGGCGGGCGACCTCCCGGAGAGCGACGACTCAGCGCCAGCAGCCAAGCCACATGTAGACGACGAAGGATGTTCGAGCGTCGACAAAGGAGTAGCAGTAGTAGCAGAAGAGGAAGAAGCAGAAGCAGCAGCGGTAGTAGTAGTAGTACTAGTAGCAAGAGGCGGCGAAGAACTTATAATTTGGCCTGCTGCAGCAGCGGCAACGGCCTCAGCTGCTGCTAATGGTGCAGAATGCGGGGCAATGACACGAGGAGTGGTGTCGGCGTTTATTCCCACCTGCGGCGTGGCTGGGATTGTTTCCGGTCAGTCGTATGAAACGAAGGGAAAAAAAAAACGAGACTAGGTAATAGAAGGCAAGGGTAGGTAATGCAGTAGAGTAAAAGGGAGGTTAGACTCTAGTAAGGTAGAGAGGTCTAATAGGACAGATAGAAGGAGGGAGGGGGGGAGGCAGGCAGGCAGGGTTCGCGGGACGGGCAGAGCAACGCAACGCAATGTAATGCAGAACAACCAAGGCCAGACGACAGGATAGGCGGTTTGGAACTATTTAGGCCAGAGGTAGGTCAAGGTCAGGTAGGCCGAGGCGGGTTTCCCGTGCATTATTATTATTGACAGGCAAAACCGGGACTGTCTAGAGACTCACCGATGGGGCAGCTCCTAGGCTGTGTAAGATTTGGATTGATATGTGTGGTTGTACTAAATTGGAGGCAGGCTGGCAGATTGTACCGAGTACGGAGGGCAGGCACTATTGATGGGAACCTCGGGGTGGTTTTCTCAATCCGCCCCAAGAAGAAGAAGAAGAGGAAGAGGAGGTGGAGAGGATAAAAGAAGAAGAATAAAAAGAGGTGATACCACTTTCACTCGCAAAACAAGGGTCGTTGCGCATGGACTAACCTATGAGCAAGGGCCGGAGCGGGAATAGACTTTCGTGTGTGTGAATAAGTGGGTGATGAGTATGATGAATAGGTGTGTGTATGTATGGTGTGTGGGAGGTGAATGTGTGTGTGCCGGTGCAGATCATCAGAGGAGGAGGTGCATGATTTGCTTTGCGGTCAGATCAAACACACCATGAACTGCCGACCAACTGAAGATTGCAGTGAAATGCGGCAACAAACGATCCAAGGAAATGGAAACGGGGGGGAATATGACTCAAACAGGTAGAGCACCAAGAAAAGCGAAGAAGAAATAGAAAAGACAAGAAACAGGACCAAAGGGGGAGAGAGAGAGTTCCCAACTTACACGATCCAGTCATGGTGGCCGTTGCGACATGACCTCCTCTACCGGTAGCGGTCGATGGTTCGATGTTGGTAAATGCGATAGCAGCCCCAGCAGCGGTAACAGTAGCAGCAGTAGCCGTAGCAGCAGCAGCAGCAGCAGGCCCAGTCTTTTGACTCCGGGGAGCCATGGACGGATCAGCAGCCACTAGGCCTAGATTTCGATAAAATGGCTGCTGCTCGGAGCTCATGGTCAAGGAGATCCCGGGCCACTCGATCAAAATGAATCCCAGAAGCGGTTGGCTTCGCCGACCAGCCACAACACGCAGGAACCAAATTGCTTTTTTTTTTTTTTTTGGCCCTTTTCCCAATCTGCAGTGCGACGACGTCCACCCTCGTCGCCCAGCACGGGCACAGCGGAAATTTTGCAAATTCCTCACGTGCTCACCAAAAGACAGGTGAGCGTCACCGCTGAGGGACCAAAAAAATAAAAAATAAAAAAGACGCTGACTCTTGTACTACCGGGCCGGGAGACGACTAGAACGGACCAACAGTTAGTGAGACCCGACAAAGGTCGAGATCCCAAAAAGAGAGACAATATGTAAGAAAAAAGCAAAAAGAAAAATTACAAAACTTCCCATGTGAGCGAGTGAGCAAAAGGAGGGCCCAAAACTAAGGAAGAAAGGGTTTTTGGACCACTCTAAAGTTTAAGCGGAGACGTTCCGGACTGCGTAAAAAAAAAGAAAAAGAAAAAACCAAAAGAACGCTTGCTATTGATTATCATGGGCTGCACTGGCTACAATAGGTATGACTATGACATGTGTGTACCAGGTCTCTAGCCGCGACCGAAATAACATCCATCATCCCCTAGCGACCAAGAGAGATGGCACTAATCACAGACAGACTTCAACTTTCCATATTTAATTTGGGCATTATATAAGATCCGATTCAAATCAGTGTCTTTCCTAGGTGTTAGCACAGGCTTTACCAACTTTATCATCTGAAAGGCAGAGCAAGATTCTGGCCCATGTTCTTGTCCCACTGTGGCAGACTCACAAAAAGCAAACAAATAAAGCTGCAAATTAATTCACTTGTGGGACTGACCGTCTGTCTGTCTGATTGACTAGGCACGTACTGTATTGTTGATCTTACTCTGTATATTGATTCACTTTGTTGGAGTGGACATGGACAGACATGGCCGAAATTTCCAGTCTGCCGTAAACGGATCGAATTTGAGCAACTTGTGGGGACTCGCCGATCGCCTAGCTGCCCGACTTCCGCCTGATTAATTATAAAAACTTGCCTGATCTTGAATCTTTCGAAAACCTCAACATGCTCACAGATGCTCCTCCCAGATAAAGCCGGGTTGCAACCAAATAAACACAAACTCTGAAGGAAAACAAACCTCTTTCCTGATCGAGCAAAGGCAGGCTGCGGTCAATGTGTTTTTCTGGGACTAGAAGCTCGGACACTGCGTTCAACACACTTGTTGATATGAACTTACAGAAGTTTGGTGGAGCTCGTCCTGTATTGAGTGTGCTTGAAATAGATGTCCATTGACCTATTTAGTGTACTAGTGAGGCTCCTCAGAAACGCCCAAAACATACAGTGTTATCCCGGTCGACAAAAATCTAGTTACGTATGTATTCCAACATTCATCCACATTCATCCATTACTTCATCTTCATACGTTGCCCTAATCGCGGGAAGCGCCGCCGCGCTTCTTCTCGGCAACTGCGACAAGGCCTGTCTGTGCATTTCGAGGCTTCCTGGCCGCCTCCAGCAGGGTTGAGGCAAAACTAATTCAAGCCCATCTTATCATCGCCGCAGGGGTCATCGCGGGAGAGCACATCGTCTGTCCTTGCTCAGCTATCGTCTCTCCCCTCATTCACTGCGTCTATATCGCAACATACTTCCGCGTCGCCCATCTACATTCCGCATCAATTCAAGCTGCTCCAGATCAACTGGGAAACGTACAGTCGTCGACGTTACATGTCCCTAGAGAGAATGCCGAAAGGAAAAGCCCAAGCCTGAGCATCCACTGATTCTCCCTATGGGAAGAACATCGAATCCGTTGGGAACCATGCAAGTCTTTTTCGCGTTCCGTGAAATGGCATCGCTAGCGCCTAGAATTGACCATGTTCACCAGAGGTCTTAGTTGGAACACATCAAAAGGGTAGGGGTCATGTGAAAATCCACCCTGCCCAATTCCAAAACAACATATTTCTACACATTCCCCAGAGATGATGTGGGATACTCTCTTTTGTGATTGGTTTGAGGTCCTGGCCTCGAGGCAAACCTTGGACCTGCCTTTGTGTAGAATCGACAGAGCATCGTTTGCTTTTCCTCGCTTGTGAGCATTGAATATTTCTTACGTGGTATCAGTGGTATGAGGGATACCACATTCGTCAAAGACTTTATTCCAACTCTCCACAAGGATATGATTATATTGTCGATTTTCTTTCTTCAAGTGATCATACCAACGGGTCGTAATTCTGAAATCGTACCGAAATTCGATGCATTGCGGATCCCTTTTGCGTGCCTCCAGTGCTGCATCGTAGAGGTCATTTCTGCAAAGAGATGGTCCATTACTTCCTGAACCGCGAGGGGGAGGGTGGAATATGATTCTTTCCGGCTCTGAGTCGTCGGCTGGGTTTCTAGGGAATTGGTTCTTCTTGACTGGCACCTCTTCCAGATTCTTCCAGCCTGCTGCAATCAAGGACTCGTCGGTCAGCGGCAGGGGCTGACTGCCGTTGACGATGTCACTGAGTATCTTGCGCGTGGTGTGCAAAGGCTTTGACGGATCGGCCTGCGTGACAACTCGACAGCCACCAACAAGGACGCGCTCAAGGTAGTAGCGTTTTCTTTTGAAAGGATCTTCCTCGGGAAACTTTCTCGGCAGCTCTTTCCCTACAGTGTCGATCAGCCTTTGCTGCATAGGAAGTAGATCTTTGCGACGAGGATGAGACGGCCATCGATTCTCAGCAGCACAGTCCCAGATTAACAGCTCCATTGCAGAATACTGGAAAGGATGCGAAAGAACGTCGACTGGTCTCAAGAAAGCAAGCCACGGATGACGGATGCCAGCATTCGCAGCGTTCAATTTCTCCGGTTCACCCTCAGTCGTGTAAAAGAATCCAACAAGGGTATTGACCTGCAAGAAAAATCTTGGGCACCCTGAGAGCCAAAAGTCCATTGCAGAGTGCCTCATTGTTCGGTCACCGCAGTGTGTTGCCATGTCCTTGTCCAACCATGCGATGGGCTTCCAAAACATCCAATAAGATGATGTGCCGATCAGATGGCCAAAAGAAGTAGACAGCCACTCCGCTAGATCCAATGCCCCATCCTCCTTGGGTCTAGGAGTGCGCAAGGTGTCCTGAGTAGTGGCGACTGCCTCTTCCTTTTGACCCCCCATTTCGCATGTATCATCGTAATCATTGCTTTCGTCCGGCATATAGTTGGGTATACGGATCCATCGGGTAGGTCTTTTATCCACGCTCGAGCCTAAAACGTAAAATTTCGGTATTCTTCGAGCTTTGTCATAGACCAAGCGGCAAACCAGTGAACCAAGCTCTGCTCATCATCTGGCGCAACCTGATCGTGTACCGAAACAATTTTGCGCATATCTTCAGGCAAGTTTCCATACTGTTGACTGATGTCGCCGAGTAACTCCCAAGCACGAACTCTGGCGTCGTGGTCCGCAGGGGCGAAACCCATACAGCCTTGAAGCATTGGGTCAGCACTAGGGTGATCTTTGAAGTATTGAACCCTATCTCGAGCCTTTCCAATCACAATGTCTATGAGATAATTTGAGAAATCTGCACAGACCACAATAACGCATGGCTCAAAGGCTGCTTTATCTTTAAACCATTCAAGGAAGATGCACAACTTTCTAGGCTGTGAAATTGCAAAGCCAGGAGTTATTAGAAATACTCGTCCAAAAGGGAACAGTTGTGTGATCCTCAGTTGTGGGGGCACGCCTGTGATAAAATTGCTTTCAGAAGCAACTCTAAGGGGAGATTCATGGTCGGCCGAAGACAAACTCCACAGCATGTGAGTGCTGTGGCCGAGCAAAGGCCACAACCCAGGAATGCTCCTGATGTTCTTCCGGACTGACTCGTGGAGAATCACGGCACCCGAATTGGTGGCCTTTTGATAGGCATCCCAAGCTCCTGGCTGATCGCTATGAAATATCTGGCAGTCAGACTGACATGCTCTTAGCCAGAGGGAAATAGCTTTGAAGAGACTAGCCAGTCCTTGAGGGTACATTAGGAAGAAGACGTGTTTCTTGCCGGCCGGCGGGGCGAGAAGGATGTCGTAATCGAAGCTGGCAACTTCCTGCATCAATTCTATTTGAAGTTGAGAAGATGTTGTCGCTTCACTGATGGCTATATTCGACAACGCTGGAAAATGTTCATTACAGACGGAAATCTTTGGCCTGAAGATGAGGTAATTCAGCACATTTGCCGACGTAAAAGAGCGATCTGCCAGTGATGCCCATTCAGGGGTCTGGCCGGGGAACACCAATACTGAGTAATTGGCATAGGGGAAATAGAAGGCCGAGCAAGCGAGATGCAGGTTGGTTGCCACTGTGGTAAGCGCAGTACAATGTTCGGTGGAATCCAACTTTCCCAAGGCTAGCCTGTCTGTAGTATTCTGCGGATCATATAGTGAGTTCACTGAAAAGAAGTCCATATATGTGCAGAGCAGTCGAAAATGCACCGTCTCCTCATCGAGAAAATGCGAAAGCCAAACATTACTGGCATTGCGCGGTATATTGCAGAATTCAACGCGAATCTTTTCGGCAGTGTCGCCGCCGAAAGATACTGTTTTTGTCAGGGTCTGAGAGGTCAATCTCTGCTGATAAGACTGGAGAGAGACCTTTTTCACACCTGTACCGGACCGCGGCTCTAAGTCGTGAGCATTGGGCATATCAATTACATCGTCTGCAAAGCGCACTGTTTTCTTGGCCCGAGGCTTTTCGGGGTCTTTTGGCCGCGCAATTGATGATAACAGGCCACCGATAACGGATCGGGCGTCTAGATCTGCCGTGTTTGATTCTTCCGCGTTTGGATCTGTAGGAGGAACTTTTCGCCGTGGCGCATCATTCGTGATAAAGTATCCAGCCGGAATAGAAGATGGATCTGATGGCGCGGAATCGTTAAGCTCGAGAGCTTTCTTTCTCAGCTGATTGACACGATGCATATTGGACATGAACGAGGGTGCCCGGCTCGGATCCATCATCGCATCCTTGAGATTGGCACGACGTTTGCGAACCTTTGAAGCGGTCTCTGTACCAGATGAAGTGGCTTTTGGTTGCGGCTGTACCAGCTTTGGAATGGACCGTGTTGCCTTGAGCCGTTTCCCCTGAAACTTGTGAGCTAGGCTTGAAGAGGATGCCATATTGGAACTGGTTTTGTTGACAATGACGGTGGATATCTTGGTTGCGGCTGTCTTTGGGTTGGTTGCCTTTTGATCGGCTCTCTTTTGGTCACTCCTATTTTTGTCGGCCGTCATCTGGTCACTGCTTGTAGGCTTTCTTGCGGTGCCCTGCCAAGCTGGCGCTGAAGGTTTGCTCAATGGTTTGGTACTAGTCATGCCTTTGAAAGTCGACTGTTTGATGACCCGTTGCCGAGGACTGGTTGTAGCTGGGTCTATGGCATCTTCCACCTCCATAGCTTCATCACTAGATTCCGAGTCTTCGTAGTTTGCTTCAACTGTTGTTTCAGGACCAACATAATCGGCGGGGAAGGGCCTCGTCAAGGGTAAGCCCAATCTCTTCCGTTTGTCGTTGCGTAGGCTGTGCCTAGCCGCCTTGCGTCGGAACTCTTCGGTCATCGCGTCTTCAAAGATTCGAATATCAAACGGCACGCGAAGACCCTTCTTCTCTTGCTCCCTCTGTTCGCTCCATTGTTGATAGAGCTCATCTGATAGATTTTCGATGCCTTCCCAGGTGCTTCGAAAGACGGGGTAGTTCTCCCACTGGATCAGATACTGCATGGCGCCTGGTTCGGATTCGTGCGGTCTCTCAGCAAGGATGGCATCTACGACAAACTCTTCATCAGAGTCGTGTGCTGATTCAACAGTAGAAGTTAAAGAGACGCTATCGTCGTCAATCTCCATGTCGTGGTCGCCATTCACAAAAAGTGAAGACGAATCATCAGTCCGCGTAGCCATGTCTAAAAAATGATGACGCGGACCTGAGGATCGGGAAAAGTTCAACCATTCGGCAAAGAAGGATAACGATTGGGCACTAGATACTTGGAAGATGCACAGTGAAATTGAATCGTATCTTCGAGTCCCTCATTTGGCGTCAGAGAATTGCCCCGAGGAAGGAGAGTGTAGGAGATAGAAGGTGGAAAAGCAAATCTTGGGGGGAGGCTTGTTCTCAAATGCGGTTGAACTTCGAGTCGCGTAGTTGTGCCGGGAAAAGAATGAGAGGAAGAGGAAAAGAAGATGAATAAATTGCAAAGGATAATTTTGAAAAAATCGAGCCCTCGTTCTGCGCCAGTCTCGAAGTTCCTTTGGGTGGATTTCTGTAAGGCGCGACACCTCTCAGCGTGCCTTCCACCACTCCTCTGAATAGCACACAACCAGAGGTCGATACCTAGAAATGAATAAGTTCTTGTACGTAAAGGAAGGGAGGGGGAAAAAAGAAAAAAAAAAAGAAGAAGAAGAATAGCCTCACTGCTGAACAGGCACATGAGAGTTGAGCGATAGGACGTACAAACCAAGTTATGTGATGCAAATCGGCGTCGGTTGATCCCACATGCTCTTTGTGTTTACCCGTGAGTGACCACAGTCGCGGCAAACAGATTGCACGTCTGTCGTGACCAGCATCGATTATACCTCGGCTATCCTATATGACAATTCGAGGAGTTTCATCTCTCGGAGGGGATGTTTGAAAGACTAGAAACAACACCGCAATCTATGGGGGCAACAGAGTTGGTAAAAATTTGAGGCCTCAGCAGCCGGGAGACGTGATTGTACTATTGCTTTTCGCAAACCTGCGACTCGTCTAGGCGCCGTTATAGGGTTGTTATATGCGCTTCCGTACATGCAAGCAACCAAGTATGTCAGGTCGCAAATGTTATAGATAGATAGCGTGATAACACTGACCAGACAGATGTAAGACGAGAAACGACCTTGAACAGATGCAGTCGGTGATGTACGGGTAGGTGTGTAACACTGCGGCGTGGATAAGCTAACCCGTGTCTTAGAGGATCTGCATAACTATACTTCAGATAAGGTATACAGCTTGTGCGACTTCTGCGAAAGTGATGATATGGAGTATTGAGCCGCAACTAGTAGTCATGGTCAACAATTTAGCATAAAAAGTCCGATGATTATTCATCAACGCTGGCTATACGGATGAGGGGACCGTTGACCATTCACGCATCGTTGGCGTAGCAAAAAACAAGACAACATGCATTCAGTGGAGAAAGTTACGTGATAGCAGCTGGCGATCGGCATTGCGGCTGGCACTTGTATCAAGGTAGGCTGGAAGCCAACTGGCGGTAACAATTACAACAAAGTTGACAAGGAAAAATCCATTGTACTATGTAGCCCCTCTCAGTGGCCCAGGACAGCTACCTACTAGCTTGCTAGCTTAGAGCCCCTGATGGAAAGAAGGTGGGGTTTTGTCCCGACTTTGGCCTAGCACAAGGGGCCTTGTTAACTGTCATTATCACATTCTAGAGCTCGAAAGCCCTGATTCCCTGGGCCTGTCCTCTGATCAAGTCCCTTAAGCCCGCACCCCAGCACATTGACCCCAGTAAACAACGCCCGAAGCACCACTGAGAGCGCAAAGCACATGCTCCTGAATCCCATATCCATGCCAACCAGCGGATACATCAGTCTTCAAATTCTTGACCGACTTCTATCTGCATCACGACCGTGTTAGGCAGTGGTTGCCTGTACTCTGTACATTAAGGTAGCTACATGAGGTACTCCTCATGATTGAAACTCCAGACGCTGCCGGCTTCTTTGAATCCGAGGCAAACATAATACATGCATACCTACGTCAAGGTAATTAGGTATGATTGGTAACTGTTGACTCGAGGCTCGTTCCTCTGATTGGCATTTAGACTGGCTAGATACTCTCCGGGGCTGCACCACAGAGAATAATAAAACACTTTAAACATTTCCACATACCGACAACCTTTCAATATACTAGAAGCAGGCAACAGAACGCAGGTAGTGGCTGTGTCGTTGGGTAGCTAAAAAAGAAGTACCTACCTACCTGGCCTACCACGTATCAAATTGTTACCGGACTTGGGGACCTTGCGCATCGATCTACCTGGTTGACCCTCACAAACCAACACACACTCCCACCACGTCGGTCGGTCAGTCAGTACACTACCTACACTTACCTCCATTCTCAATTCTTTATCAACTCCTCGATAACAGTTGGGGCAGCAGCCAAACGCGACCCGCATTCCGTCGACACTTGGCTCTCCTGAACAAACCACGCTTCTGCCCTCCTCACCACCAAACTCGTCGCTCTTCTCTCAACTCACAAACAGAATTGCCCACCATGGCCAACGACGAATACGATGTAAGCCTGGCCCGCTCCTCTGCCCCTCCTACGCACCGTTACCCCCCGTCCCGCCTTGTGGCAGCAGCAGCAAGCAGCAGTCGCCGCCGTGGTGCTGCTTGCTGGCTACTACTCTGAGCTTCGACTCCCTATTTTGCTCACAATGTATAACATTTGCTAATTTATCATTCTAGTTCCTCTTCAAAGGTGGCTACTCACTCCTCGAGGCGCTGGCCGCCTTCCGCTCGCGATGCAGTGCACTAACAATGATGTCTAGTGGTCCTGATTGGAGACTCAGGAGTCGGAAAGTCCAACCTGCTCAGTCGATTCACACGAAATGAGTTCAACTTGGACTCCAAGTCGACGATCGGTGTCGAGTTCGCTACGCGATCGATTCAGGTCGACTCCAAGACCATCAAGGCGCAGATTTGGGATACGGCCGGTCAAGAGAGATATCGCGCCATCACGTCTGCCTACTACCGTGGCGCTGTCGGTGCCCTCCTTGTTTACGACATCAGCAAGCACCAGACCTACGAGAACGTCACCCGATGGCTGAAGGAGCTGCGGGACCACGCTGATGCCAACATTGTCATTATGCTGGTCGGAAACAAGAGCGATTTGCGACACCTGCGCGCAGTGCCCACAGACGAGGCCAAGGCCTTTGCAAGTACGTCTCTGCATTCCTGGCAAAGGACCCTACACCGCTGTTCTTTTTTTCTAACATGGTCCCACAGGTGAAAACCACCTTTCTTTCATCGAGACTTCTGCCCTCGATGCCAGCAACGTTGAGCTTGCATTTCAAAACATTCTGACTGGTACGTAAATAATGGTGAACTTGTTAGCAATGCCAGCCACTGACACCTAGCTCTCAGAAATCTACCGCATCGTCTCGAGCAAGGCACTGGACAGCGGCGACGCCCAGAACCCGATCTCGGCCGGCACCACCATTCCCCTGACCAAGCCCGCGGACGACGCAGCGGCAAAGGGGGGCAAGTGCTGCTAATTTACTGTATGAAGGGCCTATATCTCATAATGTTCCTTTTTCTGAGAACGGCCATAGGGCCGAATTGATGAGTTACGGCGTCATACGTGTGATTTTTTGTCTTGCGTTGTGTCTATGTGGAAAGGTTGCAGCATTCAGGAGGCTCTAAGAAATCAGAGAACTACTATGATCTTGTCGCCCAACCGTACGTCGTTTAATGATTACACATAAGAAATAGATGCTTCTGGCACTTGCCGAGTTTATGAGATTGCCGCGGTTGCTTTTGGAGTCGCATTTCCTTTCCGCCGATAGCTACATGAAGATTCAACCACATGGACTCTCTCGTGTGCAGCCCGAAATGTCGTGGGAGCTGCCACAGACGATGGATTGCTTGTTGAGCACAAGGAGAAGTCGAGTATCTGTCCATTACTAGTACGTGCATTTCGGGATGCAAATGCCTAAGCAAGACATTGAATTCGCCTCTAGAGGTATCTTCCTAATTTTGTGCCTTTGATCACATGCTCTAAACGCCAAAACACCAGAAAAATGAAACCCACGGCTCAAGTCTTTTAAGCAAACAACTGTCTCGTGTCGAGCGCATCAGGAGCCACCTCCTTGCCTCCGTTCGTCCGCAGACCCAGGTCGCCCTTCTTGGCCAGCCTCTCGACGTACTGCTCGGCGCGGGCATTGTGTTTGCTGGCAGTCTTCTTGCGCAAGTCGGCTCTGACCTGGTTCGGCGACACGAACTCCTTGTTCTCGTACAGGATCGGTCCGCCAAAGCTGCCCTCCTGGATGATGATGGGGGTCAGGACGAAGCGGGGACCAATCTCGACGAGGCCAATGTCCGTCTCCTTGCTCTTGCTGCCCTTGGATGAAGCGGCCTCCTTCTCCTCTCCCTCCTCGCCCTCCTTGACCTTGGACGCCTCCACCTCGTTGATCTGGTAGTTGCGGACCCAGACCTTGCCGTCGACGAAAGAGAATCCCATGACCCGGTCAATGAACGGCTTCGACTTTCGTGCGCCCTGCGGGACGCCAAATGTGTGCAGAAACAGCTCCTTGATCACCTTGAGGTAGGGTTGCTCGTCAAACGCATTGTCGAAGCTGAGGACGGGCCTCGAGCCCTTGAGACAGTTGCCGGTAAAATTCAACTCATCCATCGTGTGCACTAAAGAGTTTGATCGAGTTAGCCAATTTGCTCTGCCTGCTCTTCAGAGAAAAGGCGCAGTCCGGGGAGTGAAACATACGGTTCTGGGCGTGGAACTTTACGGTCGGGCCGTTGGGCACCTTGCTACACCACAGGTACAGATCTTGGCCCTTTCGCGCTTCGAAAAACAGGCAGTTGTTGCAGTTGTACAATTCGGCGAGCTCGTTCAGCTGGTAGAGCTTGCTCTTGGAGTCGAACTTGGCATCCTTGCGGCCATGAGGCATCATGTTTGCCAAATCGCTGAGGAGATGGCGGTGTCTCTAGCAAGACGGAGAAAGGAGGCGTTAGCAAACGTGCTGTTCCCATGATCCGTAATGTCGCTGTAGGGGACGAAGACTTACATAAGTTACTCCGCGGGACGAGAGAATGAGAACTCTCTGCTTGTTCTTCTTGACGCCATTCGCTGGAGCCTCGGCCTTGCGACCGCCAGCCTTGGAGAGGGACTTGTACACTGATGCCATTGTTGCGCCGTGGAGTTTCGCGGGTATAAGTGAAAGATGCCTCCAAACCAGGTGCTATCGCAGTGTCGGCTGCAACTTTTTTTGTTGGAGCGATAAGAAACAATTGCGGGCGGATTCTTATCGGAACTGTGGCTTATGTGTGCGTGTGTGTGTGTGTGTGTGTGGCGCTGGGTGGATATCTTGAAGAGAGGCGACCCCTGTCACTCACATGTCTATGGGTACCACTGACCAGCGTTGTCCTCTGAATATCTACTGCAGCTCTGATGTCTTATGCTTACAATGAAGAATTTGACAAGTCACCTTTTTATAAAACCTTCTATCATTTTGTTGGGAATTTTCATCTGAATTTCTGACTCTCAGTGTCCCTATACGGCTTTGCGTAGTGGCTAGCGGCCAAGGTAAGTACAATGATCCGATACCGACCGTTACAGGGGTGGTGGGGGAACCCCTGGCGCCTCCAACCGGGCGGACTGGCCTCATCGATATGCTGAGTCGCGTGCGTCAACCAGCCGTGTTATGTTTCTACTTTTGCAACCACACAAGCATGGCAGATCTTGAACCCCATTGCGCCTTCATGGCATTACCACAATCATCACAAATGATGTCTTTGCACATCTCATTCATACTGGATAGCCCCCAGGGAGGGGTATACTTTGATTAAGCCCGTTGACGTAATCACCCTCCAACTATAGTCATATTTGGCTGTCGTCAGAGGGTGACTCCTGCGATCTTGGGCAAGCTTGTCCACGTTTCGCATTTTCATCAACGTGTTCCTCCGTCCCGTCTTGGGGATATAGGTTATAGAGTGTAGGAAGTGGGTCCGAGTGTATTCACACTAAATTCTATCAAGTAAATTGTACTTGGAAGAAAAGTGTTGCGTAAGGAAGGGATTCCGAACCGTGTTGGAGTGTCTCTCGTTCTGTTCGACGATACTAGTCACAAGCCGAGCCACGGAATTACTGCAATTGACGCCGCCTAGACGCATCGCGACAAAAAGATAGTTAGTGAGGCCCGCCTGCTTTCCTTTTGGATTCACTTGAACTGACCTTACCTCAGCTCCAAAAGACTCAAATCCCTTTCAACCTTACACACCCCTTCCACCATTTCTCACAAAGCTTTTCGCGTGCAGAAGAGATGGCGTCTTCAACCATGCGGCCCTTTGAGGTTCTGCCCGCGGAACTTATATTAGAGATGATGGAGAACATGGGCGTTAGCGATCTGACATCGTTTGCCTTGTGCAACAAGAAGCTCTTTGGAATTTTCAAGGAGAACCAAGCAACAGTCATGACCACTTCCCTGCTTCGACTGGTAGAGCTGGAGCAGATCCTATTAATCTATACCGTCGACAAAAGAGACTTTGCCTCAAATGCCATGCTCCATCCTCGCCGTATCAGTGTTGATATCGGCCGCGGTGATGACAAGCTGGTGGACCTCATGCAGTCCGCTGTGGCCTTTCGGGACGGGAAGCTCATCTGCCCTCGAAAGATTGTCTTGAAGACTGAGGATCTCTCCCGTATCTGGACACTCGTCAAGGTTGTGGACTGGTGGGTCGAGCATTATCCCAGATTTCGATGGCACAAGAATCCAGAAGATACGCGTTGTCTACGTCCGAGCGAGGAACATCGATTACGCAAAGCTATTACGAGGTGGTGGTTGTACTCGGAATGTTTCCATGGGAAATACGCACGTTCGCCTTTCTTGCCCAGACTACTGGAGGCTGATGATCGACTCTACCACATTCGACTCTTGAGCTCGACCGAGATTCGAGAGCTCGAAGATCTCTGGGAAACCTTCCGCAGTACTGTACAACGGGATATTTGCTCATCCATCTCGGACAAGGTAAGATTCTCCACTTGTTTTTCTCGCCAATGCCATTTTGCTGAGACTCATTACAGGACTGGGATCGCATTCCGTGGGGTTGGGATGACTGGCGTACAAAGGATATTGTGAGCACCTATATGAAGTTGGACCCGACACAGTATGTATCAGAGATTCATTGCTTGTCACTTACTGGCATACGACTTGACGAACTCATCCGCAAGGCTGCCCTTAGGCGCGAGTTTCGACTTGGACTTGTTCTGCCTATCTCGAATCACATATATAGAACATTCAAGTACTGATCGCATTTGTGCAGAGCCAAGCATCTCATTACACACTCTCCGCTTCTCGGAAAGCCAGCAATCATCCAAGCCGCACGGCAAAGCCAGCCTGACTTTGCAGAGCAGCAGGAGACACTTTCCTGGGCAATCCAGACTGTTCTCCAGGAGCGCCTCTTGCTCATGTCGAATGCTTTCACCGACATACCAGCCAGTGGAATCATTGACGAAGATCGTTTCTTTGATGAAAACGATGTCTTCACCGCCGATGCATGGGCAACGGGGAAGCCACCCTTGAGTCGACAAGAGATCATGTCCTACCCAATTCGACCACCCAAATACATTGCTTACGGAGATGATGGGCGTGATCTTGACTTTCAATTCTAAATCCAACGACAACACTGGGCTCGTGGAAGCTAATAAGGGTTGGGAGGGTGCGGTATCGTATTGAGCTTGTAAAATGCGACCAGCTGCCATGAGCGTTGAACATACAGTTCAGGTGTTCAAAACGGCGTCTGTCATTTGCTTCTATAGATGTGCTGGAAGATGAGCGGCAATAGAATGAGGTATGCGCAAATGTGCGACGCATTCTATTTGATATATATTTGCCAATGTCATAAATGCGACAATCTTACGACGGATGGGGAATGATGCGGTGGATACTCGAGCAGCAGCCTTAGAAAGCGCAGTCGATAGATTCGCATTCCTCATGTAGCAGCAGATAAACGCCCCGACCTACCCTCAATGAGTAGATCTCGTTTTTACCGCCCATTTTTATTTTCCTATCTCATAGGTGGTTTGCTTGTGGCCATGAAACTTGGGTTTGGGGGTTAAAGTGTCTAGCCGGCAGTTGGAGATGTACAGAAAGAAGTACCTGGCCGGCTCCCCTATCTCTGCCTAAACTTTGGCCTTGCTTATTTTCAACCTTGTCACATGATGTACAGTCTACTGAAGTGTTTTTTTGGAGTATTTCAAAGAAATTCTATAATTTTTTTCTTTCAATTTAGCTGATTAGTCCAAACCCCAAAGCTCGTTGAAAAAACAAAAAACCATCTGTTGAATAAAGTCGTCGAGAGTGGCTGGTGCTGGCTGGCCGGGGCGGTTACTTTTTGGTCGCCTGGCGAATCACGCGCTTCATCTCCCAGCTCTAGCGCGCCAGTGCATTTCTGAACCTACGAACACTCAAGACACCACCAGCAACCAAACGCCCAGCGCGCGACCTTGCGCAGCCTCGGATCGGCTCCAGAACTGGCATCGCAAGTAATCTGTCGCACTCTTATACTCTTGGGTACCGTCAGAATCTTGCCTCGTCATCTGCGCAGGTCGCGATTTGCCGCGCCTTACGCTCCTTCCTCAACCCTTGCATCTGACGATAAGTGTAAGTGATATATCCATTTCTCTCTCCACGAGGCTGCGCGGCACAATGACAATATTTTGTGCTCGTCTCTTTTTCCGACTATTCATCGCATTCTTTTCATCCCTATCACCTCAGGATAGATAAAAATGCATAAACTCTTTTGTCCACCGACAAACAGTTGTTCCAGATTATAGCAAATCGGTTGGCCAGCGCCAAAAAAAAACTCACCTCATCTACCGCAATCGCCCCTTCCAAGTCTGCACTCAATACATTATTCTACAGGGGAGATTTCCTGCGTTAAGCCGTGGTTGAGTAGCTGCAGCTCAATTTGCGCGACTTTTGTGTCTTCACTCTTCGCAATTTGTCGCCAACGAAGCATGAGATTCATATACTGACTCTTGCATCAGCCCCTTACCGTCCCGAGATACCAGACTGTTTGGACTTGCGCGCATGAAGATTGTGTCTGGCTTAGGGAGAGAGCGCGCAAAGAACGGGCCGGACGCTGTTGAAATTGCGATCCCAGCCTCCATTCCAACTCGAAGATCGAGAAGTTCATGTACTTGACACTTGGGCGGCAAAACTAGTTCTGTATCCAAGAGCCTCGATTCACCGTCAAAGCCTCACTGGATACAAGACTCTGAAGCAGGCTGTCAGAAGCTTTTTTGCACCATGGACCACCACCAAAGCAATGGAGTGGACCATTCAATGGCTGACGCCCCTGACCCCGTTCCCGAGTCAGCACATGACTTCGACTGGGGTGATGATCATGAAGAGCTCATCATTGACGAATATGAATCGCCTCATGAAAACGAAGAGTTTGTACAATCCTTGGTCGATAGAAAGTTGTTGCCAACTGGCTGTTGCTACGATGACCGGATGAAGCTGCATGCAAATGCAGACTTTGGACCCACGCCACATCACCCAGAAGATCCTAGAAGGATAGAGGAAATTATGAAGATCTTCAAGAAGGCAGGTCTGGTGTTCACAGGACCGGACACTGACTTGGCGGACATCCTCCAAAACACTCCGACCAAGTACATGTGGAGAGTTCCAGCTCGCAGTGCCACACAGGACGAAATACAGACTGTACACACAAGGGAGCATTACCGGTTCATTGAATCATTTGTCAACATGGATACAGATCAACTGCGCAAACTAAGCCATGAAATGGATCAGGGCCGAGCCTCACTCTATGTTGGTGCCCTATCCTTTGAAGCTGCACTATTGGCTGCTGGAGGCGCGATTGAGACTTGCAAGAACGTTGTTGAGGGAAAGATCAAAAATGGCATTGCTGTGATCCGCCCGCCCGGCCATCACGCAGAATTTGATCAGCCGATGGGCTTTTGTTTTTTCAACAACGTTCCGGTTGCAGCAAAGGTATGCCAACAGGAGTATCCCGAAACATGCCGCAAGATTCTCATTCTCGACTGGGATGTCCATCATGGAAACGGCATTCAGAACATGTTCTACGACGATCCAAACATCCTATACATCTCCTTGCATGTCTACGCAAATGGAAACTTCTACCCTGGAAAGCCAGACAATATGTACATACCTGATGGCGGGATCGACTCCGTCGGCGAAGGCGCTGGCGAGGGCAAGAACATCAACATTGGATGGGACAATCAGGGCATGGGAGACGGTGAATATCTGGCTGCATTCCAGAAGATCGTTATGCCCGTTGCTCAGGAGTTCTGCCCAGATCTTGTGATCATATCGGCTGGGTTTGACGCGGCCAAAGGCGACGAACTTGGCGGTTGTTTCGTGACTCCAGGCTGCTACGCGCACATGACACACATGCTCATGTCACTTGCTGGCGGCAAGGTGGCAGTCTGCCTCGAGGGAGGCTACAATCTCAAGGCTATATCTCAGTCAGCCCTGGCTGTGGCGCGAACACTCATGGGAGAGCCGCCGCCCCAGATGCAGATTCCACGCATCGACAAGACGGCAGCACGGGTGCTGGCTAAAGTTCAAGCCACCCATGCTCCATATTGGGAATGCATGCGTCCTGGAGTGATTGATGCTCAGGTGATAGGTGAAGGCACATCACGGCTTCACGACGTCATCCGCAACTACCAGCGACAAAACTTGTCCGAGCAATTCGGCATGGTCCCGCTTTTCATCCAGCGCGAGACCCTATTCAAGTCTTTCGAAAACCAAGTTCTGGTGACTCCAGGCATTACGCAGAAGAGAAAGATACTTGTCATCATTCATGATCCGTAAGTTCCATCACTGAGCTTGTAGGGCTTGAGCTGATTTCCAAAGGCCTGAGCTGGTAGGCATGCCAGACCTCATTGATAACACTGTAGACCCGCATAATGCATTTTTGGTGAGTGAGATATCAATTGCAGCTATTTTAGTAGTGTTTTTGCTGACTCGAGGCAGTCGGATGGTGTCACGACTTACATCAAGTGGGCACAAGAAAACGATTTTGGTGTTATAGATGCCAACGTTCCGCATTACATTACACGACCCGAGGATGTTGATCCTTTCGTGCCGCGGCCGGGAGAACTCACACTTTCTCAGCAGATCAAAGAGCTCATGAACTATATATGGGACAACTATGTCCAGCTGTATGATTTCGATGACCTGTTCCTCATGGGCGTTGGAAATGCCTACCTTGGAGTTAAGCTCCTTCTAACCGAGAGACGTGAGTATTTCAACATGGGCACTCTGCAATCCGACTGACATTGGGTACGGTAGACTGCAAAGACCGCATTTCAGGTGTCGTCAACTTTGTGACTGGTAACTTACGACCTGTCAAATCCGCTACGGACGAGACTCTTTCCGGTTGGTACAAGCGAAATTCCCTTGTTTACGTGTCGGCAGACCACGCTTGCTGGTCGGACCCCGACCTGACTAAGAAGGTGAACAAGAGGAGATTTGGAGATGTACAGAAGAGTGACAAGGTCGGCCTGAACCACATGATGCAGCGACATGCTCCCCAGGTATTCGACTTCATCGCAGAACGGCAGTCGAGAAGCGGATACACGACAGAAGAGGATAAGATGAGCTAGCGGAGTTCATGATATAAACAAAGAACAGAGGTTTGCCTTTAAGTTGAGCATAGATGCAGAAGTATTAGTGGTTGGCTTGTGCAGGCATGCAGGCAGGAAAGCGGGCTGCTAGATCATCAGAGTCATTTGCAGCTGTCGCAGGATAGTGATACCAGTATTGAGACTTGAAGGAAGCCGAGCCATATGTGTGCCTGGGACGATGGATACCTAGGAAATATGGCGCTTATAAAGCCAACATGTCACTGAGTACTGAATAATCTAAACGAAATCATCTCCGTGAAGTAAAGTATTTGGTGTTGGCATTGGTCGTAGAGATGTTCGTTTTTCCGGCTCGATCACCACGACGCAAGATCGTTTGTTGTTGTTGTTGTTGGAATGGGGAGCAGGGAAAAAAAAAAAAAGCAGAGAGAGTCTTTTTGAACAGTAGTAGACGCGCCTCGCTTTGAATGTTAAGGACTGGCCGTTGCCGCGATGCAAACGTTCTATGCACATAGCCGCAGGTCAACCGTGGTCGTCTGGTTGCCATTTGCTCACTCTGTCGATCCAACTCCCAGACACAGAAAATTATCAAGTCGCAGATTTTTTTTTTTTTTTTTGATCGCTTTCTTTCATTCCCGCGTCAAAGTTTCCGTTTGCTTGGACGAGCAACAAGCCAATTACAATCTTGCAAATCCCAGTTGTACGCAAGCGACCTCTTCCCTCCTCTGAAGCTGCGCAGTATTCTGCCCACAGCAACTGACAACACCAAGGTGTAGGTAGGTAACCGCGCGTTCTATTTTCTAAAGTTTTATTTTGACTCCTTCCAAAAACGAGAGTTGGCTTGTTCGAGATTTCGAAATAACTAATTTGACATTTTAATATTTCTGCAGACTTTTGCGACATCAGTACTACACAAGAGACAACATAGGTACGTACTTCTCATTCTTATGCCAAGACAGTCACTAGCTGAGTCATCATTCTGGTGTACTGTGTACAGAGTAGCTCTTATCGATAAGCATTCGATCCAGGGGCCCAGCGTGGCGTGTCTCTCAAAAATGTCCGACCGTCCCAGGCATGGGCGTCGAGGCCGTGGCGCTCGTCGTCAAAGCCGCATATCCAGGTTTGGTCGACCGACAACACGAACACGCCGCCACTCTAGTCACTACAGAGGGCAAGCGTTTCAGTTACCGCTGCGAGGTCGAGCTGCAGACCAAGATCGCGATCGAGATCGACACCGAAGCCAGACTGCAGAGGCGCCGATACAAGCAGACGACGAGTCGGGCACTCCTTCTGAGCGTCTCCGGCGACTCTACGACGCCCGGCACCTCATTGAGCTCCAGATCCTTAACACCGAGATTGGTTGCGAGCACCAACTACAAGAAATGGAGCGCGATTCGCGAAGCAGAAGGTAAGGCCGACCAAAATGCGCTCATGGATACCTGGACCGCGCACCATCACCAACGGACCTTCGTCACCTCGAGGTTGGCAGCAGCGATGGACACTTGCATTCCCTTGGTTGCCACGACTTGGCAATTGGTTCCAAGCCGAGTCCAACGCATTCCTCATCTACAGGAGACTGGCTGGCTGAGCGAATGCCAACTCCCCGCAGTGCTCCCAACATTTTGTGCTATTCATGCAAATGCACCTACAATTTCATGGTATTGATAATGGACAAGAAGAAACATGCTAACCCTAGACTCCTGGTTAGATACGATGATGGTGAGGTCACTAGATATGGCGCTGGCGAATCATATCGACCCTTCAACGATCGCACTCCTCGACGTGTGAGAACTCCAGAGAGAGAGCGACGAAGCCCCCAGCCTCGAGATCGCGTTAGGAGCCCTCCTCGTGAGCCCAGAGATCGGCCGCGAAGCCCACCGCGAGAGCCTCGGGAACGACCTCGCAGTCCTCCCAGAGAGCCTCGAGACAGACCTCGCAGCCCTCCTAGGGGACCGAGAGCCCGCAGCCCACTTCCTCGAGACCGGCCTCGAAGTCCCCCTATCCATGAGAGCCGCTATGTACCTGATCGCACACCACGCCGACGATCACGCAGCCCCTTTAGACCCGATCGCTCGCGAGACGGCGGCCGCGACGACGATGGCAACAACAGGGGCATAGCGGCCGCGGATACCTGGCGACGACGGGAAAGATCTCGCAGTCCTGTGCGGCGTCCTTCGCCTCGACGCTCTCCTATGCGACGCAACCATTCTCCGCCCCGAAGATTCGCTTCGCCACGACGTGATATGAGGAATGATAGGGACCGTCGCGACTTCAATTCGAGGGATCCAAGGTCATTCCCCCAATCTCATTCTTTTCAGACTGACACTTTTGCATCACCCCGCGGACGTGGTGATGGCAATCCCAACAACATTCCCATTGCTCACAACAAGCGTGTAAGCCAGTCGCCGCTCGGCAATGGCAACCCGTCAAGTGACTTCCAGCATGAGTATGAAAACCCGCTGCGTCGATTTGACGCGGCGAGACCTGCTCATTCAGCGGGGCCTGGCAACAATCGACGAGGTCGTAACACTAGTCGTGGTCGTGACCTCATGTTTCCAGATGTGCCTCACGCTTCTGAGCAATACACGGCTCAGCGCCCTTTTCATCGCAATTCTCAGCATGATTCTAATTTTCAAGCTCGCGCGAATAATGTTGACACCCCTTATAGAGGTAGATCAAGATCAGCAGATAGAGACCGTCGCGATGTGCGAGATCGTGATAGGAGAGGCTCACCAGTCAGGCGGGTTTCTCCTGGTCCGCGACCTGGGCCGTATCGACGTCGCTCTCCCAGCCCAGACCGGCGTGATACCCGCTATATTCCTGCACAAACCCAAAGACGACCATCGCCGCCTCGAGGGTCTGCAGTGTCTTCAGCTTTTCCTAGTCGGGACCAGTCTCGACGTCCTTCGCCCCTGCCTGTCAATGGACGCAGGATTGATCGCTCCAACCCTCAGTCGCCAATGTCCTCTCGACATCATTCCCGATCTCCTCAACGCCCTGCTCCCAGAGATCGGGAAGCAAGTCCACTCCGTCCTGCTGCTGCTGTAGCTACTACTACCTCGTCCGCCGCTATACCTATCAGATCGCCTCCCAGAGGTCCAGCCGTCCAACGTCCCCCTCCTACAGGTCCTCGTGGAGACAGAAACTGGCGAGACAGCCGTGATGAGCGGGATTCTCGAAGCTACCCAGGACGCTCTGCTTCGATTTCAAACGAGACACCGAACAGACCTACAGCTCCCCCGACTCGCCAAGACGTCACTAGTCCTGAAGTTCCCCCGGCTGGTCCTCGAGGCTATGGTGCTCCCCGCGGTGGATACGGCCGAGGAGGTCGCGGCAATACGTGGATCGCGCCAGGTGGACAAAACCGCAACGATTCGCCTGCTCCTGGCCCTGCAGCGGCCATGACTGGAGGCAATAATGTGTCGGTGCCAACCGGACCTCGCGGACAGACACCTTCAAACTCTGTCCCTTCTACACCGAATACTCAGTCAAAGCCCTTTAACCCGCCAAAGGGTCCTGCAGCGGAGAAGCGCCAACTGACGGTTTTTGACAAGGAGGTGGCCACAATGACGCCCATCATCCCAGGTGGTAAGATGTCCATCGAAGACGAAGCCGCAATGAATGGCGTTCTGCCCGAACAGCTTGCACATTTCAAGGCAGCAGAGGAAGAGGCAGACAGAATGCGGAAGGAGATCGAGAAGAATGACGAAAAGACACGTGCCATGATGGCCGAGTTCAGAAAAGGACAGCGCGAGTGTGAGCTTCTGAGACTTCGAACTGAGCTTACAGAAAAGGCTGTCGCAAAATCATCCGGCGAGAGCTTGTTGGGCTCTGCCTTTTAGGCATACATTCAGCGTCAAGTTTGGCATCATTGTTCCGGAGTTGAGGGTAATTTTTTGCTGTAAGAATAATGGGTATACCCAGGGGGGAAAGGGGATTGTTTTCGACACGATCAGATATGAGGATTTGCACATGCCGCAGCTGAATTACGATCTCTGCTAATGTGCTAAACTCAACAAGGAGAGAAAAGGTTTTACATGCTACTGTATTCGTAGTCCCTCGTTCTAGATAGATAAGCTCAGGCTTGTTGGCTTTGATAGTGAACAAATGGCATGTATTCTAACGAGATGATTTTTGCACTTGCTCACATGACTGATGTATAAGTACTTGCGAATAAAGCAAGACACTGTCTATTTGATGATGAGTTCGCACGGGGCACTCTAATCTTTCCCGGCCAGGCGGAATCGTCATTGACTCAACCAGCAATACAAGCCATCGCGCAACTATAAACCAAACTTTACTCAAAGGCTACCAAATCGAGTATCGAGTCTTCAGAAAACACGAAGGGTATGAGCCGCTCGTCAACACGGAATTAGGCAGTTGGAACTTTATTTCTACCTTTTTTCCACGAGATGTAGTTCAAGGGAATTTGACGTTACTCATTTTCCACATAGTAGGAGATTCATCCAGACCGAATATGCTATATTTTATATACATTCAAAACAAATGTGCAAGAGATGTAAAATATAAGGTATCCGCACTATGAGGAACTAAGTACGCTCTTGGATTCTGTGCCGGGAAGAGGCTAAATCAAAAGGAAAAAGAAAAGTTTATGTTTAGTCGTGACTCATAATAAATAAAACCCCAAATTTAAGATTTCGCTCCTCCAGGACCCTTTCATGGATCAAATTCCAAAAAAAAAAAAAAAAAAAAAACAACAACAACAACAAGACTTGCGACTATAAATTACTTTCTCTCCCTTTAGCCAAGCTTCAACGTATAGGAAGCTAGCTCCTCTCGAATAACGACGTCGTTGGGCATATAGGCCTGGGCGACCCGGAGCAGCTTCTTGGCCTGGTCGCGGTCCTTGCAGTTCTTGTAGGCCATGGCGGTGCGGTAGTAGATGCGGCCGATCTGGAGGCGGCCAGGAAAGTTGTCGGGGACGAGCTCTTGTTGCGGCTCCACCTCGCGCTCGTCGGCGCCCGACATTTGCTGAAACATGTGAATCGTTCTCATGCCCCAAAAGATGACCTCTTCCCAGTCGCCCAGCTTGAGGTAGGCCAGACAGGTGCTGGCGACGAGCTGGATGCGCAGGGCCAGGCGCTCGAGCTGGCCCGACCGCCCGACGTAGGGCTCCTCGCGCAGCTCGCGCGCAAAGTAGGCCTCGCCGTGCACGTGGCGGGCGCGGCCCTTGACCACGATGAACATGGCGGCCCAGGCCTGCGTGTACAGGTCGAGGGCGGCCTGGTACCGGCCGGCCTTGAGCTCCGTGTTGCCGGCGTCCTTGAGCCGCGTCGTCTCGACGAGGCACTGCTCGGGACTCGGGTACGGCTTGGCCATCTCGGCGCGCATGTCGGCCTCGATCGAGGCCAGGGGGGTAGGGTCGCCCGTGATCTGGACCTGGCGCAGGTTCTTGACGGTGCCAAAGGGCGCGATGAGCCGGCGCTGGAGCGACTTTGGCATGCGGCGGTCCTCCCACTCGGGGGTGTAGGGGTCGCGGAGGCGCAGCTTGAGGCTGAGGAAGCGGTTGAGGCCCGGGTTGGACAGGTCCGAGTAGAGCCAGATCTGGGCAAACTTTTCGAGGTCGTCGAGCAATATGACAATGTGGTGGGGGTCGGACTCGGCAATCGGCGTCTGCGGCGCACCAATGCTGGCGCTCAGGCTCCAGTCGCGGAAGCGGGCGGCGCGCTCGCCCTGCATGAGGATGGGCACGTGGCCCTCAAAGGCGACGTACTCGCGGGCATTGGGAAAGGGCGTCTCGATGCGCACAAAGACGTTGAGGTCGCGAAAGACCTTGCGGGCCTCGTACCAGATTTGGCGGTTCAGGCGGAAGAGGGCCAAGGCGTCGCGGTAGCTGTAGTCGGTATACTCGTCGGGGTGGTGCAGGCGGTTGGCGTCGGGATGGAGAATGATGCGGTAAATGTGCTCGCGAATCTCGGGCGGCAGCTCGAGAAAGGGCGACGGGGACGATGGTGATGGTTGCGCCATCATGCTGGTGTCGTAGTAGCCCGGCAGCGAATATCTCCTAGCCAGACTCCCCAGGCGGCCCAGCGACGCTTCCCAGTAGTACTTTGCTGTCGATCGCCCCAAATCCAACAGAGACTCTGTTGACTCTGGATCCTCCAGCGACATTGCCCAGAGAGAGAGAAACAGAGAGAAAGGACGAGGATTGGTAAGCAGAAAACAAAGACAACGAGAAAACGAGTACGTAAAAGTTGCGGGCGCAGCGGAAATCAAATGAATTGAACATCTCACAAAGGTCGGAGACGATCCACCCCGCCGCGGCCCTGGAGTTCGGGACCTTGAGCCCCCCCGTTGCCGTTGGATCTAACGATGATCTTCCTAACGCTGGTTCCTTGCCCCGCACTTGTCGGCTCCTTCCAGAGCTTTATCCCTTGTTCCACTGTCGCTCTTTTTGACGACACTTGTGTGATGGGTATTGTAAAATACAAAAAAATGCAGGAAAGCGATAGTGGCAGGTATGGCAGTAGAGAAGGGATTAATCAGAGTATATACAAAGCTTTCCGAGTTTTCTACCGTGATTGCAAACCTATCACATAGAATGGATGGGATGGGGCCAAGACTTTCCGATATGGTCCTTATACCAAACGGGTCGTCTTAATGATCCTTTTCCGCCTGGACGATAAGGGGCAAGTAAATCTTGATATGCCGAATCTGGTTTCAGCATAAAACAAGGAACATACCTCCCCGAATACGAGTAGCAAAGTGTTTCAACCAAATAATTCTCCTGCCCTCGCTCGACCAGGCTAAAAAGCGTCCTCCTCACGTACAAGATGGGTATATACGCAATACCCAAATGAGCCTTACCTCCGAGAACCCGGATAACGTGCCATGGCAGTAACCTCTGTCTTTCCATGCGATTCTGTTGCTCGGGATTTTTTTGTGACCAGTGTCGGTACGCATATGGTTGCTTTCAACGACATTTGGACGAGGAATATTTGCCATCACATTGTGCGATGTCACATCTAGGCCAATGCGCGTCTCGTGAAATTGCAGTGTCATGTCGATCCATGTGCTCAATATCGCAACGCTGCTGGACCATAACGGGGGGATAATAGGAAGCATTATACAACATCATATTTCATGGTAAGTGTCACGTATCAAGGAGCATCGCAGTTTGATGAAAATGTGGTAAAATTCTTGAAATTTTTATTTGTTTGCCTTGGTTTTATTTTTTCTCGTCGTGGCCAACTAATTGTACATGCTAGATCATTCCAAACATTCATTTAATATTACGTACAAAGTCTAAGACCACCATGCCGAAGGGAGATAGATCATCGGTTGTATGGAAGGGGCAGTGGCATGTCCCTTAGAGGATGAGAGCGGCACCGGCGACGAGACCCAGCATCATGCCACCGGCGGCAGCGGTAGGAACGGCAGCAGCGTTGCCTGAACTCGAAGACGAGCCGGTGGACTGGGAGCCCGCAGAGGTGTGGGTAGTGGTGCCAGTCGTGTGGCCCGAAGAGTCCGTCAGGGCTGATGTCTGAGTAGTGGCTGCGGAGCTGACTTGCGAGGTAATGGTGCTGCCGTCCGAGGTCAGAGTCGTGAAGGCACCGGCCCCAGCCGAGGACAGGCTCGAGACAAAGGTCGAGCCGTCCGAGGTGATGGTGGTCAGGGCACCGCCAGCAGCTCCCGTGGCGGATGAGATGGCCCCGCTGGCGTCAGAGGTGATGCTCGAGAGTACCGAGCTGGCGTCGGAGAGAATGCTGGAGATGGCCGCAGTGGCTGAGCTCCCGGTATCGGTGATGTCGGAGATGATGCTGGGAAGAGTCCCAGTGGTAGTGTCCTGAGCAGCAACCAGAGCTGCGAGAGGCAGGAGAGCAACAGTCTTGAACATCATATTGACGGTATTGTTCCGTGTATTATCTTGTTGAGGTGGTAAAGACTGGTTGGGCAAGAGAAACGAGAGATGTTTGGCAAGTTTCTGGTTATAGTTGTGTTAAGGATCGAGGATCGAATTAGGGCAATATAAGAATTGAGCCAAGCAAGTAAAAGACAAACGTGGGATCTTTTGTTTATATAGCTAGGAGGAATTCCTGCCTCGAACAAAGCTTCGTGCTAAGGTTTCTGGGTCATCTAGGAACTACCTTGAAGACGGACGGAGCCCACGAGGAACAAGCCCCTTGGCATCTCCTCAGAGTGACGTCCTTGTGCTAAGGCCGGGGGGGCTCGATCGAGAAGATGACATGATGGATACCGTCATGGCCTCAAGAGGGCATTGCCGTGCCAGCCGTTCTACCTCTCAAGCCGCTGTTTCGGCCGCTCAGTGGCCTGGGAACCTTAAAAAAACAGCTGAGCACTGAGGCGGACTTCTGCAACCTGCTGCAGGGGAGAGCCTTGGTCAGCTTGGCAACCCAGCACAGGTACCGAGGGTACTTGGGGCAAAATAACAATAAAAAGGGACAAAGTGGACAAGCTGGAATCACCAGCCAGTGGTCAGAGCTGGAGCCAGAAGAGGCGTCAGGGCGTTCTTTGCAGCAAGTCTCCTGTCTGTCTCCTGGTTGCCTGGGGCTGGAAACACGACGACTGGTGCTTTGTAGTGCTGCTCTCGGGGCATAAAACATACCTATGGGGGTGGACGACTGGGTGGAGGTCGGGGACCAAGCTCTGTCCGTCCCTGTAATTGGGAGAAACTGCAGATCATGTAACGTTCAGGGTGTTGCAATGTAAGCAGAAGATGACTTCACCGTGTATACTAGCTCGACTCTAATTCCAACATTGAATGTCGTGCTACCTAGGGCGGCGCAGCTACGCTAATGCACCATAGCCGAGCGTATCCGGGGCAGACAAGCACTTGAGAGCTGGGCGAGCTGGGCGAGGCGAGGAAATAATTATGTTGTAGTAGTATAGGAGAAGCAGAAGCTGGCACATGGAAATCTAACAAGATATGCATATTCTATCTGTCCGGTTTTTTTTTTTAATGCTTGACGATATCCATACATGAGAAACCATGGCCGGTCATTGTTTTTTTACTCTCTCTCTCCCTTCCCTCTGAGCCCCCTTCTATTCCGTCTGTTATCCGTACTCGCAAAAAACTTGCACCACAGCAATGCAGTGCAGTACAGTGCAATGAAAAATGTCCCTACATTATCCACTACAATATCCAACGGCGGACCTTCACCGCTATAGTGAAAACAAGTTATTGTGAAAAGGTGAGACATGAGCACAAAATAGCTCTGAACGCTAGTGGGAGCCGCTGCTCGAATGGTAAGGGAAAAGAAAACAAAATTTATACATGCACCATTTGCCGCGGCTTGCTTGTTTTTTTCCCCCCTACTGCAGAACCGGATTTTGATTTTTCTCTCTGGATCAAATTCAGGAACAGAGAGCAAAACATGTGCCAACTCTTACAAAGCAGACGACCCAAGCCACACATGAGGTAACCCAACCCCCATGTGCCATACGGTCAGCTGCATATTAACATGTGGTATTGTCCCGCCTCCGACTGTGTGGCGCCTCGTTTCCACCCGGAACTCCTAGGTTTTGGAGGGGAGATTGCTTTATGCCCGTGCCTCGCGTGCAAGTCCCGTTGGACTATTTGGATGAGCATGGTGGCCGCTTTTGCAGGGCATGCTGTATACCAGAGTACTTTGTATACATAATTGTCCGGTCTGTCTGCAAAGTAATGCATGTCTCTTTTCTCCTCCAGTGGCAGCTGGCCTTGGCAGGAGTTGGCCTGTCTAACACAACATGCGTATTTACCCACCTTATGTTATGCACAACATTTCCAACAAAAAAGACAAACAAACAAACAAACTAACTAACCTGGTCGTCGATCGTCCGTCATTGCCTCGTCTTTCTGGAACTGGCAATGCCCTTTTCTTAGACTCCCCGATTAGTAGCACACTTTCTTGCTTGGCTCAGAAACAAAGACATTTAGTTCCTGGTCCAAGAGCCACACTGGAGCTTAGCTTTGGTCTTAGAGACAAGATCTAGCCCTCTGGATTTTCCACCGGCCACTGCCTCTCTTGCCACCAGATTGGGACGATGATCTAATAATAACAATCATTTCCCCGCATTGGCTGGTCACTTGTTCCCAGTTTTCGTATGTCTTGTGGCGGTACGGCGGCTATTACAAACACCTTTGGCGTATACGAACAACAAGCACCAGCCAAATGCCGGTGGCAACGCAAGCAACCGGAATCGAGTCCCCCATCCGAGCCACTGAATAACTACTATAGTAAGTACCGCTGATACCCAGGCACCAGACAACCAGGTACTTAGGTTGTCAGGGATCGAAAAAAAACCCAATTACCTAGCGTGTATAGTTACCTGCTCGTTGTTACAGCCGCGTTTGCCATCAAGTGGGTAATTATGTATCTAAGGACAATCACTAGGTACAAATTCAACCGTGCCTGTTCACAGAGTTCGCTCTATAGCTCCGACAGGCAGAGTGGATGTAATCATTTGAAATGTTCTTTACGCGCCATTGGCGCTGAAGAATGGTGGTATCTTTATTTTATTCGCTACAATCGCTTTTGGACCGGCTGTGCAGTAAATACAGTAAATGGAGTCATAGTGAAGTCCAGAGGATCAAAGAGTACAGCTCCGTTGACATTACTCAGTGACTGCTGCAGGTGCAGCTTCAGCCGGTTCGGCTGCTGGTTGCTGCTCTGCAGGTTTGGGTAGTTCTTTGGGAAGCTCCTTTCGGCCATTTGCCTTGTAGTGCAGGACCACATCATTACCTCCTTTCCATACATGCGCCCGTAACGTTGCGAGGCTCATGGTGATTGGGAGCAACTGTCAACCGTGTTAGATTCATACCATATAATTGTGAAAGGTAACGGGCTCTTACTTGGTCATTACAGTACAGCTCAAGGTACTCCTCCGGCTTGAGAGCATCCTCGTCTGATTCATCTAATGATGGATCAATTCGCTCAGCAATATAAGCAAGGATTTTCTTTACACGAAGCATCCTATTGGCATTCAAGCGATTGTTGCCATCCGTTGCCGTCAACGTAGGGAGTGCATTTTCCCAGGGATGTAGAATGAATGAGACCTTGACAGGGTCCTTGGGCGGTATTGAATTCTAAAATTGTCAGCACCCATGAATCCAACCTCACAACATGGGTCACGAGTCTTACCGTCAAAAGCACCTCACCCAGCCACATTGGAGCCTTCTGCTCGATAATGTCTGCGTCCCTGCCCACTGTCTCAACTGTACCCCGGTACAGATTGGCACTACCACCTGACATTTCTTCTTGTATAATAATGCGGGTTCCTGGCGGTAACTTCAACACCGGCGTGTCAATGGGCAAGCTTGGTGTAATTCTGGTCTCGACGAGCTGATCTGGTTTCTCGATGAGCTGCTTTTCGTACTCATTGTGGATCTTTTGGATGACACCATAAAAGCTGTCATCCACCTCCTTTTCGTGGTTTGATGAAGATTCTGACTTGTTTTCTTCGTCCTTCTTTTCCTCTACAACGACTGGCTTTTCAGGCTGCGTCGACGATGAGGATCTTCCGAGCTTCTTACTCCCAAAAGACATTCCCATGCGGAATTTCTTTCCAAATGCGGTTGGCGACTTGGTAGTGTCCTTTTCCTTCTCTTTGATGTCCGTTACTGGTGTCTTTGGTGTTTCATCCTTGGCTGGTTCTGCGGCGGCAGCTTTCGCTGGCGCATCCGCAGAACTGATGCCACCCGCGAAATAATCTTCGGCAGATGGTCGACTTGTAGAAGAACGCTTTTCGTGTGGTGTACCTGGAGTCAGGGCAGAGCCTTCGGGGACACCGGGCAAGTGACCATGCGGACCAGGCGTAGCTACTCCTATCGCTAGACCGGGAGTCATGATGGGATATGCGCCGTTAGCTCGAGGCGTTACCACGTTTGAGCCGGTCTCATCAAAATCTGGTATGGGCGGAATGGGAATTGATAGTGGTGGGTTAACCCTTGCTGCGGACAAGCGTCGCTCTACGCTCTCGTTGAGCCTTCCCCTGTATGCCTCATCCTTTTTGATTTCTTGGTCAATCAAGCCGGCAAACAGATAACGCAGAACCCATCTTCCAAGGTTGACTGTCAACCAGTTAATATATGTATCTTTTAAGGTCAAGAGTCACTGGTCATACTTCTCTGGTCATCTCGGAACTCCACGGGCTCTTCCAGCACCAGTTCATCGGCATACATTTCGGCGTCAAAGCAATTAAATGGCTCGAGCACGACCGTTAAGTTGCCGGAACTAGTATCAATTGAGCACCAGGGAGCAACAGCTTCCAATGTGTTGACCTCGGGTTCCACATCCTCGAGGTGTTTCTTACCATACCTCTGGATGACTTCACACTAGTAAAGTATTAGCATCAATACAACAAGCTCCACATGTCGGTTGTTTTATTACCTTGATCAAGTCCCACAGTAGCACGTCTCCTGCCGTGTCCAGCGTGAGAACGCGTCGTCTGTCATTGAGGAGCTTGTGCTTCACCAAACCATTTTGACCCTCAATCGTCTCCTCGGGCAAGTGGTCCAAAGGTTCCACATCATGTGACTCGGGCTCCAAAAGCACAGATGTCCTATTAGCTGCGGGTGTTTCCAGATTGGGATCGGATGGACTTGATAAAGTCGGTGGGAATGTGGCAGTGTGAGATATTTTGAGAATGGACTTTGGCGATATCTCCTTCTTGTTTGTGCCATTGACGATCGCAGATGGTGGTTGGAAAGTCTTTGAGGATGTGCTACTTGCTCGAGCACGTTTGTAAGCCTCGGGAAGTTGTGCGTCTGGCCCTGTCTCGACGTTTCTCCATCTGTTGATCGATGAGCTCGTGCTGGCGGTCCATATCCAGTCACGAGAGGCCACGATTTTGCCCACGCCATTGTGCTCTTGCGCCACAGCAACGGAGAGGCCCTCATCCATGTCTGAGACGCCTCTGACATCAGTCTTGACCACCCAGCCGGAGCGGTCACTGCTGTAGAAGATGCCAAGATCTGGATGATCCGAGAACAAGGACCACACACTGTCATTATGCATAGTGAATGTATACATGCATCTTCCTGCTGTGACACTCCAGACCTTGACCGTCTGATCCGAACTTGCAGTCATGACGGTGTCACCCGCCTCGTTGACCAGAATGGAGCGAACATTGTCAGTATGACCAACGAACTTTGTGATGCTCTTGCCGGACTTGGTGTCCCACAATCGGACAACGGATTCCGGCCCTCCACTTGCTAATATATTCCGACCAGCACTGAGGGCATACACAGATCCCTTCTCTTTGACATCTTCGCCACTAACATCAATTCCCAGCGACTGGCCTTTGCCGTTGATGTCCCATAGGTATATCTTCCTGTCGAGGCCACCGGATGCGACCCAATCGCCGCCGGTAGGGGTTGCGAGACACTTTACATAATCGGTATGTTCACCCAAGGTGTGGGCCTCGGTCTCGCCGGCCAATGGTCGCCATATCTTCACGGTCAAATCGGAGGAGGCAGACACCAGAGCAGTATTATTAGCGGCTAGGACAATATCGTTGACCCAATGGGTATGCGCCTGAGTAGAGGTGCGGAATTTGGTGGCCGACTTTGACTTGGTGTCAGAGGTGGCGTCTACGGCGCTCAAATCCCAGGCGCACACAACTCCATCTCGTCCGCCCGAGTAGCTGTATAGAATGCGACATTAGAGGTTGAGGCAGGTCTCGGGAGAGTAAGGCAGGGCGCCGGGAATCGCTGGTGTGAGAGCTTACAGAATGGCGTTATTCGGGTCAACAGCCAGGCCATTGACGCCGAGTCTGTGGCCGCCTGACGAGGAGTGGTCGAGCTCGCATACTATATTTCGGGAGGACCGGGTCAGATATGTAAGGTTGATCGGAACGAATGGATAGCATTTTGTCTCGGGAAGCGCCTCGACTCGGGAACGCGCCCGGTCGAGAATAGATGAATGGATGGGATGGGATGGGATGCGGGGTTTTGGATTTCACAGCATTGATTGCTAGAGAGACGGGCAGACGCACCATAGCTTATCCTCTGACGTGCCTTTTTGGCCATGGCGACTAGGAGGGGTTACTTTACAATCATGCAGACTTGCTTATGCCGCGCGACTGGGACTCTTTGGGAGTTGATATATCCAAGAGTAACGAGCGAGTGAACGAGCGCATGGGATGGAAAACAATAATATCGCCGGAGTCGTTATTGCGCCAACACTTGCCGTGATTAGGAAGTGGGAAGAAGCTTAGGTGCATATGTTGGGGGGAACGAATTGATGAGATGGATCAGAGACTGGACTGGACTGGACTGGACTTGGCTTTGGGCTGGGCGTTGAAGCTGAGCTGAGCTTCTTGCTGCTGCTGCTTGCTTACTTTTAGCACTCCCGCCGAGCACTACTACTTACTGCTTTCCCTCCTGGGGGGGTAAGGTAGGGCAGGTTGTTTTCCAGGTTGGTGGTTGGATTCTCAGTGGCCGGACCCGACGCAGTTCCCAAATGCAGGTGATGGATGGCAAGATGGGTGCCAGAACCTGCGGAAGCTTCCAAAGAGATTCCGCGCTACTGCGGCGTCCTACTGCGTTAGGTACGGTGACAGAATGACGCCCATTGTCCAGGTCATTGCCTCCAGTAGCCCCCCAGACTTTTTCCCCTTCCAGCGCCAAGCTCCCTCGGTGCCCCTCAGACTACATGGCAAGAACCAACCAACGGCACTGAAAACACTGGGGATGGGGAAAAGGCACCAGGGGCCCTGGGAGCTTTTTGGAGCACTGGCTAAGCTGGGCCCTGCTGATCCCAGCCCGTTGGCAACGCTAAAGCAGGTCTGCATGGGCTGTAGCGTCCTGCTCGTGCGCCGTATCCCCGGTCCGTTTGCCTTTAGCTGCTTGGTCCATGTTCGGAGTCGAAACCAAAGATGGGGTAGTCAGTCGCAGGTTTCGCTTACACCTTCTTCTACTGCTGCACTCAGTACAAATTTGAAGGATCATGTGCGTCAATTCTCATGGTTTACTATGCATCTTGCCCATATTATTCATGTAACTCACTAGACATACAGCAACCATGCTCTCATGAATAATAGTTGTTGGAATAACCAAAGATTCGAGATGTTGTATCTGCGCGACTTGAACCACTTACCTGGAATTCGCGTCTACCATCTTGTGATGCGGCAAATCTCCGAAACAACTATCAATGTCCCTATCAGGTCATGGAAGAGTCCCGCCCTCCAAATAGAAGAACAACTTATTGGCAATTAATTGCACAAAGAGTGATTGCGGGCGGTGCCATCCCTCTTGTCATCCTCGCGTCAACCAAAGAGAGCATGGAGGGCAATTACCAAATCTGGTCTCTGTCATGCCTCGTGACAGCGATCTGACCTTGGGACTAATGAAACGACCTAGAGGGGGGCAACTCACAAGTATCGAGACACTGCCACTCAGTCATGAAAAGAGCCTACATCTCCAGTTGTGGTGACACACATCCAGTTGACACTCAAGTCGTCTTCATATTCGTCATCAAATAGACGGTCTCACAGATCAGAATTTGTGCGTTGCCCATCGCTTTGCCATGATCTACTGTGCTAATTTCTGGCATGGCGCAGTCCGAGACCATCTGCAAACTCCTACCAGACAGTGATCTATTCAACCGCAGATCCCGCCGCTCCAAAGAACCTTGAAAGGTTTAATGATCCGCTGAAGATGTACATCTCGTAAACTCCGTCTATGCTCTATTTATTCTAGGGAGATTTGTACACTGATAGTTTTTTACAACCCGGCATGTATGCAGACATGCTGGCAACAGGGAGGGCGGACCTTTATAGTATATTCCCTTGCAGTGCATTTACTGCCCACTGATAACTTCCCAAAAAGATGGCGCCACCAACACTAATCCAGCCAACCCGGGGCCCAATACCGGCAAAGAATGGCCGTACGCCGTGAGTCTTCAGTATGCTCCTCAACAAGGGAACGACGCCTATCCGTTCCTTGGATAGCATGATTCTCGTCTTGAGCACGTCGAGAGGCGTTGTGGTAGCGGCAGCCACCGCACCTGCAATGCTTCCGTACAAAGCGCTCTCGGCCGCGCTGACCTCGAGCCTGTCGTCGCCCTTTCTCCTCCGGCCCCACGCCTTGAGCGCCTCCCACAGCGGGAACTGTATAATGGTGAACGGCACCTCGCGCATGACTGTGATTCCCCAGCCTCGGTACAGCTCCCTCCAGACGCTGACGAGCCCCGATGTCTTGTACTGTCCCAGGATCGCGCCCAACGCTGCCGAGCTCGAGCCGCCGTGGAGGCCGGCCTGCGCGCGCTGCTTGACCACCTCGGTGGGCACGCGGATGGCGCACGCGGCCACCTCGCCCAAGCTCGCGGCAATCATGTGTTCGGCGGGCTCGACCCAGCGGCTACCACCGCCCTGCTGTTTCGCGTGGAGTCCGTCACCGCCCGACAGGAGCAGCAGCTCGTCCTGCTGCCGCCGTCTCCGTGAGGCTAGCGCGCTCTTGACGCCCTCGTATGTGCAGAAGAAGAAGGCGGCGCCGGGGGCTGACCCCACGACCGCGGACCCGATGCCCCTGTAGATTCCGCTGAAGCCACCCGAGGGGAAGAATCCGGCGGCAGACTGGAGCCGCGTCTTGAGTGTGTCGAGGGGAAAGAGCGAGAGGTCGACGGTGGTTCCAGCGAGGCCGCCGGCCACGAGGGCTGTCGCGAAGGGGGGCTGAGATGGTTTGGCCGTGGACGACATTTTCAGCAAAGCGGGTGGGGAGGGATATGTATTGTTTCCCGAGTCTTGCTCGTTGCGCTTCTTCTTCACGTTCTGAGCGTCGAGGCTCGGGCCTCTGTGTTCTCTGACAAGTCTGCCGGCATCGGATCGTTGGTGACGATCCAAAGTGCTCCGTTGGTTGGAGCTTTTGCGTTTGCTCGACTTTTTTGTGGAGACTTCTGAGTAGAGAGTTTCCCAAAATGGCTAGGCACCCTGGTAGGCCGAGTATAGAGCTCCTAGTATTCAGACCATTCCACACTCCAGACAAGATTGGTAGTAATTGACCGTCACGGTCCTCAATTGGGATTTCATGTACCAGAAGACTGAGGAAATAGGGCATGCTCAATATATATGTGACAGGGGTTGACTTTGACTCTGACTCTGACTGTATTGTAGAAGGACCATACCTTGGCAATGTGCAGACTGGTCAAGCAATACACATTGTTGAAACATTGTGTGAAGCAGTGATGACTATAGTGTTGTCCAACAGCAATGCCATTGACCAATTCTTATTGAGAAAGGATTCAGTGGCAGCTCATTGAAGCTGACCACTTCCGCCATAAGCCAACCCTTTCTTCTTATTTCGAGCAGAGAAGAATGTACACACTAGCTTGACACCTCAGCTAGTACACATATCCATACAAACAGTAAATGCTTCTTCCTCCTACTTGAAATACGTTCAGCCACACATGTTAGGACAGATGCCCTGTAGTAGCCGCTGGCTTAGACCGACGCATGTCCCAACGCAGACATTTGGACTGTTGAGATCGCGGCTTTTGTCTGAACTTGCCGGTTATTGCTTCAGCGTTTTCACTTACACGCAATTTCTAGTTTTGAATCGTTTGTCATAGACTGACATGCTATCCAACCACTGCATTATGACGCAGGATATCTGGTCCGCACGACAATGCAGCGAATTAGTTTATATATCCTTCCAATCCTGGTCTCCTGTACGGTGACTGTACTGTTGAGGGGTAATCCGGGGCTCTGATTCGCGGAATTCAAACTCCAATGTTGTCGGCGATCCCCTGCATTAAATTTCTTTTCCCTATATACTGATTTGTACCAAGTCACAACGTCGTCACATGGAGCCATGGTCAGGGCAAATCGCCTCGGTCGCCGCCTTGCTACTGCCGGACTGGTGGATGCAACTCCGATCGTTTTATTTACCGTCGGATATATTCCCCGCAATGACACCTCGTAATAGTATTGCCGTGCAGAACCGGGATCCATTCGTGGCTCAGATTAGCCACGCACAAGGTTCAAGAATAGGTATAAAATCACTGTCAAGATCGCATTGATCCTTATGGTTGGCCGGGTTGATGCCAAGAGACACGATTGCCAATGATAGCTGTGTCAGTTTGAAGAAGACAGACATGCGTTTCTTCTTCGACTTTACTCTCCTCGCTTGCGGGGCTTCACACCTCGTCCACGGCTACGATGCGTCTCGACACTTGTGGTACGACGAGCCTGGGGCCGACTTCAGTACGGGCCTCGCCATTGGCAATGGACGCATTGGAGCTCTCGTCTATGGGTCCGATACCGAGAAAATCACACTAAATGAGAATTCAGTGTGGAGCGGAGAATTTCAGGACCGTATAAACAATGCGTCGCTAGAAGCATTTCCCAAAGTCAGGGAGTTGATCGCGGACGGCAATCTGACCGATGCTGGTCAGTTGGTCTTGGAGGATATGTCGGGGATTCCAACGACGAACAGAGCATACAGCGTCACAAATGATCTCATTCTGGACTTTGGTCACTCGGAAGGAGACTGGGAAAATTACGAGCGCTGGTTGGATACACTTGACGGAAATGTAGGAGTGAGTTACGACTATAATGGGGTCACATACAGGTGAGTCTACCAGAAACATTCAAGGAAAATTCACTGATGTAAGATAGTCGTGAGGTTATAGCCCAATTCCCCAGTGGCGTTGTTGCTGTCAGGCTGAATGCCAGCCAAGAGGGAGCTCTAAGTGTCAATGTTGCCCTCTCGCGGAGCCAGGGCGTTTTGTGGCAGGGAGCTTCACTCGACAACAACACCGTCACCATGGATGTCGGAGGCGATGACGCTGGTTCAATAGCGTTCTCTTCCGGCGTCCGTGTCGTGGCAGATGGAGGTAAGTGGGAAGACCAAGATGTTTCCTAATGATGGCCTAGCTAATCATTCACAGATATCAACGTAAACGATTCTTCTCTAGTCGTTACTGGTGCCACTGTAGTCGATATCTTCTATGATACCGATACCGAATTCCAATGGACCAGCCAAGAGCTGTACAAGGAGTCTGTTACCAACAAGCTTGCGGACGCAGTCTCAGCCGGCTTCGACGATTTAAAATCGGAAGCTATCGCTGATCATAGTAAACTTATCGGACGAGTGGCACTCGATATTGGGTCAAGCGGCGATACGGGTCTAGTTGCTACGGATGAAAGAATTCTCAATTACCAAGAAGATCCAGACGCCGATCCTCAGTTTGTCTCGTTGGCGTACCAGTTCGGGAGGCATCTTCTGGTTGCGGCATCTCGCGACACTGGTGGTACGCTCCTTGGAGTTCCTGCTAATTTGCAAGGCATTTGGAACGACCAATATTCTCCGCCTTGGTAAGAAACACACAGCGTCTTTGTCTTTTCCTAGGTGATTTCTCTGACTGTATGATAGGGGAGGCAAATACACGATCAATATCAACACTGAAATGAACTACTGGCTCGCCGAACCTACGAATCTCATTGATACACTTCGCCCACTGTGGGACCTGATGGCGCGAGGCCGTGAGCGAGGATCAGAAGTCGCGGAGCGCATGTATGGCTGCCCTGGATATGTCACTCACCACAATCACGATATCTGGGGTGATGCTGTACCACATGATAAGTGAGTACCTACATTGTGACTTGCTATGATACATTAATGGGCGACCTTGATACAAAAGCCTGTCGATTGATAGGTAATGGTTGATACACTTACCCACGTAAGCTCATCTGGTCGAGTCCTCGATCGCTGATATCAAGTGTCACAGTGGAACCGAATGGACAATGTGGCCAATGTCGAACCTATGGCTATTGAGTCATATGATGGAACATTACCGCTTCACAGGCGACCAGGACTTCCTCAAGAACACGGCTTGGGATCTGTTTTACGATGCTGCAGCTTTCTGGAATTGCTATCTGTTCGAGTTCGACGGCTACACTACCAGCGGGCCCTCGATATCCCCCGAAAATAGTTTCGTCATCCCCGACAACATGTCCGTCGCTGGACAGGACGCGTCAATCGATTTCTCGCCCACCATGGACACGTCTCTTCTCCGGGAATTCCTCACCAACGTCCTCACCATTGCGTCTGATCTAGGCATCTCGACCGCGGATGACGATGTCCTGTCAAATGTTCAATCTTTACTGGACGGTCTGCGCCCCCCACAGATTGGCCAATATGGCCAGATTCAAGAATGGCGAATCGACTACGAAGAAGCTGCTCCCGATCATCGACACATCTCCCATCTTTGGGACCTCTTTCCCAACAGCCGCTTCACTCCGCTCGTGAACCAGACCCTGGCCGATGCCGCGCGCGTGTCCATCGAGCGACGTCTAGCCGCCGGTGGTGCAGCCACGGGATGGTCTCGCAGCTGGGTTGCTGCTTGTTACGCGCGCTTGTTCGACGGCGATCAGTTTTACAATCAGACGCAACAGCTGTTGCAGGGACATGTGATGCCCAACATGTTGAATGCCATTGACGTGGGCAGCACCACGTTCCAGATCGATAGTAACTTTGGCGTGGTTGCCGCCATCACGGAGTCTTTGCTTCAGAGCCACGCGAGTGTTGTGCATCTGCTTCCAGCTCTGGCTGATAAGATCCCCACGGGGTCCGTCACCGGCCTGGTTGCTCGTGGTGGCTTTGAGGTAAGCATCAGTTGGGAGGATGGAGCTCTCACACAAGCAACTATATACTCGAGGCTTGGCAATACACTCGCCGTTAGAGTGGCAAGCGGTACCAGTTTCAAGATTGATGGAGAAGAAAGTGAGAGTATCGAGACGACTGCTGGTAGCACCTACACCGTGACTCTTGCCTAATAGCATAGAGTATTTTTCCCAGGGGATACATAGCATATAAGGAACAAGGCGTGACACATGTTTGGCACGTTGTGTAACCATAAGTAATCTCTCGACAATAAGCCTTAAAATCAACTCTAGGAAAACAAAGCTTTCACCCCAAAATGCATATCTTTCGATTTGTGCTTGGTTCATCTCATCCGATAAGGATGCGATACCTGTGCCCGAAACTCTGCTCACTTGATATCCTCATCCCTAAATAGAGGACAGTCTTTGAAGGATAGGCTCGCCAAAAGTTGTGTAATAAGAGCCAACAATATATCCCCACCTATGACAGACGCAGTTGATCTCCGCACCGAAATCCGTTTCTAAACTCAATTCCAAGCCGCAAATGGCAAACGTGCTTACCCCAAGGCTCGCAGGCAACCAATTAGCCCGAACCCCCACGGGGATTTGGTGTATCTATACCCGAAGCGGAGATACTGTGAAAGCCAAGATGCATACCATACTATTCCTACAGTATCCAGGTCTCCCAACATCATACAAGACCCCATGAACCATATAGATCCAACTACATGTGATCAAGACAACCAAACAAGACCCATATCATTCTTGACTCTCGGGCTACTCTCTGTCTGTCAAAACACTGGACGAGGTCTTCGGGGAAAAGGAAAAAAGAACTCAGAAGCCACCGTGTCCTCTTCCAGCAAATCCGGCATGTCACTAAAAGGCAAAGTATTCGCCATTACAGGCGGTGCAAGCGGAATCGGATACGCAACAGCCAAGATTCTCTCGAGTCGTGGCGCCGCGGTAGGAATCGCCGACGTGGACCCCGAGGCGCTCAAGGCCGCCGAGGACTACTTTTCTTCCCAGGGCGATGCTACTGCTGCTGCTTTCCTCATCTCCAAGGTCGACGTCTCCAAGCGGGCCGAGGTCGACGGCTGGATAGCATCCATTGTGGCCAAATTTGGCCGCCTCGACGGCGCCGCCAATGTGGCCGGAATCATTGGCAAGCATCATGGTCTGGCCTCGGTGGCGGAGCTTGACGACACGGAGTGGGACAAGATTATTGCCGTCAACTTGACCGGCATGATGTATTGCCTGCGAGCCGAGCTGCAAAGTGTCGTCGACGGTGGGTCTATCGTCAATGTATCTTCGATTCATGGGACCAAGGGTGAGTTTTTCCGTCCAATCATGGCAAGAGTAATCGCCAAACACTGGGAGTGATGGATCTGACGCGTTCAATGTATAGGTTTTGCAAAACATGCGGCTTATGATGCCAGTAAACACGGTGTGGTCGGCCTGACCAAGGCCGCAGCATTGGAGAATGGGGCTCGTGAAATTCGAGTCAACAGTGTGGCCCCTGGATCCATCTATACTCCGCTCATGAAGAAGGCTTGGGACTTCCATAACAGGGCAGATGATGCAAAATTCGATGAGCCGACCGCATTCCAAAGACTAGGAACGGCGGAGGAGACGGCCAATGTCATTGTATTCCTACTGGGTCCAGAAAGTACATTCGTCAATGGGAGTGTATACTCTGTTGATGGCGGCTGGATATAATGGTCATCATCAACTAGATCTAGTGATTAGAGCGTTACAGGGAGGGCTACTTTTCAGATTTGGCTTTACAATCATCTATCAATATTCGATACAAAGAATTAGAGAAGCTGCTCTTGGTTGTCTGTCATATGGACTGTATAAAACAAATTCATCAGTGCACGTAGTCACGAGTAAGGTAGTGATGTATCTGCATTCGCTTCAGCCAAGCAGACCCATTTTGCTGAGTCCCTGACTTGGAAAAGTTTCCGGTCAAGACGAGAAATGCTTGTACCAAGACTAACTTCGTACTCTAGCTTTCCTGCAAATATTTCTATTTCGTGGATAGTTATACCAGCCTAAGACTTGTTTTTACATATTGAATAAAGAATGCTCTCGTAACATTAGCATGTGAAAGATGACACAATGTCATCTGCGCGTAATGTTTAGAGAATTTAATTGCACCGTATCTGGAATGTGGAGCTACCGTATAACCGCCATTTTGATTGGCTGTGAAAAGTGGCTTATAATTGCGATTTACCTGCAATTAGTGTATTGTGTCGACCATACGGAAACCTTTCTATACGACATCAATACGCTTGTGCCGATGCAACGATGAGACGCCCTGAAAGGAGGCCTGGGGTTACTAGACATGATTGCCTAAGTCTACATGAGTACTGAACGACGCCAAATAGCACTTTGCTTTGTGTTCGGCCCCATGTCAAGTGAAATTAATTTTAATGGTGTTTTGGTCATAGAAATTATCTTCTCTCGCATTTCTCGGGATTTTCGGCTCGTAATTTACATAAAATATGGTATAATAGAAAGCTGTCGTTTCCCTTTCTGTTTGCTCTTATTAAAAACAAAGGTCTAAGATTCTGGCGGTTTTCCTCACTCGTTTAAAAACTTCTTCGTTGATTTTGATACATTAAAGCGATCACGATGTCAGCGTCTTCATCGGCCTGTGTGAGCACAACCTTCGCTAATCCCTCAGTGCTCGGGGCCGAGATCCTCTCGATATCTGCCAGTTTGGTGCAAAATTTCTCTCGAACAGTTTCCGACCAACTATACTACAATCATCCATCCATTACGCTCAATGGGATCGATTATTGCAATGTTACTGTCACGTATACCCATCCCGGACAGAATGACACAATCAATGTTGAGAATTGGCTTCCTCTCAACGACTGGAACGGCCGTTTGCAGGCCCTTGGCGGTGGTGGCTTTCTTGCCGGGAGGTTCCCATTGACGAACACGGCCATGGCAGGGGCGATTGGAGAAGGTTACGCGGCAACATCCTCTGATGCGGGACTTCCACTTTCCTATATTCCTGACCCGTGGGCTCAGGTCAGCTCTGGCAATGTCAACCTCTATCTTCTTCAAGATTTGGCCTCCGTGGCACTTAATGATCAGGTACGAGATGATCCATGAAACATACAAATACCTCAGCTTGGAACTAATCATATGGCAGGCTATCATAGCCAAATCCATAGTGAACGACTTTTACGGACAACCGCCAGCTTACTCTTACTGGAGTGGATGTTCGCAGGGTGGTCGTCAGGGCATGATGCTTGCGCAAAGATATCCCGAGGCTTACGATGGAATCGCTGCCGCTGCCCCAGCTTTCAACTGGGGTCAATTCATTCCAGCAGCCGCTTGGGCTCAAGTTATGATGAATGTACTCGACATCTTCCCGTATTCTTGCGAATTGGACGCCATAACCGACGCTGCCGTTGCTGCTTGCGATGGGTTGGATGGAATCATGGATGGCTTGGTCTCAGACGCCGAGTCTTGCCATTTCGATCCTTTTACCACGGTCGGTCAGCAGATCAACTGTACTGAGACGGGATCGGTGATTACGATTAGCGATGGAGCTGCCACCATCGCAAATCTGACTTGGACGGGTCCGAGGTCATCTAGCAATGAATTTCTCTGGTATGGACCCTATTCGCAGGCACGACTGACTGGTGCGGCTGAAGCCACAGGAACTACTTCCGACTTGGGATACGCCATGACAAGTTGTAGTAATGGGACTTGTATTGGTGTGCCTACTGGCCTCGGCGAAGCCTGGCTGAAATTCTGGGTTGAAAAAGACCCGGCATGGAACTATACCCTCATCACATCTACGGATGAATATGCTAGTCTCTTTCATGCATCTGTGCAACAGTTTGATTCCATCATTGGCACAGCCGATCCCGATCTCCGAGAATTTGAGGCTGCAGGAGGAAAGATGATTACCTACCACGGACTTGTAAGTACTGGTTGACATCTGTATTCAATGATAGGCACTGATTATATAGGCTGACGGTCTTATTCCTACCGGTGGCACCGTGGACTACTACAACCGAGTATTGGATATCAGCCCCCACGCACAGGACTATTTTCGCTTCTTTGAGGTACCTGGACTGGCGCATTGTTCAGGAGGCAACGGTGGACAACCGACTGCCACGTTCCAAGCTCTAGTAGACTGGGTTGAGAATGGTGTCGTCCCTGAGTCGTTACCGATTAGCTTCAACGATACTGATGGTGTCTTGAACGAGAGGATCCTGTGCCCGTTTCCCGCAAAGGCGACCCTCAAGTCCACCTGCATGGCAAGTACCAGCGCTGACTGTTTCGAGTGTGCTTAATATCACAATTCAAAGGTTCATAATTTGTGGTGGGTGGCAGACATACCTTTCTTTCGGTAATATTCAAATCAAGCTATTTTGCTTGACATGAAACTCTAATATTGGATTTCTATCACCATGCATTTTTCTCCGAATTGAGTTTCCTTGGTATGAGCACCAAGTATTATATATATTGCAAAAAAGTTCGAGTCTATCACTGGCCACCAAAACACACACTAGAGTTTCAAGTCAGGCTGTGCTCTGCTTTCAGTGTCCCGAATTCTCTCCTCCACATCGACTTGACCAAGCTTTTCTTGTTTAAACAAGAAACAGGTGATGCGTTTCATTTTATTGCCTTTATCGAGCTCGTAGAGTGCACAACACGAGATCTTGGTGACATCTCCGGGGACGACGGTATAGCCATGAACAGTTTGGTTGGTCGCCTTGAGGTAGCGAAAATAAGACTCCATTTGAAGGAAGACATTGCCCCGATCACTTAGTACCACCAGGGGAATGACATTCTCCTCAGCATCTGCATGTACGACATTGTAGTGTTTCATGACGCCAGCACTTCCGACAAGTGTTCCAATCTCGGGGTCTGGGATAACCAGCTCGATGTCTGGCGCGTAAAAGGCGTGTTGTGCGGCATAGTCCCTCGAATTGAATGCTCGTAGATAGTCGAGTAGGTCTTGAACAGATAGATACGGTACCTCCATGGTCATGATCGAGAGCAATGTCAATAGCTTGTGATGAAGATAGATAAAGTATGGCTCATCCCTTTGTCATTTGCAAACAAAGGACGAGCGTCAGCCCAGTTTTAATCATATATTTACAATTCCATATCACCAAAAAATCCGAATTTGTACGACGTCGCGCTCGACGAAAACAAAGCCCGAGGGCTCGGAACGAAGGGGAATCGTATTCATACGTTAAACTTATGCCGCCGGGCACGCCTGTGCAGACTCCGCGCGCCGACCGACGCATGTTGCCTTATTTTTTTTTTTAATTAAGATAGATAGATCACTGGCCCACCGGGCAGCACGGAGCCGGTGCACGAAACGACACCTGCCTGGGGAAAAGCCTGGTGAAATCCGGGGTGGCGTTGATACTAGTTCCATGATATTAATTGCTAGGTCGTTCCCAACCTGTGCATCACACAATGCCTCCCGATCAATGCAATTGTATCACCGAAGCTCGCCTTTATCATGTCCCGCTGGAAGTACGCCTTTTCCCTCTCCAAGGAGGACGTCAAGGAGCTGACACCGCCTAGCACCGTGGTCCTGATCGGTAAGAAGATCTATGATCCACCATCCGACAATAACTAGTGCAACCACAATCGGTGATAATAATTAGATCGGAGTTCGGATCACTTAAGAAGCCCTGGCCATCTTCACTCCGTATCTGACTAGCCTTCTTCAGGACCGAATGCCGGATCTAATCGCGTAAATCGGGGAGGGGAGCAACTATTAATACTACTCTAGAGGCGATTTAGGAACCTAGCACCTTTACTACAGAACTCGGGCCATCTCACATACCTATCTTGGAATTTTGCGAACCATGATAAACCTGCCCGTCTATTCGGCCACTCTAGCGCCGCAATTTAACCTAGACAATGACAATGCCGTCAGCGCGATTAACATAACCATCAAGGTTTATACTTCAGCTGCCAAGGCCGGGCAGCCCCTCGTGATGTTGCCCCTGAATGTGGGAACGACGCCGACACTGCGGTATGACGGGGAAGCTCTGAGCGCATCCGACGCTGCGGGTCCCTTGGCCCTGACAATTCGGGACACGGCCGAGGCGAATTCAGAGCGGTACTGGTGCCCGGCGCGGAACCCGCAAGGGGAGATCGTGCTGAGGTGCACCGCCGTGCCACGCGAGACGGACGCTAAGACTCCCAGCGGGCCGCGTATCGATCTGCGGATGGATCAGGGTGGCGTTATTGGTCTTGGAAGCGGGTTCCTCCCGTATCCGGCCGGGACGGACAAGTGGGAGTTCCGGATCGACTGGCAAGTGCCTGTCTCGGCCCCGGCCGGAACGCAGGTGGTGTGCTCGCTTGGCGACGGGCTCTGCAGCCGAGACACTGGGTCGCCAGATAACGTCCTCGCTACTGCCGTTTTCGCTGTGGGGCCGCTACAGCGCTATCCAGCGTGGGAGACGACACAAGGGAACCAGGCGAGCAGCCAACGATTTGGGATGTACTGGATGGGCACGCTTCCATATAACGTTAACCGTCTTGGCCCGCTTGTGGATTCCATTTTCCGATCGATCGCGGGGTTCTTCGGCGACAACAGCGAACCTTTTCGCGTATTCATCAGAAAAGTGTGGACGGGTCATGGCGGTACTGGTGGCTACAGGTCATTTCTCCTGGAATATTACGACGGTGTAACGGACGAGCAAACGGAGGATAGTTTGATAGACCTTCTCGCGCACGAAACTGTCCACGAGTACCCCCTGATGATTCCCGAGCGCAATGAGGATGTCTGGTACAATGAAGGTGTCGCAAACTATTATGGAGTCATTGCGCCGTATGTGGGCGGTGCAGTGGACAGGAAGTACCTCGTCAAGGCGCTGAATGACCAGGCCCAAGCCTACTACACATCGACAACCGTCAATTTGTCTTACCAATATGTCTTGGACCATTATTGGGATGATTTTTCTGTCACCAAGACACCTTACAATCGCGGGTTCATCTTTCTAGCCCAACAGCAGGGCCGCATCAACCGGGCAACGGGTGGTCGTAAGAGCATCGACGATATCGTGCGGGTTCTCTACCAATACCGGTTCCGAGGCCAGGAGCATAGCGTGGACGACTTCTACCAGATACTCACCGACTTTATTGGTGAGTCTATTGTCCAAAAGGACCGAGAGGCCATGGAAAATGGCCATCTGATCGTGCCACTGGAGGACTGCTTTGCCAAGTACGGCCTGAGGCTTGTGAGGAAAGATGCCGAGCAATTTGAGCCTGGCTTTGACCTAAAATCCTTGCGCAACCTGAAGATTACTGGGTATGTTATTGCACACACCTCAACTCTCCGCTGTTGTCTCGATAATTGTGCATGACTTGTGATCTGACATCTTTCCTTAAGACTGATACCCGGCTCTCGGGCTGCTTTGGCCGGTCTCCGGGAAGGCGATCACGTCGTTCGCTCGTGGATGCTCTGGACTGCAGGTGACAAGCTAGACAGTAAAATGCAAATCACTGTTCTTCGTGACGACGTGGAGGAGATTATAATTTATTGGCCGAGAACCCACTACAAAGTTGAAAATTGGGTCTGGGAAGACGTTAACGCTTAGCTAGGTTACTGGGCAGCTTTCGAGGCGATTTTCAGACTTCATAATTGTCAAATTAATTAACCTGATGTTAAGCCTAAGATTAGTTGACGCACTTGTATATACATTGATTGGCTTTTAAAGTGTATGCGCACACCTACGTCACTCTGTACCTTACATTTATCGGTACCTTTAAGCATTACAGGTCCGTGTGCACGGAATTGTTGCCGCTACCTGCGGGCGCTAACTTTGGCGGGCTAAGCTACCATGTACCTGGCCGCAAAAGTTCAACCACCCATAGCTCCGGCTTTATCCTTCTGCCACTGATCAACACATATAGCCGGCAAAGCACTTGGTATGGAATGCGCGCTGTGCAACAAGTCCTTCATCGGAGTGCAAAGGCGATAAGCCCATCCGAATTCTACGATGCCGTTCGCGAAGCCTGCAAGCCTCGGTTTTCCGAGGCGAGGGTGGTTAGAAACCATCGCCCAGTCGGTACGTCTTTTCAGTTAACCCTCTTCTCTGCGCCATGTTCGTCATGCTTTCATATATATATATGTTGGAGTACTGATCTACTCTTCTCTCAGCTCTTGGTATAAGCGGTGGTGTCGATTCCATGGCATTGGCCTTTCTCTGCTCCCAGCTACGCAAAAAAAGGACAGAGCTCATGATCGCCGACAACCGCCTCCAGACCTTTCGAGGTTTCGTCGTCGACCACATGCTCCGCGAGGGCTCATATGAAGAGGCCTTCAATGTATCCAGAGCAGTTCGGAAGCTAGGGGTGACTTGTGAAGTCCATCAAGCGAGTTGGACGAGAGAGCTCGGCCCCGATGTCGACCGCAACAACCTCCCGAACCTCGAGAGTGCAGCTCGCAGAGTCCGTTACCGAAGGCTAGGCAGACTCTGTGCTTACCGCCATATTTCATCGCTGATGCTTGCACATCATGAAGACGACCAGTATGAGACGGTCCTCATGCGCTTGATGGCTGGGCACCGCAACCGGGCCCTGCGGGGCATGCGAAAGGCGGCCGCCATTCCAGAGTGCGAGGGTCTTCACGGCGCCTTTGACAGTGGATGGGTTGATGATCAAAGGCGTCAACGGCCCAACAATCAACTCACCAGAATCCAGCGAAAGTACCTAATGCACGACCTCCAGTTGAGCATCGGTTCGCTCGAGGATACGGAAGCATTTAGTAGTCAGCAACTGGACAACCTCCTCTTGGACGACGACCTTCCTGGTATGGATGACTGGTCATTCGGGTCAATGCCTGTTGAAGATGGCGGCGTTAGCGTATACCGGCCGCTGCTAGAGTTCAGCAAGGATAGACTTATAGCGACCTGCCTTGAAAACGATGTGCCGTGGTTCGAAGATCATACCAACAAGGACCCGACTCTGACCACGAGGAACTCTATTCGACACATGTATAGATCTTGCGAGTTGCCGCGGGCTCTACAGAAGCCCAGAATCATTGCACTGTCGAAAGAATGGCAGCGTCGAGCCGCAGCTCAAGATGCCGAGGCAAAGCGACTCGTGCAGCGAATGACTTTACACAATTTCGAACCTCATGCCGGGACATTAGTGGTTCAATTTCCAAAATTGTCCGTGTCGAGACCAAGCAGATATTCGCGCACCACGGAACGTTACCAGCGCCGACGCTCCTACATGCGGCTGATGGCGGCTCTGGCTATACAGCGAGTGATTGCCCTTGTCTCTCCCGAGTTACAGGCCCCTCCGGTTGCAAATTTGCAAAATGTTGTTTCTCGTCTCTTTCCAGCGCTATCAGAGGCTAATGGCAAGAATGATTCTGCCCCAAAGGGCTTCAATATCGCCGGATTACATTTCATGCCCATAGAGTCCACGCCGCAGACTGTGAATCGTCGAGGGCAATCCCATCAACGCACGTGGTACATATCGCGCCAGCCTTACCCGGCCAGTATGCCGCTTCCACAATTGCGGGTATCCTACTGGTCGGCGGGAAGACCCGGTAAGCGCTGGGCCCGTCGCGACCACTGGAGGTGGTCAACATGGCTGCCGTGGTACTTTTGGGACAATCGCTACTGGATACGTCTGACTCACCGTCTGCCGTACCGTGTCGTCGTCATGCCATTTTTGATTGAGCATGCCAAGCAGTTTCGCGAGTCTTTGAGCCCGCAAAATCGTGACAGATTAGCTTCGGTTCTCAAGGAAATTGCGCCTGGAAAGGTTCGATATACCCTACCCGCCATATACTCGGAGGAGTATCTAGACCTGGACAACATTGTTCCGAGAAAGGGGTATCCTGTGCCCGAAGGTCAGTATACGGAAGGGGTTCGTCTCCCAAAAAGAGAGCGATCCAAGCCCCAACCGCTCGCGCCAGTCGATCCCTCAAAAATGAGGCTCTTGGCCCTTCCCACGCTGGACGTTCAGATACCTGGGCTTGAGAAATGGTTGTTGTACGAAACTCGTCACCAGCGAGCAGATCGCAACACTCTTCGTGCCATGGCAGACTACAGTAAAGGCTCTTTTAGTTCTTCGAGAACATTCCAGGCTGGAAAGATGAGCTCAAGCAAGAGGAGACGCAGGTCTTGACTGGATTTTGAGTAGTCCCAATATGATACACAATTCCAAAGAGATACTATCAAGCATGTCGTCGTGGCTGATATCGGGATGCAATTTTTCTCGTTATGTTTTCTTTCTCTATTCTTTCAAGCTCTCTACTGAGCAACAATTGCCTCCGTTTTCATATTCCTTGTTGAGACCCCATCGTGCCTAGGCGTCAAAGCTTGAAGGCAACTCGAATGCCATCTACCCAGACCGAGCCACGGAATAATTCTTCTTTCTTTCCTTTTTCAAGTGCTATAATTTACTCACGGTCGTGTTGTGCCCAGCCAACAACTACATTATCGGCCAGACGTCTCAGTAGTATCGCTCTTTTCGGCCACTCCATTTCTTGCCCTTTCTCCACTGTTTACTGACGTCGTCATCATTCTTCTTGACGCAGTCGGAGCATCGCCCGTCCACTTCTGTAGTCATAGTTTCCACGTTGCAATGTGACATGTGACTAGGGCGCTTCCTCTTTGACATGTCGAGATAGGCAATATGCTCGTCGTGGTCGCCATCGGCACCACGCCGCCAGGCAATATTGCATAGAACGGTGTGCAGGTACTTCCGGCAAGGACACCTGGTAAACTGGTTGTAAGTGTCGGTACACATGATGTTTAACAATGAAGGTAATTGTTTCTGTTGTTGAGCGAGGGGGGCTGTATCTCCGAGGTCTAGCTTCTGGTGTTGTCTCTGGCTTTTCTCTCTTATCTGTTTGTCTTTTTGTATTTGCCGAACAGGTGTTACCAGCACGGCTTTTATACTTTTGAGAAAGCAGTGCTTGTGATGTTGATGTTGATGATGGAAGATCCATGGCGTCCAGGATGCGTGATTCGCGTACAAAAACGAACACTTTGTCCTTCTGCCACAAGAGACGAAAATATTGGCAATGGTGACAGACATTAGAAAATGTACGTGTTTGACAAAGGGATTGATCCGAGGGCTTTTACATGATTCACAGTGGGAAGGGGAAAAAAAAGGCTTCACCGCAAAGAGTTTCTAGAAATAGAATCTTGTATCACCCAGAGTGGCAAGCTTTGCGGTGTTTCCCCGCCCTTGTGAAAGGATCAGACGCTCACCGACGTGAGACGTGAACTTGCACATTGGAAGCTGTATCGCAAGACAAAATCAGGAACATGACCATGGTCTGTACTCCTTGGCGAGCACAGAGGGTTGTGGGTGAGTTTTTGACATATGATAACAAGGTCATTATAGAGAGTCGTAGAATTTAAAGGGTCAAATCATTGCTTCTGTAAACATTTCTTTATACTGCTTCTGGTTATGGATACCTATGATTCCTGCAACAGACAAATACTGCTTGAAATACTCCTAGACTGAACAACCATAGCTGAGTATCAAACTTGTCAAAGAACGTACACCTCTGAAATGGAGCATCAGTCAATAACCTTTCTATGGAGAACATTGCCGACGGCACGTGGGTAATTATCAGACGATACGACAAACATGTAAGGGCATGCATATATTTATACCTTTAGAAGCGACTCATACAGAGCAAGCTACCTATTCGAAGCGGAAAACAATGATCAAGACAACAAGGGCACCACGAGACTTTGATACCCATGGCGAGTACCAAAATTAGCTTCATTGTAGAAGGAAATATCAGTATCACACTGGTTCTGATTAATATGTTGACGTGCAGATTTCTTACCCTCCGCCTCATCATCGGGTGCAGTCGAGTCAGTCACATGATTCAGTGTCCATCCTCAGCCTTGCGGTTATCGGTTCATTCAACTTTGCATGTGTACAGTCATCTAGTCATGGTGCAATGGTATGGACGCATGATTGGGCCGTACACACAGCAAAATACAAATGCTTCTCGTGGTTTGTAACTTACCAAGGACATCGAAGTGATGACAGCAACACATAACTCATCTTGATATTTTGTGTGTTTACTGTTCACTAGGGAAATTGGCAGCAGGCGCCGATCTTTTTTTTCAGCAAACAAGTTGAATTTCTGTCTAAGAAGGGAAATATCAAGAAAAGGAATGGTTACTGATTCGAATATACATATGCTTGGATGCTCAGGAAATATTTGTTTGTATAACCCACTCGACAAACAACAACTATAGCTGTTTCGTAGCTAACTACCTGTTCATATTCCTCACGTGCAGCTTCCAAAATGTACAACTGATATAGAGCAACTAATCAAGATTCAGACGCGTGCCGTAGCCTTGGCGAGGATCATATAGTGTGGTTAATTAGGTATTATACTATGTATAAAGTGATTAATGAGATGCTCTCTGGGGCAGACCTCATAGTGCCCGAGCTCGGATCGGATATGATGCACTAGGCTGAGATGCGTTGACTATACTCCACCTCTTGGGAGACGGTGCATTATCGCCGAAAGGTGTATATCACATGCCATTATAGTCTCACCTGGCGCGCGCGCGCACGCGCCTCAAGGGTCGGGTCTTTTAATTCTTGTAAGCACATCATGAGAAAATGCTCTCCCCCTTGCGTGTGGCGGTCGGCACACCATCCCTTTTGGCCCCCTCTCAGCGGTCCGCAAACCGGCCGGCCGCGCATGATAAAGAAACCATGTGCCTAGACTTCCAATTTGACAATGTGCGATATGGCAGGGCCTAGGCCCAAGCGCCGTTCAATGACAGCTTCCGTCACTTGCGAACTAACGGCAGATCACACTTTGTGGGGATGCATATCACATCTGGTGGCGCTCATCGAGTCCAAGAAGTTGAACCGCTCTCCATTTTTAACCATTACCGCATAATAGCTATTGGAGACAATATCCAGGTGTGTCCTCTTTATGCGGAATACAATGTCAGGCTCCCCCGATAGGATTAATGAAAATTGGACATGTCTTTCCAGCTCCGGCAATGGGGGTCTCGAGGTTCTGGATTTGACAATTGACAGGACAGAAAAGGAAGACAGGGGCCCGGCGGCCGGCATCGCGGATATGTTGAGGCGGGGAGCGAATAACGTGCCTTGCTTACAGGACATGGGCACTTGACTGGTCTGCCGGCAGTGGAATCAAACCGCGAAGTTGAGGGGGTTGATAAAGGAAGGAAAAACGAGATGCGATTGATTGAACTGGGAAAAAAGACATGAGACAGGAAGGGGGGAAAAGCCACGCTCCGCGGTTCGCATAACGCGCGTTGTGTTGTAACAAGGCCATTTTCTTTTGGGAAAAAAAAAAAAAAAAAAAAAAAAGTACCAGACTTTGCAATACGATTTGCTCGTCACCTATTGTGTAGATGGAACTCCGAGCAGCAAATCGCTTTTCGAGGATCCAGCTCTCGTCTGTCCTTGGCTGCGAGCTCGATACGACCAAATATGATACATGTCCTGTCATCTATGATACCTCACACGGACAAACACCTACCAAACACGCGAATTTCCAAGAAAAATCAATGTCCGTGATGGAAGAAATTTTTTTCTTCATTTCTTCTCATCACTCGTGTGCGCGGTGAAACCTGAAACCGACAAACGAGAGACTGAGAAGAAGGAAGCGCAAAGCACAGTTACCTTAGCGACCCCTCCACCGCTGGTGATGAAAGACTACAAATACTGTGACGAGGCCGGGATGTTTCGCAGCAAATGGGCAGCACAAATATAAATGCAGGGCTCCCCTGTAGCGAAAAGAGAAGGACAAGGAGAAAAAAAAAAGATGCTGCCAGAGATGAAAGCAAGAAAAAAAAGCCAATTCCAATCCCCTGGTGCCGCCCAGACTCGCCTATTATGTATGTGCGTAGCCAGTACAAATGGTTAGGCCTCAATGCGACGGCCGGGGACAGGTCCGACGGGCTGGGAAAAGGGTGGTAGAGTGTCACAAGAGAAAGAAAAAATTATCCAATCCCCTGCCATATTCTGCGAGACACACATGCAACCACAAGAAAGACATTGTGGGAATGAGCGGTAGAGAAGGCCCAACGGTCAGGTCGTCCATACATCACCGACCATTATGAGTCTGTCCACACCACCACCATCTTTTACTCGGCCGCGTTGGGCGACATTGGCTCTAACCTAGACCTGTTTCTCCCGGCAGCAGCTTTCTGTCTTTTTTCCTTTGCGCCAACCAACACATATGCGCGCGCGTTGGTTTCTGTTCTTGAGCAAGCACATTTCCTTCTTTTTTTCTCCTCGTCTCTCCAATGTGACAATACCCGTCATCACCCTTTCTTTTACGACACCGCTTGTCACCGGAAGCCGGAGGAGTCGACCCGACAGCTTGTTACAGACACATGTAGTTGCGCGTCATTTGGGGGGCTGTCATGTATATATCTTTTAGTGGGGTGTATGAATGTCTCCCCAAAATATTTGAGATCGCGATGAGATTGGCGACTTTTGTTTTACACATGCACACAAGGGGGGGAAAAGAAGAAGAAGTAAAAGACACCCCTGATATATTCCCGGCACCGGAAGGGAGCCCGGGCACAGAAGAAAGAGTTTGTTTGCACCAGATTCGGGGAAGCACGTCCGTTGGAGATGCGCACTAGAAATAAGGAAGGGGGCAAGTAAAAGAAGGGAAATTCAATGCGACCAGCCTGCCGACCCGTTTGCTCAGAATATTACAGCCAAGGGGAGCAGACTCGTCGGACTATGAAATTCAAAAGAATTCTCGCTGAACCGACCATAGATTTGCGTCCGTCCGTCCCATTTGCAACGTTTCACCGCCATGTGTATGTGGACTATACGAACATGCGTGTACTATATGCCGTGCGTCTTTTGGTGCAGGTGTTTGCGTACAGAAATGGTCATGTATCATAAAACTTTAGACTTCTTTGTACGATCTCTCGTAAATATGGTTCAATCATTTTTCCATTCTTGATGAACTCTGTAAAAAGCAAGAGATTCTTATTCCGGGGAGGATGATCCGTCATGTCTTGCAGTCTTTTTCATGATCTATCAACCGGATCGTGCTTTTCTGATAGACCTCTACAATTTTTGCTTTTTCCCTTCTGCGCGTACGTACATGGACTTGACATCCGCCGCTGCACATGAAACAAAGATGAACCTAACCTAGGTGACATGCTGGCAAAGAAACCAACGGATCCGATAGTACCGACTATCTCGGTTGCATCTCGGCTACTAGCAAAAAGACTACCACCAGCCACCCAGGCTAGATAGACTATGGAGGAGAAGCTCCCCGAGGCAGGCCTGGCAGGCTCGGCTGGCCATGGAAAGAAAGAGGCGAGCCCCACGGTTATCATCCATGTCGGTTACCAGACCGAGCGGCCGACGATCTGTCAAAAAACCAACCCCACTGAGACCCGGCAAACAGCTCCACCGAGCGACCTGAGAGGAGAGATTATCAAGGCTTCACTAGGTAATGATAAGAGAGATAGATCTACTGGGCACGACTTGCCCCGAAATTGCGACAATCTTCCGGACACAACCGAGTCGAGAACTTGGGAAATGCCCATTCGAGCTGCTCTGGACTTGTTTTTAGCCTCGGTGTAATTCAACTCCTTTTGAACAGCACAATAGTAGTTACAAGGCGGTTAAAGACGCTAGTCGGTCCCGGATAAGTCGTTCATGTTCCGCGTTTTATAGATGGCATTTATTGAGTAAGTAGTACCAAAGGATGACACGGATGTGCCTTTGAGCTATTGTTTTACTTTATCGCAAAATCCTCCGTTGCGGCACGTATGAGTCCGAAGCAGCTCATCGCTACAGATCTGGTGTAAGAAAATAAATCTGAACCCCGTAAATAGGGCGGGCGCACTGAGCAGAGCTGAGTCTTTGCTTGTTCCCATTTTTTGGTCCCACCGGGAAAATACCGAGGCGATCCCCAGCTTGGGGTAGGTAGGCAAGGCGAAAAGGCGCAAGGTTAGGTAGTTTTTTAGTGGGTGGTCAGCCAGCACGGTTCACCCTCTTGACAATGGCACCAACTCGCGATCTCCGGTCGTTGGATAAGTGTAGATCCGGGCATGATATTTTTCTTGTCTGTCTGGGGCGGCATATTGGTAAAACAACGCTGGGATTTAACTCAAGGTCTGTGTCATTTTCGGCTACATACTGACAGCTAAAACAAAACAAATATTGAAAAGTTTCATCCGTATTTGCATACGATGTAATTTGTATAGGTATTTTAATTATTTTCTTTTGTATGCATGCAGCCGACCGGAAGCTCTTGCCCATGGCTTTTCAACCGTCCGCGGAAGCGGGAAGTTTGAAGCGTCATTGGTGGGATTATGAACCCCTGCTTACCATCGTGCTTTTCGACTATTAAATTTGACTTGATCATCATTTTTCTTTAAATCTGTTCTTTCTTTGGGTTCCCGGCTCCCAAGTATCAGGGTCTACTCGGAAATCTTGGTAAGCGAGCCGAGTTGATTGAGTTCTTGCTTCTTGTACATGATATGTTTTGTTATTTCCCTTGGTGCTGCGATACGACAGTAAGCAGAAATCCTAAGTAGTTACCTATCTTTCATTGTCTGACTCAGGCGGGTATTCCTGTTTTGGTAACGTTCAGGGGGAAAGAAGAGGGTGAGTGCAAATTGCCAAAAGTCTTGTGCGGATAGACAGATGAAAGGGTGTACTACAGCTCGTGCATTGTATTGTTGTAAATCCGTATGTAGACAGATATTCAAGGTTAGGGTTGAACGGCCAGCTGAATATTGGATAAATGTAAAGCCTTTTTCCTGCCAATAACTACCGGAATAGGAACATTTCAGCGCGAGTCGGGTAATGCAAACGCGGGAAAGGGTCCTCGAGCTGCCAACTAGTGTACTATCGAAATCTTACCCCAGGTTTCCCTTTTTCTCCACGATCTTCGCTGACCTGTGTCAGACTTTGTCGGCAGGGTCCAAGCTGGCGGGCGAGGGCGGGGGGATTCCGGAGTTTCTAGTGTTCAACTGGTTACTATGTGGCAATTCACTTTTACACTGAAATGCCTAGGTGCGTACACTACTGGGGACGCAGCTGGCAGCGCGTCTCGCGGTCAGTCTTCTACGTCCAACCATCGGAGAAAAGCGGGTGTCGCGTCGTTTGGAGAGAGTCATTAGCCACCGCTGCCATTGGCGATTAGACAAGGCGTGACGAAATAGTCCAACCGAGCGCAGCTGGCGGATAAAGCTCGAATATCCAGATTGCCAGCACCAGCCCGCAAAGGCCTTCTGTTCAAGGTTTAGTTGGAAAGAGACGAGTCATGATAAGCTTCTAGGTGGCTTCCAGGTTGCTTCTAGCGCTTCTACCATTCCTGGCAAGCCCGCGTAGCGTTGCCGTCCGCCCGCCAGCCGAGTCGTTTTGCTGTTGCCATTCTTGGCGCGACTGGAACGAGTGGAGATGCCTATTCTGACACCTTCTAGCTCACTGATTTGACATGGGGAAATTCCAGATTTCAAGTATACTAGTGTGTGTGGGATGTCGAGTCTCGACAGCTGCTGTGCTGCGCTGGCTGTTGCTGTCCAGGCGCAGCTAGACAAGGCGGTCAAAATAGACATTTCCTTCCCAGAACCTCGTCGCATGCACAGGCAAGCAGGCAGGCAGGCAAGGCAGGCATGCAGAACGGCCGGTAGATTGCCCAGCCATCCTCCCCCCTCCCGCCGATCTGCTGCAGCTCTGACCGATAGTTCTGACCTTGTAAGCCCGGTCACTCAAACTTACCAGCGATCTGGATTGATACGAAGATAAGCTGGGTGATAATTGTCAGGAGTCGCGTCAAAGTAGGTGTTTAGAAAGGGGAGGGTGTAGCGCAAATGCATCACTTGAACCCCTAACCAGCTAACCACTGGGTCAGACGAACGGAAGGGCAAGTGGCCGCGAAGGGACGGACGGGAAACACTGGAGCAAGAGATGGAATGGGATGTGCGCCTTGGCTTAGGTAGTACGGGGAAACCTTACGTTAGCCTGGGGAACGGGCTGTCAGCAGCTCAGGAGCTCAGCAACCGTCTCCCCAGACCAGCAAGAAACCAGATCGACTGGCTGGCGACCGAACACCTGTGTAACAAGTCAGACACGACGGCAGGCGGAGCATCTGCATTGTGATTATGACTCAAAGCCAGCAGGCAAAGGCGCAGTGCAGTCATGGAAGCTCAAGGTAAGGTTACTGCTGCTTCTATGGAGTACCTAGATTACACCTCGTTGATACGTGGATGAGTTGGGATGGACGGACACAGACGAACTGGACCCGTTCGGTGCCCGATACCTAGGTAAGGAGCTGGGCCAAGGTAGCAGGTGTTCGGGGTGTGCTCGGGCGACGACGGCGACGATAACGACGAAATGAAGGGTTTCGTAGTCCAACCCAACCCAACAGGCCTTGGGAAATTCCACTTCCAAGGCAACATGAACGACACTAGATTATTCGGTGCATACATAGTACATGGGCACCAGAAATTTCTGGGGCGGTTTGCGCGCATCCATCACCAAGTGATCACCAGAAATAGGTTTGTATGCGAGTCGTTTGTTTGAGCTTAGGGGGTTTGCTGTCGCTGCTGGCCTTGCTGGCGTTGGGCAACGGCCAGGTACATGATTTAAGCTGTCTCCAAGAAACGAGTCGCGGAAACGTGGACAGGCGGAAGCTAAGATTATGGAAATCCTAATGTAACGAACCTATTTGCTTGTCCTATGGGGCTGGCTGCCATATGCCTTGGAATAGGCACATGTAAATTCAATGAGGAAGAATAGATGGTGTGTAAATGAGTGAGCGTGCGTGTTTGTAATTAGAATGCTGACGTCGTTGTATTTCGCATCCGTCCCATCCAATAAATCCCAAAGGGCACGGCACTCACTGTGACTCTGACTGCTGAAAGGAAGGAATCAGGAAGCGGTGGGCCTTCCACTTTTTGGGGGCCCCGACCCCAAAAGCAAGCTTGTAAAAATAGACTCGTCGCATATCAGAGAAAAGGTGACGCCTGGACATGTATTTGATGATTTAATTAATATTTACTACATGGCGGGAATATTATTGCTGCACATGTGGAAAGCAAGCAAGCAAACACAAGCAAGTACAATCAATTATATTGAACAAGCAAACAAATAAAACCAGCCAGGGTGCAAAATCATGGTGTGGTCATTCATGTCGATAATAGTTGCAAAACAAAAAAGTAACGAAAAAGTAACTCGTCTCGCGTACGAGATCTACAACCTAGGCAGTGATTCCGTACTTCCTCTTTGCTTTCCCGTTTGCCGGAATCTCGTACCGCGACAGGATGGGAAAAGCAGGGAAAAAGGCAAAAAGGGACCCTTTTCGCCGGCGGAAAGTGACCAGCCTAGGCTCTAGTGTCGCCGGAAACATGCCCGAGCTACAAAAAATGGCAAAGAAAAACAAGTAGAAGAAAGAAACACCGACAAGGTGATTGGCCGCGCGGAGTCAGACATTTGCAGGCTTTCCAGGCTTGCCAGGGCTCCCAGACAGGCGGACAGACAGAGGCGGTCTGGGCGACAGGCCAAAGAGGCCCTGGTTTCCGAGCCGTCGTCTTGCAACCAAGTCAGTGAGTCCGGGCTAGCTAGGTACCTCCCTCACTCAGTGTCTGACTGAGCTGAGTGGTATGTCTGGCTGAGTGGGTGGTCCGGGTCTGGCTGAGTAGGTACGTAGATGGATGGACTGGAACCAACGGACCGCGGGTATCGTATCGTGCACTTACATGGTACCTACGCGATCCGCTAAATACCGTAGGTACATGCCAAATTTGGCCAACTTTGTGTCAGCATCCCCCTTCCACCCCAATACTGGCAAAAAGTTCCCAGCCCATGCAAAACGCGGCGACCTTACCGCTACTTTCTCGCGTGGATGTGGGGGTGAGAGAAGCAAGCCAGCCGCAGCCTGTCCGCCCCCCGGGTGCCCACCACTACAACACTTAGACCTGTTGTTTTGTACCTTAGTCTCGGTCCAATATGAATCATGCTGCCTTTTTGTTTTCCTTGTCCCTGGTTCCCCGTGATATATATCCATCCCGTGCCTCGCTCACCATGTCCTACGAAGCTTTTGATCCCTTCCGTTCTGATCATCAGATAACACTACAACATCTTTATTATACTCGAGCTTCGTCTTGACCAACAACTACTACAACGACAACAACTACTACTACATTCGACGAGTACCTAGTATAATACGCTTGCCTATCTATCCATCCATCTATCTGGGGAGCCTTATCACTTACACGCCCATATCCACCTACAACATCGCGCGCACTTGGCGAGAATTAACGCGATAAAACAAATCCGACATATCGACACTTTCGACATCGGAAACCAAGAAACATCCACAAAACAAAATGTACGGCTCGTACGGATCATATAGCTCCATGAGCTCAGTAACACAACCGCTCGACATCGGCTCCAGTAGCTACCTCTCGAGCCCGTCCGCCTACCACCAGTCGAGCTGCGCATTCCCCTCGTGGCAAAGGCCCGAGCGCGCCTCTTCTTACCTGTCCGATGACGATCTGTTGGACCTCGACGACGACTCGCGCAGCTTCACCTCGGGAGGTTCGCACAGCAGCGCCAGCAGCAACGCCTCGGGATCGCCCTACACCACCGTCGCTGACGAGGACTTTCTGCACATGCAACGCGAGCAACAAGCCGCCATGAACCGCGAGGCCATCCGTCTCGTCGTCGCTGAGAAGGAGCGCCGCAAGCAACAGGCACAGATGGCCAAGCGAGCTCGCCGTGGCAGCGGTGGCTCGGCCAAGAAGAGCCCAAAGGCCAAGAGTGGCGCCATGGCACCCATCGACGAAGCTGTCGAGTGATGGGGAGGCAACTGGCAGTTCATGACGTCTTTGTGTCTCTGGATTTTACTTTTGCATGCGGAAATGGTGAGTTATCATCCCCTTGAATGGCTTACACAGCCTACTATTTGCCTCCTGACAACTGCTAACACCATGTCCCAGATTACCAGAATCATTTCATTTTACGACTCATTTTCATGATACCCATTTTGATACCCCCTTTACACACTTCATAATTTTTTTTTTTAACATTTACAAATTTTGATACCCCCCTTACAAGCGCGAGCTTGTTTACCGTCAGCCACGCGAGTCCGTTGCATCATAGAGAGACTTGAGTGCAGGCGTGGTGACGGCGCAGATGGAGATTGGTGGGATGGTGTGGCAAGCCACATAATGTCCACAGTCATCAGAGCCAAACATTCAGGCTTAATGACCTTGTGGTGTGTGGTGTGGCACGTGTTGCGAGACGCGGCGGAGTACTTGGTTGGAGTCAGAGCTCCCCCAAAGAGTCAGGCCGCGGCGGAACGGGAGTCTATTTTGCTTGGTTGTCGCAAACCCAATAGGTCTCAGCTCGGAGACATGGGTGCCGCAAAAAAAACAAGAAGCACAATGGTGACAACCACAACAAGAAGCTCCGTCTTGGTGGGAATGAATGAGTCACAAGGTTTTGCCGAAGCTTACTCAGGCTTTTCCTTGCCTTTGGGTGGTAGGAGGTACGGTGTTGGGCCCTTTTGGCCCGTAATACCGAATTATGGCTCAGCCCGGGTATCCTTCGGGGGGTTTGACCCGTGGCATTTTCGCTATAGCTGTGTGCAACCATCGGGAGATATTGGAGAAATGCGGAAGCTGCCCCAACCGCGGGCCAGTTGGTAGTAGCTTACTTTTGCTTAGCTAGGTAGCAAAGTGGCACTGAAGGAAGTAATACCATCATCATCATCGTATACGTTACAATCCTACAATGATCTTGTTTTTTGGGAAAATCCTGTTTGCGACCTGAATGATGAACTCTGAACCTCACATTAGCCAGTATGACCAATAAGATGGACCCTTTGCGTTTGCAACGAAATAACAAATAACGAGCATGAAATGTTGGTCGCTTTGGAAAACAACCATGATGAGATGATCCAAGCACAGAAAGCACTAACTGGAATTAGCCCCCAGCGATACTCGGTCACCTATACCGACCTATGAGACCCACCCGGGCCCTGGTATATGTTATATGATCGTCATAACGGCAGACATCCGGAAGCCTCTTAGCTGCATGAAGATCACTCTTTGACATGAGGCATCTACCGACGGGCTCTCAAGGGGCTGAGCCTACCCTAGGCAGCCAGGCAACCAAGAGTATGCGTTATTGTCTTGGGACTTTGTTTTCAGGAGTTTTTCTATATACGAGAGCGACAGGGGGTTCAACGGTAAGCCAGAGTCCAGACTTTGAGAGCAGTAGTTAGCTAGACGGGCAATACGCTATGATCATACCTCCCATCACAACTCGTCACATTCCTGCTCCAAGGCTTACTACCAATCTGCCCTTCTGCCATCATCTTATGCCGCGCTGGGGGAAGGGGTAGGCAGCCAATATCACCTTGTTTAAGCCCTGTGCCCATGATCTGACTAGGCCCCTCTCAAAGTCCGAATGTGATGTTATGCGACCCTTATCTACAACTCTAACAAACGAAACAAGAAGAGAGAGGGAGAAAAAAATATGATGAAATGTGACAACTGAGAGCGCCACTTTGGCATGCGGCTCACTGCTTTCGCAGGGGGGAGGGAAAGGAGGATGAGGAGGAATAAGGGGGGTTGCAACAACCAAGTGGTGGGAAGGGTTTCGCACAAGTCGAGACAAAAAAAGGTCGACGAGGGACCAGCCAATAGCCTCACAAAGCTTCCGCTTCACGACGCCATTTGTCCGGCGAAGTCGGATGCCACAGGCCGGGGAACGCCTCCTTTTTCTCTTTCTTGTATATCTCTCCTTACTCGGCGACGCTCACACCCTCAACCCAAAACATTGATGGAAAAAAAAAAAAAAAAGAAGGATTTGGCCATGTCTCTGCCATTACCCATCCCCGAATGAATGAGATTGGAAAACATCTCGCTTATGAGAAGTGATGGCTTATAGTGGCGAAAAAAGAGCAAGTAGAAATTATGATGAATTTAAGAAAGGATTCAGCCATTCTTGACACGCAGTGCGCCCAAGTCGGCGTGTAGGTTTGGAAGCAAAGCGCCGAAAAGAGCGCCCACGACGAGTGAGATCCAGATCCCCTCATTAAAACCACCGAACCCGGGTAGGCGGTAAACGCTATCGACGTTGAGATCAAAAGGAATAATGGAGATTGCTTCCTAATCCAAAGTCTATGAGAGATCCAATAATAAAATCTCATCTTTTGTGTCTCTGGCACGTTGCGTTATATCTCTTCCTGCATCGGTGGGTCGTCCTCTGGGGGTGGCTGGGCCACGGATCTCTCTCCGCCCCCGACATATAGGTTATGAGTGCAAAAGATGTGCTGCAGTATACATATACTTATGCGGGTTGCCGTCTCCAGAATAGAAGCCACAGCCCAGATGCCAATATGCACATAACCACGTTCTTTCTTGCAAGTGTCTATTTTTCGACGTCTAGTCGAACTCAATACCGCAAAGGATTTCACGTTACCAATCGCCAGTTTAGCAGCTGAAATGTAAAAAGGTTTTCATGTAATATTCTGGCTTGGATTGTCTCGGGTGTCTCGGCCAAATCTGTCAATCTCGACCAGTCTCGTCATGTAAGTCAATCCCCATCCCATCACAACTTTAATCACCATGCATACAAATACAACACGAGTACCGACAACGACACGGAAGCCGCTGCATCCACTACGGGGCCAGAGAAACGGTGTGGCGTCGCAGCTCTTCCAAGATTGTGTCTCGGGTCCGGGGGGGTCCAGAACGAGGTGAGGCGCCAGAGACTTCTTCCTCCTTGGCTCAGAGAGCTCGCAGACAATGACAAGGTATAGGATGCCATTCATGGCGGGCCGTGGGAGACACAAGGAGCTCGGTTGCAACTGTGAATGTATGATGAGAGCTTAAATCCCTCTATACTACGAAATGATTTCTCTCTCCAGCCGACAACCTTTCCCCCCCTCTTGAACAATGCATTATAGTCATAGTTTGGCTGGGCGGTTGTAATGATTTGACTTTGTCCCTGTTGGTTGAGGCGGGAAGAGGGAGAGGACAATGCATTATACCTATATAAAATTACGACCATGCAATCTCGCAGCCGCATAACCAACATTGATGCAACCTCTCCATTTCTTCAGCAACGGGAATGCCCATATTGGATGAAAATAAGATGCTAATCTTTGCAAGGAACCGGACCTACGGAAACTTACGACCTCAGGCAAAAAGTGCAACTTTCTGCACCCAGCGCCGAGAAAAGAGCCCCCAAGTTCCATTCAAACATGGTCTCACAAAGCACCAACCCGTCCCCCACGAGAACTCAGCCTGGCAAGGGGGGGCTGATCCCTTTCCGCACCACCCTGTTGGGTGGTTCAGCGAGGCTGATCTGACTCCTAGTGTGGGTAGTCAAGAACCCTCCTTTGCAATGTTACGGCCCGCAGACAGATTAGTAGATGACCTGGAGTGCCTGGCATGAAAACCGTGGTTTGTTGGTGGTGATGGTGTGGTGGTGAAAGCTGGTGCACCCACCATATACTACTACACATTGCAGCCCATACGATTCTGCCGCCTCCCCTGTCTCTTTGCCGTCATGTAAGCACTTTGGATATCACGGCGCGGCCACAAGCGAAACGCAAGGGTATTTGAGAATTGCTGTGAGCAATTGGTTTCAATGGCCTGGGTGTTGATCGTCTCTGCACATCATGATGATGATATGCAATATTGCAGCAAACTCCATGGGTGAAATGGCCTAGAGAAGAGCAAGATTGTGATGTGCAGAGGTGTGAATGGGGAGAGGGAATAAGAAGGGGGGGAAAAGAAAAGAAAAGAGCAACGAGAAACACAAAAATAATCAGCTGCACACCATCCGCGACTACTTTATTTTACAACCCGTTACACACAGACTAACCAGTGTAGTAGGTCATGGAAAGAAGGGTCGCACAAATGCAAGGGACCCAGGACCATTGTTGGGGGAGGGAGGCGGGGGGAGGGAGAGAATATCTCAAAGCAAAGCAATTGGGTGAGATGCAATACCGATCCCATATCTGGAGCTACTGCCCGCCTTTGCAGATTTTCGGATGGATTGGCAAAGCATCACTGCGGTGGTGGTATTCCCATGGTTTGCTCTGCTCCGAATCGTACTTTCGAAAGATGCGTGCGACATGACACAAAGGCAAGAGGATAGAAATAAAAAAGAAAAGAAAAAAAGGGCCGCGGGGTAACGGCCAGCGCAACGCAACGCAACGCAACAGAAATGTTCTGCGTTGTACATACATAATGAAGGGCTTCTGTATCCAATCCCAATCGCAGATGATAAATGAATCATCTGCATGAGCATCCAATGAAGTAAATATCGCCAGGTGTGCAACGAGAGGCAAATACAGAGGATGGGAATCGATTCGCGGGAAGGAATGATTTGCTCCGCGCGCACGTGTATTCGTTTCCCATTGACTGAACAAAGCAACGGCCGAGGGATCTTTGGAAGAGAGAGAGAAAGCGAGATAGGGTCGTATGTGTGTGCGTATGGTTCGATGTAAACCTGAGATTCTCTTCTCTCTAGACGAACACGGCCGATATTCTTAGATTGATTAGATTTGAACGAAACTAATTGATTGATTGGCAGCACGGAAGGGAAAGGCCCAGCCAGTAACCGCAATCTTTGACCTTGTCAATTTCGAGCTCGCTCGGTCATTCACCTGTTTCGGTATCCCGCGTGTAAGCAAACTGGACCGCGTGATCGCATTCTTGGGCATAGATTTACGGTCCTCTACATTAGTCAAAACGCGCAGACTATCGACATATCCCGGACGATGGCAGTCACCTTGAGCGATTGGATGAAGAGAGCGAGATAGAGAGAGAGATGAGAAAAGTAGGCAAGTATGTGTCTTTGGGGCTTGCGCGCAATGGATGAATGAATGGAGAATAATGAACGAATTGGTTGATTGCTCGATGCCGTCAGTGCATGCGTTCGTTCGTTCATTCATCATACCTAGGTAAGGCAGGCAGGCAGGTATACATCCAGTCGTACGTTGAGATCCAACGGGACCCGCCTTTGGATTTCCCTTGATTCGGCTATAGTAACGACGTGAAAGTCCATCAAGTATATATCTATGTATTTCTTATTCTCTTGACACGCGATCTCGGTTGGGCGCACATACCTAGGGCCACGAGTTGTAGTGCAGCACGTTGCCGTGTCTACCTTGAATAGATGGCAAAATGAACAGGGTATCCAAGCATTTATCTAGAGGGTTTTATCGTGTTGCTCAGACACATACACGTTGGCACCCATCGGTGAAGAGGGAAAAGGACGACTCGGGTAACCAACCCAGTCAGATTTCCAAGTGGGGTAGTATCAATTCAAGGTCAAGGCAATGAATAGAGCAAGAAAAAAAAAAAAGCCAATTGGGAATGCATGAGAAGTTTTGGGCATTACAACAGAGGTACAGTGCATCATGTACGTACAAGTAAGTATGCATGTATGTGCGTGCATCTGTCGCTTTGTAATGGTGGTCGT